CGCATGTGACTGACTGGCAGGGAGAGCGGTAAGTTCTACCTGTAGGAGATCTCAGCCCAGTCAGCGCAGCAAAGATGCAATGGACGCTTGTGTTCACTCCCTCAGCGTAGCGCGCTCTTCCTCTAAACCTTACCGGTCGTGTTGGCCTTCCGGTTGCCAGCTTTACTCGAGCGACATTAAACTTTTCAAGCGAGCCACCGCAAGATCGAGCGATTTAGCGATGCCGGGTCTTGGATGTCTGATCGCTCTTGTTGTACTTCCTAGCAAAGCGTCGTATAACGTGTAGAACTACTAGCAAAATGAACGCATCATTGATCTCTTTACTATTGCGAGTAGCAACTGGGCAAAAGACTGCAACTATATATGATCAATATCAAATTCCCCAAAAACATCGCCATCGTCTTCATCAAAGTTCTCGTTGATCTCGTCACTGAAGGCGCCGTAATCGGTAGTGTCGACGGAATGATCACTGATGTCAAGAAGGGCGTCATGATCCGTGGTGATGTCGTCTGACTCTCCGACCATCCCATCAATGATGCAGTCTGGCCATGTGTGATCCGGCAAGCCACCCGCTGTGGTTCGTTGAAAAACCTCAACGTCGTCGGTGCACCACATTCGGAGCTCGACCCACTCCTCCGTTTGCGGTTCGCCGCTTTGCCGGGTGCATTCCCACAGGTGATCTAGGCCGCCTTTCGAGAACCATCGTCGCGCAATAGTTCTAAGACGCTCTTCTTCTCGCTCGAGCAGCATCATCGCAGAGTCATCCTGCTCATCTAGTTGTAGTAATTGCTGGCGAACTTGCTGAAACCTCTTGCGACGGCTTATCAGCCACCGTCCAATGCGACGTACTTCCCATCCAAGTCGCTTGATTTCTTGCTGGCATCTTGCGCGAGACAATACTGCTGGAATGCCGACACGAACATCATCATCGTAGGCCCACGGCTCAGTGGGATGACTATATAATCCGTTGTTCCAGAGCGGCGTCAAGATGTCGAGTTTGAGCAGTTCGTTGAGATCCTCTGGGGCTGATGGCGGTACCCTTCGGGTTCTCAAGATCGAATGGGAATTCTGAGAATTGGCGAGGATGGCAGCATACTTTTTTCACCTCGTCGTTATACATCGCCACTGCCTTCATGAGCCTTGGACGCAAAGAATTAAGATTCTTGACCAGGAGACCAGCCGCTTTCGTACCTATGAGCAGGCATTGCTACACATCAGCGTTCCTTCTGCCGGCGCAGAAGACTCGTACCATGAATTTCCTACCGAGGGCTTTACCGCCTAGGCGTGGGAGCCGCAGCCTCTCAGCTCCCTGTCGATATTGTACGACCAAGTCCCACAGTGAGCGAGATGCGACCATCAATGTGCAGGCAAATTCATAGTCTGTGCCAATCAAAGGTGTTGACATATTTAAGCGACGACAAAGGGGATCACACCGGAGGGTCAGAATGCAAGAAGGGAGTGACGTACCAGGGTCCAGGACACTGATGTTCATTTCCGATGTGCGTAAGGAGTTTAGTCGATCATCAAGAACCTGCCGTTGTTTGACCAGCTGTTGAAGTTTAGTCGACTGTTCTATAAGCTTGTTCGTATTTATGGTGTTCACGCAGGCTAGTTCTTCTCTGTAGCAATCGAAAAAGGAATACCGAAGTTAGGTCACCGGTTCGTGTCTCACTCCCAAACGACGACGATAGCTCAGACCCACCGGCATGCTGCGATATCTCTGTTAACCAGCTCAAGCTTGAACATGACGTTGCGCATCTCGGCTACCTCTTTGCGCTGTTCTTTCAGAGGGATCTGCTTGGACGCTGCACGTTGCGCGTGCCATTGTTCAAGGAGGGTAGCGACCGTCCATTCGGAGCGATTAACGACCTCAGTAATGACTCTGTCGGCTTCGGCCTTGAGCTTGATTGCGTTTTTGAGTCGAGAATTAAGTTTGGTCACTGGGCATGATCGATACACCAAATATCAGCGACATGGTAAGGTAGTGCATGAAAGACTGGAAGCTTAGGCGAACCAAGATCGGCCAGATGCTGCTTGTTATAAGCAGACGCTCGACGATTGATGTTCTCCAGCCGATGGGAGGCACTCGATGATCGATTCATGGGTATCATGCCTCGAAGCTGCGACCACAAGCGCTCAGTTCCCTCGCCATCAGTCAAACCAAAATTGGGTAGAAAGCGCGGATCAAAGTCAACCTGGCAGGACCACTTGTGCGCATAGGCATGCATCGACGAGAGAGCAAATTCTAGACGCGGTAAGTGGTCTGCCAGAAGATTGCGCTGCGACACCGGGGAGAGATGAGCTGCTCAGCTACGGACTAAGCCAATGCTCAGGCTGAGTGTCACGAACAAACTCACTCGGCGTAAGTGCGACGATAAGTTGCAGGCGATATCATACGCGACTCCGACGCGACTTCGATCCTGACTCGAACTTTGGTGGGAGTCCGATCCCGAGCTGGATCCGACGTTTGTAGCGTCACTGGTACGCGCAGGCCCCGTAGTACAATCCGTTTCTCCGACCTCAACTTCTTCGAGAATCCATTTCAACAGCGACACCGGATATACTAACCTGCGGTAGACCATACTAGCTTATTAGTGTCCTTGCCTGGAGTCACAGATGGCCAGTCCACACATACTTTTCACCTGATTGATGAAGGTTGCAAAGTCGCAGGCAATGATCATGACGGCACACTGCAGCAACGAGGCCTGTGTCGGCCACTACATTTGACGAAGCGGAGGTCACACCACCATCTGCGGCCTTCCAGTTGGCTGTGCATTCATCCTGTATAGGAGAATAGCTCGTTTAGCAATCACAGACAGTCGGGTCAACTCATTATTGGGTTCGGGTGACCCGACACCAGCAGCACCAAGGTACCTTCTCGCCCGCTTCAGTCGATCCATCGATCAAAGCTTGCTCGTTTCGAATCTTGTCTGGTGGCAGGAATAACGCTGGACGTGACTTGAGAGGATCAGCATTTGCCCGCGCGAATCGTCGATGCTGAAAATTGCCGTCGACAGCAATGATGACATCGAGGTCATTCTCGCTCTTGCCGGCTTCATCGATCCGAGGCCCAAAACATGCCGGACAAACGTCGGCCAGACGCTCGCGCGGGGAGAGGCCGAGAATTTCGGCGGTCAAAGTTGCCTGCAGCTGTTGCATAAATCGATATTCATCCATTGCGGCTTGAAGATGCTGACGCACGGTTGGACCCTGGGAAGCTTCCAATATATTCTGTAAGAAACAATGAATGTTTCCGGCCTGTCCCTGTCCAGAGCCCACCTTGTTAAAAGGATCCTCCGAGGATAATTCAGAGGACCAAAAGAGAATGAGCGCTTCGGACATGCCATAGATACCAAAAGGATCTACCCCCCAGTAGGTGTCGAGATATTCGATCGTGCGAAAGGTGAATGCGGTGATGCCTTCTCTTTTTCGGTTTGAAGATGACGACGTCGGGAGAAAACCGTGAGCTGCCAGGATTTGGATCTCGGAATAGCATGGGCAGTATCGTAGTTCTCGCATGCCTGCTCATGGTTGGGGGATATCAAATCAGTCCAAGACGATAGCGTAGGGGTGGTTGACAAAAGATGTGCAACAGAAGCACCTACCTGCAAAGAACAGGTCGACAACCCGGACCTTTCTGGTGACTCGGCGTTCATGACATGCGTCGCACCACTCCTCGTCGTCCGGGGAAGGGACAAACCCGCTCTGTCGAAGCACTTCTTTGGCCTTTTTCTTCATCAATAGGTACGCCTGGAAAAGTTCAGGTCGTTTTGACGCCCTAGTCTTAGCTTCGGCCCTCGCAGTCCGGCGACGATTGCGCTGCTTCTTGGCGTTCCTCTCGATCCGCGATCGCTTAAGTGAAGAGGGCGCTTGGTCTTGAGAAGCACCGTCTGGGTGGAATGGCGAATGCTCCGGTCCAGATGAGTATCCACCACCGAAATCGCGACCGAAGTCGTAGTCGGGCTCAAAGTCGGGCGCGCTGTTAGGCTCGAAGTCGTGCTCGAAACCGCCGGTCTCGGTGTCTAGAGGCCACGCCGTTGCGCCATCGGCAATGTCAGTCCAAGGCTCGGACGATGATTTGTGGAGGCCGGCAATGGATTTCTTCGAATGCTCCTTCTCCTTCCGACGACGCGTTGACCTCTGGACCGATGGTGATGGGGGAGGGCTCGGCTGCCGTTTCGGACGCCTCTTCGTTGGAGAGCGGAAAATACCGAAATTGAAGCCGAACGTCTTGTCGAACAGCTCGCTATCGGGGGACAACGATGGCTCCCTTTTCCGTACTCGCTTGGTCCATAATCTCCTCCTCTTCTTCTTCTTCGTCTTCGCCTCCTCCTCCGTTCCCACCGACGTCGTGGCCCCATTCTCGATCGTGTCCTTGTTGCTGCAGGTCACCTTCTTCCTCCTCCTCCTCACGGTCGTGCTCTTCTTGCGCTTGGTCTTGTCAGTGCGTTTTGATGCTGAGCTAGGTTGTAGAGGTGGTGGTGTGTGTGGTAAGATGTCCATGCTTGAAGCGATGGGTGCAAGCTTGCAAGGCCTTGGGTGGAGGGAAGTGGGGGGAACTCGTGGTGCTGAGGCAGATGGACCATTAGCGGGGATAAGTAGCAAGTGCCCGAATTAGTGACCAGTTTTGCCTCCGGGGGCTGGGGGTTGGCAGGGGAATGGTGCACCTACCCTGTACCAACGTTTTCCTGGGCCAAATCTCGAAAAAGCTCCCTAAACTCGCCGCGCGCGGGGTAGTATATTTGTTAGGCTTATTTTGACCCGCATAGGTGGCGTTCCCGGGTCTTGTAAGAATTAGGATTGAAACTCTCTCGCTCGCTCCCTTTCCCGACAGGTCTCACCCTCCGTTCCCCCGTTAATAAGTGGACTTTGCCCGAGTCGCCGGTCGTCGATGCGAGGCTCGAACCACGTCTAGCATCTACACACACCCCATTAACCCAACCGCAGCCTGGTGCATCACCTACTCCTCTGCTGCGCACGACGACGACTGCAGCGCGGTGATGCCTGTTCAAGAAGGCTCCTCCACCTCCGCCGCTGGCAGTGCGCGAACACGAGCCCTGTCACCGGCCTCGCCGCAAGTGCCTGGCAACTCGTCTCATCAACACGCCTCGACCTCTGCGGCCTCTGCGGCATCCACGTCGACTACCACACAGCACACGAGGGACATGGGTCGTCTGTGTATGCAGGACCAGGACGAGGAGGTCGATGTCAAGCCCTTGATCGTCGTACAGGACGGAGACGCGAGTGAGCCCCAGCCCGGTTTCAGCAGTGGTGAGTCGGGTTCGAATGGCCCACTCTTTGGGCGCCTCGCGGTCGCGTTCGTCCGCCTCGCATCGCCGTCTCGTTCCAGCAGTGCGCTCTGTTGGATATGGCATTCAATGCCCCCCCACCGATCACCGGGACCCCCAAACACATCTCATCTCTGTGCACGGTCCGACTGCGGCGTCACATGCGTGCGGACGTCGAGCGGCGCGCCTGGGGGATGGCCGACGATCTCGGCTCTCCGATCTCGTCTGAACCCGAAGCCTGCGCTGACCCTTTCGGGAATCTTTCGGTCGCTTCTCGGCCTGTCTCCTTGCGAATTCCTCAGACCCAACCAGCTCGAAAAGGAGGCGTTCGTCGTCACATTCGGTCTCGACCTCGGCACTCAACCTACTACAACAAGCCCTACTGCATCACCAACAACAGAGCGACATGCGCGTCGACAACGACGACCACCTTGACGGCGATGACGAGCACGCCCACGGTGATCTCGCCGGCGGTCCAGGCGCAGCGGCGGCCCGAAAGCCATCGTCGCGCCTGCTCGCGCCTCGAGCCACGTCGAGTCCGTCCCGCGCCGTCTCGGTCACGTCCGAGGTCGACTCGCTCGCCAGCAGTAGCAACGATGCTCTACAGACACCCCCGACCAAGAAGTTGCGCAAGGGCGCTCGTCTCGGCCGACTTGGTCCCATCCTCGATAAGATTCCGATCGAGTTGCTCGCCGACGTGAGTCGCGCCTTACCCCTCTCTCTCTCTCTCGGACGGACCTCTTAATTGCGATTCGTTCCTGAGCGCTCGAGGGCTTCAGCGCACGCACGGGGCTTCTCCGGACTGACATTGATCTCGCATACCTCATTTCCACTTTGATTTGCACCAGGTCCTCGCCTACCTCCCACCCGTAATGCTGCTTCGTCTGGCTCGCACGGCCAAAGTGTTCAGGAGCCTCCTCATGAGCAAGCACCACTCGCGTGCCATCTGGCGTCGCGCGTTCAAACGTGACGGCCTCGGACCTTTTGCGGTCGAGGACATGCCCGAACCTCAGATTGCTGCTCTGATCTGGGACAAGGAGTGTTTGGTGAGTCGAGCGCACGGTCGACACCTAAGTGCCCGGTCAGATGCCCCGAGGTCCGGAGGGGGTAGAGGAAAGCAAGCTGATTCACCTTCGTTTCGTGCTCAAATTTCAGGCCTGCGGTCGAACAAAGGTGCACAAGATCGTCTACATTCTTGAAGGACGATACTGCGATCCCTGTTTGAAGCAAAAGTGGGTGGCAGCGCGACTTCAACCGTTGATTCCGGCATCTCATAGCAAACTCAGAACAATCGCTGACGTTTGAGGTAGCACAATTGCGATACAGAGTTCGGACTCGATCTCAGATTCAGTCCGCCCATCCTTGTCTCCATCCCAATGCATTTGAATGCGCACCATTCTCAACGGGTAAGCTTTCAATTTAGCACGAGCTTCGTCTGTGACGACCTCGCAACTGACGGTCATTTGTTTGGCATCGATGCCCACAGCTCCCCCTTGTCGTGGTGGCAATTGGCCCGCTCTTCCTGGGCAATACATGGCCGGCGAATACTGGCTCGAGGAAACGGTGCTCAAACGCAGCGAGGAGCTGCACGCACACGAAAGTGAGGATCAGCAGCGCTGCGACGGTGGGGGCCGCGTGGCGAAGCGCGTGGCGTACTGGAAGGAACGCTTGCCTTTGATTGAGCGGGACGCGCAGATGTTGCAGAGGTGGCAGGCCGAGTTGGATTCGAGTCGTTCAAGCGACAAGCGTAGCTTGCGCATGGAGAGGACCAAGGTGTGAGTTTCGCCTCGGGCAAATCGGACTTCATGGGGACGCGTGCGCGCTTTATCGCTGAAACTCAACTCAACTGTCTTTCGCCATAGTATCCGACAACGCTGCCTTGATGCGGGGTACGATGCCCGAGACGTCGACATCGCCGTTCGTCCCGAAAGTGCGGTCTATGCCCACATCAACCAGCCCTACCCTCTCACAGATCGAGGTAGGTCTTTTCTGTCCGGGAAACCAGACGATCGGTGCGTCGGGAGCTGAATTTGTGCATCCTTTGCGCACCCCCAGTCTGGCGCAAGATCGAACGACCCATTCTAAGTCACGTTGCAGCACTGCGCGACCAAAGGCTGAGTGACGAAACTCGGCAGATCCTGTTCGACCGCTTCCGCGAAGAGGCGGCACGTGCCCAAGAAGCCGCAGCCGAACGTCACTCTCAAGAGTTGCAGGAGTTGCGTGAACGTGATCGAAGCGCTCAGGCCGCCGTTGCTGCGACCTTGGCCGCCCACGCACAAAGGACCACCGCGGGCGGATCGCCTGCAGTGGGCGGGTCCACGTCTTCGTTCGGGACGGGGATTGGTCAATCGCCCCAGAGGACCGTGGGCAATGGAATGCCGCCGTCGTCGTTGACCTCGGCTTGGAACCCGTCGCTTGCGCATCAGGTGAGTCACGCTCGGTTCGACGTGAGAATTTTGCTCGTCACTCTTAGCTGAAGCTCTGACTTGTCATCCAGCAGCAACAGCAACAACAGCAACAACATCAACAGCCGTACCAAGCCCATGCCCAGTACTTGAACGCGCTTCGCTATGGATCGACGCACGGCCCTCGCAGCAACTCGGCACCATCGGCGTCGCCGCTCTATCCCTCGATGGGATCCTACCAGCGACCAGCGGCTGCCAACACCCTCATGAACCCGGCTGTCGTCAGGCAACCTCTTCCTGTTCCCGTGAGTATCACCAGTGCTGGTCCGTCACTCACACCTCCGAGTCACCCGCTCATCGTCGCTCATCACGTCATATAGAACAGGACCCGCATGACGCCTAGCGGCTCGAACGCCCCCGACCATAGTCTAGGCGCCTGGTGGCTTGGCTCGTCACCCCGATCCAATCCGGCCCATCAGTCGACATCCCTCTCTCCTCGCACCCACCTTTCGAGGCCGTCCTCGACTGACCCGTGAAGAGATTCTTCATCTAGCCAATTTCCCCATACTTTCAGCATCCACGCCTCCTGGTAGCCCATCCGCATCATGTATTCTCTCTTCGCTTGATCTTTTCGGTGTTGTACCACTTCGTTTTGTCTTTTTTGCTTCGACGCACGAGCTGCTCTCGTACTTCATTTCCGTCTGCATGCATCCCTAGTACTGCTTGTTCCGGCCCTCGGTCTATTCGCTCAGAATCCATCCGCCCTGCTTTTGACATTTCTTTTGCGCCTTCTTCAGGTGTACTACTTTGTCTTTCTGCAGGCTGCCATAATACTGCCTACAACTATTATTACAACTCAGAACAAGGGTGTGCTTCGCAGTGAACCGCGGATGACGACTCTCAGCTTTATTAGCATCGCGATCGAGTCATGTATCAGGGTGAGACATTTCCCTGCTCAGCAATCTGCTGGCGGCTCGGTCGGCTGCCGCACCCCATCTCACCCCATGCGTGCTCGGCTTCCCTGACTCGCTCAAGTTTGGGGCCGCCGGTTTTGGAATCTGCCACGCCTCACCTCGCCAGCCCGATACAATCTTCGATCGCTCACCTCCAAAGATGGCCTCTCTGAGTGGTATCCGCGATCTGTACGAGCGAGCCAAGACGGTGACAACGTACCGTCGATCGGACTCGCCGGCGCCGTTCTGGTCGCCCGTCGACAGCGCCGTGCCGGAAGGGTTCCAGATCTCCCGATCGACCTTTACGGTGTCCGTCTCGCCCTTCTCGACGCTGTCCTTCACCTCATCTGGGCGACATGCCAAAGGGACGTTGTTGTACATGCATGAGGGTTCGCTCACGACGGTCGAGACGATCATGTCGGCGCAGTTGCCGGACTACGATGAGCGCTACGATCAGACGGGTGCCGCTGTGACTTCGAGCGACTCCAAGGAAGCGAGCCATGTCAAGGTCGTCGTCGAGGCACGACACAACAGCGAGGAGCTGTTACGATTGTGCAAGATCGGGACCGTGCAAAAGGAACTCGAAGGGGGCATCTATATCGAGGTGAGTTATTTCACACTGAATGCTATTCGACTTGATCCCCCTCCAGCGGACAAGCGACCCGGAGGCTCCGGGACTTTCTCTGATCGTCAGGCCACCCCACACTCGGGGTTCTCAATCTGGGACGGGACCTATCTCCGGCCGCGCCGGCCGTAGGGGCCCCGCCTTGCGTGCATCGCATTCCATGAAGTCTGAGCGACTGGGATCCATTCCTTTGCTATATAACTAACCACTCGTTTGCTTTCCCTTCATACTCGCGCTTATCGCAGACCCCTGAAGAGTCTGCTCGGGGCACTCTCGCTGGCGCCTCCATCTCGTTCCACATAACCTTTGAGCTTCCCGTTGCCGTGAAGGCGCTTGATACTCTCAGGGTCTCGTCGAACCAGTTCCGCATCCTCTTTGACCCATCGCTCTCGAATTTGGCTATTGCGAACCTCGAGCTGTCGACTTCCGATGGGCCGATACGTCTCGATCTCGTCCGCGTCGGCCGAGCCAAGATCGTCAACCTCAACCGGCTTGACCCGAGAAAGTCGAGCCTAACGAACCACAGCGATCTCATCTCGGGTCGCATCGTTGCTTCCGACGATTTGGTACTCGACTGTTCGAACGGTCCTATCTCCGGAACCTACACGACGACTTATCCGAACGCACCGCTGGCGATCAAAACGGTCAACTTTGACATTCGAGATGTGGCGGTGCGCTCGGCGGGAGGGATCTACGTCTCCAACACGAACGCGTCCATCACGGGTTACTTCTTTGCGAAAGAGTTGTTGACGATCGAGACCCAGCATGGTAAGGTCGGTGACGCCAATTCGACGTTCAGAGGCGAACGCGGCGTGCGAATTACGACCGCGGCGGCCGGCATCAATGGTCGATTCGAAGTCGCCAAGGAGTTAGCGATCAAGTCCTCGTCGATGCCGATCGATGCGCATGTGTCAATTTTGAGTCGAAGTGCGATCTCGGAGCAAGCTTCGGTCCTCGCGTCGGCGAACATCGTGGACCGAGATCGACCTGACCTAGTGGCTGCGAAAGATGCGGGGAGAAGCTCGTTTGAACCCCCTTCGTTCGAAACGGCTGTGCGGAATGGTGCGGGCCAATCGACTTCGAGAGGGCTCGAGACGTTGACTGTGTTGTGTGAGACCAAGGATTCCCACGTCATGTTGGATTTCAAGAACCACCCGCGAGAGATTCAACTTACAAGCGAGGTCAAGACGACGGGCGGAGGTCTGGTCAAGGTCACGCATCCCAAGGAGTTTGTGGGCAGCTTTTCCGTGAGTGAATCGACACACCAGAAAATTGTGGGCAGAAGATGATTAATGCTGACTCCTGCCCATTATCTTCACAGGTTGCCACCGGCGCCCTCCAACAAGCCGTCCTCGACGTTAAACCCGACGCGGATTCGGACTCCGAAGTAGCAAACAAGAAGGCCGTCTCGTACAAGATCAAGAAGCGCGCCGAAATTGTCGGCACCATCACATACGAGGACGATTCGGTCAAGCCTCGCAATTCGACCAAGATCGTCACCAGTGGCTCTGCGGAGCTCGTAGTTGGTTGACGGCGTTACTTTGTGTAGTAGGCCTTGGGCCACTTGGACGGTTTTGAGGGCATGAAACTACATGCCCTGTAGAGACGAAGTAAATGCTTGTTGTGACCTTGGATTGAGAAAATTTATCTTTGTATCATTGAGCAGGCTCGAGTGTGTCTTACGACACATGCGAACACTGGTGTGAAGAACTTCAACGGCGTTGGTCGGACAGCCAGGCTTGGCTGAACAGCTCGGGCTGAGCCCGGTGCTCCCGACCACGTGATCTGGATCGGACTAAAGCTAGTTTAAATGTTTCGGAGTCACAGAGCGATTTGACTTCGTTATTCTTCGATGTGAATGGGGCTTGATCGGCCTTTGAGTACCGAATATAATGGTAAATTCGCCCGCCGGCGCCGTTCTTCGGCCGGGTACTCGAGCAACCGGAAGCGCTGAGCATCGTAGCTCGGCGCGGTCCCGGCTTGGCCTGCTCCCCAAACTTGATCCACGTTCGCCAACAGCTACTGGTTCACGCACGACCCTCCAAGCGACATGGCAAATCAAGTGCTCGAGATTCCCCAGTCATTTCCGCAAGGATCTTTTAAGGGTCGCATTGCGCTAATCACGGGTGGCAGCTCAGGTACGTGAAGCCGACCAGGGCCATCGTCCTCTCGTGCTGGCTGTCGGCAGCTTTCGCAGTCGCATCAGCAGTTTGTTCTTGTCTAGGCCAGGGCTTTTATTGATGCGAGTATGGTCGTTCTACAGGTATCGGTTTGTCTACGACGCAGACCTTGCTCTCGCTAGGCTGCAACGTCGTGATCGGTGACCTATCACCCCCACCTTCGAGCCTCTCGGACGTGGCGTCCAAATCCGGCGCCGAGTTGACCTTTAAAAAATGCAACGTCGCCGACTACTCGTCCCTTCTCGCGCTCTTCAAGCACTCCAAGAGCCATTTCGGAGCCTACCCTTCCCTCGTGTTCGCCAATGCCGGTATCGCCGAACGAGGCAAACTTTTCACCTTTGATTCGCCCGAAACGGATCCTTCGATCGAGGTCGAACCCGATTACTCAGTCATTGATATTGACCTCAAGGCCGTTGTCAGTACGGTTAGGATTGGGATGTGGGGGATCAAACAGAACAGTGATGAAAGAGCCGGACCGGATGTGGGCAAGGATGCGAGCATCGTCATCACCGCTTCGATGGCGGGTTATGCTGGGCAGGGTGGATTGCCGGTGTGAGTGGATGCAGTGTCTACTACTACATGTGCTGCAGATGACTCCAGTGGCTGATGCCTTGTTCTCTCAAACCCTTGGATTCTTTCTCATGAACTACAAACGACTCTGGTTAAATGCACTGAACGTCAAAAAACCGCTTACTATAGTTACAACGCCGCCAAACACGGCTGCATCGGTCTGGTCCGTTCGATGCGCTTCCTCGCCCCCGCCCAAGGCGTCTACGTCTCTTGCGTCGCGCCGGCCATCACGACGACTCCCTTGATCTCTTCGTCGTTGCCTTACGTCCCCGGATCGGAATCCATGACCCAAGCCTTGGTCGAAAAGGCGTTCGTCTCGGCCGGTGTGCCGATGAACACCCCTCAACACGTCGCCAACGCCGTAGTGTACCTCATGGCCGAGGGATCGAAAGCGAGTGGCAAGGGCATCTTGTGCCAAGGCGGGCAATATGCGGATCTGGAGAGGGGCATCAACGCAACGAGAGATGCTTGGATGAGCGCCGAGCATGCGAGGATGTACAGGAGTGGGAATAAACCTACCAAGGAGAGCATGGGCGCGGCGAAGTTGTAGACTGGTTGATGTAGTATACATGAGGGTGGTCTATACATGGTTGGTACGTAATGTTATAGCCTGTTGTCTCGAAGGTTCGTCGGATTTGGACGGTAAGCGAGGTTTGCCCCGGGTGCAGAGCGACGCCTAGATGTACAACTTTGGATTGCTGGAAAACGGCCTCTGGTTCGAAGTGAACATGGGTCGAACGCACACAGGTGTACTCGACCCTTGCCTTTGGGACGAGGCCTTGGTGACGACGATCGAAGGGACCCCTGTTTGGCTTGAAGAGGAGAGGGGTTTGGGAATGATCGTGTCGAGCAATGTGTAGAGGACGGTGATGTCGAGGAGGGATGTCATGGTGAGGTGTACTAAACGAAGCGAGAGCTTTCGTGATAAAGTGGTATGTAAGAGAACAAGCTGTACTCCGAGCCGCACGATAGGTACTACATTGTCTCATCGCACTCCCCATCGATCAGTTATCTTCTTTTCGCATGGTTGTTCTTCCTTCGCTCTTTCTATTCTCAGCGCTCAGATTTAATCCCCTTTGTTGGACTTTGCGCTTGCAGGCGCGCGGGAGCTGCCATTTCGAACGGGGTCTGAGCAGAAAGGGACAGAAGAAAGGGAAGTTGGCGGCAGGTTCGGCGGGCCAGCGTGAACTACGTCGATGCGGGGTAGACCACTTTTTTTACACGCCACATGACGATGATCTATGTCGGTATGGAACAATTTGAACTACATGCGCATGACGTACTCAGTAGATAGACCCATCACCCCCACCCGCACCACTGAATTCGGTCCCATCCCGATCGCTCCTCGCCCCACCCCCACCGGCCTCATATTCACCCAATTCCGCTCTCCTCGCAGCTTCATTCGGTTTCTCCAACCATAGCTGCTCGATCTCTTCGTGGCGTTCGGCTTCGGGGTCGAGCATGGACATGCGCTTGTGCGCTAAGGCGAAGAAGGGCCGTAATTCGTTCACTTCGAGGGAAGCGAGGTTCGGCATCTATGGAGTACCAAATGCAGTAAGAGCTTGATCAGCACCTGTTTAAGATTTATTCTAAGAGTCATCTTGAGGCAAGTGCAACGCTTACGGCAAGATGTATCGGGTTGAGGGCTGCGAGACCTGCGCGGACTTTGGCCTGACGAGCCTCCCGAATATCCTTGAGCAAGAGCCGAACCTTGTCCGGTTGAGCGACGTCATCCGAAGCACTGTTGTGGTTAACAACAGACCTGACTCGGTCAATTCTGATTAGACCCATCTGGGAGAGTTTAGAGTAGGGAACTTGCACTTCAAGTAGAATTTTGGACACCTCAAGGTAATCCCTCGGCAGGTCCGAAAAGCCTTCGTCTGTCGTTTCCTCTTGCAATGTGTTCTCGAGCCGCGCTGTCGAGTGAAGACGTGAGTCACAATACATTAGTTGTGATGACTGCCGGGATGTACCCTGCAACATCCAATGACCTGCGTATGTCATCGCTGGAAACTGACGTATGGCGAGCCATGTCGGAGCGATAATACGACACTTGCGCTTCTTTTTGAGGTGCACCGCGAACCAAAGCGGCACGGTTGATTTTTGCGGTGGATTTAGAGGACCGTAGCGTATTGAAGGCTGGTGAAGGGGAGCAAGAGGTCAGCGGTGAGTTGATGGGGAGCAAGAGAGCGGATGCGAGAGTCGCCCGGAGGTGATATGCACCGTCCATACAGACGATGCGGGGACTCATTAGGAGGTGAGTTTTTACTCACACCATCGAGGCCTTCGACCAGAGGTACTTTGACGGAAGGCACGATCTCGATCGTCCGTTCCATGGCCAGGAACTCGAGGTCGCCCGGTGTCGGCCCTAGTTGCCGCAGTCTCGAGACGGACATGGTGCAAGTGGCGAAAAGGTTTAGGAGAATGTGTGTCGGTGTACGTAGAGAATGGAGCTCGGTGTCGTTGTGGATTTGGAGTGCAGAGTGGGTGTAGGACGAGAACGAGAACGAAGCTCTCGCGTCGCGACGCGCGTCGGCTCAGTCAAAAGTGGGAGACAATGAATCCAGTAGATGGGAGGAATCAAAGTGGTTCTGTTGATCCGGGACGAGGTTGTCGAGTTTGATTGCGAGGATTTGTAGATATGAGGAGGTACGAGGTGCAAGTCGCGTGGTGTTGTGAGCTCGACTCGGATGAGTGAGTGAGTGACTCAAATCGACGTCAGCGCGCGCTCGGACCGCTTCCGCTCGAAAGCTGTCCCTTATCAAAACGGCCGACCTCCTAATCAGCAGTTCGTCGGCGCCTGCTTGTCTCTGCTCGTCTTGCTTCCTGCGGCTGGCAGCTGTGGTTGGTGCTCAACTCTCCTACTTTGCTAGCATCCAACGTGCCTTCTCACCCTCGCCTGTCCAGCGGTTAGAGTGACTCGGACTGCCGCTTGTGTGCCACCACTGCTGTGGCCGCGTTGCCGCGCCACCCGTGACCCCGTTTGGACCGACAGACTGCCAGTGACTCGGAACCAGTCGCCAGCCAACCCGAGTCGTCAGCGCAGCCGCCAACGCAGCCGCCAACGCAGCCGCCAGCGCACGCCCCCAGTTTCACATACACCACTCTCGCATACCACCATGCAGGGCTTTGCATCGTATGCATCCCACTTACTCGCCTCGACTTCGGCCGGGCCGAGTCAAGGGCTGAGCGCATACATCGGCGGCGGCGCCCACCCGAGTGCCTCCTCAGCGACGCCCATGTTCTACTCGACCCGCGACTCGTACATCCCCTTTGACGAGTCGGACGACATACTCGGCGCGTCCTCGTCGACCCAGGGCGATGATGCTCGAGGGAGGTACGACAACACTCGCACGGGCCTGTCCTTTGGCGGAAGCGTCGATGGCGGCAGCACCAGCACCGACACACGTGACGACCACCACCATGACCGAACACGGACGCCGGCGGTGGCCTCGCTCGGTGACAGTCATGGCCATCACCACCGCAACCACACTGTTCAAGGGGACGATGACGACGATGATAACCCCTATCGGCGTGACCCAAGTGTGACCACCGCAACATCGTCCTCGAACGCTGCAGGCGCAGCACCGTCGAGCATGCTCGGGCTCGACCTCCCCGCGTTCGTCTCGAGGATCAACCCGGCCAACGCCGCTCGGGGATGGCGAGCACACGAATCGGTGCAGCACCCTCCACCGCATCGCTACTACCCCGAGCAGGACGATCTCTCGGAGGAGGACGAAGGCCCACTCGACTACATCGAGGATGCCGACGAGGAGGACGAGGACGCCAGCCCACCAGGCGCATTCCTATCGACACCCTCTCCGCCTTTTTCGAGCGGAGGAGCAGAGCCTTTGCTGGCGCAGAGAACGCTGTTCCTTTACCCGGTCCGGGGGAGAACAGAAGGCGTGAGAGCGAACGGGGAATACAGAGACTCGCAGTGGATCGTCGCTTACGGTGTGTGTGTGCTGGCCGTGTTTGTGCTCGGGCTGCTGGGATGGTGGGAGACACCGATAAAGGTTGGTCTTTGGTTCTGTTCCATGCAGAGATTGTTTTGCTGAGTATCAGAGCTTATTCTTTGCGGTATACTATCGAACCTCAGGACACACCCTCGTACCCCGCGTACTCGATCTTCAACACGATCCCCGTGCTGCTCACGCTTTCGTTCGTCTCGCTTCTCGCGGGTGTCTCGTCGGCAACATATATCCTCGCCGTACGACACGGGATGCGACACTTCATCAACGCAGCTCTTATCGCTGGCCCGCTTCTGTTCATCGGTGCGGGTGTGCTCTCGTTCGGAGGCTCGTTCGGCGGTATCGGCGCCGCAGGCGACAAGGGATGGAAGACCGGGATGAGATGGTTCGCTGTGGCATGCTTCGTGTGGGCGTATGTGTTGGGCAGGGCGGCGGTCTCGAGGAGGAAACAGGTTGCACGAGCCATTGCTCTAGGCGAGGTACGTCTGCTCGCATTCTCACTGCACATGCCTAGCCTTGGGATACTTACTCCCTTGAGCGCTTCTTCAAATCCTCGCACAGCTGGCGACCCAAATCATTCTCGAGCACCCGCCCCTCATCTTGCTTTGCTTCGGCCTCTCGGTTCTATCGGCGGTTGTTGCCCTCCCATGTTTTGTCCTCGTCGCCAACCAGCTGTTCGACTCGTCGGTCTCTTCGTCGTGGCTCCCCGGGTGGGGCTCCATCGTGACGTTGCTCGTTTTCGCGTGGTCGCTGGCCATCCTGCGTGGCGTGCAGCATGCCATCGTCGGCGGTGTCGTCGGTGCCTATTACTTCGAACGCCAGCAGGCCGAATACCCCGGCCCCGTCGTGGTGACAAAAGCGGCGTTGCAGCGTGCGACCCATGGCTCGCTCGGGACCATCATCTTTGCTTCGGCCATCACTTCGCTCGCCACATCGACGACGAGCCTTCTCAAGCGCGCGCAGACTGTGCTCCGGTCCAAGCATCTTCACCCCATTTTCCAGCCGTTAACATACCTCGTGCCGCTGATGGGCATCGTCACGAGCTTCATTTCCAGCTTCAATGGCTATGCGCTGAGCTACGCCGGGATGACGGGCGAGCCGTACCTGCAGAGCGCTCGCGAGGTCGCCAAGATGGTACGACAGAACAAGACGAGTGCGCTCGGTGACAGCCTCCTCGTACGCCTCGTCCTCTTTGTCGTCTCGTTCGGTTTCGGCCTCCTCGCGGGTCTGGTCGCGTTCCTGGTCGCGTCGTCGAGGTTGGCGTCAGGGGTGCACATGACCCCGTTCGTCGCTGCGTTGTGCTACTTTGTGCCCGTGTGGACGCTTAAGTTGTGCCACGATGTCTGTGGAGATACGGTCGATGCCCTGTTCCTGTGCCTCAACATCGATCTCGTCAAGGGGGAGAACCACTCGGAGGAGACGAGGACCGCGTTCAAGACCGAGGCGAGTGAGCCGAGTTTCGTTTGAGGAAGCGCTGCTGCCTTCTTCCACTGGACGGACGACCGTTGGAGGTATGGAAATGTGTGAGAATTGTTGTGTTCCTATCCGAGTGCTTTGCTCTGTGTCGTACCATTTTTGTCCGCATACACTGTGTAGATTGCAACATCCGACGGCGCACCGAGTGTGCAGCCCGGGGAAGCTTCTTGAATGCCACCCGCACTGGTGTGTGCGATGTAATCTACCTAGACCAAACAAAACTATTCAAACTATTCAAACCCAAGCCGTGGGAGTGTTGCATCCCACCATCCGCTCTCTCAGCTGTTGTGCCGTCCTTATCCTTCCATCCCCAGCGACCTGCCAACCCGTGACTTGAAATCCAACAACGACGACGATGACACAGACGTTGTTCTAAGTGAGAAGAATCAAGGGATGTCGTGTTGCCGAATGTTAGCAGGCTCCTTGGGCTGCTTGTCGGATAGACACAGCGAGGAAAGCGTGACTTACTGATGATCGAGAGGGGTGGGGACGATGGCAATGTTGGAACAAAGTGTGAGACACACAGGTTGATGCGGGCGACCGGATGGAGCCGATTTGTAGTCGCCCTAGGCGTCTGATCGAAACGAGGGCAACATCGACAATACATCGACAATATCGACAATAGAGGGTAGGGGTGGGTTAGGAGAGCGAGGGTCAGCCGATCGAGTCTCTGAGCCAAGTGGGGGTTCGGTCGCACGAGGTCGCACCGGGCCAATCCAAACGCAGCAACAAGGCAGAAACCAACTCACCCAACTCCATCACTCTATACTCGGACCATTGACAGCGACCTTGCACGAAGGGGAGGGCGGGTGCGAAGTGTGGGTGGCAGTGGGCCTTTCTACGAGCTCGATGAGGAAAGAGAAAGAGAGAGAGGTCCGGCCGAGCCAGCCAGGTCATGCTCTAATCTTCCGTCTGCGCGCACGGACCCGCTTCGGGGGACAATTAGGTGATGTGCACCCGAGTTCCGCGGCATCACCAAACGTATATCGCGCCAAGCAACGGGTGGCTATTCTACCGTCGGCTAGTTTGGTCTTTTTTTCTTTGTTCTCCGTGCCCAGAACAGCTGATGTCCCTGGTTTTCCAGGCTAGAATGTAGTTCGACAACTCGGATGTCGGCTCAACTCGAATCCTCCCGGTTCGGCCACGTACGAGCTGTCGGGACTCTTTCGAACATTCCGCATCGATTCGGTTATTTCAAGGTGATCTTCGAGCTTGTCCATCACGCCTTTCGGCATCCCGCTGTGTCCCCGTCCGCGTGACTCAGCAAGTCATTGACCCCGGTGTTTTAATGTTTTAATCCATATATTCCAGCTAGTCTTGTTTAAAGACAGAATCTAACAAATTGCTAGATCCGCTGGACCACCATATTCATGTCACGTAGGCCGTCACCTTGCTGTCACCAGGACCGATGCCCCCCATTCCAGGGCTTACATCAGTCTTTCCCTCGTCCAGCTCAGCGCCCGCCCTCAAAGGCAGGTGGGGAATGCCGCCACCACCGCCTCTGTCACTAATGCGAATTCCTTTGCTCCGTGTTCCTTTGCAGTGCCCACCACTTCCTCATTCTCGCCGCCCATAACCGTCCGGCTCCCTTTATAAGCTCGTGATGCCATGTCCGATCCAGCCGCGTCCGAGATCGCTCATCGAGGGCCCAGTAGATGTCAGGTTTTGGGATCATCGGCATCGCATACCACCATAGATGTCCCGTTACTAGCCCTGCAGCGAAATTGGAAAGCTCGTATACTTGTGCTCCCGTCCATTCGTGGTGTCTCATCTCCAGTTCCCTACGCGTCATCTGAAACAAGTCCTGTCCAATTCTTTCCCGCAGTCCACGACCTGCCTCGCACTCCCTGAAAACATGTTTCTCTGTCTCCTCTGCCAATCCACAAATAGTACACAAAGACGACGTACCGAATCGTTCTGAGCATCGCGAGGCGGTGGGAAGGATGTGTGCCCGCAGCTGGAGTTGTGTTTGCGCTGCGTACGTCGAAATTGCGCGAAGGTAAGGATACCGTCCTGCGGAATGAGCGACTTGGAGTAGCAATTGAACGTCGTTACCGATCTTCTGGGGCAGCGATTTGATTTGCCATGCTTCTTGTAGGTCGTAGATTTTCTTGATCACATCACCCTCTATCCAAGCAGTTTGCTCGCCAAGGGATGCCTGGATTGTCCATTGTGGGAGTGCAAAGTCCGGGAAAAGCACGAAGAAGTCAGGTTGAGTGTGTGCCGATTTCGCCGCCTCATCTGCTCGAGTGTTTGCACGCGATGCTTCGTCTCCGCCACCCGTATGGGCTTTAACGTGCCGTATTTGTATCGAATCACTCGTTCTCAGCAGGTGTTCGAGCCAAGTGTAGTGTGCAAATGCGGCCCTCGGTTTCTTTGGTGCAACTTGATCTTTCTTCAGATTCTCAGCGAATTTGACGGAGGTAAGGTGATCTGCGACAACCTGAATTGCTGACCCAAAATGTGAGGTCTCTAAGTGTGAGGTCAGTGCCGCTATGATCAGGGCTGTCACCTCTGCCTGCATGATAGTCGCGCCCGCCGGTAGTGCCGCACGAGCCGCCGAGTATGGCCCTACAACCGCTGCCGCCGCAGATGTGAGTCCTGTGGGTAACACGATGAGTGAGCCATCCGTAGCCCAAATATTCTGGTCTTGTTGGCCTCGAAAATTTATCAGGGAAAGGAGTGTGATTTTGATCTGCTGCTCGGCGTCGTTTTGTCGCTGTGCTCGCGTCTTCAACAACCTAACCGGCCCGTCCGCCAGTAAAGTTTCATCAAAGCGATTAGACCATTGTCGCACCAATCTCGTGTTCGGGTGCAGCCATCCAGCAAAGAGGTCGGGTCTATCGCGCTGTGGGCCTCTCCGTAGCACTTGGAGGTCCGTCAGGCCTGCTGGAAGCGCCGCCATGGCTTTTTGTAGTTGCGGTTCGTTTCGTTTGGCCCCTCCGCTTTGGAGGTATGCATGTTCCGCACTAATACCTGAGTCGGTGCGATTCGACTGGTCGGTTTCGAGTACTCGGAGGTTCCCGCAGTGTTGTAGCGCACCTAGTGCCGTATTCCAGATCTGAGGAACCATCTGCTGCGAGTGCTTGAAAGACAGGGGCTTAGGGTTCAGGAGCGGCGATATACAGCCATGGTGTTGGCATTGTAGGTCGGCCAGCGTTATTCTTGCCATCTGTGCGAAAGCTGGAATATGATGGTTCAGGTCTCGTAGTAGTCCATCGACTGCCATAGCCCCGTTCAGTCGCCACAGACTAGTAAGCTCGAATCCAAATTTAGCGACGGGGAGGGTGACCAACTTAGCGCTCGGTGTGAAAACCCATCCATAGTACTCTTTGATCCGCATTGCTATAAGCTGGTCTAGCTTAAGGGCATCGTCCGGTCGGATAGGACATAAAGCCAGTCGTGGCCTCAGCCTGCTAATTAGTTGTTGTTCGATGAATCGTCGTAATGCCGAAGTCGCCTCGTTGGCGTGCTCGGGAACCCGATCGATCGCACAATACTTTCCAGCTGAGTGTATTGTCGGTCCGGCGCAGCGAACGGTGTTTTGAGAAAAACGTGTGCTGGGTCGACAGTGACCTGTCGTCTCCCATGAGGAGTGGCAACTTGGACTGTCCCTGGTGTATCAGACTGGTTGCCGAGGCCCATTATGATGGCTCGAGTCTTTGTACCCCAGTCGGTTTAGGCTCCGTAGGCTTCCTGGAAATGCTCCATGTAGAGAGTCATCGCTGCCAGCGTCCTTTCACTCTTGGCCAGTAGTATGGTGTCGTCCATCGCAGATACCTGAGTAATCTTGAGGGTCAGTTCATCCGCTTGTGTATGGTTGTTTGAGCGTGCCCTGTTCTGTGTTGTGATGAGTAGTGGGTCCTCGAACGCTTGTTCGTCCAGCCAGTAAGAGCCCATAGCCATGGCCAAGGAGAAACGAAGAGGATTCGGGGGATCCCCTTGTTTCATCTGCCCGTCCACTTCGAAAGGTTCCGCGAGGCCGTACGGTGTCTTGACGATAAAAGCGCCGTGTGCCAATCGGGCTCGGTCAAAAGCTTCTGCGTTTGGGCCAAAGCCGAAAAAATGGTAGGCGTCATACCCAGCTTCTGGTCTGAGCAGGTCGAAGCCCTTCTTTTGGTCTCGTACTAGCCCGTAGATCGGAGTTTTGGCCCGGAACGCCCAGGCTTCTAGGTTCGCTAGGAAACTTGTGAGGTCGCGCTGTTGTACACCGCTCTGGACGGCCACCTGTGTTTCTGGAATCATGTGGTGTTTCATTGCGTAAGCTTGCGCCTGACGTGTAAACCATCCAGCCGCTGTGACCGCCAAGAAATTGCCAAAACAGACCGCTCGGTAATTACTCAGTTGGGAAGACAGTCCGCGATTTTTGAACATCGGAAGCAGATAGTGGTCGCGCAGCTTGTCGAAGTAGTTGTGCACCAGTACATAGTTCAGGAGTGCCAGAACAACAGACATCGCTTGGTCTCCAAGTATCGTTACTGTCCATTTCTCCCATCGGTCCGGACCGGGGGATGGTTCCCTATTGCCTTTGCCGAGGAGCGCCCGGAGGTCGCTGAGCATCAGGGGCCTAGGCCAGACAAATGGGTCGCGTTGCGTAGCCTCCCGAAACTTCCGGGAACTTTCCGTATTCATCCAAGGTTTGTCTGTCAGAGCATTGTCATCCTCTTTTTGGAATAAAGCGCTAACATACTGCTTACACGTGTTCCGTACCTCTGTGGGGTCAGCGGTAAGATTTCCATCCACAGTTTCTACCGCACGTGGTTGTATCAGTGACGTACGTGGTATCAGGATTTTCTCACTGAACCTCCGTTGATGACATTCTGTATCCGAAAATTATCAGACCTCTGTGCCAGTTCTTTACGCTCCCGCTTCTCTTGTGCGTGTATTCTTTTGCAGAGTTGGCGGCGCCAGACAGTCGCGGTTTCTAACACTTCATCCTCGGGGGGGTACCACACTGCTCTGCCTGTTTCTTGTTGGAGACGTTGCAATGTCGCCGTTTCTAGGTCGGTATGGAGCTCCTCGAACCATCTTCTTGTGTCCGGTTTGTTTCTCAATATATGAATGGAGTTAGTCTTGAGTGCGTATATATAGCGATTCATATGGTGACGGTCCTGACTCAATTGTCGTAACTCTGGCGATCCGACAAACTCGCGTTTCCCGACCGCTGGCGATCTTCGTTCGCCGAATATTTGGAGGGAAGTGTTTACTATTAGATTGGAAAATTCATCGTAAGTCGCATTCCAAGCCTCTTGTGAGGCTACTGTTCCATCCTTGGCAACTCGATTCAAAGACTGCGAATTAGCAACGCCCTCTTCCATCTCTTGCCGAAATTTTGGCCGAGTGTCGCTATTCCGCGGCGGAACTTTAACCCTCCGAGGTCCGTCGTCGCTCGCCTCCTCAATTGTCGCACAGAGACCCGGGAACCATAGTCTGCAATGAATTGGTCTGTGATCAGTGGCCATAACCTGACGCAACGTATGGATATCCGCATTCCCCGCCGGCGCTGACGTTGCGAGACGGTCTATGATGCTGATGGTTTGCGCTTCCCCGTATGCCTTATGTGTCCAATTTTCCGCGAGTGAAACCGACTCCATTTCATTCCACACATCGTGGCCGTTGGTCTGGCGTAAGAAGCGGCAGTATTCTACCGCGGTGGGTCTGAGTCGTGGGAAAACCATTGCTGTGGTCTCGCGAGCGTCGAGCACTGCATTGAAGTCACCCACTATGGCCCAGTTCGGTGGTCCTGTTCGTATGAGGTCCTGGAGGGCCGCCCAAAAAGCGTTGATCGCATTACCGTCACCTTCCGCATTGCGTGCGTATCCTCCATGTGGGCAGTAGGCGGATACGATCCGGATTGGCACCATCCTTGCTCCTCCTTGACTTCGAATCAATACGTCCGCAGCTGCTACCCGTCCTGCCAGCGGTCCATCGGTAAAAGTATAGGAAGCCAGTAGCGGCAGATTGTTGCGAATGAGAAGGAGCGTCCCCCATTTCATGACGGAACCCGCCCGGATTGATGGGGTGAGGACCGGTTGGAAACCCCCAGTATTGAGAGGAAGCTGCGTGTCAGTTCTGAATTTGAGCTCAGTAAAACTGATGACATGGTGTTCTGAGTGTAGCAGATTATTCTGGACTTGTTGGAGCTTGATGGGATCTGCGATTCCATTTATGTTGAGGCTGGCAATTGATATTGGCGTTGCTGCGTAGGCCAACTTATTGTTCAAAACGATAGCGAGGAGAACGGTGAGGCATTTCGCCGGTGCTGGTATGGTGGAACTAAAAATCGTCATTGCAAGTAGACCATACGTGCTGAGTTTGCTATACACCCCAGGGTGGTGGCGGAGGTGCCAGCTTCGGAGTTCGGTCTCGACCTTCACGAATCCTGCGGTGGTGATTGTATCATCAGGCGAGCGGCGTTGGAGAACCTGCCACTAGTCACTTACTATAGACATTCCTTCATGCTCGCTGCGACTCTGTGGCTGGGGGCTTGTCGTGTGCACGTCACCTTCTTGATTGTGTTGTCCGCGCTTGCTCGGCGAGCCTCCGGATTCTTCACGTTCGTCCATCGCGTTATCTGCGGCGCCGCTCGCATTGTTGCCATTGGGGATGGTTAGACCGTCATGGGCCAGTTGCTGCAGGTATACGGGACTTGCTTGTCGGAGCGCCAGGGTGACTTGGTGTTGCGTTTGCTGGTATGCCGCCTGTGCGTCGCACACCGTCCTTCGTGCCTCTTGAACTTCTCGCGCGAGTTCTTGGTATTCCTGACTGTCCTTGGGATGATTACTGAATAGGAGCTCCATCCTGAGATTGCTGAGTTGGGTACTGGCGGTCATCACAGCGAATTGCGCTTGACCTGACGCTTGTACGCCCGATAGAGATGAAAAGAGCGCTTGATTGCTCATGTGGAGCGCATGCATCATTTGCCGAGTTTCTTGCGCGATCTGTTCGTTCCTTCGCTTGTCCTCCGCGTACGTTGTGGCGAGGGTCTGGAAGACGTCCTGGATCATGTCGATCCGATTTTCGATGTTTCGAGCACTTTCGGCGATAGCCCCTTGCGACTCCGACGTGGCCTTATTGAATCGGGCAGAGATAGCATCAGCGCACTCGTTGTCTAGGCAGACCTTGATGACTACACGTTCGTCGCCATCATGCCAACTCGTGCCGAATCTGTTGTGGGCCGGCAGAAAACGTACCATCTGCACGATGTGTGTTGCCAGGGCGGATGTGGACACTGAAAACCGAAAGACCGCTTTTTGGTGCTGGCCCGGGCCGGTAGCCGGCTCGTAGTCCGTCGTCACAATTGTGCCTTTGGGTCGCGTAATGGGATCCTGGGGGTACTCGGCGGCATGTCGAGTCTCGGCATCCTTAAGGCAGCTCATCAGGTACGAGGCCACACTCTGGGGGTCCCTGTTCGATTTGGCCCATAAGACGACGATTGCGAAGGGCTCTCGCATCCCTCGCGTTTTCACGATGCGTTTGAAAACCCCGGTGATGGTTTGTTCGACCAGCAGTGGTTCCGTAGTCACTTGTGGCGTCAAACGAGACGTGGGTCGCATTGGGATGTTGACCTTTGCACTGAGGGTAGACCGGTCCTTCGTGGCTGTGATCTTGTCCACCATAAAAGCACTCGCCATACGAACCGCGACCAGGACCTTGCATTGATCGCCGCGTGTACCTGAATCGTTGGTGACCGAAATGCACGACTCGGCGGGGACGTTCTTCATGTCTTCGAAGTGTTTGTCCAAATGCGCTTTTATCGCCTTTCGAATTGCTTCTTCCGGGGCTCGCTCGATGGTGTCGTAGCTCTCCTTGCCGGAATGCTTTACGGAATCAAAAGCTAGACGGACCCATCGTACTTCGTCGTTCTCCTTCACGTCGGTGAAATGAGCGAAAAGACGAGGCCAACGGTGATTGTTTTCGTCGACTAGCTCGGATTCGAACGAGGAAGGGTCTGGACGTTTGGAAGTCTGGGCTGTCAGAGGCTGTTGTAGTGAACAGGAGAGGGTCGGCGTTCTTTTGTTCCACTCACAGTACGGCTTGCTGTCGTTATTCAGAAAACTGAAGATCTTGCTGGTGAATTCAATTTCGTCCTTGGGCCCGATGATCTCAAAATAATCCGTGTTTAGGGCCTTGTATCTTGATTGGGGAGGGTCCGACAGCCCGGTGAGGTTAAGGACTTCGTGCGACTGAAAGAAAACTGGCTGCTCATTGACGCTAATGCCGGCTTGGACAAGTAGGTGTTCAATGGTCCCTTCCGCCGTCAGTTTTGCGATGTTATCAGAAGTAGCAGGAAGGTTAGAGATGACGAGTCGATGTGCCAGGGGTTGGGTAGTCCGAATGGCTCTGAAGTCGGTTTCTACGTAGGGTCTGGGGACCATCGTGTCGTATAAGCGGTTGTTGTGTGGGAGGGGGCAAGGGCGAGGTGAAAGGAGTATGGGGTTCAAAATGTACCGGACGGATGGAGTATGAAACGCTTGGGCTTCCCAAGGGGCACTCGATGACGTGCTCAGGGGTGGAGAAAATGGGCCGTTATTCGTTACCAGGCATTGAACGGGTGGGAAATTAAGCGCTCGGGCTTTACAAGAGGTGATCAATGACGTGCTCAGGTTCGGTGTCAGACAGGGGTAGCTTCTCCTAGTTAAGTGAGTCGCGCGCTGATTCAAGGAGTAGGTCTTGGGCTCAGCGCCCGAGGCGGTCCCTTGTGGAGCGAGGGCGTGTGTGGCAGGTCTCAGAACGCCTGCTCCGCGATACAAGTATGTTATGATCGTGCTGGATGACCTACAAACCCAGAAAGAGGACGTTGTCGACTTCCAGTCGAGGTGTGGTGCGGGGCTCTGTGATTTATCTAGGGTGTGGGAATCGTCAGGCAACCAGGTGGTATGGAGCCGCCGGATAGCAGTGAGTTGGTGTTTGTACGGGTCATGAAGCAGGTCAGATGCGCGTTCCGTCCGGCGAAGGTATCGTAGAAAATATGTCTGGGTGGTACTCTCGGCCTCGAAGAGGCATCTAAGGGGTCTCCTATCCTGTCCTTCGGGCAGCGCTGGCAACAGTAGTCCTCGATAGTGAACATAGAATGTCACAAGAAAGGAATGAGGGTATGTTAGGACGTGCGTGTGTATGTATATGTAAGCGGGTAGGGTAGGGTTGGGTAGTTTGAGGTGCGCATAGCGTCCGTGCAGTACTCGTCGTTTTAGGAGGAGCGCTTCGAAGGCTAGCATGGGTGCATAAAGCAAATGATCAATGGAAGAGAGACGGTTCATAGATTGGCTAGTGGTTATGTAATAAGGTGGAGTCAGATAGCACTCGCCACCTCTGGGCAAGGTTCTGTCTGCACCGCTAATCGATTGGTGGGTTTCCCCGTCCCTTTGCCAAGGTCGGCAAGGGGGTTGAGGTGGTGCTACGGCACTAGGCCATATGCGATAGAACGGCGAACAGGTCCTATAGAGGACGGTCGAATGCTGCTGAGGAGATGTCAGCGTGTTGTTGGGTGGTGAATAGCGCGGGCGCTGGGGCTGGGCTGGGGTGGACGGGATCACCGCGTTGGTTGCGAGGACACGTGTCGCGAGACGCCTAATGTGCATGTCGTTGTCGTGGTCGTAAGGTAAGGTAAGGTAAGGTAAGGTAAGGTAAGGTAAGGTAAGGTAAGGTAAGGTCAAGCGAAGTCCGAACAAAAGAAAGACCTCCTCTCCCATTTCGGCGACGGGCCAGTTCTGGGGCCGGCGCACTCACCCTTGGATCCGCAAGAAGAAAAAAGTTCCGATAGCCTTGTCAAACCGCGCAATGTCTCCTCTGGGGGGATTCGATGATTCGGACGTTGGGATGGTATCGTGGCACATCGATGCACCGTCGTGCACGGGCAGCTGGCGGTGGAGAGTGGACTACTCCTCGGAGGTGCGCGGGTCGAGCCGCGGGGTGGCACACTCGGTAGCTATTAGGGACATCACACTCGCTCAAGAGCACTTGACCGGGCGCACTGGTGGGCCCTTACCATTTTTACTACCTCTCATTCACGGCCAACACCTTTGCAAGTCTGTGTGCACACCCAATCTCGACGACGCCACTTGCGCCATGTCTCACTCGTCCCAACCCGAACAGCAGACCGACTCGGACTGGATGCCTTACTCTCGCCCCTCGAAGACGGAGGGCACCACGGAGAGGATCTTCGACGCGGTGGAGTTCCGAAACAAAAATCTCCACCTCAAGTTCCCGTCCGTCGACTGGAGCGAGGCGCGACTCGTCGCCGAAGGTGACCCGGAGTGGGGCATGGAGTACCTCTCCCCCCCTCAGCTCCTGCCCGGCCTCCCTTGTCTGTCTGCGTCGAGCGCGGTGCCGATGACGGCGGAGGAGCTTCAGAAGCACCTCGATCGTGAGGAAGCGGGTCCTGCGGAGACTCCGGACATCGATCCCCGCCGCAACCGCCACCTCTTCGTCGACTCGGGGGGCAACAAGTGGATCCGAGCCGGCGTCGTGTATTCACAAGAGCTGCCACCGGCATACCTGAATTTCAAAGATCAGGATGGCGCGAGACGTTTTTACACAAAAACTGTGAGGATCGAGTCGCGAATGACGGTGGCGTGCACCGAGGACCAAGCACGAATCGCCACTCGCTCCGACTTCGACCCACCCATCGCTTCAACCTCGGCAACCACCCTCAATAGGGACGTCGACATTGTATCTACCCCCACTCGCGCGCCTCCGCAACCTACCCCTTCGCCGGCCGTAGCATCCACCTCGGCGTACACCTCTGATTTTGTCCGAGGTAAGTTTTATTTTTCAGCGTTTTATGTTTCCACTCGATCCTTGGGCTGATCCGACCGTGCGTTTGGCAGAACCCTCCTCCTCGACGAGTCGCCGTTTTGAACGTCCGCCTCCCCCTCCGCCTCATTTTACGACTCCGACAATGGCCTCTTTGTCGAAGCGAAAGGCAGCAAAGAGCGTAGCGTCCAGCTCTACGGCGACAACCCAGCCCGTGCCGGAAGCATTGTCAAGCCGCAGCTCACAACGCGCACCGCTTCGACTCGGCCCCCCTGCTTCGTTCGATCGCGGCACCGCCGACCCCTTGCAACCGGGTTTGGTGAGAGCACGAGCACGCAAAGGCAAGGGTAGGAGCAAAAAGAAGAGCAAGGAGGAGTGAGAGGGCTCGAATTCGATAGATCATTTTTTTGAATTCTGTAGTATATCTAAATTTGGTCGTGCCATACATGCTCTGCCCAAGAGAATGGAATCCATGTTTGCTCCAAGTCGATCCATCGTGAAAGTACTTGTGGAGTTGCAGTCATCAAAAACTTACTAACCCCATGGATCAGATCTCTTGCACATGATCCAGTGGATTCCCAGGACCTTGCTCTGCCGCTATAATGCAAGTGCACGCCGACCACGCACACTGATGCAGGCCCGTGCACCCACACGCACACTAGCCATTCCACTTCTGCCCCAGGGGCTGGTATGCATGTCCGTGCACAGACGCGTAGATCCTTGCATACGCTTGCAAGTTGGTCCACAAGAACTTTTGGCCCAAAAGAAGGTCGGTGCACGCCCATGCACACTGATGCACACCCGTGCATGTCGACATCGACTGAATCAATGCCGCGCCGGTGCGGACCGAGGCGAGCCAGCCAGGGACTTGGTATTCGGGCTCATCCGAGTCGGAGGCATGTGCATGAGCGTGCAGTCGTGTGCACATCAGTGCAGTTGCTTGAAAATCGAAGATGAAACCGTACAGATCCAATTTCCGGTGTGTGCACTCCAATGCACACCGATGCACGCCGATTCTGGTGCCTCGCGGTGACTCATCACCGGCGTTACGCTTGCTGGCCGGCGCCGGAGCATTCTTGAAAATGGGTGCACTGCGACCCACTACTCGGAGAACACATGTATTGATTAGGTGTACACGATAAACCTCAACAACCGTTCGTTCATAGCAATACCACATCCGTGCATGTGAATGCAAGCGCGTGGTCGAGTTCGAGCCTCAGCTTGGCCGTCGTTGGTGGACCGGTGCGCTTGCACTTCGCAGCGTTTTACGTGCCATCTGAAGTTTGACAGGGGACGGACCCCAACCGGCTTCCACTGCCACACATAGTGCCGTCAACTTGGTGGGCGAGGCCGGCTCAAAGTTACCCAGAGCCGAACGGCGAGGGATCCAGAAGGTCAAGTCCTCTTGTACACCCAATCATATCTAGAATCTGTGTTCGCCAGTCTGCGAGCTATATCGATTCCGTCGCCCGCGTCCCGCCCGCCTCAGCCGAGCCAATGAGACCGGCAAGGGGCCGAGTCCTGCCGCCGCAGGATGGAGAACCTGCTGCGATCAAGACGACTTTGAACAGACCTACCTGATAAATCATGAACCGAGCACCGGGTTTGGGACGCTATGTATCTCGCACTGAATGTCACTTCAGTCAGCACCGTTGCGAGAGCGAACGGGGAAGAGACCAAGAAGTAAAGTGTTATCCATGCGCTAAACGTACTAACAAGCTAGTGACAAGTTGTCAGGCCAGCGCAAGTTTTATAAAGCAAGAATCTCTTCCATTTAGCATATCAAATAGGTACAAATAAGCCTAAACAGACTAGAAACTCTTCAGACTCTTAACCACTAACTGTGACTCAGAGTACACGAGAAGGAGCCTGGTTAAAGCCGCAAGGCCTCGACAATCGCTGTTGTTTTCATTCGGCATCAGAACAAATCGCAGCCATCGATAGTATGAAGAGTCACATCGGAAACCTGGATGTTTTGTATGGCACCACCTCTGTACAGCTACTAATCAAACCCTTAAACCGCGATACTAGTTGCTCCGGAGTGGGCCCTTCCCTTCATCCCTGCCCTTTCTCAACGCGTCATTCATAGTCGATATACTCAAGCTCCTCTTCATCCTCAAAAGTGTGATACTCGGCTTGCTGCTCCTCCTGCTCATCTCCAGTGTCCTCCTCTTCATCCTGCACGTCGGGAGCGATCTCTCTCCCTTTGCCCTTACGATCCCAATGCTCCTCACATTCTCCGCTTCCTCCACTTTCTCTTCCTTTGCCCTCATGATCCCAATGTTCCTCATCGTCTCCGCTTCCTTCTCCTCCCCCACTTCCTCCACTCCCTCCCCCTCATCCGTGCCTTCGGGTCCCAGCGCCGCGGTACCCCTCCCCCTTTTCTGGACGGAACGGATGTAGGCCGTGAGCGAAGAAATGCTCAAATACGTGCACGCAGTTGCGAGCGCCGAGAATGTCCCGATCTGAAGGCATATGGGTGCAGGTGCCCTCTCCGAGTAGGACCCGATGGATGGCCCATCCCTCCGCGCTCGTACCGGTTTTGACCCTGCAACAAGTACGGCGTGGGTTCGTGTCATTATCGAGCCAAGCGAATGTCTGCCTCGGTTTGCACGGACGTACCAATTACGCCTTTCCTGGTCGTCACGGCAGTCAAGATGCCAGCAGTGACTGGATGTGCGAAACTCGTCCACGGTAAAGAGATGAACCTCGAGTCCGGACTTCTTCAGTCCCTTGAAGGCTCGGTGCATCGACTTGTAGGCGGCCGGACCAAAGTAGACGCCTCGCGGGTTCGGACCCGAGCTCGAACTGTCGCCGGCGACGTAGATGATTGGTCGAAGCTCGCTCGAAAACAGATGGCATGGCTTGGCGAGCTCTGGGAGCGCTGCCGGCTCGATCGTCACCTGTTTTCCCTGGGCACGCGGACGTGCATGGGCACCTGCATGTGGAAAAGCGCAGAACGAGTCAGCACATACTGGCCACAACTACAACTGACCTGCACCAAGCGGCGATCGGTAGAGTCTCCCCCGATTGACGAGGACTCACGCATATTCTCGATCCCTGTGACGTGCAGCACTTGTTCTGCGTGTTGTTCGAAAACCGTCATTCTGGCCTCGCGAGTCGTTGAGCGCAGTTTCATAGAAGCGGTAGTGCGCCCCTCAGGGAACCCGCGAGCCAGTGCAAGGGGTGACCACTCGAACTTGTTCTTGTTGAGGGTCGTCTTGACGTGATTTGCCCGTGCTTCTCGCAGCACCGCCGACAGTTGGGCCCCCCGTCGCAGAATGTCGTTCGGCGCTTGTTTGCGCAGAACGACCGTCTGCAGCACTGGCACGTCGTTGCGGTCAAACACGCGGGCGACAATGGTGTTGGGGCGTTCGTGCCCGAGGTCGCTGGCTACGAGGATACACTGGCTCAGAGCGTCATTCATGTCGTGCCAAAAGCCCTCGCGCTTGTTGAACTCGGTGATGAGATCGTCCCTCTTGAAGCTGTGCTGTGTAGCGCAGTTAGTGGGGCACCGCGATCAGTACCAACTCTCGATCGATGACTTCAAGTAGGCCGAGTAAACGAGTAACGACCGCCAAGACGTCTCGGACTTGGAATCGTCTGAAGCCCGAGGCGAGGCATATTAGATCACTCACGTTGGTGTGAAACTTCTTGTTGCTGAAGCCTTGCAGCGTCTCGAGCAGATCACAGAACGCGCCGTCGTTGCGGAGACTGGGTACGTAGATTTTCCCATCGACGATCCGAACGTCTTGCAGCTCCCTCCAAGGGACGAATTTCACTTGAACTGCGTCATCGGCATTTTTTCCAGCTTGGGTTGCCTCCTCCCTGAGCTTGTCCTCGAGAGCGTCCATGCGGTCGCGGGGTTTCCCCTCTACACGCGGCTTGTTCAAACCCTCGGCACAGGAAAGCAAAAATGTCTCCTTGACACCGTCGACGTAGTGCTGGCACGGCGTTTGTGCGGATCGATAAAGTCCACCCTGCGTGGTCGGAAGCTTCCCTAATCGATGCCACTGCTTGGCCTTCCTCATGGCTCGAATGAGGCTATCCCGGATCGAGTTCGACGCGCCGCAATTGGGAGGTCCCGCCGCTCGACTGTCCTCTGACGCTCTCCTGATATCCATGACGCGTAGATGCACGTGCACGCCATCCGTCTGCCACGAGCCCGCTGGGATCTCGTGGAAGGGGAGGATGCTCTCGACTTTAAATAAGACATCAGCCAGACGAAACCCGAAAGCCCTGAAGTCGTCTGACCTGAAGAAGGTCGCATCCGGGCCATGCTCCAACTTGGCGACGTGGGACCCGAAGCAATTCTCTCGAATCGCACGGACACTCTCCAGGGCGTCGTCGCTCCATTCTTGCTTCACCCTAAGATCGGCTTGATCAAAGTCGAAGATCTTGTCCCCCGTAGCGCCGAGGAGAAGTCGTACGATCTTGACGTAGCGAGCGGATCGGTCTTCAGGTGCACCACGGTCAGTGACGAGAGCCGGCACGATGCTGTACAGCCATTTCGCTTGGTCTCTCACAACGCGAACTGGGTTGGAGAGGATCGTGGCGAGGTAGCCGGGGGTGCACTGGATGAAATTGGATTCGAGTGTCTATAGGATATGAATGTTGCGTGGGGAACGAACAGGGTAAGTAAGATGCACGGCCTGAGCGCGAATAAGGGCTAGCAGAACTCACGGGGACGATGCCGTTCGTATGGCCGCTCTTGATAAGCAGGTGGTGCATGAGGGGAAGCAGGGCAGCCGCTGGGAACTGGACCCTGGACCCTCCTCCTTCCTCTGACTTGCCCTCTTCTTCTTCTTCGTCCTCGTCCTCGTCGTCGTCGTTGTCCTCATCGTCGTCATCGTCATCTTCGCCGCTCCCGCCGCCGCCGCGAGTCTTGTGCTTGGCAGAAAAGTCCGTCAACTTGACTCCTACGAGGCCCCGCAACGTCCCCTGTTGCCCCGTGGGCAGCGCCCATGGGATATAGATGTCTCGGACCCCGCAGCCTGTATAGACCTGCTTGACAAAGACCGTTCGAAAGGCTGCGTGGGGGCCGTCAGGGTTTTCGCCGATGAGCGCGTCGACCCGCTCGAGGGTCTTCTGGAAGTCTGCTTGGTGCTCGGCGACGGGATGAGGCGTGTCGCGAAGTGCCGAGACCACGATATCGAGGAGGACCTGCTGCCCTTTCTCCGTCAAGAGCACGTCGTCCGAGTGAAATCCCGAAAGGAGTCCTTGCTCCTTCAAGAGGGGTTTGAGCAGGTGTTTGCCGTATTCGGCGAGGACGTAGGGGAGTTTCTCCTTCCAGCCGAGGATAGCGCGAACGATCGAGCTGACCACGTCCTCGAAGTGCACCCTGAAATGAGGGTGCGCACCAAGAGTCAGGCCCGCCGCTCGAGTCTTGTCCACTGCGGTCATCAACGCCCCCGTGGCCTGGAATGAAACGCAGATCAAACGGTGGAGATTGGCTTGGTCAAACCCTCTGTCCTCGGATCATGTCAAAGCCGCATTCAAGGCGGCACGGTAACAGTGCCCAAGACTCACCCCAGCGAAACGAGGGCCGCCTTGAGGGTTGGCGGCCTTCGCGTACCCCGCAGCATAAGCTCGATGGGTGTCGGGCGAGATGTTCACGGGGTCGATGGGTGTGTTTATCGTGAACGAGCCTTGGTCTTTACGCTTGGCCATGGTGCTGTAATCCGGATCGAGGTGCAACCCCGAAAAGACGCCCGTGACCCTCTTCCTCAATTCATGCTCGAACTTGGAGGCGGCCATGATCTTCCAATCATTGTCGGTGAAGAGGGTGACATAATTTCGGACGCAAGGCTGATACACCTTCGCCTCGATGGACCGGATGACGACTTGGACGCGTATCAGGTCGGAGAAGAATTCGGCGGACCTGTGCTTCCTCTTGCCATCGGGCGAGGGAGGGAGCTGCTCGCGCAAACTCTTGGTAAAGTCGCAACGACGCATCCGCCCGGAGTACTCCTTACCCGCTAGTGTGAGCTTTGACGTCGACGACTTCTTGGCTTGAGCAGGCTTGGCTTGCGTGCTCGTGGCGGTGTGAGTCGGCTCGACCGGGGGCGCGGCGGCTCGGGTCGGCTCGGGTCCAGGCTTCTTCTGCAGGGGATGACCCCTTTCTGGAGGCTTGTTCCAGTCGAACGACTCCCACAAGGGGAAGCCCAGAACGGCGCTTTGAACACTCGCAGGGGCTCGGGCGACTCGGCGACTCTCCTTGCGCCGAAGCTTGACAAGTCGATTGAAGCGCTTTTCGTATGGGCGCTTCCCTGGGCCCACCATGGCATCCTTGGTCGACTTGAGCGACGCGATGCTCTCCCTCGGTTGACAAAGGAACTGTCGGGCCGGAGTCTTGGCGTTCTGAACTCGAGCAGGTTGATAGACCGAGTTGCCAAAGAACCACTCGCTCGGCGGCGCCGAAGCATCCGGTGGCACCTCGAACAGGGGTTGGGATCGAGGAGCTGGAGCGACCTGGGTGCCCTTGGGGAATATTTGCTCCCCGGGCGATTTTCCTCTCGTAAAGCGACGTGATTTGGGGGTGAACTTGATTGGGACGGAATGGTCCGAGGGAGATGCTTGGTCGCCAGCGCAGTCGAACTTGTTGAACCGTTCGCCTTCGTCCTTCTCCAGTAGCGCAAAGATCGCCGGCATGTTGTTTCGAAGTTCTTCGATCGCTTTGACGAACGTATCGCTCAACTTTTCGGCTTTCTTGATGGCTCGGAAGCGCCCGAGGACGACGCCAAGTTCTTGTCCCTCCCAAAATTTACGTGAGAGGCATTCTTTGTACGTATCGAACGCTTTATTGAACGCGACGGACGGCAGACCGCCGGGGAAGTAATCTCCACCCGCAAGGATCCCGGCGATGATGAGTTTTTCGCCGTCCCATCCGAGCACCATGGTATCAATGAGGCAGAGCGACGAGCATTGTGGCCGCGCCGAGCCCCGTCGAGGAGCTGTTGAGCTTGTTGGCCGGGTCTTGGGTCGAGTCAGGAATCGACATGTCGACGAAGATGCGACGATGGCAGAACTCAGGCGGAAGGTTCAAAATCCAGTCAGAATCCCTCGAGTAGAGAAGAGTCGACGAAGGATCGAGGGGGACGTGTAACAGGAACCCTTGACGACAGACGAGAAACGCCAGGGTGTCCGCCTCGGACTTTGCCATGACAAACGTTACCCGAGGCGTCAACGACCAGAAAATAATGCCATCGGCTTTCTTTAGATCCACGGTTGACGAGGTAGGATCAGGGAAGGTGTCACACTGGATCTTGAGCGACGCCGTCGAGATGAACTTCGGCTCGGTGGTGAAGGAATCCAGGCGAACGCGGACGTTCATGCCACTATCCACCGCCTTCTCCTTGCGCCTGTTGACCGTTTGCCGCTTGAGCTCTGGTCGCCAAAGCTCGTTGTCGACAATGGCAAACACATGGGTGTTGCCGCCGTGCGCTTGAGCTTGTCGATGGTACTTCGCGGCGATCCTCTTGACGAAAGCGCGTCCGTGCTCGACGGTTCCTTTGTTGCCCCGAGTGGTGGCCCAGATACCGCGCTCAGTCGTCGACACGTCAACGAGGAGTGCTGCACGTTGAGCAACGGATCGTAGATCGTCAGCGATTGTCGCACGAGCGAGAATTTGCCACCAGAAAGGTCAGATGTTGGAGCGCACCTTTGCGCTGCTCAGACGGCACGCTCTTGAGGAGATCCTCGATGGTATCGGCTGTGGCAAGAAGGGCCGTTGGATTCTGCGTGATGGAAGTCCTGATGTACTGGGGACCGTAGTGAACCCCCATATTGGCTACGTGTGGGCTACTTGGAGGAGCAGAAGAGGAAGATCAAGGATGGTGGTTCCTCAGCGCTGTGCTCCGAGTCGGGACATCACTGTGGGCGCCAGCCTGGCTGTGAAAGTAGAGGAAAAGGTCTTGCATGAATTCAAGGCACATCGTCCACGGGCTCATTATCGCTACTTGAATGTATCAGACGCATGCGAGTCGCTGCTGCTGCACGTTATGGAATATTCGTAAACTGACGCCGCCCGGCGGCGGCGGCTGGATCACGAATCAGGCCGAGTTCGGCCGAGTTGGCGAGACGGCGCGAGATCTACTTTCGGTCGCCGACGGGTCACGTCGCGCTCGATTTTGTTCTCGCTCTCCACCTAACCCTCCAACCCGGCATGTCAGGTCGATATGGCGTCCCCGCGGCGCAGGAGCTGCGGCTCGCCAAAAAGGGGTCCACCCCGGGCGTGATGCGTCGTACTGCGGTGCTCAATCCGGCCGACCGTGGCCTGCTGCGAGACCACAACCTCCGCCTCGTCCTGCCCGGATGGTCGCCCCCGTTGTTGGTCGCGTTCCGCATGATCATCCTCGTGCGGTTCTTTGCAGCCATGTACACCTCCCTCACCGGCTACGAGGAGGCGTTCGACCACTGGGAGCCGCTACACTACCTCGTGCGCGGCCACGGGTTCCACTCGAGGAGCTACTCGGCCGACCACCCGCTGCAGTCCTATGTCCTGCTCGTCCTCGCCGCCATCCCTGCGCGCATCGGATCTCTGTCCAACTATTCGAACAAGGTCAGTTCAGCCAGAGTGTCCCAGGTGCGACGCTTTCCACCGACTGACGCGAGATTTCACCTCCGCAGCGCGTGTGCTTCTTCCTCGTGCGACTCGTGCTCGGCACCTTGTCTTCTTACGCCGAGGCCTTCTTCTACCGCGCCGTCACGGACCATGTCTCGCCTCATGTCGGACGATACGTTCTGTGGGCGCTCATCTTCTCTTCCGGGTTCTACGAAGCGGCCACGTCCTTCGTCCCCGCGACCGCCGCGCTCTTCTTCGTTCTGCTCGCCTCGGCCTTCGCACTTCGTCCCGCAGACGTCACCACTCGACGGATCGTCATGCTCGTCACGGGCTTTGTGGCCGCTTCCTTCATCTCGACGCCCTTGGTCGCATTGCTCGCAGCGCCTTTCGTTGTCGAGCAACTGTTGATGCAGGGCACCGAGCAAAAGATCCCGGCCGGGCAGTCCGCGGCTACCATGGCGGACAGGGCCGGTCAGCTCGGCTTAGCACTTGCTGCAAGTGCAAGTGTCTTGGTGAGTTGGCAATTGGAGGCGACATGGTACTGGAACGAGTGTTGACCCACCGATAATTATGCATCACCAGTTACCGATTGTGCTCTTCGACTCACGAGCCTATGGACAATTCACGATCGTGCCTCTGAACGTGCTCAAGCAAACCCTCGCCACGACGTCATTTTCGCCCAACCTCGCGACCTTGTCCTACTACCTGTACCACTCGCTGCTCCAGCTCAACGTTCTTCTCCCTCTCGGCCTTCTCTCCCTTCCCGCTTTGGCCATCACCGTCAGGGTCGACCCCAAGCGATTCGGCGATTTGCGCGATCGTCTTCCTGGACAGACCCACCCTGCTCTGTCCTTGGCTCTTCGACTTGTCCCCATGCACGTCTGGCTCGTCGCGCTCTCGATGCAACCTCGACGTGACCCGACTTTGCTCTTCCCCGCTTTGCCATTCTTCTTGCTCAATGGCACCACAACGATCTACTTTGCAAGGTGCTGGGTCGAACAGGCGTACCTGTCCGTCACCAAGTCCCCCTACAAGGTTCGTCCTTGTCCGTGACTCGTTCTCTTTGCTTGCTCGGTGAGCTTACAGGTCATCTTTATGCTCGTACAGTCGACTAAGACGGTCCTCTTTGGCAACGTCACGCGCGGATTCATGTTCGTAACGTGCCTGCTCTCATTCGCTCGCATCCGAGCAGAGTACGAGCACTTCCACGGTCCTTTGATGATCTACGCTCACCTGCAAAATTACGAGCTCCCTCGCTTGGCCATTTCGCGTTTCCCCGGAGCGTACGGCAAGAAGGCTCCCGATCCGACCCTGCCTCGACTCAACTTTAGCATTGCGCTTGACGAATGCGAAACGGTGATTCCGCTCGATCGCTTGAGCGAGTTCCACCTCCGCTTGTGCTTAGGTGCCGAGGCGAAGCGTTTCCCCAGTCACTTCTTGGTCCCTGATCAGCTCGATGTCAAGTTCATCGAAGGTGTCGAGGGCCATGTGCCGCAACCTTGGGTCCCGAGTGGTGGGTCGGGGTTGTGGGGGCGTGCGACGAACATCAGCCCGAGTCGAACGCAGGTTTTGGAGGGATTGGTAAGTTGAGAAGCCCCGGGCAGGAGTGTCTCATTTCACTGAGCTGATTCCGTCTTTTTTGACAGGTGGAGGAATCGACATGTCACTATGTGATCGACGTAGACGAGCCCGATACGGCCAAAGCCCCTCGGTTCGCCTACTCCGAGTGGGACCGCGTGCTGTGCATGCCGATGCTCGACGTCGCCAAGTCGTCCACCTGGGCCACCAAGTGGAAGTTGCCCTTACCGGCCAGTTGGCAAGGACAGACGACGTACAACGAGTACTGTTTGCTGAGAAGTAAAAAGTTGTTATAGACCAAAGCGCCAATTGTGCGTGTAATACCAAAAGAGATGAATTGAGACGGAATCGGTCGGTCCGGGTCAGAACCCCGCGAGATCACGTGACCCTGGCGAATCACGCCATCGGCCATTTGTACGCGCCGCGCGCCGCGAAGGAAAATCGATCGCAGTTTCGGAGTTCGACGAAGCTCCTGCCGTGCCTTGCCTTCGCAGTTTCATTCTTCTCTTCTAGGACGCAGCCACTCAAATATGTTTTCGGCCCGTTTGATTACTTCAAGTCGGCTCTCGCTCGCTTCACTGCGCCACGCCTCGACGCAAGCTGTAGCTCGGTCGAACTCGACCCACAAGATTGTCGTTGTCGGAGGCGGCACCGCGGGCGTCACCGTCTCGGCGCAACTGCAACGCGCTTTCAAGGCTGAAGGAAGGACCATCAATGATGGTGATATCGCCATCATCGATCCCGCTCAACTCCATCATTGTGAGTGGGCGATGAGGCGAGCTTGAGGCGAGGCTTGAGCTTTGGGCCGCTGGTGGTCGATCGCAGCTTGTCCGCGAAGAGGAATGAGGAGCTGACTAATTTTCGGGTCGATCGGTGTTTGGTGCTTTCGTCCCACAGATCAACCTGGGTGGACGCTCGTGTAAGTCAAGAAAGCTGTGTTCCAGAAGTCCGAGGATCAGAGCTCACGACCATGCCCTAACTACCTAAACACCTCACAGCGGCTCCGGTCTCGCCGAGCTCGACCAAATGGTCAAACCTCTGCAGGATGTGATCCCTTCCGGAGTCAAGCACTATTCGGCCGCTGTCGAGTCCTTCTCTCCTGAATCCAACTCGATCAAGACATCTGACGGCTACACGATCTCGTAAGACTACGTTTTTTCTCCTCGGCCGAGCTCTTGCATACCCGGAAACCCCTGACACACCCACCCTCCCACGTAGTTACGATTACCTCGTTGTGGCGCCGGGTCTCAAATCCGACTTTGCCAAAATCCCTGGATTGCTGGAAGGGCTGAAGGACCCCAACTCGGGCGTATCGAGCATCTACCACTTCGACTCGGTTCAAAAAGCCTGGTCCAATATCAAGGATTTCCAAAAGGGAACCGCGATCTTCACCCAACCTGCGGGGGTCATCAAGTGTGCCGGAGCACCGCAAAAGATCATGTGGATGGCTCTGTCGCAGTGGAAGAACGATGGCAAGAGGGCTGCGGTTGAACCTACTTTCGCGACTGGCGCACCGGCAATGTTCGCTGTGCCCAAATATGCTAAGGCCTTGGAACAGCTTCGTGTCGAGCGCAACGTAGGTGGACTCTTCTCCCACAACCTCGTCAAGATTGACAACGCCAAGAAGACGGCGACCTTCGATGTCGGGGCCGGAAAAACGGTCGACAAAGAGTTCGATCTCTTGCACGTCGTCCCTCCCCAGGGTCCTCCCGATTTCATCAAAAACTCGCCCTTGGCCGATGCGGGAGGGTGGGTTGCGGTTAACGCCGCGACGACGCAACATGTCAAATACCCCAACATCTTTTCGATCGGCGATGCGTCGAGTTTGCCCAATTCCAAGACCGCAGCCGCGATCACAGCGCAGGCACCGGTCTTGGTCGATAACTTGAGGGCCCACTTGGATGGAAAGGCTTTGCCTGCTGCTTATGGTCAGTTCGAACCCTTAGAATCGGGCCAGGTGTCACTTTTTAGACCCGATACTGACAATTTGATTATTTCTGGATCGACGGCAGACGGCTACGCCAGTTGGTGAGTTGACGATGGTGTGGCAGAAGGGCGGCGTAGGGCTGCGGAACTGATATTTCCCCGGCTTCCTTCATCAGCCCCCTCCTGACCGGTCACAACGAGCTCATGCTCGCCGAGTTCAAGTACGGTGGTGTACCCAAGGAGACTTTCTCCAAGTACCCTTTCTTCGAGTCACAAGACAAGCCCAATGCCACGTTCTTTTGGTTGAAGAAGTATGACGGTTGCGATTTGCAGGGATTCTACGTGAGGAGCTTTGCACGTGATCTGACCACCACATCGGCGTCCTTCCCGGCCACTTTCCAACAGGAACTCCTTCCCTCGCATCTACTGGTCCTCTTTCTTGAAGGTGAGTTCCATTCTTGGGTTTATCCGAAGGGCGGGCTCAGTTTCCGCGCCTCGAACGGGAATGAAAGGGTCGGGCGAACGCGGTTCGGGCTGAACCTCCACTTAACCCCCTCCACTTGCGCAGGGTACCTGGTTCGGTCCTAGGGGTTTCTTGCGCCCCACGGCGTATTAGAGGCGAGACGGTGCATGGCGTTGGGTTCTTGTCCGTAGAGTAGAATAGGTCTGAGTGTATTGTCTAGGTTACTTCACTGCAATGGGGCATCATATCATTATACAGTAATTTCAGGCCGGAGCGCGATCGGGCGAGCGGCGCAGATCGGCGGATCGAGTCGAGCGTACAGGGAAGTACTTCATCGACGATGATGTCGAAAGCAAAGTGATTTCTCACCGACGTGGGTAGGTGCGACGAACCGCGCTTCGTCCGGTGGTGACGAAGTTGTGACGCCTCCGCTACGATTAAGGTGTTACAACTCACCAGCGGCTAGGGTTCATTGCATGTGTAGGTTACGCTAGGTGTGTCGATAGTACAAGCGGAGATAAGGTGTGAGCCCCACCTGGGGGCCCCTCGGAATATGTCGCCGTCGGCTGATTGGCTGGCGAGCCTTGCCCGACTTCTCCTGGTCGGCGGCCGGAATTTAGGAGACATGCATTCTTTTATGTAGATGTGGATATCTGTTGTCAGTCTGTAGGTGCTGCCATCGTCTACTTGATCTCTATTCTCTGCTGTCGCTGTCTCAAAGTGATGTTGAGCCGAATTATTACTGAGCCTTTTTCTGAAAGGACGACAAACGTGCGCAATCGACGAAGTGCCAGTGGCCCATGCCGATCGCCGCCTTGTTTACTAGCAAGGAGGCCTCCCATAACTCATGAGCATCGAGGGCGCTCTCTCAACTCCCGCGCGTGCTTTCCTCTGCAACGAAACCGATCTACCCATTTTGAGCGTCGACGAAGCTCGTCCCAAGAAATCGTGCGAGACGCTGAAAGAGGATCGACGGCTGCGCATTCGAGTTTGAATGTTCGGGATGGTGATTTCGTGGACGGATGAGTCGACAAGTCGAATGAGAACAACATTGGAAGACATTCCGAGGAGGATAGAGAGGTCATCTTCGACCATCCGAGCAGATCTAGGTGGCAAAGTCCCGGTGGGGAAGCCCGCTGTGAACGATGGGAGGAGGGAGTTTGTCTTGACGAGGTCGACGAAGCGAGGCATCGCCGGAGAATAAAACTCCCTGCAGGCGGTCCACTTGCGGCTCGAATCGCTCGAAGAGGAAGGAGGAGCTGAATTGAGGATGAAGATGGATTTCGAAGTAGCAATGATGAGGTACAAGCAGATGCGAGGTTTGCGCGGAGGTGACGAGGACGACGCGGTCAAGACCGGGACCTGGCACAGCTTAAAAAAAGATAAGCTGCCCCCACTTTGGGGGATCAGCAATTATCGCAGAAAAGAGGCGAGCGTGGAAATAAAGCCTTCCGATAGGTGAGGGTGCACGACGCCGAGAAGTCAGGACCACAATGTAGAGCGAGTGATGAGAAAGCTATCAAGAGTAAACAGCCGCGCGGGAAGAAAGGGTTATGCAACAAGGAGCCAGAGAGCGACCGCATGAGCTCAATAACTTCCAACAAACAGCCCTGTTATATTGGGGCTCACCGTATTCGTGAGCCTCCATCGAACAAGGTTGATCAAATTCGCAAGACTCCACATCCTCAACTCGAGCTCCCCACCCATCGGTCTCTTGACAAGCGTCAAGAGCACCCCCGACTCTTGCGGAACATTCGGATCAAACAGCTCCATTTGGACGATCCCCATACCATCCCACAGAGGAAGAACTTCCATCTGCCCTTCATTGCGCGGCGAAGCAAGATCAACGAGCCAAAGTCCCGATGTCGTACCCACCAATAGGAGCCTTGCATTCTCATCGGTCGAACGAGCTCCCGAAGCAGCGACGACGATGTTGCGCAATGATACCGAGCACGTGGGAGGTTCTCCAAACTGTTGCGTGAATCGAGATCCCAGTGATTGGATGGCCAAGGACGGGGTCAAGGGATGAGCCGGTGCACCGCCGAGCGAGACCGAACGTATCGGATTCGCCGCGCCGCCGAATGGTGAGGAGGGGTGTTATGTTTCACGAGCTGAAGCCGAGGCACGAAGTACGTAAGTACGAGAGCCGATGATGATAGTAAAGATAGTTGGAGAAAGAAGATAAGCGCTAAGGGAGCGCGCGCGAGGCAGGCTCGAGACGCGCGAGGCGTCTAATATCAACAACTAGTAACCAATCATAATTGGGAATACCAGTGGGATGAAACAGCAATATATTGACACCCCCCCGTGCTGTCATACCACTGCACCTCGCAAACCCAAATTCTCCCGATGGAAGATGAACGGCTTGGGACCCAAGGCTTTGGTGAAAATATCGGCAAACATGTCGCCGGTGGCGATGTAGCGGACCTCGATCTCCTTCTCAGCTACCCTCTCGCGGACGTAATGTTCCGAGATGCGAACATGACAAGACCCCTGATGGTTGGTCGGGTGCTGCGCAAGAGCCAGCGAACCTTGGTTGTCCCCGCAGAGTACGACTGGACCGGAGACCGGAGCGCCAATTTCAGCCAGGAGTTCGCTCAGGTGGATGGCATCACCGCTTGTGTACGAAAGAGAGAGGTACTCTGCGTCGGTAGTGGACTTGGCCACCCTGTGCTCGCGTTTGGAGCACCAAGCAATAGCGGCTCCGGACAAGATGAACGCGTAGCCCATGGTCGATTGTGAGGTCGTTAGACAGGCTCCCCAGTTCGCATCCGAGTAGCCATGGAGTGGTTGGCTGGTCTTGCGATAGGTGAGGCCCAAGTCCAGCGTGCCTTTGATGTAACGGAGGACCTGCTTGATGGCTGTCCAATGCTCCGGGCCAGGCTGCTGGGAGAAGCGAGCGAGGTAGCTGACCACGAAGGCGAGGTCCGGACGAGTTCCAACTGCGGCGTACATCAACGAACCGATGGCCTGCAAGTAGCGTGTACGATCCTGAGGAGTGGCCGCCAAGTCCTCGAAGTCAAGGACGACACCTGGCTGCATTGGAATACTTGCCGGCTTGGCATCGGTGAATTGGAACCTGGCAAGGATGTCCCGAAGGTAGCACTCTTGTGAGAGTGTGATAGAACCATCTTGTCCACGTTTGACTTGGATGCCTAGAATATATTCGGCAGGTCCGAGACGTTTGATGCCGTATGCGAGTTCCAGCGCATCAAGCACCCGTTCGATTTCGGCGGTAGAGGGACCAACCAAAAGCAAGTCGTCGACGTACAAGGCAATATAGTGTGAGTACCCGTTGTGTTCGCAGCGGTAGATACAGATGTCCGACCTGGTGGGGACGTATCCGAGGGACCGCAGAGTCGAGTCGATCTCGGTGTTCCAGATGGTGCCGGCCTGGCGAAGGCCGTAGATGGATTTGGACAGCTTGAGGATCTTGCCGGGCAGGTTGATGCCCTGAGGGACGCGCATGTAGAGAGGCTTGTCAAGTTTGCCGTGTAAGTACGCCTTGTTGACGTCGGCCTGATGGACGTGATAGCCGTTGGCCGCGGCGAGTGCGATGAGGGCTCGAATGGACGTGAATTTGACGACAGGGGCGTAGGTCTTCTCGAAGTCAAGGCCAGGGCGTTGGGCACATCCGTGAGCAACAAGTCGGGCCTTGTGATCGGTGATGTCGCCATGCTGGCTGCGTTTAGTCCGGAACACCCAGCCTGACCGCAGGAGGATCTCACCCGCGGGGAGCTCACAGGATTCGACGATTTGGAAGACCTCGTAATCGTTCAGAAGCGAATCGAATTCATCCTGTGCCGGAGCGCCCCAAACGTCCTCTTGTCCCGATCGAATGACGTCGCCCCAATTTGCCGGATCGCGAACAACCGACAAGTCATGATCCGCGAAGCCAGCCTTGGTGGATGCGAAGGCAAGGAGCAGGCTCTTGAAAGAGGCGGTGGGTCCGTCGGGGTCTTCGACCGGCTGTTCCCGCGTGATCATGGTGGGAACGGGTTGGCGGCGAGTCCGGGGGCCATCAATGATGTTTCGAGCGTCGACTTCACCGTACTTCCCTGGATCGGGACCAACCTTGGCGACGTCGCCGTACTCCCAAGTCGGCTTGACTTTGGCGAGTGGACCTGGATCCGGAGGTGGTTGCGGCAGGGTCACGGCTGACTCCGTCGTTGCGCTCGTGGTCGATGAGGCGTCGTCGTTGTCGGCCGAGCTGGTCGATGCGGGCGACGCGGGTGCCTCGACAGGCGTTGGGGCCGGTGGCCGTGGGGGAGGCTCGACGGGTGTTGGAGCTTCGACGGGTGGGGGCTGGGGGGCGTAACCCGGGATGGACGGCTGCGTCACTCGGGTGGGCGCGATAGCGAAGGGGAACTCGGTTTCTACGAACGTCACATTGCGGCCCAGACTCACACGCATGGAGGAAGGATCGAGAAGACGGTAGGCTTTCGCGTGTCGATCGTACCCGACGAAGACCAGAGGAATCCCTTTTGGGTCGAGCTTGTCCCGTCGGTGAGCCGGCACGGTGGTCCAAGCGCGACAACCGAATGCCCGAAGACCCCCTACGCTTGGTGTGTGGCCCGACCAACGACTGTTTGGGATGGCTCCACCAAGGGCCGCGTGAGGCGAGAGGTTCTTGGCGTGAATGTAACACATGGCAGCCTCGTCCCAGCACGATCGTGGGAGTCCCGAGTGAGACAGTAGAGCCAGGGTGCCCTCGACGATCGACCGGTTGGCTCGCTCAGCCCGACCGTTTTGCTCGGGTGTGTACGGTATGGTCAATTCGCGATGAATTCCGCGGGCCACGCAATAGCCGTTGAAAGCGGTAGAGACATACTCGCCCCCGTTGTCCGAGCGAAGTGTTTTGACCCTGCGACCCGTGGCGTTTTCGATCTCCAGAAGCCAATCCTTGAATGTCTGAAGGACCTCGCTCTTGTGCCCGATAGGGTAAGCCCAAGTCTTCCTCGAGAAGTCGTCGATGAACGTGACGAGGTATCGCTTATGGCCTAAGGATTCCTCGGGGAAAGATAAGACGTCCGAGTGCACCAATGCGAGTGGTTCCGCGGCATGCGACGACGAAGAGGGGAAAGGCAAACGATGCGCTTTGGAGGCAAGGCACGCGTTGCAGGTGAAGCCATCACACTCGAAGTCACTATAGGGCCAATCTAAACCCTCCACCTGGCCAGAGGCCGCCAGTTTTTTAAGTGTCTGGACAGAGGCGTGGCCGTAGCGCCGGTGAAGGGTAAGTAAAGGTAGCCTATTGGACTTGGTGGCAACGAGGGTGTGTCGCGCATCTTTGCTGGCAGCTTGGACCGAAGCGTTGAGTTTGTAAACGCAGGACGCGATGGCTGATGCTGTGGCGATGCACCCTTGCGGCGTGCGGAGCTCGACTTGTCCGTGTTCGAAGGTGATGCGAACGCCTTTGCGGTCGAAGGCCCGGACTGAGATGAGGTTGGCAGGGCTCTCGGGGGCGTAGATCACGTCGTTGAGGGTGAACCTGGTACCATTATCGGAGACGAGCTTGACCGAGCCGATTCCCGAGGCCTTCACCGTTCCCCTTAGACCTTGCAGGACTTGCGGGGTAGGCGAAAGGGGGCCGTCAAAGAAGGACGCATCGTTGACGACGTGGCACGCCGACGCCGAGTCTAGCAGAAGGATTTACGCCGGTGGCCCGATGTTGACAAACGTAGCAGAAGAAACGACGGACAGGTGTTGATCCTTGGATGCTGCCTCGGTGGCCACGAACGTGGACGCAGGCGATGATGAGCCTTGGAGTTCCTTCATGGCGTTCTTGAGCTCGAGGTACTTGGCTCGCTTGCGCGATTCCGGACACTTGTCGAGCCAGTGTTTGCCTTGACCACAAGTTGGGCAGTTGCTCGGGGCAGGACCAGAACGATCCCATTTTCCCTTCTTGCCTGGTGCAGAGCGTTTGGTCGGTACGACCGCCTTCGCAACGGGGACCGTCGCTCGATTCGTCCGAGCGTTGAATCCAGCCCAAGAGGGCGGGCATGGCGGCATCGTGGGGACCCAGTCAACGTAATTGTCCTCCGTAAGTTTCGAGTCGTCGGGGAAGACCGGAGGGTTGGCTGGGGGTAGGCGCTGACGCATGGAGAATGCGTCGTCGTCCCGTGCGGGGCGCTGGTTCCTGATCAGCTCGTCGAATTGCTCTTTAGTGAGCGTGACGGAGGTAGTGGAGGCGACGTCGTTGGTATGGTACGACGTTGATGACGGTGGTGGAGGCGTTGATGCCATGTCACCGTGGACGTCGAGGTCGCCCGCCGCTGATAGGCTAGGTGGGCTCATAACCTTTCAGGAACTGAGGCCGAGGCACGAAGTGCGTAAGTACGAGAGCCGATGAAGATAGTAAAGATAGTTGGAGAAAGAAGATAAGCGCTAAGGGAGCGCGCGCGAGGCAGGCTCGAGACGCGCGGGGCGACTAATATCAACAACTAGTAACTAATCATAATCGGGAATACCAGTGGGATGAAACAGCAATATATTATTGACATTATGTGCCCACGAGTGTCTGGTTTGCGCTCGTACAGATAATTGAGTCGGATTCCGTCGCACGGTCAATTGATCTGTGCTACCTCTCGTAGCGGTATCACGACTTGGCTTGAAGGTATGATCCCGCTGCGACTCGTCGGCATTTCCGATCTGGGATCCCCAGCTCTTTGGGGTGTTGAGCATCCGATCCTGACTTCGCTCCCTCGTTCGTTTCTCGATCCTGCCAGCCCTCGGGCACTTTTATAATGAGCATGGACCACCCTAAAGCTACTTCCGTAATATCTGTAACTGACCATCCAGCCCAGCGCCCGAATCTCGGATGGAAAACTACCAAGCAGCAATTCCCTTCAACGCCTCTTCTTTTCAGGTTTTTTCTTTCACCATCAACTGGTGACATTGCATGCGTGAGTTCTCCCTTGACATGGCTGTGCAGTCTTAGATACGACGGAACACTGATACGAAAAACAGACATTGAACGTCAGTGACACAGCGCAAGGATCAATCCGGCTCATTGGGACCCTAAATGCGATCGAGCAACAAGATCCGCTCGAGACGCGCAAAGTGTGGGATGACGTTTCGCAAGCTTTGCTGCGGAAGGACTTTTCCAGTAAATAGATCGAAGCTAATTCCCTTCCGTGAGATTACAAAAACTGATAATCCTTCCGTCCCCGTCTTGCAGCCGCGGGGAAGAACAAACAAGCGCTGGAGCAACACCAGCGCGACAAAGCCGAAGGACGCAAGAAGAGTGGTGAGGTCTACACGCCGCGCTTCTTCCAACCTGAAGCAGAGGGGGACGCATGGGACGGGCGACCAACGTTGACGCAGGAGGGGTCGGAGGCGATCGAGAAGGAGTTCAAGGCTGAATATCCGAAGCCTGATGTGAAGGAGGTGGCGGCGGCAGCCGCTGTTTAGGAGGCATTCGAATTGGGGGTTCTGCAGTGTTGTGTTGATTTAGCCCCGACTACCTGGTATGTTCTAGTGTAGTATCTACTTGACTTACTCTGACATCTTAGAACTTAATGCCCTGTGAACCCAGTCTGAGTGACGATGGGGGATCGACATCGGAGGCCATCTCTTCGTCCAAGTCGAGTAGGGCATCTACAACCAGCGAGACTAGAACGAGTGCCGTGGGAATGGCAGTCCGCTATCGATGGTGTAGGAGTCGAAACTTTCTCGGGCTTTGCACTTTTTGCTTTGGATCAACTTGGATGCCTTCGTTGCAGAGCTTGAGGGGCACACTGAGCTTGAGCTTGAGCCCCACTTGCACAGCGCGCACGTTCGGGCGAGGACCGTGGCCACGGCGGATTACCGAAATCGATGTGGCGGCGGCGTAACGAGAGTTGAAGGCTCCACGCTTCGTGGTCCTTTGCCCCTTGTCCCCTTTCCCCCCACCACCTTAACACACCTAAGTACATCATGTCCGGCGCACCCCCTACTTCAACCTACGTCAACGAGTCGATCGTCATCAACGCCGTGAGTCCTCCCGTGGCCATCCTTCTCGCCTCATTCGACGGCTTCCATGTCGTTCCGCCCGCACGTCATCGTCACCCAGCATCGACCACTGACGTGAACGGCTGAAGGTGCAATACCAAAGAATCTCCTACTGATTTGGTTTATTTGCAATTTGATTTATCCCCACAGCCCGTGGCCAAGGTGTGGCACCTGATCAAGTTGCAAGACTTCTCAAAGTGGTACTCGGCGTTGGCCTCCAGTTCAGCGGGTGGGTTTCCGCTCTCTAATTAGGAGGATCCTGATCAGGGGCCGTCGAAGCAGGCCCCTCTTCTCGTCCGGGGAGGACGACTCGTTTTCAGACTCGTGCTTTGGTATCACATAGTCCTCGATGCTTGAAACTGACCCTCTTTTCTCGACTCTCACCTTCTCCAGCCAAGAATATCTCGGACGAAGTGACCGACTCGGCGATCTGGAAGTTCAAGGACGGCCACCAATTGACCGTCAAGCAGGAGGAACACTCGGCGATCAACCACTCCATCACTTACTCCGTCGTCGAAGCGGAACCAGCTTTGACTTACCACTCTGTTTTGTCGTAAGTAGGCTCTTTCGCGAACTTGGCTTCTTCCGCGAACTTGGCCTCGAAAAATCCGACCAAAATCCTGATCGATGAACGCGCTCCTCTCCCTCCACACGAACAGCACCATCACCGTCTCCCCCGTGACGACCGGTCCTTCCGAGGGTTCGTCGTACGTCACTTGGTCCGGCTCGTTCTCGTCCGATGCCGACGCCGGCGTCATCGCCGATGCGAGCTACAAGCGAAAGGAGGCTTTGGCCGACCTCGCCAAGGCTGTCGCTTGACTGGGCACACAACCGAGGTTCCGGTTCCGAGAGGTTCTACGACATTTCGTGGTGGATGATTTTTTGAAGTGTTCATAGTGTGTAATTCAGCTGCCCAAGTTTTCGACGCGGGAGGGAGGGTTAAAGGGACGAGGAACTGCTCAAGTCAGCAAGCCCCAAGCGACCTCGGTCTGCTTTGACACGATCCGTAGAACCGACCACCGATTAAAGACGATTGTTTGTTTGGATTTCGAGAGTGAAAACGAGAGGGAAAAAGGAGCAGACAGAGAAAGGGCGGTGATACAACTACAATCAAAGGGGTAAAAAGAAGAGGCTGCCGAACAAAGGCAAAAAGCTGAGTAGGCACATCCGTAAAAGCCAACGAGAAGACGATCAGGCGTCTGTCGAGGAGAAGGAATAGAAGGACATGGCATTCCAGGTCCGTGAGCATAGGTGCAGAGCAGATGAGTCTTGGTCGTCCACTCCATCACGTGAACGGTATCGATCATGTGGAATGTGTCGCTCCGAACGTGTTCTCTCCGCTGTACCTGTAGAGTGGAGCAAGTGAGGTCATAAATGTCAGTATGGCTAACACTTGGTACTGCTCGAGGGCATCTGATGGTATTCACGTCACGTAGAGGAACCCGTCCTCGTCCCTGAGAAGAAAGGTGGCGAACAGTACGTCAGCAAGCCTGGCTTTGGGAGCACATTGTTCGCTCTTGGACCGAGGAGAAGCGGTGGTTTCTCCTAGACCGTCGAGACTCGTGCACGAATTTCTCCAAACAGGGACGAGAACGTTGTGCACTTACTTGTGCTCCTCGTAGATGGAACTCATGAGTGCGGCGGTCGGCGGGAGGATCTCGTCGACAAAGATAAAGATGGCCTTTTCCGGTTGCAACTTGATGCGTTTACGGATCACGTAGACGAACTGTTGGTGAGAGTACGGGTGTTCAGTGGGGGTGCGTTTTCGCTGATGCCGAGGGTGGGGACTAGACTGACTTGACCGACGGTGAGATCGGCGGGCACGAGGTACTTCTTCTTGTCGATCGCGGGGATGTCGGTCTTGTCTGCCTTTTCACAAATGACCTGGGATGGATGACGAACCGATGAACGAGGTCAGTCCGCGGAAACGCCGCGCTGCGTCGGTCGGTCGTTCGTGTGGCGGGCGTGCGCGCGCGCGGGTTGTTGTGGGGCGACGCGGTGGTGGTGTCGAGTCAGATCGGGGTGCGCGGTGGGGTGAATGCACGTACAGGGATTCGGTCGGGGTACTTTTGGCGGATCCGCTCAGCCTCGGCCTTGCGTTTCTCTGTGGGCAGGGTGGGTGAGTGGTGGTGGTGGTGTCAGTCGTGAGTGGTGGCTGCGTACGCCCCCCAAGTCAGCAGCTCCCCGAGGGGCAGGGGCCAGCTGACGACGGCGGCGATGACGACGATGGACCAACAGAGCGGGGTGGCTGACCAAAGACGTGTTCATCCTTGAACTTGGAGCCTGCCGGTGAGAAGAGGGTGTGTGAGTGGTGACTGCGGTGGACTGCGGGATGGGTTGGACAGGACCGAGTGCGCTTACGAGTCATGGCTGCGTGAGGCGGCGGTCGAGCTGGCGCGCTGATATCGGCGCGGTAAGGCGAGGTCAGGTGGGGCAGCGGCGCAACAGGCGGCGCAACAGGTAACAGGCGGCGAGGCGCGTGGTTTGGCAACACGCCACAGGAGCAGCAAGGTCAGCACGACGTGACGTCGGTCAAGGGGACATGCACACAGACTGACCTGGTGATAGAGAAGCGGGGTGAGAGGGTCAATGCGTGTTGTGGTGGTCGGTGTTGGGTGGTGGCTGAGCGGCTGAGGCTGAGACTGAGCGCTGAGCAAGCAGGAGCAAGCCTCGACTGGCCCAGACCTGCCCAGACGCGAGCAGACGCGTCCGCGCGCAGATAGGCGCAGAGAGACCAATCGCGCTTATCAAATGGGGAACTACCAATCATCGACCCTCTCTAATGGTCAATTGGCCTCGCTCGGACCTCCCAGCCCAGTGCACGACGAGCCGAGCAGCAGCAGTGCAGGGGTTCCCCCTCGACCCTCGTCATACTCTCTCGCCTCCGTTCCGCCCACAACTCCTCTGGACTCGTTCATCGGGCCATCGACTCGTGCCCTTGTACGACCGTCTCCCCTTACGTCGCATCAACCTGAGGGTTGAGTCATCTGCACGTGGACGAGCCGCCAGCGGAGCAGGTCCAGCATGGCGTCTAAGGTCTCGGAACTGTACAAGGCCTCCCCGGACGAGTCTTTTGCCGTCATCGGTGGTGAAGGCTTCCTGGGGCAAGCCTTAGTGCAGGCCTTGCAACGCGCGTTCCCGTCGCATCGTGTCACCTCGCTCGGGCTCACCCAGCGCACCTTCACACCTGGCTATCGCTTCTTTCGCACCGACATCACCTCCGAGACCTCGCTGTTGGACTCCTTCAAGAACGCAGGCGCGACGACCGTGTTCCACATGGCATCTCCCCACGCCGGAGCCAAGGCCGAGCTGTGCGAAAACGTCAACGTCGTCGGCACCGCCAACGTCATCAAGGCCTGTCGCGACGCCAAGGTGACCAAGCTCATTTTTACGAGCAGTGTCACCGTATGCTTTGACGCGGAGGCGATGCGCAACGTCGATGAACGCTTGCCGACGACGAGCAAACTCGATCCGCCCTATGTCTCGACCAAGGTCAGTCTTCGGTGCAGATCGGCGTATGTCTGACGGGGACGTTCGGCTCAAACAATCTGCTCTCTTTTTGTGTAGGTCAAGGCAGAAAAGTTGGTCATCGAGGCCAGTGGGAAAGCCGGGCTCTCGACCTGCTCGATTCGGTTGTGTGGCATCTTTGGGTGAGAAACGAGCACCGTGTTCATAAACCTGGATTGCACCTCATCTGACGTGTGGCCCCCACCTTTTCAGAGCCGGTGATCGACAAGCCGTACCGGGCTTCATGGGTGTCCTCAAGGCCAGACAGACGTGCTTCCAACTTGGGTCCAACAAGTACCTCTTTGATTTTGTCCACGTCGCGAACGTCGTCCACGCGCACATCCTCGCCTCGTCTCGCATGCACGATGCCCCCTTGCCCCTCTCCGACCTCAGCAAACCCCTCCCTGTCATCTCAATCGATACACCTCGACGACCCTTACCCATTTCGACCCATACCGACGTCGTCACTTCCCCGCCCCCCGCCGATCCCCCCATCCCCCATCGCCACAACCGCTTCAACCAATTCTACGACGTCCCCGACCGCTCCGTCCTCGCCGTCCCAGGACAAATTTTCATCATCACCAACGGCGAGCCTGTCGCGTTCTGGTCCTTCGCCCGAGCCCTTTGGTACGCTTACAATGGCCACGTCCCAGCTTTCACGTTGCAAATCCCCGAAACGATGGGCATGGCTTTAGCGGCTGTGGCCGAAGCGGTGGCCTGGCTGAGGGGTATCCCGAAGGAGGATTGTGGGTTGCCTAGAGCGCATGTGCAGTACGTCGTCAGTGATATGTACTTCGATATCGAAAAGGTCAGTCCCGCGATTCTCCGGCAAGATTACGAGTAGCGGATCTGATGTGAAGATTGATATCTCATAGGCTCGCCGAGTGTTGGGGTACGAGCCAATCATTTCCCTGCAGGAAGGCATCAAGGAAGCGATAGAGGTATGTCCGAAAATCGACTCTATGTGAAGATCATTTAATCAACCTCTCTTCTCTTCGATTGGCGTGCTTCTAGGACTACAAGAACGCCGAAGCTGCAGCCCTGGCATAGACCCTCGCAGAAGCGAAGAGCAGGCATACATCCGCACTTTTTGTTGTACAGCACGCTTAAACTTAATATTTACATGATTCGAATGCGTTGCTCCTGGTCATCTTTCCGCGCCTCATTTCCTAGACAGCCAAGCAGTCTCGTGCAAAGCATCCTTGATGTCGACCCATCGCTTGTCCTCCCCTTTCCATTCCTCGTACATCCTTCTCACCCTATCCCCACCTTCATTCTTCTCCTCTTGTTCCGTAGGGATCAATTCGTCCCTTCCACTTCTGAACCACAGGGTTTTCAACCCTTTCAAACCCTCTGATCCCTCGGTTATGTTGTCGACCTGCGCGATCGCATCCCATCGATCGAAAACGCACGGTCCTAAATAATGATAAGGCAACCAGCGTTGTGGGTAGATCGCTCGTAGCATGTAAGGGATCGAAGGAAGGGGATTCTCCAACACCAGAGCTTTGATGCGCGTTCTAAGTTCGAGCGAAAGAAGTTCACGACGCAGGAGGAGAAGTACGGCCGCTGCTCCACCTAGAGAATGACCGTAAAGAATGATTCTCGCTTTAGGGTGAAGACGAATTGTCTCTTCCAGTGCGGAGAGGTAGTCCGATAAGAACGTCGCTTCGGTCGGTGTGGAGCGTGTTGAGAGCCAGTAGGAACGAGGGGCGAAGGCAACGACGGTCGTTTCTGTGGGAGGGGTGTTGGGTATCCCGTTGAGGAGGACTCGGAAGAGTGACGATGGAGCGGGGTTCCGGCGTTGCCTTGAAGGTAAAAGATGAGCACGGGTCGATCGTCGGCACGGTCTTTGTCCAGCGATCGCGTAGGCGTAGAACTCTGCATCGATGATATATGCTTCTTCGCGTTCGGTCGTAGTTTGACCTGTATCCCTCTAAGCACCACCTCGCGACCCCATCGAGTCGATCTCGCCCTACTAGTGCACTCCACCTGGGTCCAATCGAAACCTCCCAACTCCTTCTCCAATTGAGCCGAACGATCCTCGGCCGGTAGGAGGGTTTCTGTACGTCCGCCTAGGGGTAGGAAGGGTAGATTTACGATCTTGCGTTGGAAGAGGACCATCATCGTGCACTACGAACGGGTAGAGATCGATCGCGTCAGGTCAGGAACCGCGTGTGGGGGGGGGGGGGGGGTGTTAGCCACTGAGTCAAGGCGAGATCAGCACTCGAGTCATGAACGGAACAACCGACCTTGTACGTCCACAACACGATCGGGAACCCGATCCCAATCTCGAGCAAGAACAACCAAGGGATACCATCGCTCGCTGCCGAGGTGGTGCCCGCCAAAGGCAAGTTGGAAGGCTCGCCGAAGAGGGTCCGACGCTGCTGTTGATGACGCTTGGGGCTTGTGAGCATGCCATGGTGGGTATAGAGAGAAGGGAGGGATCTGGGTAGCTTATGGCCAGAGATCGGGCGGACCGCTCGATGGAATCGAAGCATGCATGAGTTGCAGGCGTCGCAGAGCGTTTTCGGAGGAGCCGAATGGAGCGGAGCCAAGCGCTCAGCTCGATACTTTGACAAAAACAGGTACTAGATGTCTTTCCGGAACAAGCGAGGGTAAGGTAAAGCAAGAGCAGCACCAACAAGGAAGATCTTTACGAGTTAGTCGGGTTGCTGAGCGACCGAGAATGTATATGGACGTCCTCTAAAAAAAAACACTTTCTTTCAAGCCGAGTTGTCTGCGCAGCTGAAGACGGTCAAGGCTTTGCCCGCGTACTGGGCTCGGATTAACACGGCGGAACCGTACGTTCTACAAAGAGAAAACCGCTTGTCAAACTACTCTTATCGCACACGACAGTCGACCACGTAGTCAGACTCACCCGGCCAACATGAGGAAAGCCCCTCCCGCGATCATCCAGATATTCCATGCCACCAAAGCTCTATACCTCCACGTCGTATTCGAATGTCGCTCCTCCAAGTGATCGTACAGCCACATCACACCCATGATACTCAGACTCATTATCGTACCGAACAACGATCCAACGAGATCGATCAAGCCGCTAAAGACGGGGATCGCCTGGGCGATGAAGAAGGCGATCATGAGGCAGCCTAGAACGGACGAGAGCCAGGTGATCCAATGAATCGCAGAGTTGGAGACGAGATGGGCTCCTCCGCGGAGTATACGGACAAAGATGTACTTGGCAGAGAGGTGGAGGTATATGACAGAGCTACCAAGCGTCGTTCAAGTGAAGATGAGCGGGCTTGGGCAGGGAGACTCGCGCAGGAGACGAACTTACCCGACGATCAAAGCTGGCAGCGCAAGACCGTAGCACACCTTTTTAAGGACGGGACCGGCCGATCCGAGAGCCGGAGATGTGATATAATCTCCGCAGAATGCGTAAACAATGCTCCCGACGACCAGGTAGACGAACGTGATGGAGCTTTGGCACAGAAGCACCGTCTTTGGAAAATCCTTGGGGTCGCGCATCTCGGAGACCACGTTGAAAAACGCAGGCGTACCACCGAACCCGACCACGATCGTCCCTAGAGCACTCGAAGCTTCGAAAAACGTCGGGTGTCCCACCAACTGAAAGTGTCCGTCCCATGGACCCGTCTGAGGTGCTGCGGCAGGTCGATCCTGGACGCCGACTGCAACTCCGAGTGTGAAGATGGCGGAGAAGATTGAGACCATTCCTATCCACCCGAGGAACGAGATCTTGTCAATCGTACGAATAATGGACAAGAAGTATACGACGATGGATCCTGCCACAACGAAAGTCACGCTGCATGTCCCGTGATTGGTCAGAGCGTTGAGTGCGATCGAGATGCTGAGTAGCCCAGAGGCACAGATGCACAAGGTGTCTGTCGTGAGAAGTTTGATGAGCGCGGGGTTCGGGAGTGGGCTCTCATAGCGGCGGGACTCACACAAGGCGTAGAGCGAGCCCAAGAGTTCTTTTCCAAAGCGTCCGCCAAGAATGAACCCTACATCCGCGATCGAATGTACTTCAGGATGTCGCAGCTTGAAACTGACCGCGGTGAGACGGCAAAGTCCGAAGGTTTTAGCACGATACTTTCCGTTTCAAGACAAAGCGCCACTCGTTCAGTGCTTACGTGCCGACAACATAGCTACTCCAAGTCGACATCATAGACAAACCGATGATTCCTAGAATACCAGGAATGAGTCCGATCGCCGAAAAGACGAATGGAACGCCTACAGCACTCGCCTGATAGATAATCAGCGACTTTTGCCTCACTAATATCCGAGCACTTGTGCACAGTCGAATGAGACCCACCTAGAACTCCGAGCCCGACCTGCGACTTCCTGTCGAAGCATTCGGAAGTTGGTAGGGATGTCAGCTAGAGTGTAAACATGCGGCTGACACAGCGGCCCGCTGTACTAGAAGCTTGCCATAGGCGCCGCGGAAAAAGCGTACATGAGAAACACGGCCGCTCGGATCCAGCCGACATTGACGTAGCTAGTTTCGCGGAAAAACAGGCGGGAGTCGTTAGGTTTTCCGAGCTAAAATTTCGAGGAGCACGTCGAGTCTCACTTGGGAGCGCCATCAATTCGAGGGATGCCGAAGACGGCATCGTGGCCCTTGATGGACGTCGTTGCTGGGGCATCGGCGTTTACGCTTTCTTTGAAGATGTCCAGGGACGGGAGCTCCTTGTCGGTCATTTCGCTCGTGGTTTCGCCAGATCCCAACATCGTGTTGAAGGTAGCGCTCTTGTGAAAGGGAGAGTGGGTGAGAGTTTCGTGCGTCTTGGAAAGGCAGGAAAGCAACAGCGGAAGCTGGACGCTCGGAGGCAATGCGTCGGAAAGGAGAAGGCGGCGCAGCGGGCGAGGTCCTCTCACCGCCACTCTTTGACCAATCAGTGCACACTAGGTATCACTATTCAAAGCCGGGTGAAATCGGGTAATTATGGCGGATGTCCCCCTGCATTCGGTCAGGGGCCAGCTTGCAACATCGCCTTCAAAGGACCACTGCCGGATATTCGACGGCGTACATACAGTGTGTACGTCTTCATAAGGCCATACAACACTTTCATTACTGGGAGGACATTTTGGAGTGTGTTTTCGACACCATTGGCGTGGCAGCCGTCGTTAGCGGTGATTTGACGAACGAATTTCGGCCGACGTAGAGGACCGCTCATCGCTCACACAGAAAGGGGGATGTATTGCACTTCTAAGACACGTATCAGCATCATTGCGCACTCAGATGGAGTTGTCTGAGCACCTAAAAATAGGCAATGCTTTGCCCCGGTGCGCCACAATCATGAGAGCGACCGACCCATAAGTACTGTGAAGAAGTAACTCGACGTGTCAGTCCGTTGAAATCAGGTTGAACCCCGGGTGTGACCTTGCTTCATCCGAACTCACCCCGCAATGCAAATGAAAAGACCCCCTACAATCATAAAGATGTTCCAAGCCACAAGTCCCCTGAACCTCCACGTCTGTTCGCAATGCCGCCGATGCAAGTTGTCGTACAGCCACATCATTCCCATGATGTTAATGCTCATCAGGCTCCCAAAGAGCGCGCCGACGAAGCCGACCAAGTGCTCGCTGACCGAGACGGCTTGGGCGACGAAGAACGCCACCACAAGGCAAGCAGTGACGCTCGAGATCCAGGTGACCCAGTGCTTGACGGAATTTGTTGTGAGATGAGGGCCTCCGCGCAAGACACGAACGAAGATGTATTTCGCCGCTAGGTGGAGGTAGATGATGGAACTTCAATCCATGGAACATGGGGATGGTCAATTCAAGCAGTGGCTACGGCTTCGAATCGCAGTGTATTGACGTACCCAATGATGATCGCCGGGGAGGCAAGAGAGTAGCATACCTTCTTAAAGACGGGTCCAGCTGACTTCAAGGCGGGTGACAATACCACATCGCCGCAAAAAATGTAGATCACCAGTCCGACAAGCAGATAGGTGCCGGTGGTGAACCCCTGGCAGAAGAGCACAACGCGGTGGAACTTCTTCGGTTCGCGCATCTCTGCGACGACTGTGAAGAATGCTGGCACGCCTCCGTAAGCGAACACTATCGATCCAAGGGCGTGCGTTGCGTCGACCAAAGAGGGTCTGCCGAAGATATGGAACGTGGCCAGCCCGTAGTCGGTGTGTCTCGAGGCCGAAGGCTTGTTCTGCAGGGCGATAACGATCGCTGTCGTCGTCACGGCTATCAAACTTGAAGCGACACCGATCCATCCCAAGAATGAAAGCTTGCCGATCGTTCGGATGATGGCGAATATATAGGTGATTACTGCGGAAACCAGGACGAACCAAACGGTGCAGGCGGAGTGGTTCGAAACCGCATTGAGGGCGGTCGAGAATCCCAATAGTCCACCCGCGCAGACCGAGAGCATGTAGAAGGTGTACACGACTCCAAGTACCTCCTGTCCGATATGACCCCCGAGGATATATCCAGCGTCCGCAATCGAATGCACTTCTGGGTGACGCAGCTTGAATCTGTGCGGCGTGGCAGGGTGGAAGTCGGCACCATCAGCTCCTGGCGCCTGGGAAACGGGCTCTACAGATCCTTCACCCGGTGGTTTGGGTCCACCCCTTCCCTCCTTCAAGGATCGTTATACTCACGTCCCCACCACATAGGCACTCCATGTCGTCATGGCTGAAACGAAGATGAGCATTAGAACGCCGGGCACGAGTCCCACTTTCGAGAAAACTCGAGGAAGAACTGAATGGTACAGGGAGGTGGGTATACTTCTCGTCATCAGCCCAAGCTCCACTCTCCATATCCGATGCTCTATGACACTCGAATACTCGCCCAGTATGCCCAGGCCGATTTGAGTTTTCCTGTTCAAGTCCCGACATTTCACACAGGTCTCATGAGCGGAGCTGCCACAGAAAAGATATCCCTCGCGCGGACACTCGTCAACTCACATGAGGAACACAGTGGCATGCACCCAGCCGAGGGTGACGAAGCTGGGAAGGGTGCGTTCGTTGAATTTCCAAATCTTCCGACTGAATCGTTCTACCAGATTTCTTCTTACTCACTGAACGCCCTCTTTTTGTGTGATACCGAAGACAGCATCTTTTTCGGTGTCTGGGTCGGAACTTGGCAGCGTCGGAACATCGAGAAAGTCTTCCGAGCGCAAGCCTTCGAGCGACTTGTCATCCACCTGAGTTATAGGATCCATTTGCAAGTGATCCAATGAATTCGTTTAATTGTTTTGCGACGCAATAGCTCCGTGCGTTCCGATCCTCCGTGAATGAACTGCCGAGACTTGAGAAAGTGAAGCTGGTCCCGATCTGGCAGCTGGCTTTGTGGCGCTTCACCGATGGGAATCGCGATCGAAGAACTGCAAGGCTTCGATGGGGGGTTGAACTTGTGGGAAGAAGGAGAAGGAGAGCATGCACTCAGCCACTTGGCAGGTCAGAATCGCCGTACTCATGCCGAATCATTCCCACCACATGTATACACTGTTGCGGGCTACACGTGTAACAGCTGCTTCCAATGCCTACTACCGGTCGAGGAAAGTTGGCGGCGCCTCTCCGGAGACTCGGCTGATGCCGGGGCGGATGGGCGGTACACTCGGCGATCTCTTGCCGCATTCAGCCTGTGCTCGCAGCCGCGTGTCAAAAATCGCAAAAATCCGAGGCCTTTTACACAACTGTCCTGCTCGCATCGCCCGCATAGTGCGCCGAGTCTGCCAGGAACCGCGGAAACAGGGCGGAATAGTGCGCTACACATGCACGACTTTGCGTCGTCACTCGTCACGAACGTTTGAGGCGTTCGTAACCGCTGCGACCCAAGCTCAGATGGCTGGACAAAGAGTCGCTTAATTGATTTCAAGGACCGGCCGGTCTCGAAAAAGCACTCGGTATACCTAAGTACAATAGAAAACCCAGTCTACGCGATTTCTTTATCTACATTCGCTGATTGGCCTCCTAAGCAAACTACTTAATTACCGTGCCACAGCTCTCACTGCGAGTTGTCTGCGCAGCTGAAAACGGACAGGGTTTTGCCCGCATAATCGTCGATGATAGACTTGATGGACGCATATGATCTGTGATGTTAGATGAGGCAACAAAATAATTGCAAAATGGAAAATCATGAGGGAGGGTCAATCAATGTCGCGGCTTACCCTGAAATCATGATGAACGTCCCGGCGGCGATCAAGTACACGTTCCACGCCACCAGCGCTCTGAACCTCCAGGATTTGTCCTCGTGTCGACGCCCAAAATTGTCGTAAAACCACATAGCACCCATAACGTGCATACTCATCAAGCTGCCAAAGAGTGCTCCGATCAATCCGATCAGCCCACCAAAGACGGGGATCGCCTCGGCGACGAAAAAGGCGAACGTGACGCAGCCGAGCATGAGTGAGAGCCAGGTGATCCAGTGAGTTGAGCTATTTGAGTTCAAATGTGGACCGCCTCGTAGCGCGCGAACGAAGAAGTATTTCGCCGTCAGATGGAGGTAGATGACGGATCTGCGAGGTGCCGACGGGTCAGTAGCTGCAAAGCCAGTGCGAGCAAAAACTGCAAACAGCGGCGAGACGAACCCTATGATGAGCGAAGGTAGAGCAAGACCGTAGCAAACCTTCTTCATCACTGCTCCCGCGGAACCCAAAGCAGGGGATGCAACGTATTGGCCGCAGAAGAACCAGACGATCACTCCAAGGAGGATGAACACGGTCGTTATGACGCTCTGACATAGGGCGATAGTCTTGGGGAAATCCTTGGGCTCGCGCATCTCGGAGAAGACGGTAAAATACGCTGGCGCCCCACTGAAGGCAAAGACGAGGGTACCAATCGAACTTGATGCATCGGCGAATGATGGGTTGCCGAAAAGACGAAGATTCTTGCTCCATGGTCCGGTCGGAGGTGCTGCGGCAGGCCTATCTTCGACGCCGACAGCGACGGCAAGCGTGAAGAGCGCAGATAGTACCGAAGCCAACCCGACCCAACTGAGGAATGAAAGCTTGTCGATGGTGCGGATGCTCGCGAGAATGTAGACGATGACGCCCCCCACGATGACGAAACCGACGGTGCACGCTCCGTGGCTTGAGAGCGCATTGAAAGCGATGGAGATGCTGAGTAAACCAGAGGCGCAAACACACAGCATGACTACAGGCGGTAGCAACATGTCAAGAATACACAACTATTAAGGCGGCCTTGCTGGAACATGGTCACTCACAGAGCGAACACATAATCCCTAGGGCTTCTCGTCCAACCCGGCCGCCGAGCACGAAACCGGCGTCCGCGATTGAGTGGCATTCAGGGTGACGCTGCTTGAATCTAGACGGTGTGCCATGTTCTCAGTGCGCACGAGCAGTAATATGTTTGAGCGAGGACATGGTATAATTTTACTCACACTCCCACCACGTAGGCGCTCCAGATGGTCATCACACCAAGGATGATGATGAGAAAAAGACCGGGGAACAGTCCGACTGTCGACATTACTTGAGGTATCCCTGCGTATTTACGAGATGGCAAGCTCGTGCATCAGCACCGTTCAGCAACCGCTATTCACATGAAGAGCACACTGATTGACTCACCCAAGACTCCGAGCCCGATCTGCGCTTTCCTGCATTCGCTCGTGTGGTCAGGTGAGTGGATTTTCGGAGAGGGGCACACTCGGCGGAAAGCCCGCTCACATCAAAAAGACAGCTGCCCTGATCCATCCGACGTTGAGGTAACTGCAAACGGTAAAAATGAATAAGTGTCTTAATTGGCTTCCATCTCGTTTTTTTTCGATGGGTCACTCAGCGCACTTGGGTCCGTCCGCGTTAACACCGAAGACGGCGTCACCCGCGACGGGGACCGTGCCCTGCGACTCCCGGTTGTCCACCGTCACCGCCTCTAGTTCTTTCGAGTGACTAATGTTGTCCTCAAGGTCGCTCTTCTCATTCGATATCGACTGCATTGTGTGAGATTAGGTTGAGTAGCAGGTGAGGGCGCGTGGGAGGGGACGACGATTCCGCCAAGTCTTGGCCGAGTTTGGGGGATGGGGAGCAAGGACAGGAAGCAGAGGGGAGAGGCCTGGGGCTTTCAACAATCGATCACGCAATCGTCCGAAAGGAGCGCAGAAAGCTAGGGTAATGGGCGGAGAAAGAGTCGACGTACTCCGACTTGTCTGCGAGGTGCCACAAGTGCCGCGCGCCCCCGCGTCCCCGAACGATGAAGATTCGACTGGCATCAATGATTCATCCTCCTTGCCTAAACTCCCGCGTGGTCCGTTCACCGATATAAAATACCTCAGGAGAGCAAGCGTGACCAAGCTAAAGCATGGGCGTCTTTGTTGAGTCCGGCACACTTACATGTCCGACGCTCCTTAGCCCGAAGCTTCGGACATCAGCGTAGGCCTTAGCGCGAGTCTTTGAATAGGGGACGCACTGCGTCAATACTGGGCGGCTGCGACTTGGGACGGAGGCCAAGCCATATTGCTCTATACTGGGTCGTCGAGAGCAGCTAGAATCCCTCCATTTTTTTCATCGAGACGTCTCAGGTACTCATCGAGACCGAACAGGCCATAAGGTCGGTGCAGGGATCTAGCGTATACTAGTTTCAATTACATTTATGACCAATCGAACAGGGGATAGGTCTCCTAGATCACCATGACCGAGTCACCGGGTGCGCTAACTTGGCTTGCGACCTCGGGCGATTATCTCGGCTGATCGTCTTGTATCAATTCGCCGCCGGGGATCGGGAGTCTCGTGCACTACTCCGAATGCTCGGATCCCGACTCGGAGGTACGTTCTGTGTCGAACTGTTCAAGAAGCTCTGGTTCATGTTCTTCCGAAGCACGGAATCAAGCGACTGACAGATGATAATGCATACATAGCGAATACAGGAGTCGGTACAGTGAGAAACTACGTGCAGTAGAAAGACGGAGCAACACATACAAGTGACCGGTGGCGTGGACATCGCTCATCGGATTGTACACATAAAGACACGGAATTAAGAATGCCAAGATATCCTCAGATCCCAACTAGGTAGCACGAGGGAAGGGTTGGTCAGCCCCATGCCAAACGAGCAAACTAGAAGCTTGTGACTCACGTTGTTCACGCAAGTTGAGGACCCATCTCGTGTAGAGCATCTGCGCGATCGGCGATCGGGGCTCGTCGTCGTCCCTCTCGGCCGTCCCTCGTGCTTCTCCATCTTCTGCCTCAACCTCACCGAAGAAGCTTGACGAGGTTGCGGCAGTCGTATCAGCTTCTAGGAATGTCGTATCGGCGTCACTTGTCACCATATCAGGTAATCGCGTGTTGACTCCTGAGCGATCTACAGCCGCGGCAAGCTCAGGAACGCTGGCAAGAAAAACGACGTCAGCACGGGAAGATCGATATTTGATACCTATTGTTGTAGCTTATCAACATCATACTCACCCCTGAATCGAATTTATAAGCTCCTGTACCAATGACCAAGCTTCTGCCGTGCTCATCTGCTTGAAGCCCATCCTGATCGACTCGAGCCCCTGAACTTGCTTAGCCGACATCGGCCCAAGTGACACGCGACGGCGATCCAAGACGGGATCGAGGATGATCCGACAAAACATATCTCCCTGAGCAGAAGTCAAGGTCTCAGACGAGCGAGAACGATCCGCTTGGTTCGAGAAACGAAGATCGGGGGTGGTGTGAGTACTCGAGAGCGGAGAGGTCGAGGAAAAGATTGAACTGCGGATGGAGGAGTTTCTGGAGGCCGGAGAGTTGGATCGTGCATCCCCGGTGCTCGGATCGTCGTGGTGTGCTTCGGTAGAGGTATCGGCAGATGAAGTAGATGCTTCCGGATCCGATTCTGTGTCCGTTCGCTTGGCAGGTCGTAAAGTGCGGTGCCTGTGACAAGCATGCTCAGGAGATCAGTCTACGTTCAACGACAGGGTTTCATGTAATGCCGAGGAATGCACTAACCCGCTACCCGGTGGTTTGGGCCCTGCAGAGATTGGCGCATTCGCGCTTCGTGATGCAGAATGGAGGTGATAGGGCAGGTCGGCCTCAGAAGCTTGAAACTGGTCAGCGCTACTTTGTGCAAGCAAGGCGTCAAATGTCGGCTCTTGCAAGGACGCGAGTTCGGCATCTTGCGGCATGGGATACTGTTGGGAATGGACATCAGCCCAAGGAGTCAAGGGTACAGTATTTGGCAGCGGGGGCGACTCACCTGATTCCGCAGGCTGGTCAGATTGCGAGCAGCCTCATCACCACCTGAACGATCTCGCAGCGTATCAAACTCCCAAGCACTGATTACACTCGCATTGGCCACGTCGTTCCCCTCGTTCCCGTCCTTGCTCGGCTTGACTTTCTTCGGTGTTTTGCTCCGCCACGCCTGATACTTCTCGGTCAGTTCTGTCAACTGGGTCGTCCGCCTCGCATATTTGACGAATCGATGTTGTAACAGCTCTTTCACGGAAGGACGCTGAAGGGGTGATGGTGGAGCAACAGATGTTAGCAAGCCTCTCTTGGAAAGATCTGTTGACAATGGCGAGATGACGGACCTCTTTCGGATCTTTGATCAGACATAAAGCGACAAAGTCTTTGAAAGCATTCGAGAACGGGCCTTCGAGCAATGGCGGTCGGGCTTTGGGTATGAGGAATAGGACGCGCATGGGATGATACTCGGCCAAAGGGGGTTCGCCGAGGGCGAGCTCGATAGCGGTGATGCCGAGGGACCATACATCGGCTTTGGCGTCATAGCCGGCTTGTCGGATTACCTCTGGTGCCATCCAGTAGGGCGTGCCTGACAGGTGACATGACGAGCACAGTGTTTAGAACGAAATTGAAACGAGCGGAAAGTTTTAGCGTGCTCACCAACAAAAGTGTTGCGCTTGCCATGCGTCATGGTTAGCTGCGCCGCAACGCCGAAGTCGGCTGTGGAAGCAATCCCTTGTATGAGCTTCCTGCGGTTCAAAAGCAGGAGTCTCGGTCGCCTACCGAGTTTGACTTTGCCCGTGTCCGAAAGCAAGACGTTCGCAGCTGCAATATAATCTCGGGGTTATCAGCTCCAGATGGACGAGAGCGGATTCAGCACATAGTTCACCTTTGATGTCGCGATGGATCTTGTGCTCGCTGTGAAGATACTCGAGACCGAGCAGCAACTCGCGACAGACGATGGCAATTTGCGATTCATTGAAGGGTCCTGGCTTGAGCTGGGAACAACATGCCGGGGTACGGACGGTCAGTTCTGCATTATCGTCCCAAGGCCGTTTAGAGCACCTACCAAGTCAAGGCACGAGCCGCCCGCGAGGTACTCCATCACTGCACAGACCCCGTGACCGTCGAATTAGCACGAGGTTTTCTCCGGACTGGTTCCACCGAACGCCTGACGACGAAGCCGGACGCACCGATCCAAAGTTTCCACCCGACGAGAAAGCTCCCGTAACATCTCGTGACGTACTCCGAGTCGCAATCCTGCATGTGCGCGATCTCGAGCTGAATGTCGGCGATGTCATCGTCGGCATGCTCGAGGTCGATCTGCTTGATCGCGACAGGCCTGGACGTCGGCACATGAATACTGTAGAAGTTGTCTTGGAGGTTTAGCACAGCGCACCAGAAGCGGGAGGAAGGTGATGACGAACGCCTTGTAGACGGTGCCGAACGATCCAGTGCCGAGCTTTTCCTGAAGTAGATAGTCACTGTCACGAGCAACAGGGGGAGGTCAGCACTCGCGTATCCCTATCGATCCTGTCCATGCACTACGAGATTGAACTAACCGACTTGGGTCCGAGGTTGCGGCGATGTGTGGTTCGTGCGAGTTCCCGTCGGGCGTCCGTCGAGGTTGAGGCTGAGCAGCACGACCAGCACGACCAGCACGTGAGCTCGGACGACTCGGAGCAGCTCCACCTCGTACGCCGTAGCCATCGACGCGATCAGACGCAGCCTGTGATCGGTTCAGGACTACCTCCGACGCCATCGTCCCTTCTCACGAACACCCGGGATGGAATCGAGAGTTTTGTGAACGAAGCAGCGCAGCGCCCCGTGCTTGCAAGGAGGGAAGGCGACCGCGACGACGAACGAACGCCTTGGACCGATCGACGCGTCGCTGCGCGGTCTTGCGCGGTTGAGTACGTTGAGTGACGCGCTATGACCTCGTCGTCCGCTTGGCGCCACAGCAGGACTCTTGCGCGAATACAGCATGAACAGGTGCCATCGGGGAACAAAAGATAGTGTCATAAAAGCTGTTTCCCTTCGATTCGGGGAACGCTACTCTGGTCTGATCGTTTGGCGAGGAGACTTTCGAGAGCCTGCCAAATATCGAGCATTCTGCTCCGACTAGTAGCAGGAGGCAAGAAGGCGTCATCATGTGCACGAGCCGTTTCGCTGACACCAACGGCAATATACAGCGTCGTCAAAATGGGTCGTTACATCGTTACATCGTAGCTAATCTAAAACGTTACCAACATCAGTTGGCCTCATCATGCTCCACCACCTTCTTGGTCTTCTTCTTTTTCCTCCGCTTTTTCCGCTCGATGTTGTGCTGAACCCCTGCATCGTCCAACAACGCTGCGAGCTGTTTCTGCTCGGCAAGGTATTCGAGCTCACTTGAGCCTCCGATGGAGCGGCCTCCGACGAGAATATTGGGGTACCCTTGGTGATCGGTCCGTCGGTACAGGAGTGCACTCAAAGGTTTTTGGTCGGCTGCGGCGGATGATGGAGGTAAGGTCCCATGGAGCAAACGCACGAGTCTGAAGCAAGGACTCACGTCGTTGGTCGACCATCACTACATACGGCTCTGGTGATAGCTTGAGCTCCTTGAGGTAGCCGATGGCCCATTTGCACGGTCTGCGCGACGAAACGAACGCCATCAGCTCGGATCCGACTCGACGCGTCGGGAGGACTGAAAGAGAACAACTCACGTGCAGTCGGATTGCGAAAAGACCACGATCGGAACTCGCCGCACCAGCTTTTCAAGCTGCACCTCCAAAGCACTCTTGACCCTCTCACCATCGCTGATAGCGTAGATCCTGCTCCATGCTTCGGCCGCCTCCTTCCTCTTGCCCTCGTCGTCCCTGACCTGATCCCTCAAGGGCAGGTGATCGACGCTACCTCTCTTCTTCGCATCCTCCATGATATTTTTTGTGTTGACCTCGTCTTCTTCGTCAAGGTACTCCCATGCCTTTTCCAGGATGAATTGCTCTAAAGCGTGCCGCGGGGACTTGGGCTTCATCATCTCCATGACCTCGCGGATGTCTTCGGCCTCCTCTCGCTCCTCGTCCGTGAGATTCGCTTCATCCTCTTCGAGCTTGTCCTGTTCAGCCTTCATCGCGTCGACTTCGGCGAGTCCAGCGCCTTCTTCGAGATCCTCTTCTTCTTCTTCGAAATCGTCGCCATCACGTCCCGAGAGTCGACTCGCCTTCTTCAGTTGCTCCTCCTTCTGCATCCGCGCCAGCAGTGCTTCGGGCGAGGTCGCAATTTTTCTCATGTCGGCACCTTCACCGAGCCAAACCCCACTCCCGACAATGCCCGTACTCCATTCGACCGAAGCGCCACCCATGACACCTCTCCGCTCATTCCCGAGGCCGCCCTCACGCTTCTTCTCGAGCTCGGAGGGCGACATCTGTTCGCGGTCCTTCATCAGCGTGGCCCATGCCTCGACGCTGCCGATCGGCAAATCGCTCTTCCTGACTCGGTACCAGGGTTCATCCGAGAGCCCTTTGACCTCGACTCGGTCCGTGATATCGTTGTAGACCTTGGGCGTATGTTCCAATACGCCTTGGCGCGCCCTGCCCAATCCGACGTGGTCACCCCAATTGACGACCGAGTGAAGCGGCTGCCAGCGAAGAGGTTCATGCAGAACAGGGTCCCTGCCCCCTACTCCGGGGAGACCGAATCTCCATCCAGCGGGTAGGACGCGTCGTTTGACGGCTGCGAGTAGAGGATTCTTGGGTTTGGCTTGTGGCGAGTTGGATCCGTTGCTGTTGTACGGGCTCGAGTAGGAGCTCGACGAAGGCGCGAGGACGAGCAGGTAGATCACGATCAACGCGAAGAGTAGGCCGATCGGTTGCAGGTATCCACTGTGTTGGTTGATGACATTCTGGATCGGAAGAGGGAGGAGGAGGGACAACTTGTGGAGGAGGACGTATGGTCCCGATCGGTGTTGACGTTTCCGGTGCGGATCATCGTCGTCGGATCGCGAGGCGTGGTCGCGTCCCGACCCCAAAGACAGGTTGGACTTTTTCGAGCTCAGACTGTTCGTGATGGAGGACAGGGAGAGTCGAGAGCCCGACGATTGGTTCTGAATCCCCGGTAATGGAAGCATCACGCTCCGAGACACGATGCGACGACAACAACAACGAACGCAAGAGATCGACCGGCGCGTCGTAACTCGTGGAGACGTCGTCGTCAAATGCCGGACTCTGCCGGACTCTGCCGGACTCCGTAAAGACTCCGTAACGTGTCGTCTCCTCGGTTGTTCACTTGGTCAGACTCTAGGTGCAGTACCACAATTGGGCAAAGCTATTTGCGTCATCGGATTTCCAAAAAATAATGACATTACTAACATTGAGCGAGGATATAAGCTCGGCCCTCTTCGTCGGCCGATAGAAACGATCCCAGCCAAAGCTTCCTGCAGGACACCCTCACTTCTTTCCCGACTTTTTGACTGTGGGTGACATCGGGCCGTCGTTCTTCAGAGAGGTGCAACGTTCTCATGGCAGAAACTCGTACACTCACTACCTCCACCACCGGCGAGGGGACCGCCTTTAGCTGCTCGGGCTTGGGCGTCCTTCAACTTTGCTGCGTCGGCCTTCTGCTTGGCCTTGAACTGTAGAAGGAATTGGTGTTAGCTTTGACTTCCTCAGCGCAGGAGGGCAATCGAGACGAGGTCTTACGTCGGCACTGTGGCGCGAGGGACAGGCCAGAAGGTCAGGATTCAGCTTCGCGTGTTGTGACCCTGGGTATGTGCATCGTTTTACTCACTCATCGGGATCCTCCTCGGCCTGGGTCTTCTTGGGTGCTTTGAGGGGCTTGAGTTTGCCGCCTGTGTGATGCGTCGAAGGAAGCAGCAGCAGAGTGATTGCGACGAATGACGAAAGCGACAGGGATGGTGCTGGTTAGCGCGTCATCACGCCTATCTCTGATGCATCCTGGCTTGCCCTCGTGGCGACACAACCCACTCGCCTGCTCGTCCTGACATGTTGATGAGTAGTAAAGTGCAAGAAGGGGTGGCTGAGGTGGGAACGGGCCCAAGCCTCCGCGAGAGGAGACAGGTGACTCTAATTGACCGCGCTTCTAATCGGTGGAGATCGGTGGTTCTAATGAGGCTTCATTCGCAGCCCATTCCGCCAAAGCCTGCCAAAGCCCGAGTGGTCGTGGGGGAGCTCACCCGACACCCGGCTAGAAGCTCCCTTGCTCCTGTCTCCTCAGTGGCCCGCTAGACCCGATTAGCTATCTCCTGTCCGAATCGAGGAAGGTTCCCACTTCCCCACGCCCGATGAGATGAGCTCGAGCTACGAAAGGGACACGAAGGACTCGAATCTGCACATCCAGAGTCAGTCATCGCGTGCTTCTCTTTGGTCGTCGTTCGGTCTTGATTTCCACTCTGCATTGCAGTTGGCTGACCGGATTACCTCGGCACCTTCTTCTCCGCGCGCGCCTGGCTCCATTCTTGCTCTCGTCGTCGAGCAGTCGCGATGTCAACAGAGGTTCCAGCAGCTCAGGCTAGAGCTTCCGCACGGACGGTCTCACCGACTCTCAACTCGTCCCATTTCCACCGCTCGCCGTCGGTCCAGATCTCGAAATCGTCGGCAGGGGGCAGCAGTTGGTCCAACGCTCAATCGAGCACGTCGTTCGCGCCGGGCGCGTCAAATGGTCTACACAGTGACTCTGTGTCACCCACGACAACCACAATCGAGACCTTTCCAGGTAGAGTGGCCGGAACATCGGACGTCCATCAGCAGCAGCACCATGAACCGCACCATCAGCCTCCTTCCGCATCCGTGAACCACCCTCATTCCTCCTCGCACGCGCAATCGCACGCTCCACCCCACACGCGCTCCAATCCGACCCCTGCCGATCACGAACCGGCATCGTCGTTTCAGAAATGGGGCCAACGCATCAACCAGGTGTGGTCCAATGTCGCCGGTCAAAACGAACAGGATGTCAATGCGAGGCGCTTCTCCACCTCCACTTCTGCCATGGCCTCCACCACGACCGCCCATCTGCGTACACCGACCCTCGGTCGACCTCCGATCGCGGACCAGCTCAAGCTGTCGTCGGCGCGTTCCCGGCGGTCAATACCGCGAGATCCTTCTTCGTCGCGTCACTGGATATTGTCGAGGACGTACGATCGCATCAAGCCCCTTCTCGCGACGTTGTACGTCACCGATGCGGACGGCGATTCCTCGGCGCCGTGGATGTGGACCCCCTTCTTTACACCCGGCTCTGGCCACCCACTGGGGTTCAGTCGGCGACGGTCGAGCTTCGGCTCGGTCAGTCATGTGCCACCTCTCAGTCGCTCAGGCTGGCTAATCGTGGGTGTGCTCTTCCTGTTGGGACTTCGGGAGATTGTCGGGCGCTCGTCCTTCTCTGGAGATCGACGGAGAAACGTCAAAGTCTCGGGGCGGAGTCCTTATAGCGTGATTCATGACCTCTCGCCCGCCGAGAGGATTTCTTCCTACTTCGATTCACCATCATCATCGGCGACGCCGGCGATTCTAGCTGGACAAGACCGCATATGGAAGCGAGAGTACATAACGACTACGGATGATCGGTTCGACGACGCGACGGGCCCGCGAGGAGACACGACTGCGATCGTGCTCCATTGGAAACGTACCGAGAACGTCATCGTCATTGTCTCCCACCTCTGTCGCTATAAATTTTTCGACTCTATTACCGTCTGGAACAACAACCCTGCAGTCCAGTTGCAGCGCTCCGATTTCGACTCGGCCAAATGTCCGCCCTCGAAATTACGCATCTACAACTCACCCCGGAACCAGCTCTTCGTCGCACGGTATCTTGCTTGTGCGCAAGCCAGGACCGCATACTGTTATTTCCAGGACGATGACTGGCTTGTCTGGCCACTCCGAGCACTCTATTCGCAGTTCTCTCGAGATCCCGAAGGCCCTGTCGTCGTTCACACGAACCCACAGGTCGCCTCCCTCTATGCCCTCGAGTGGTGTTTCTACGCGGCGCCTCCCGTGAAAGGGAATGACGACTTCATGGACTCGAAACCGCCTGCTCAAATTCATACTTGCTTCGCGTGGATGGGCACCGGAGCGTTCGTTTCCAAATCACGAGTCATCCACTACCTCGCGAATCTGACGGACGTGGCTTATCCGAGCGTCGAGCTGGCGCACGCCGACAACTCGTTCACGACGTTCTTGAATCAACCTCCCTATGTCCTCTCGAGCGAGTTGACTCAGTTACCGCAACCCTTCGGCCACTCGAATGGCAAAGGCATTGCGAGGAACAAGGCCTACATCGTAGGTCCCCCGTGCCTGTCCTGAAGCCGTGGGCTAGCCTACTCAAACTCACAGTTCTCCTTTTCCGAAATTTCGTACCTGTTAGCACCAAGGAATTCAACACCTCTATAAGTACCTCGATATTCCGACGACCCCATCCAAGCCAGGCGAGAAGTTCAAGCTCCCTTCAAAGCCCCTCCTTCTCGACACTCACGCGCATCACCACACCTCCCGATCCTCGAAACTTCCACCGCACCCTTACACTCACCACGTCCGCTCGCCGTGCCATACCGATACCTGCAACTTCATAACCAGTGTTGCTCTCCTCCCTCCACCCGACTCAGTCCCTTACCCTGGCCCGGAGAAGGTCGGTGATCTCGAGACGTGGGAGAACCACCTCGGTTGGACGGCGAGGGGTTGGATCGAAGGAAATGAGCTGTTCAGGGAAGAGGAGACGTTTGCGAACAAGTGGGCATATGCGCATGCTGTTGATGGGAGGGACGAGACGGCTTTTAGGAGCCCTGATGGTACATCTCGTTAGGCCTGGATATCTGAATAACCCGGGACGCTGAGCGTTTGTTATGCTGCTCACAGTCATTAAAATGGACGATTACGTCGGTTTGGCGTTGTTGACGCCTGCGGAACCGGCTTGGACACCGGCGTTGACTTTCGTCTTTGTGCTCGAGCATTGGGCCGTCATCTCGAAGTCGGTCGTCTTCGAGGTCTCCCTGGATGGATACAAATGGGTGAGCGTCTCAAGTAGCCCCGGGAAGTCGCACGTATGCTGACTGAAGTGCATGCTGTGTCCAGTTTGAGCCCCTTTCACCACCCTCTGCCCCGTCATGCCAAGGCATCGCGACCCAATCATCCCTACCCGACCACTCCTTTCCCCCCTCAACCTACCTCTCCTCACGAGGCCAAGCGATCCTCGAAGCCGAAGTAGCCCTCTTCAGCGGCAACAAAGTCATGACCTGGTTCCACCGGCGTCGACGAAGGTCCGAACCGCTTAAACGGTGTCGGATTAGGATCGGGACCAAGTTTGAGCGGGGGAATGCGGAAGAGGGGTGGAGGTTCGTGAGGATGAGGAGTTTGGGGGAGTTGGAGATTGGGTGGGGAGTGTATGAGATGGGTTTGGAAAAGTAAGATTTGGATGGGCATCGTCCTTGGCTTACTACGCTGGCCCCCAAGATCACGCCATCGGAGGACGTTCGACAAGGTCATCCGCCACAGCTCGTGGTGGTGCAACATCTCGCTATGACGCCTCGTTTGCAACGTCACCAAAAGACGGGCACTGTATCCATCGCCATCAGCGACTAACCCGGCCCCTACGACGCAACCGTGACCACCCAGAACGCAGCACGAGCTTACGCTCCGAAAGGACTGCAGAAGGAGTCCGACTCCTCCACGAGCCAATCTGACATACCACGCAATCGCATTGTCATATGTTGAAAGCTTCCTACTTAGAAAGTGTTTTCGGAGCGCCCCGTCAGCAACTCTCAGTGGTCACCAGACTTGCATGAAACGATAGATTCGAGATTCCCTCGGAACGCCGAAGCATCGACTGAGTAGGAGTGTCCCGTTAACCTGTGACATCCGCGACAGGAGCACAAGTAACACGATGGGTGTAGGGATCACGTTTTTCGAAATGATCCAATCCATTGAATCGAAAGATTGGGTATACGCCCATGCCGGTGTGGATCGATCGATGGAGAATGTTATCAGTAGCCATTGACCAGCTGCCCAATCTTCGCGCCCATCTCCTCAGGCTCTCGGTGCCGAGCAAGTTGCCGCAACTTTGACCAAGGATCATCGCGTGAAAGGTCATCAACACCATCTACCGGGTTGCAACGAGAAGAAAATGGTCAATCATCTGATCTTTGTCCAAGTGGTACACGATTGTGTCCAATATGGCGACGCCAGTCATTACGACGTGGAGTCGAGCGAGGCTGCCGTTGGCCACACCGCAATCCGGTCGTGATCATTGGCCGAGAAGGGAGCTCGGGGAAAATCGCGCACCGGTTCAAGCGTCCATGGCCCCGCTGCTCCAGCTTGGACGCCAGCGCTGTGCAGGGCAAGCCGAGGGGCAAGCAGCGGCTAGCAGCGGGCTGCAGCGGGGCAGGCGCTGGCAGGAGCTGGCAGGCGCGTTTGGCCCGGCGGGCTTCAGTTGGCGCGGCCCGTTTCGCACCTCGAAGGCTTCCCTTGCGTCACCATACTATCCAACCCCCACCAGCACCGCACCGCAACCTCGCCCTCCCTCCGTTCCTCCACCTCTAACAATGCTTTCCCGACAAATCCCCACGTTGGGCCGCCAATTGCGACGATCGTCGATCCGGTGTGCGTCGACCGCCGCGTCGACTCCCGCAACCTCCTCCGCCTCGCCCGTGCCACTGGCCAACGTAAGCCCGCCCACTGAAGCAGTCACCTCTCCCGCTTTCGGAAACTACAGCGCGTGGGCACAGCAGCTGACATTGTGAACCTCGTCCTCCACCGTACTTCTCATGGCAATGACCCGCTGATGGACCCGATCGATCGGCCGCGACCAACGCACCTGCGTGCTCGTCTACCTACGCTTGTCCCACCACTCGACCCCGAATCACATTCAACTGCCCGCACCGGTTCACACCACCGAAAACAGATCGAGGCATCGTGGAAGGGTTTGACGCCGGCCGAGCAAGAGTCGACGTTCAAGGCGCTCGAGGACCTTCAGAAGAAGGACTGGACCCAATTGTCGATTGACGAGAAGAAGGCTGGTCAGTGCTACTCTCTGGATCCTCGATGGTGGCAGATGCGTCCCCTCTCTTTTGATAGGGAGGAGACAGTGTGGTGTATTGCATGGCTTGTCCCGAGGAAGCCACGCAAACTGACGCTTCCTGGGTGTTTATGTGTTGGGCGCGGATTTCTGGTTTTTGTATTCGGCGCGGCAATTCCTCGTTACCAATTTCGAAATCGGATTCATTCAGCCTACTACGTCGCTTTCGGCCCGCACGGCCCCAGGGAGCCGATCCTTGCGCCCGGGTCCGGAGCCAAGACGCTCGGGGGTGTCACCCTCGCCGTCATCGTCAGTCTCGGATTGTTCACCGCAGCCCGCACTCTGGGTAAGTGCGAAAATTCTAGCCAATCTTTGGTGCTGTGACGAAGCAGGCGGCGTGCTGACAGGGCACCGATAACCCGCTACCCCTACCCCACCGTATGACCGCGCGGACAATTCAATCGATAATCCATCCCATCATCCATCGCCACCACTCGAAAAAATGGCGTCGCAACCAAACAGCTCAAGAGAAGCCCAAGACGCTGAGTCGAGAATGGCAAGAGGCCTCGAACGAGATGGCCAAGGAGCAAAAGATGGATCCTTTCACCGTGAGTTTGTGGAAGATCCTTTCGTGGAGGTGACGGCATCGCTGACTCGATTGAACGGGTACGATGATACGACAGGGTGTTACTTCAGAGGGCTACAAGGGCAAGGGCTTCGTCAACAATAAGGTGAGAGCAGGCATCCCAGCGCACCCCCACATCTTTCGCCGCATTTGAGCAAACCTGATCGGCGTGTTGTTTCTGCCAATTTCTCTCTCAGTGATCGGCGTTCGCTCCTCGCCACCCGTGGGGGTTATCGAGGTGGAAGGATTGTTTCTGTGTGTTGCTGGTGTTTATCTCTTCATGCGCGTTTCATAGGTGTGCGGTTGCAGAGAATGATTTTAGATGCGGTGCCTCTACGATGTTCTTGATCGAATCGCGAGAGAGTACAGGAGAGGGGAGGTCGATGTTCTGTCGATGGGTGATCATGTCTGCGATGATATGTGCTGGGCTTGATGGGATAGCGCAGGGGAACTGTGACCTGGCTTAGTGTCTGCGCTACTGGGACGGAGTCTGCTCAGAGTTTCTCCTATTCCGTTCAGTCTGAGGATTTGATGGGCGCGCAATGTCGATTTGCTTCACCGCATGTGAGGGAAATGCGCATCGAAGGAGGCACATGTATTTATGCCGGACGCACTACTGTGCGCCAGTCTCGCAATCTGACTCGAGAAGGCCAAGTACCCGGTTGACTCTTTGTGACTTGAGCTTCCTTGACGCGTCGCTTCGCGGTCGTGGGGGAGCGCACCCGTGTCCCACTCCCAAGGGTCCGCATTAGATCAGATCAGATCAGATCTGATCTAAACAGTTTCAGATCTGATCTGATCTGATCTGACGGGGGTCAGATCAAGTTCAGATCAATCAAGCCTCGAGAAAAAAAATCCAAAAGTAGGCGGTACCTATAGATGGTGCCAATGTGATTTGAAATGCCAACTGCGGCGCACCTGATCACTGCATGAGAGACAAAGGAGCGCGCCATCTGCCATCTGGCATCGCCGCCGCATTTGGGTGTCGGCCCCGCGCCACAGAAATACTACGGGGTGTGGTCCTCCTCTGATGGGCCTTCGTTGCAGTGTCAGGTGCTGACTCATTGCAAACACTTTCTCATAGGGATCATGCGACCCAATCCAGTCATAGAAGCGGGGAGCTTCTCCAAAAAACGGCGGCTTAGCAAGGTGATCACTTTGGAGGATGATGAGGATGAGGATGAGGTTAGGAAGAAGATGAGGATTTCAACATATAGACATGTAGAAGTCTTTATGTGCCAAATTAGGCAATTTCATGTCTCAGATCAAATTGATCTGCTCAGATCAGATCAATCAAGGCAGAATCAGAAAAACCAGATCAGATCTGATCTGATCTGACGGCGATCTGATCTAATGCGGATCCTTGCCCACTCCCAGCCTCTCCCTCTCCTTTTCCACCTCTTGCTCAAGTTCTCATTCGGCACCCGTCGCTCGTCGTCCTCCCCCTCCGAGGAAGCTGCCTCCTCGACCACCCCGTTTCGGTTCAGCTCCCAAGCGAGGCGCTGCAGCAACCCAACAAGTTCCGATGTCGTCCTTGCTGAACCTCTCCCTCGCAGCCGTCGCAGGCCTCGCCATCGGAGCAGGTGCGACCGTCGCTCTCTTACCTCCTCCCAAACCGCCCGTACAAGCCAAGAACGACCAGCCCTCAAGGACGAATGGGATTGCCCCCCTCGCTCATGGGAGTAGTCCTGTCCCCGGTCCGCCGGGCAGTGCAGCGATTCCGGGCGTCGAGCTTTACCATGGGCTGCTGACTGGCACCGAGTTGGCGAAGAGGAACTTGACGATTGGTCAAATCGGTGAGCACTTTACCCCTAGTTTTCGGGGTGAACCTTTCGTGGCCAATCTCATCTGACCGTATGGTTTGCTCTCTGCACAGGCCCCATCTCGGACTTTCTCGTCCGAAAAGCCTACACGACCGCGTACGACCGGCGACTCCGGATCCCGAGTTGGACCGCCGAACACTTGACCGCCGCGAGTTTGAAAGGTTCGGGAAATCGTCAGGACGTGTCTTTTGAAGAAGATCGGGACATTCCGGACAAGTTCAGGGCACATTTGCTGGATTACTTCAAGAGCGGTTATGGTCAGTTGAGAGCTCGGTCTGGAAGAATTTTTGGAGTGGGCCCAATTTGACTGAAGGGTGAATTGGGTGGCCCAGATCGAGGGCACATGGTTCCCGCGGCGGATGCGAAGCAGGACCAAGAAGCGATGAAGGAGACGTTCCTCTTGAGCAACATCGCTCCTCAAGTTGGCGAAGGTTTCAACCGAAACTGTCAGTCCGCGAGGGGAATAACGAGCGAAAAGTCCATTTTGCTGATCGAATTCGTGGTGTCGTCAATGACTGCACAGACTGGGCCTACCTGGAAGCTGTGAGTCGGTGGAGCCTGCATCCGAGTTTACAGTAGGTTCACCATACTCTGAACCGATTCAAAACACCTCGCAGTTCTGCCGAAACCTCACTTCGTCCTTCGAGGACGTTCACGTCTTCACCGTGCCTCTCTTCCTCCCCCGTCGATCACCCGATGGTAAATGGCGAGTGACGTATGAGATGATCGCAGCTGCAAATAGTGCACCAACAAGTACGTTCTCTCGCCAAGCCGTAATTTCCAAGCTGGGTATGCCCGAATCATCAACTGAGCCTCGGCTTTTCACACCGTCTTTACCTCCTTCCAGTTGCCGTCCCGACCCACTTTGCGAAAGTACTCCTCACATCCCGTCCCCCTCGATCTGGAATCTCAATGGCCCTCACGACGTCCCCTGATCGACTGGCGGAGAAGGAATGGGCCATCGGCGCTTTTGTTCTGCCGAACGAAGTGATCCCTGACGAAGCTAGGCTGGAAACTTTCATCGTACCTGGTGAGTCAGGTGCTCGACGATGGGCCAACCGAGGATTTGAAATCGCTGACGTTGGAGAGAGATCCTATGATCCTGGAATGGCTCTGTTCCCCAGTCGATGCGGTGGAGAGTTCCTCCGGGCTGACTTTGATCCCGGACGAGTTGAAGCGCTTGGCGAGCCCGTTGTGTTCGGTGAGTCACGAATGCGATCTATAGCGATCAGGAGCCGTTTTTGGGTTTAAGACCCCCAAGTCCAGTTGATCACCAACTCTTGTCAACTTGATGCTTCTTCTAGACCGTCAAGTGCGAAGTGATCGTACGACGCTTTGACGATGCGCAAAAGAAGCTGGGCGGGGATCGACCCAAACCCCGCCGAAGGGAGACGATGTAGATCACCTTTCTCTTGAACATGAAGCAGTGCAATCCTCTCTCTCCCAATGGAAGACCAAATCTCACCGCAATCAAGGGCGTTGGCTCGTAGCACACTCGTATTGAACAGCGAGAAGAATCCATCGGAAGTAGAAATTGCAAAACAAGTGACCAAAGGCCTGATCTCGATCTATCCAATCAGTGGAATTCAGACCGGCGCTATGCCCACATCAAAAGGAGACAAGAAAGTACCCTCTCTATGCGGAACCGAATTGCTTGGGTCCATCCGGGTACAAGTTCGAGTCGTTCTTGTCAAAGTGGTGGATCTCCTCCCTCTCTCGTCCCCTCATGTACATCGGGTTCGTGCCCTTGTAGTAGACTGCGAGGCGGTACATCCATCCTCAACATCAGCTAAACGATTCCAATTTGAAAATGACCGCTCCAGGATCAAACCATGACTCACTATCGGTCCACAACTCCTGATCCTGACTCGGTTCAGGGCTCTTCTTCGCCTCCTCAACGGCAACTTCGACCTCCTTCCTCGCGTCTTTATCGATCTTCTTCAACTCGCTCTCCTCCACGACGCCCCATTCGAGGATGTTGTTCTTGAGACCGGTGATCGGATCGTTCGACGATCGCATGTGTTGGATCTCCTCTCGCGTGCGGTAGGTCGTTCCGGGGTCGGACATAGAGTGACCACCGTAGCGGTAAGTGACCATCTCGAGCAACAAGGGACCCTTGCCCGCTTGAGTCCACTCCTTGGCGAATGAGACCGCTTGCTTGACGGCGAGCACGTCCATACCGTTAACCTGGAATAGGGAAGGGAAATGGCGCACGCTCGTTGAGCTCCGAGTTCGCAGCTGAGCAGGGATTTGTCCATTCCCAAGAACTGACCTGGAGACCAGCGATCAAGTCACCACGCTTGTAGTACTTGGTGTTGGATGAAGAGCGGGCCGCCGAGGTGCCCATACCGTAGAGGTTGTTCTCGCAAACGAAGACGCAGGGAAGGTTCCACACTGTGATGCGCCGAATCATGTAGAGGAAACGTGATCAGCGGGCACTTTCGCAGGAGAGAGATCCAACGCGACCAAGGCAGAGGACTGACGCTTGGCCATGTTGTAAGCCTCAAAGACTTGGCCCTGGTTGGAAGCGCCATCACCGTACATGGCGAAAGTGGCGTGGTCCTTGTCCTGGCCGAGATACTGTTGAGCAAAAGCGATTCCGGCACCGAGCGGGACCTGGGCTCCAACAATGCCGTTACCACCGAAAAAGCTGTATAGTGTTGAATGGTTCAAGCGTCAGTCTGTAGTCCCAAGCTTGCTGGCGCAGGACCGAGACTGAGGCGTACGTAGGAGTAAAGATGTGCCTGTCAAAGAAGTCGGTCGTGTCAGTCGGGTGTTGCGGAGATAAATCCCTGACCCTGCACGCACATGGATCCGCCCTTGCCGTGCGACATTCCGTCACGTCGACCTATAATGCTCAAAGGAGCGAAAGGATGAGCTCAAGAAGATGAGCTCGGAGACAGAGCTGAGAGTGAACTTGCCCAAGAGCTCGGCCAAAACACCCTTGACCGTTCCGCCTCGCAATACGGCAAAGGGGTGGCATCGGTACGCGGTGATGATCTTGTCGTCCTTCTTGATGGCATGGTGCATTCCGACCGAGACGGCTTCCTGTTAGCGGGGAAGCGATGCGTGGGATGAGCAGATGATCACGGGTGGGGGGAGGCCTAGCTCGGTCGCGAGGGTGGTCGGAGCGGAGCTGCAGCTGCATCGGACTACATCCACATAGTCCGGAGTGCACGGATGGGAAGAGAGGGCTTACTTGACCGATGGCAAGATGGCAGAAACCACGAATGAGCTTCTGTTGGACGAGATCAAGCACGATCAGTCGACCGCTACCGGGCGCTGCGGCTCGCGGTGGTGGTGAGTTGGCGCGCGCGGCCCGAACCCGACACCGACACCGAGACACCCCGAGCGCGCTGAGCCACGCAAGACGGAACACATGTACTGACCGCCTTGTACAGCTGATCGGCGGCCATCTCCATCCTTCGCATGAGGACCATGTTGCGGTACATGTCGACGAGCTCGGTCTTGTTGACGTGCATCTCGAGCGCGGGGATGTCGCACAGGTGCGCTTTGAAGTAGTCCTCGTGCAGCGCGACCTTGACCGTGTCGCCGTTCGACTCGATCTTGGACGACGAATCGCTCTGTTTGAGGGACGGGCCATCGTATGGGTCAGTGTTGGATCCTGACTGGTGGCTCACATGCGCCACTGGGGCAGCACGATGCCGTCGTTCCCGCGCCCGTGCGAAGACGGGGTCGCGGGTCGTCGTCTCGCGCGGCGCTTGGGGCAACCCGATCGACGAACTCGACCGAGTGCCAGGCGGAGGGGAATGGGGGAGGGCGCGTAGAGGAACGACTACTGACCGTTGTCTGCAGAGAACGCGTCAACACAGCCGACGCAACACGGCATGTCGGTCGTGCTCGCAGGCCGGCGACCGAGGGCAGGGATCGGGCGATGCGGCTCATGGTCGATGGGCGGATTTGGAGTCGGGGTGGTGGGTGGGGGGGAGGGATAAAGTGATAAGGATGCCCACGCCGTCCAGGCGAGCGACCCCTGAGCCAGCTCACACCTGCTCACACGGGCTCACACGTCCGCGCGAAAGGCAGCCAATGCGAGGCGTTGGGGCGCGCTCGCGGCCAGGCGCGCGCCTCAGCCGATCAAGGGGGAGCTCCGATCCGGGCTGCAGTGAGTGGCGCACGATTGAGCCTCAACTTTAGAGAGGGATCCAGTTGTCTAACCACGCCCAAGTTGTACAGTAATGATGGAAGCAACCTCTCCTGATCTGAGACACAGGCTTTTCGCATGCGACGGGCGTCGTCGGGCGACTGGCCTTCGCCGTCGCCGAGGACAATTCAAATTGACGACATTTTCGAGTGCGCGCAAACGGAGTCTGCAGACCAGATATATCAAATAGAAGGGTCGAAGTGATCACTCACCATCCCAGACGAAGTTTCAAAGTGTTGTACCCGAAATGCAGCCACTTCTACAGCTTTCGTGCCCAGTTCAGGCACTCTGTTCTCGAGAAACAGTCACTCAAAGACTAGCTCAAGCCACAGAGATTTGCTGTCCGGCATATTTTATTCAACAATCTGTGATGAATCTTTGATGTATTTTCTGGAAGCAAAAACCATGTCTCGTTCGTTCGAGACAGTTTACTGGAGCTCTTCGAAATCACTTTGGATCTGCAGCTTAATACTTGCCACTGGCTGTGTATGGTTCTGGCAAGTCGGTTTCGGAACGCGAGACAATTACATGGTCCCCTAGAACTCTTGTCCGGTCGTGGCGCAGCAGAAACTTGTTCAACCCACCCTTCCGCAGGTGCATCTAGCAGCCTTCGCTGTTCGGCATTGGAAACTATTTGGGGCTCTAGTGCTTGCAGATATAATAGACCAGGCAAAAAGCTCATGTTCCTTGAGAACTAGGCAGACATCGTCATTGGGGCCAACGTAAGTGCAAGCGCCACTCCGAGTGGTTGGCAGCTCCTGTCTCCTTCCCGTCCTTATGGTTCGGGGAGGGGGCAAAGCTTGACGTAGGTGCGCCAGAGACACCCGGCTCACCCTATCCGAAAGTCCGTATTAAACTTGCACCTTGCCGTATTGTATCACTGCGCGGCTCGCTAGCGCAGCTCGTGGACTAAAAGTTGGGCTCGCCGACATGCAGTCATTTGCACCCGGACAGAACAGCCACAAACGAAGGGCACTTTGGACCGACGAGCACTACATCTTTAGAGACACTGCAGGATACAGCTTGTTTCAACAAAAAGTACAACTTGAAGGGTTCGATAATTTATGCTATACGACCAGAGCCGCAAATGTCCATTCTCCGCGTCGGAAAACGAATGGTGTAATATTTTTAGGATCGGTTGAACCTCTATCGTGGGTGGACATGACCTAGCCCATGGACCTGACCAAGCGATCAAACCACCAAACGGATGTGCATCAGCATAACAAACTCGGAAGAGTGTGAAGAGACGTAGGGCGAGATGGGACACTCACCAGGTGGAAGCTAGTTGAGCGAGTGAGCTCAGTCTGTCGGGAACATCACAAAGTGAACGGAGCAGGGAATAGGCAAGTAAAGATCAAGCCGGAATAAGGTGACGTTCTATCAGCTTAAACCGACATCTCTCGCGAACTGAGCGCCTTAGTGAACTTACGAATCGAGCCGCGAACAATCCTGTGACGTCTGTTTGCCAGACGAACTCGTGTGGCCGCCTGCTCTCGTCAAGGAGACCGTTGCGCCCTCCACGCCCTTGATGAAGACGGCTGTAAGTCAGATAAGGCCCTTGGTGAGCTTAATCCGAACAAAAGCCGAGCGTGCCGTGAAAGTGGGACGGAGATGGGCAAAACGCACGAAGTTTACCGAATCCGCTGAGGTGGGTGATGATTTGGAAGTCGGTTTCTGCGGGTGGTCAGATCAGAAAGACAATGTCAGCATACCGTGCCTCAACCTTACGTATTCGAGGCAGCTTTGGGGCTCGTGATTACGCACTGCCGATAATCCAGTCCTCCACCTGTGCATTGCTTGTGCCGTCCAACAGCCTCATCTCTTCCGCGTCCGTCACCTCCGAATGAAGCTCCGGATGCGCTTGCGTCAACCCAGTGACAACGATGCGATCCGAAAGATGGAGCAGCGCGTCCTCTTCCAACGCGCGCGAGTCCGTGACAAGGTAGTAGATGACCTTTTGGTCGTGGCGCGCGAAGCGTTCGGCGATCTTGTCGGCGCAATCAAAGAAGTTGCGGTGAGCGTCGACGGTGTTGCCCTGGTCTTTCCTGTGATCGAACTAGGACAGTACAAGGGAAGAGGGGAAGAGGGTAGTATCGTAGATCAGTATGGCCGCTGATGAGATCAAACCCGTACTACCGCACCACAGATGCTACCTGCCGAGCAAAGCCGTGTTGCGGCAGACGAGACAAGCCCGCGCAGCGCCAATCTCATTGCAAACACTTACAGATTTGTCTCCTGTCCGGATCTGAATCGTGATCGAGAAGACGGTGGGTAGGTTGAACAAGGAATCGTACTCGGTGATGAAGCGCAGCGCATTGATCTTGGGGCGGATGAGAAAGTCGGTCATGCATGTGTAGACGGTCTCCGGGTCGAAGCCTCGTGCGCGCAAAGTAGGCTCCACGGAGGCAAAGCCGAACGAGTTGATCGCTGCTCCTCGGTTCATTTGGGCCTGTATAAGGGTAAGCCACGTCCCAAGTATCGATCGCGTCAGTTCCCTTGGCGTGGAATGACTGACGAGCTGACGAGGCTGCACCTCAGCGCCTTTTCCCTTTGTCCTTGAAAACTCACCTGAATCCAAGGCGGGTCGTCCCGCTTTTCCTGGAACAGCGTCACGGCCAGCAAGCGCTCCAGGCCCGACATCGAGTGATCGTCGACTTTGGGGAGTCGCTCGGGGTTTGTGATGTTAAGGAACTCCGGCTCAAGTGTCGCGAGTCCTGGGTGGATCGAACGACCCGAGTTGGGCATGTAAGGCTGGGCCCAGTCGATCCGCACGGCGTCGTAGAGCAACTCGAAGGGTAGGTCGGCCCAAGTGACGAGCAGGGCTCGGTTGGTCAGGACGGCGTAGAGGAAAAGACTGTACAAGCCGAAGAGGCTAACGAAGCAAAGATGCGACGCCCGAGAACCATCGGCGGATCAGTCCCGGTTGTTGCTGGCAACGCTGGGGACGGGCTCAGGGTCATAACTCACCGATCCGAGCTGCCACCGCAAATCGCGCCTTTCGGACAGACAACTTCGAGAATCTTCGGTGGACGCTCTCCGTTCAGCATCTCACGATGTAACGTCGCATAGTCGGCCATCCACGAGGTATTGCGGCACTGGGATTCTTGGCGACCCGTCTGCCACTCGGTCCGCAGCGACTCGTACCTGCACAGAAAGACAGGAATCAACGTCAACGGAACCCATCTGGCAGAGGCTTGGTCGGCGCGATGTTGCCAAATCTCACTTTAGCCTCGACCCATTCGTATAGCCTCCCAATCCATGTTGTACTCGGATCATTGCAGGCCCTTCCCGGATCGGTGCAGGAACTGGCGAGCTCTGCGAGAGGCCAACCGGCGTGCCGCTCTGCGCAACGGGCCTTGTCGAGAGAAGCCATCGTCGGACTTGAGCCTCTTGCTGCACACGGGGCAAATAAACACACAAGGACAACTCTTCGTCAGAACCCGGACAAGAAAGGGAGCGCAGAGATGTTCCAGCTCGCGCCGGCTATTTCGACTGGGGGTGCCCTCAAGCGAGTTCGAACTCTTGCACTAACCTTCGTGAGAGTCGAGACCATCTTGGTGAGACTTTCGTGAGGTGGCCTGGGTGCCCACTCGTAGCTTCTCCATAATTCAGACTCTCCTGACCAGTCCAACCCCTTGGCTTGCTCTACTGCGACTGGCCCCTGGCTATGCGAGGGTGGGCCTGTCCGCGTGAGCCCGGAGAACGCCCGGTGGAGGTCTGAGACGCGGTAACCGATCTGATACGCGGCGGCAACTGCGAACACGATGCCTCCGACCACAATGAAGACGATAGCCACAAAGGATCTGCGGCTGTTGGGTCGACCTCGCGTGGAAGGATGGCCATCGAGGTGTTTGTGCGCCACGCACGGCGGGGCTGTCCACCGTAGCTCTGTTTCGTCGGTCGAGTGACCAACGTCTCGTTTTTCGACCGCGTCCGAGTCGGAGTAGTGGCCGTCTCGATCTTGAGCACTCAGCAGCGGCACGATGTACGTGTCACTACGATGGATCATGTCGTCTTTCGTTGGTCCTGTGTTTGAGATGGGGGCAAGGGGAACGTGATGCGGTGGGTGCGCCAACGTGCAGCACGGGCATGGCTTGGAGCAAGTTGCGACGACGACCGATCATATCATTGGCTGCCCTAATTCCGACGGAGGCTACGACGCACCCAGGGGAGAAAGGGGGGCAGCTAAAAAAAAACTAAACTAGTTCTTGCTGGCGATCTTCTGAGGCGCGCTAGGCTGACTCAAGCCACCGGGCGGGTCATGGTCAAGAATGATCGCCCGGACGCCGGGCTCCAACGCTGCAGTTACCATTACGCGCTTGTCGCGTCGCGCTGCGCCCCGCCCGCGTCCACGGCCCATAGCAGAGCTCGGTCTAGGTGCCACCGGGCATCGATCTTACCTGAGCTAGCCCACTCGCCTATGATTGAACTTCGGTCTCGCTACCCTCTCTATCTAGGTGGTAGAGAGGTACCTACCTGTTCCTGATCTGTTGGAACGGGGGAAGCTTTCGTTTGTGTTCTGTAGATCAGCCCGGTGACGGCCATTCCACAGAGTTTCACTATTTTAAGACCTTGGTTCGGGTGCCCGATGTAAGACGTCGTACGGGCCGCGCCTAGCTCTTCACAAGGTTCCAACTATCTCCCTAGTGTACATACCGAGGTTATGTCCATCGCCCAGAATAGCTAGCTAGACCAACGTCAGCAGGCAAATTTGCCCAAGTTACTTACTAGCTCCTTATCGCGGCCGCGCGCTACCCGTGACTTGGCTCGTCGACGAAAGGGGTGACGCTTCGTACGGCTTCGCTCGCGGTGACATCTCGAGGGAATCTCGGTCTGTGAGTGGGGATTTTAATGGTATGCGCCTGTATGCACCAGTACCCACGCCCAGCCGCCCACCTACACTTCATCTTCAAGGATGAGTTCCGTAATTCGCAAAAGAAGCCACTGCGGGCGGCGGGCAGTGGCGCACAGACGGGCAGATCGGCCTGACTCGAAGAGGACCGTGCGCAACCGCCGATCGAAAGTGAAGTGTCGACTGCCGAATTGCAAGTAGTGCCGCGGTCTGCTAGTCTGCTGCCACCACCTCGGAACTGAAACTTCGCCTTGCCACCGCGACTGGTCGCTGCGCTCTCGAGAGGCCACCCCAGAGTCAAAAGGTTGAACCAGAGGAGAGCCTTTCCTAACACCAAGTCGAAACAGACATGGCCTCCTCTACGTCTGCACCACCGGGCATCTCGGCCCGCCGCGCTGCTTTTGGTGGGCAGCTGTCGACTCCTGACGGGGCGACCACCAGCGTACCCGCCTCGAGATCGACACCCACGACCCAGAGTTCGCACACAAATACGTCTGCATCCACTCGCAATGAGCAAGCCAAGTCATCGGCCTCGACCAACACCCCTTCACGAGCTGGCAAAGGCAAAGGCCCGGCATCGTCCTCGCGATCGAAGCAGCCCCAGTCCACCTCGTCCTCGTCCCAGCGCGGTCAGAGCGGAAACGGGAATAAGCAGAATAACCACGTCACGTCAAGCCTCGAAGGCGTCCTGTCCCCTTCTCAAGCCGCACTCGATGCCGCCGCTATGGCCCAGGCGACCCAAGAAGAGGAAGAGACCATCTGCCTTATCTGTGCGGACACGGCGACGTTCTGGGCCGTGGGGGTGTGCAACCATCGCACATGCCATACGTGCTCCATCAGGCTGCGTGCCCTGTACAAGAAAAAGGAGTGCACCTTGTGCAAGGTCGGTCCGCATCTGCCTGCTGCGATCTGCCCACTCCACCCTGCCTTTCAATCTTAAGCTGACATACCGGGTGGCGTGCTCTTTCCTACAGACCGAGTGTGATCGTGTCGTCTTCACTTCATCCCCCGATCGTCCTTACCTAGACTTTCCAGACTCCGTTGTGCCCTTTTCCGATGCCAAGGTCAGTCGAGCGCAGACTTGTCTCGCTTGTGCCCGTTCGGCGGCTGACAAAGCACGTTCCACCTTTCACCGCCAGCTCGGCATCTCGTTCGAGACACGCGAGCAAATGGACGACTCTCTCGCTCTGTTGCGGTTCAACTGCCCTATATCGACGTGCGATTCCATCTGCCTCGGTTGGGGAGACCTCAAGCGCCACGTGCGCTCGTCCCATCAATCCAACCTATGCGACCTGTGCTGCAGCAACAAGAAGATTTTCGCCCACGAACACTCGATGTTCGCCAACAGGGAGCTAAATCAACATATTCAGAACGATCACAACAGCTGCGAGTTTTGCCGGAGGGCTTTTTACGATGCCGATCAGCTGTACGCCCATTGCCGTGATGCGCACGAAGAGTGCTTCATTTGTGTCAGGCAAGGGATACGGCACCAGTACCACCTCAACTACTCCCAGCTGGTCAGTGGTGTCTTCTCCTCCTACTGCTTCCTTTCCGTTCCAGACGCTGACAGTCTTCCGATCTTGCTCTGCTGATGACGATCCACAGGAGGCACACTACAAAGCGGCTCACTACCTGTGCCCCCATCCCACATGCCTGGAGAAAAAGTTTATCGTCTTCGAGACCGAACTCGACCTTCAAGCCCACGCCGTTCAGGAGCACGGTGCCGCCCTCGCTGGCGATCAACGCTCTCGACGTGATGCTCGAAGAATCGAGACCAACTTCACCTACGAGGCAGCGGACGCTGGGCCTCCAATGGGTGGCAGGGGTGGACGTGGTGACACCCGTGGTGGTCGAAGAGGCGGTAGAGGAGGCGGATCGGGTAGAGATGGGGGTCGACGGACCGATGCGGCTCCTGCCGCTGCCGCGTTCGTCTCAACGACCGATGCGCCGAACCGGAGTAGGGTCATCCCCGGCCTGGGTCCAGCCGCATCGCTGACGAACGGATCGACCTCGCGAACCAATCGGTTTGGTGCAGCTCTGACCAGCGACAGTAACCCCGCTTCGGCTCCTTCGTCGGGACGAGCGACTCCGGACCCTACGACGGTGGAACGGCACGCACAAGTAATGCGCCTCGTCGCTGATGCGGTCGCAGGCTCGGAAGCCAAAGCAACGTCTTTCAAATTGGCGATTCGCGCCTTCCGTGCGAACGAGGTCTCGGCCGACGATCTCGTCGATCAGCTGTGGAACGTGTTTGATCAAGATGCCGACAAGGCCGAGCCGATCGTCAAGGGAGTCGCTGGACTCATGGAGGATGCCGACAAGAAGGCGGCGCTGCATGCAGCCTGGCGAGATCGACGGATTGAGGTGAGCACTCTTCTTTAATTACAGTGTTCTGGCACGACAACTAACATTCTCCGATCGGTCCCTCGACAGCAAAACCAGTTTCCCTCTCTGACGGCGCTAGCCCCGACGCTCCATGGTGTCCCCACCACGACGAACAACTCTTCGCCTCGTGCGCTCAACTCTCGTTCGACCCGCGACCAGCGTGATCCCAACATTTGGGCCCGAGTCGAGCAAGCGGCGAACCGTCCCGGTGCGATCGTTTCGGCTAACCCGTTCCCCGCTCTTTCGAGTGCACGGAACGTCGTCCCTGGTATGGCACCTCGTCAACCCGCCCGAGGGGTAGGTCATCATACTCCCTGGTCAGCATCCGCTTCAAGTAGCGGTGCCGGTTCTTCGACACCAACGCCGCCAGCGACGAGATACCCTTCACCTTCCCCGACGTTGGGTGCGATGCCACCACTCCGATCCTCGGCTCATCCACCCTCGTCCACGCCGGTGACTCGACAAGCACCACCCCCTTCGATCGCTCGTCGCACCGAATTTCCTTCCTTGCCCGTCTCGACGACCGAGATCGATCGTCGGGCCCGGATGCGCGCCGCGATGGGGAAACCGAGTCAAACTATTCTCGATGGATCACCCTCGAACGAAAGGAGTGCGAGCCCATGGGGTCCAGGCAATTCGAGGGACGAACAGGAAGTGGACGTCGAGACGAATGAGGGTGTCACTCAGGGAGTGGATAAGAAGAAGAAGAAAAAGACCAAGGTGTTGTTGATGAGTCGTGGGATGCATCATGCATAGATGAGCTGTCAAGATTTATCACGGTCAACGGACGGAAACGGGAAGAGGAGAGCAACTTGGGAATGCAATGCAGGATCAAAGAGGACACAAGGAGTCATGCCAGCATGGGTTCGTACTAGAGAGAGAAGGATTGAAAAGGGAAAACGTGACATCGAACCGCTACCTTGAACAAGCTATTCGAGGCTTCAGTGCTGGTGGCGCCTATGCTTGATCCCACTCTTCGCTCCAGGACTACTGGAGGGGATGGGAGAGGCCGAGGACAAGGGGCCCAAACGCTGGGAGGCCGCAGCGATGCCTTGTACGTTTTGGCCGACTTGCTTGGCGATGCTAGGCACGGCTGACGTCGTGGTCCTGACTCGGGGTGTTCGGGTCGGTCGAGCCGAGCGGGTCGACCTCGTCGTCCTAGCGGCCGCAGTAGTGGCGGCGGCGGCCTTGTCCTGAGCGGTTTGCGCATCCCAGAAAGTCGTCGACCCATTCGCAGCGGGCACAAAGACGAATTTAAGGGGTGCCTCGGCGGTAGGGAACGCTTGCTTGAACGCCGCGTAGTTGCCCGTCGCGATGAGACCACTCTTGGACCAACTCACGAAACTGACGGGGAGGCTCGAACCGTCGGACAGGGTCCACGAGGCGGTCAACTCTTGCGTGATGCAGTCCAAGGACCAGACCGCGCTCTCGCCACGGTAAGGACTTCCGAGGGAGGATTCGGATTGGGCGAACGTCTTGGAGTTCGTTTGGTTCACGGGTGCGACGAAGGCGTAGCCTCCTGACGTGGAACTGAGCGACGAAGGCGCGTTGGGTAGACCCGTGAAGGAGGCGAGACCGACGTAAGGCAAGGCGGCGTACTCGGCGAGGATGCCATAGATGGAGAAGAGGGGAGGGAGGGTCGAACAAGTGGTGGCGGGGAAGTTGACCGTACCAGGTTGATCGGTGGTGTTGGCGTAGACGCCTGATCCGTCCAAGGATCCGTCACCGAGCCATTGCGTGGAAGAAGAACTATCGGTCGAAACGATTTGAATCTTGCCCCATTGTGAAGCCGAGTCGTTGGGCCTGGGTGGATTGGCATGCGGTCCCAGCGAGTTCGAGACAGCCTGAGCGATCAAAAACATAAAGTTATCGTACATGAGCTTTCGTTCTTAGCATACAGGCCTCTGATCCTCCCGGCGTAGCTTCCCGTCGAAGCGCGCGCCAAAATCCGACCCCTAAGCGCGTCGCCGCGCGCGCGCTCTCGACCCCAACTCGACCATTCGGAAGGAATACAAAATGACGAAAAACTCACCGCATCGCTCGCAATCGTCTCGGCATCCAAAGCCTGTTGAGGCGTCAAGCTCAACGAAGCCAAGTTGTTCAAATTCAAAGGCTTGGGCGCTCCAGGAGGTCGTGGCTCTGGGTTCGCGAAGGTGGTGGGGATCGCCGAGGCGGCGAGGAAGGCCAAGAGGGCCGCGGTGGAGACGACGATGCGGGCAGCGCCGATCATGATCGCTTCTTTGATGTGACTGGGGTCAGGATTTCAAGGGGGCGAAGGAAGGTGGCAGAGAAAGGGCTTTGCAGAAGTGTTGAAGTTGAATTGATTTCGTAAAGAGTGACAACAAGTTGGGTTGGAAGGAGGGAGCAAACGAGTGACGGCGTCCGGCGGCCGGGGGGGGGGGGGGGGGGGGGGGGGGGGCGAGTCGTCTGAGCTGGACAGCGATCACTTCGACAGAGAAGACGAAGATCAAGAACCGGCGAGGCACCAAGCGTGACTACAGGATCTTAAGATTTGTCGATGAAGGTGGGTCGTAGATGCCAAGCTCGACTTAACTCTGTGTATCGCCGGCAACGGTGGGGGATGAGAGAGGGAGGTAGAGAGGCCTAGGTCTGGAAGCAGAGCCGCAGACGAATCAGTGATCGGGGCGACGACGGTAGCGGCAGTGAACAATTGATGAAGGTGTGACAAGGGCAAACCAAGCCAAGGTCCACTAAGGGCGATTTGCTTCTTTTGTGATCCGAAACATTTTTTTGATTAGGAATGTTTTACCCTTGGTGGAAACTCCCTTTCGGGAAGTGATTAGCGCGGGCGAGACATGGATCCCGACTAGCCGGATTTCAAATCCGTCGATTTATCGGAAGGCTCTTGCGGTTTCTGGCGATCTAGGCGATCGAGCACGGTGTCCTGCTTGAGCTTGGGCCGAAGGATGGGATGATCAAATACCACGACCACTTGGATCCGCCTTGCCGTCGCTGCAATGACTACCTCGAGGTGTCGAATGATCGCATTGAGGAACAGCCGGCCTCGCTTCGGCTCGTTGTGTTGCGCCCGGTCCGTCGCGGCATGGCGCTGACGTGCGAACGCGGTAGCGCCGTCGATGATGGCGACTGAGTGGAGCACAGTGATGGACAGCGTAGACGGTCAGCTAGGGTTTGCTCGGAAAATCGGGGCGGAGCAGTTACGGGCTGCGAAGGGGCTCTGAGGAAGCGACCTGCCATCGATCTTGCCGACGAGGGAAGCCAGCGCGCTGCTCAGGTTGCTCTCGCGAGAGAGCAGGGCGTCTGGAACGATTTCCACAGCGCCACCGAGGCAGTCGTGACCGTGTTTGACCGTCATCGAGGGAGATATGAGCTGTGTAAGTGCAAGGCGCAAGGCACAGGGTGCAGGGTGCAGGGTGCAGGGTGCAGGAAGAATCAACGGTGGTTGAGAAGGCTGCGCTGCCCATCGCTGCCAGCCGAAAAGCAAACGGGGGCAGGTCCAACAAAAGGTCGTTCGAGCTCAGAGTAGTGTGAGAAGATGCATCATAATATCTCGAATTGTACCGTAAAATAGCCTGTACCCCATATTCGTTAGTTTTGCTCTCAATCTTAGTCTGGTCAAGGCGGCAGCCTCCTTTCGGAAGATCGCAGTGGGGAGCTTGACCGTCCACGATCTAGGCAGCGAGAATCCGCCAATTTTCTGATGAACAATGGTCCGACGTACATGTAAAAAAGGCAAAAAATCTTCTTTCAATATGATTTTGTATTTGGGTGCCACCCTACTTGCATGACGGCCTCGACTCGCTGCGTCGGAGCTCTCGCGTGAAGCCGACCCCGCAACTCTGCTCCGCGGCGGACTCGGAGTTCGGGGTCGTCCCAACTCGGACCAAGCTACAGGAGCGACCACCGCTGTATCGATCGCGGCGATCTCAACTCTGGGGTGATCCCTGGAGCTCAACCTACTTGCTGAGACTTGACCGAGCTTGATCGACAAGGTATTCGGTCTTTCCGAGGGATGGATCGTTGGCCTCGATGTCGGTTGCACGGTCCCCTCTCCGTTCAGATCTTCGGCGCTCTCGGCCGCCCTCGGCCGAGGTGGAGAAGATCGAAAGCTTAAATTCACAGCGTGGCGTCATATCGATGAGATGACTCATTCTACCAAGCGCACACCCCGCACCCAAGTCAGCAACCACCTCGAGCTCGTCGCCTCTCTCTCTTTTCTCCTTCCTTCTCCTCGTCGACGCGCTCTGCACTTCTCGCACCACTTAATCTTGCCGACATCGCCCCCCTTTTCAGGAGGATACGAACGGTGGCCTTTGTGGTGTGGTAGAGTCTGTCGTTCGATCCCTCCCACCGTCAAAAGTGTGAGTAACCACCTAGCTGTGATCGTGTTCGTGTGGCGTAGGGTCGGACTGACTCTCGTGTTTACCCGTCTCGCGTCCGTCTTTCACCACCCCACCTCCATCATCTTACCCCACCCCACTCCTCCCCTCTCCCCTCTCACCGTGATCTCTCGCTTCCCACCTTGCCACTCGGACCTTACCGTCTGTCACTGCGTCACGGCTTGCCATCAGCCTATCCACTCGTCGACGAGTGTTGAATGGCGCCTACGGCATGTCACTGAGGTTGTTCCTGGTCCACAAGACCGCTTGCATTTGATCGTACCCCGTGAGTCTTTGCTTTGACCCTTGATGATTGATCGATGGATCGATCATGCTCGCCGGCCCTTGACGACGGGCGAGACGGGGCTGACGATTCGATCCTCGCCTACACTCTCCAGACAAGCAGCCTCCACTGCGTTCCCGAATCGACCGATCTCCCCTGCTCGGATCGAAGGAGGTTCACGGTACCCCTAACATCAGTGAGTAGCAGGTACCCTAATCCTGTGGCACCAGGTAGCTTACTTCTAGTGCACGCATCAACCTCCAGCTGCACACGGTCTTCAAGCGATCTCCACCTCGGTCGACAAGGTCCCCTTTTCTTTTTCTGTTGCTTTTGAATTGGTTTCACTTCGGAACTCTATGTTGGCGGTGCCAAGTGGCAGGCGACTTGTCCTTGTTTAGTCTAGCCAGATCCAACTCCTACATTGAGCCTCCCTCGTGAACCCTTTTCGTTTTTTAGTAGTTTTTGAGTGCACGTATCGAGATGCGCATGCACCACGGATTTGAAATCCGACTAGCCGGTGCCGTCGTATACTTCCTGAAACGGCCAAGGTCAAGGGGGCTAACGCTGACCGAGACCGGCGCCCGCCCATGATGCGAGTATTCGGGACGGCAAGGCGCACGCAATAATGATGATGTCCCCAGAGCCAAAGAGGTATGTGCGTTCAGCAATCGACCCTACCATGTGTGGCATCATCACAAGTATTCTCAATCGTCACGGAACGATCAATGCTCAAAAATTAGCGCGCCAAAGATTCAGTCACAATCCGGTCTCGGCTGCCGCCCTAAGGCCCAAGCGAGGTGACAGCGGTCCCGACACCATGTGAGCATAAACGTGTTCTTTTTACAGCAGGTGGTGGGGGAGGAGGGGTTCGAGAGCTTAGATTCATGACGTAGGAGAGAACTAGGAAACATGTATGAAGGTGGAGACAAAGTTAGGGAGAGGAAAGTCAAGGGCGGCAAAGGAGGTAGTAGAAAGGGCCAAGTAGGAGGAACGAGAAAAAGGAAAATGACTGTACGATGCGAGTTGACAAGGCGGAAACGGAGGAGTAAGGGATGAATTTGGGATACAGATGATCCCAGCGGAGTGGTTCAAATGATAATAGCGACAATCGATCCCTGAAGCGAAGGCGGAGCCGAAAAGCGAAAGCCGTCAAACGTGCGCGCGGGCTTCTTCACAGCTCTTCTTCCATTTCCGACGGCTGCAAACATAAACACCCGCCAGCATTAGCAGTCCGTCCTTACGAATTTGAAATGAACTGGAAGTGGTCAATCTCACCTTGATCATGCCAGGAACATGCGCAGCGCGTTCCCTCTCCTCAGCCTGCTTCTGCGCGATCGCGGCCTCCTTCTCATCCGCAAAGAGCTCGGCCGTATCGTCGGCGCCTTGGAACTCGCGCATCGAGATGAGGAAGTCGCGCAGACCGGCCTTGAAGCGCACCGAGTCGTTGTTCTGTTCTCTGAGACCTGTCACGAAGGCCGTGATTTGGGCTCTGTGGAGTGAGTAAGCACGGCGTGATTAGTACCGATGCGAGGCTGATCTGAAAGGGGGAGAATGATAACTCACGGTTGCAGATGCGGGAACGCTCGCTTGAGCAAATCGGCGCAGTATTCGCTCACGAACTTGGAGTTGTTCATTGTCGGGTCCTGGATCGTCGCCGGGTCGTACAGCGGCGCCTGAATATCCCCACTCCCCACGAGCCTGAACAAGCGAGCGAGCACGATCGACGTTGACTTGAAGCCCGACTTGTGATCCGCATCGGTCAAGACGAAGAACATGTCCTGCAACAAGGAGAGGTAATAGGCCTGGAAGAAGCCGTTCGATGTCTCGGGTCCAGCCGCCACGATGTTGTCGATCAACTCGTAGCAAACGTTCAGACTGATGTCGGCGATATCCCGAGCGGCGTGCTTGGTGCCCCAGACGATCGAGTCCATAATGAGCTTGAACTGTTGCGGCGGGATCTTGAGCAAGGCGTCGAAGCAGTTGACGTTGATGGCGCGCAAGAGGCGGAAGAAGGCGACGCGATGCTCGGGATAGTCCGACATGTCGACGTTGATCATTGCGAGCGTGCACTCAAAGACCGCATCTAGCACGGGCGGGATCTTGTCCGTCATCAGCGGCCCAAGTCGGTTCACGATCGTGACCATCGTACTGAGCACCTCGGCATCACGAGCAGCGGGAATATCCTGCTTGTAGTCGCCGAGAATCGCTTCGAGCAAAGGTGGGATCAGGTTCGCATTGACCTGCTCCAAATCCTCGGCCTTGCGAATATATGTCTCTCCGACGAGCTTGAGGATCTCCTTCTTGATCGTTCGCAGACCTCGGACCTTGGGTGTCTTCGTCGCGATCAGGCCTTGCTCGGCCGTCGTCGCCGAGATGATGCCCGAGACGGCTCGGTACAGTCCGAGCAAGTCGACGTAGATGCGAGCAATCTGGGGTAGGAAGAAGGTGCCGATCGACGAGCATGCGGCGACGTTCGTCTTGAGCACATTGGACAGGATCTTGATGTTTTCCGGGTTTGACAAGACATCTGTTCCACTCGTTGCGGCTTGAGCCATGATCGCATCCCACTGTGAAGCGATGCCAAGAGTCAGACCGTGGCCCACCATCACCCAGAATCTCGGAAGCAAATACTCACAGCCGCATTCGGTGCCGACATGAGACTGGCGATCAACTGCTCCTGCTGAGGCTTGTTGGGCTGCGCCGAGATCATGTACCCGACGGCTTCGTAGAAGGTGTGGATCTGCAGAGGGGACAGATCGGCGGTGATGCGCTGCAAGTTGCGCAGGATCTCATCGATGAACGGCTCCTGCTCGCCCGACTGCTGCATGACGAAATGCCTTCGGCATCTGTGACAGATACACGCGCTCGTCAGCACTCTTCGGCTCCAAATTCGTCGTCAATTCTAGCAACTCACTTTTGTGCGATCTTGATGAACGTATCGCAAGCCATGTCTTGCACACCTTCGTGAGTTTCGTGCGCAAATTCGAACAGCTTATTGACAACCGTCTTGAGGAACTTCCAGTGCGCCTTGAGGAAGCGCGGGTACTGCCCGACGATGTACATGATGTTGGAAGCGACGACGGCCTTGTTGTCCTTGCCGCGCTTCATCTCGGTCAAGCCCAACAAATCCTTGATGACGGTCACCAAGAATCGTTTCTCCGTCTCTTCGTTCATGGCACCCGAGATGGACCCGATGGCCCAACAGAGCGTGTTCAAATTCGACCAAGACCATTCGGACCCGTCGACCTGCTTGGACAGCTTCTCCGTCATGATCATCTCCGTATCGACGACGTCGAGATGGGTCAGGTAGACAAGCACCTCGCGCATGCTCTTGTACAAGACGATCGTGTCGATCTCCTTGAGGAACTCGCGCACGATCTCGCCTTCGTCGTTCTCGACGATCAACACCTCCTCAGGCTTGGCCATGCGCTCGACCATCACGAGGCGCAGGTTGCTCAGCACCTCGGTGTAGATCTCGCGTCGCCCCGACCCGCTTCCACCCACGCCCGACGAGCCCGGCCCGCCCATACCGAGGTTCAAGAGAGGGTTGCCCATCGTGTTCATGGGGAATTTCTGCATCTCGTCGTACAGGTCGGCCACGAGTTTGGCCCAGTACTCGAGGCAGATCTTGAACACCTCGCGTTCCTCGACCTGGGAGATCTTAATCAGGTACAGATGCGCGTTGAGAAGGACGTCGCGGTGTTGCGGCGTTTCCAAGATTTGGACATGCACCGAGAGGAAGTTGGTCAAGAAGAGCGCGAGGTTGAGTACGAGTTCCTGGTCGGCGTCGGACGAGCTCTCGTACGCGCCGGCGATGTCGGTCGAAGGGGGGATCATCTTGTTGACCGAGGTCATGACGAGGTTGAAGAGGATGATGAACTTGGCGTTGTACTCGGGGCCGATCTGCAACCCTCCAATCTCGGACAAACATTTGAGGGTCACATTCCTGAACTCGGGCACCTCGAGGAACTGTCGATGGACGATGGTGCGCACGTCAGCGCTGACCAAGCAGAAGCAGTCGACACATTTCAGGATATAACTCGCCCTCCCGATAAGGTGATCAATGACGGGGGTTTCGAAGATGTAGCCGAGCGGGATCCAGTTGAGGAAGCGAAGCATCGCCTCGAGCGTGGCCTTGATCAAGCTCGCCTTGTCGGCCTTTTCGAGCACTTCAACACAAAGACTGAAGACTTCGGAAAATTCTTGACACTGTGATGTCACCATTTCCGCAGAGTTTAGATACTTACACGCAAACCGCACACTGAGGAATCGTCGCGACTCACAATCTGCGCCTTCAATGCCTTGGTTTTGGCAGTCGTCATTTGCTCGGCCGAAAACTCAAAGATCTCCTCCGACAAGAGCTTGAGAATGACCATGTTGTTTTCGCATATGGTCAGGTTCGACTGGGATGAGGAGACGATCTCGCTGATGAATGTCGGCCACTTGTGCGGCCTGGGCGGGAGCACCGCACACTTGAGAGTCAGTCGTCGGCTCTTGGACACGGTCACTCGGGAGAACTGACCACTCTTGCTTGAGAATCTGTACGAGGATGAGGTTGAGCTTGTTGACGTAGCTCTTTTGCTTCCTGAGCGTGGCCTCGTCCTCGGACGACTTGACGATGATGCCGACGATAAAGTTGCGGATGCCGGAGCGCTGGTCGTCGGGCAGGATCTTCCACCGCGTCTTGATGAGGCGGTCCATGATCTGCAGCGCGATGTACTTTGTCTGGGCGCTGGCCGAGCGTTCGAGGATCTCGGGCACGCGCTGCCACGCGTCGGGGTGCTCCTGGAATTGGGCCAGGACCGTCGACGCTTGCGCTTGCTGTGAGGGGCGGGTGCGGTCATAGTCATGAAGACGTAATCGAATGATCAGATGGGTATCGTAATCGAGCGCAGCATGACAGCTTCCAAGACAACATGAGGGAACGCACCTCGGTACCTCGGCCGGTCAGGAAGACCTGGGCGACCTGGTCGAGCAAGTTGACATCGAGCGGCACACTAAAGTTGAGGATTGCCTGCGGGAATCATTTAAAGGGGGGGGGGGGGGGGGGAGGGGGGGGGGGATGACCAGACATCAGTGGTTGAAGGTGGCTAGCGGTGGGAGGACAGCCAGTGGTGGTCGCTCGGTCGTGCAGGGTTCGCGCTCCGAGTAGCGTAGGCATCGCATGTGCAGGACATGGCAATGTACTCGAGCGTGCTACCATCAGTCGTCGTCGTCGTGGATGACGAAATCGTACACGGTCGGTCGAGGGCTGATGATGGACCGATGGCGCGCACGTTGGTTGAGACCTGACGCGCGATGGCGTGGCTCATGTGTGTTGACGGGGTGCAGTACGACACCCAAGTGACCAAGTGTTGACCATTCTCATGGGTATCGCAAGTGAGGTGGTGGTAGGTGTCTACTCACGTCCATGATGCCGAAGGGACGATGTGGTGGGGGGGGAGGTGCCTCGGCCCGTGAGCGATGATCGTCGAGCGCGACGAGAGAACAAGAGACCGAGAAACGACGAAACCGAGACTGAGAGCGAGACGAGAGCTGCGTGGGGGGCATACAAGGTGTGCGAGGTGGGGTGAGGGGGAGGGGTGCGACCAACAAGGACAGGACGACGTCAGCTGATGCGGTGGCCATGGACCACGACTCCCGCCCGGCACTGACCGGCGGTGAGCAGCGTTGACCGCGACCGTGTGACGAACCCTTTGAGCCCGAAGCGGTGGTGGTCGGGAGGGGGAGATGGGAGATGGGAGGGGCGAGACCTTTGGTCGTCGGCGGTAGTGGTAGATGGGGTGGGAGGTGTGAAGGCAGGGAAGGGGCCAGGGAGTGAGCTCAGCCCAGGCGGCGGGAACGCGCCGCGCTTCCCGTGTCGGCCCAGGTCGGCCCTGGTCTATGGGCCGCCGTTTGGGCAACAAATGCATCTGCGCGCCCGGGGCCATTTGCGCGTTACGACTCGTTTGTACGCGCGCCGAAAATCGTGCAATTGCGCGCCATTGGGCCTTCATACGCGCGTCATTCACAGCTTTGCATCCCTTGGACGCACTTTTGGTCTCTAACGCGCTCTGAATCCGTCGGAGTTGCGCGCTTTTCAGGAAAAACATCTGTTTCAGGCCCCTATTGGCGGTCCACGCGCGTTTCGCTCGCTGTTAGACTCGCTCGCCCCACCGTATCCGCGCACGGAGGGGGTATTACACGCGCTCCAGCGCACTCATGCGCGCGCAATCTACTCAATCTGCGCGCTTTTTGGCATTTTTCCAAAAATAAAAAGAAAATCGGAAAAATAATTTTGATTTTTTCAATTTTCATAGCTAAATTCCGAACCCCGCACTCCCCGCTCTTTACGATTTGCGCGCCTCGGAAGCTGCTTACGCGCGCTCGCAAACAGTTCTCACGCTCGCAGAATCGCAGATGCGCGCGACCGGAAACGCTCTCACACGCTCGCGGCGCTCTGATTCGCTCGCAGCTTTTTCCCTGCGCGACAACCGACACCGACTCGGAGGAGGATTGCCTTTTTACTCCGCGGTGTCGATCTCATTTTCATGGCAGGAGGGCGTTTGCTCCGATTGCTAAGTCTTGATGTACTTGCAAATAGTGACATTGCTATGGTGTACTGGATTGGTGGTGTGGCTGTTGAAAGCGTTCGAGGCTCAGGGCTGGGCATTCCGGCTCCAACGTTAACGTTCCAGAGCTCCAGCCTAGAGCTAGGGCTCGTTCCAGAGAATTATTTGTCGGGGAGGCCTGACAAATCCTGCGCCGGTGCTCCTGGCCAAGAGTCTTGGTATGCAGCAGCAGAATCGTATATCAAACATCAGCACTGGAAGTCTGATCCAGCCTGAAGCAGGAGGGCTCAAAGACTCGACAAAGAGCTCCCAGCTTGCAACGTACCTGCACCCTTGGCGGCCAACTCCCTCTCCCAAGTCGGAATGATGCCTTCTAATGATGGCATTTGAAGGCTGTTGAGTGAAACAGAGTCGTTATGAAAGCGGGGAATATTTGGACAAGGTTGACGTGGGGGCGGTGCCACGGTGTGTGTGGAAGAAGGCGGCCGCGCGAGTCCGCGCGAGTGTCGCGCGTGAGCTTGCGTGTGACTCGCGCATGAACGACCGGAGACGAGGCTAGACGAGTCGCGGGCGCGCAGAAGCGTTCGGCGGCGCGCGCATATCCATATTTCTGGGCGCGCGGAGGCCCCGGGCGCGCAGATGCATTTGTTGCCCAAACGGCGGCCCATACTGGTCGGCCTTGTTCTGACCTGTTCTGCCCCTGTTCTGCCTGGCGCGGTTCTGCTCGGTTGCGCCTTGTTCTGCGCCGCGCCACTGCTCCGTCAGGTCAGCCAGCTCGGACAACAATATTCCGACTCGAAAATCTGGAAACGTCTCGGATAACTCGATTCTGCGGTGCTCGGTACGATCTCGCCCGAGTAAGGATTAGTCTCAAGTCACCGGTATACCCGGCGTACGCTCGAGCCTGTCGCCCGGCGCGATCTGCAAGCTGGCGCGATCACTCGCCGACGCGCACCGACTCGGTTCGGACTTATCCCAATTGCGTTCCACCACCTTCCTTTGCCATCGTACCGACCTTACCCTTGTAGAACTCTCACCCTTCACCGCCGGTACGGGTACGATGGGTCTCTTATCCAACTTAGGCTTAGACACCGGTAACGAGGTAGGATTCCCCATCGATCCGGGCCTAAGCCACTAGACTCGTCGACGTCACTCCTCCGCTGCGGGCTGAATCAGCTGACCTGGCCGCCGCGCTTCTCGTTCCGGGCTCCTTCACGGTCCTTTTCCAGACGCAGCAGATCCAGAAACTTGCGCACGAACTTGATCAAGCGAATCAGGTAAGACTAATCGACCTTGAGCATCCTTGACCAAGGCCGGGTCTCCAATGCTACCTCGGCGCGATCGTGTGCCCGATGGTGCCGGGTGCCGATGACAGTGCCGGTGGTGGCCGGGCGCGTGCGGACCTTTCGAACCTTCAAGACATCTGGATCTGGATTCGCTTGCTTTGAATCATCGCTTTTGTGCGGTCTAGCGAAGCTCGGACGCAGACACGTCAGCCGTTGTGGGCCGACCGGCCCAGACCGGCCAGGGGCTGCCCCCACAACTCCGGCTATCGGCCTGCACACGACACACGATCGATCGGCCGAGCTGAGCTTCGGAGATTGGAGCACCGCAGCACGGCAAGAGCCGAGAGTCACTTGAGATATGCGAGCGTTGAACCGACCGCTCCACTTTGCATCCCTTTCCATCAAATAGCACGCACACCACCTAGCCCTCCAGAACCGAGCCGCGCAGCACCGAATCCGCGAACTCCAAGACCTCCTCGCGATCCAACAACGTCTCACCTCGGACACTCAAGCGACCCTCCACCTCACCGAATCACGCCTCGAATCCCTGACCCATTCCTACAATTCGACCCAAACCGAACTCTCGACCCTGCGTACCGAACTCTCCAAAACGCCCACCACCTCCTTGGACCTTTTCTTTCGCTACAGACAACTCCAAGACCTCTGGGACCAAGCTCGCGATACGCTCTCTTGTCCCGTCTGCTTCGATTTCATAGGGAAAGGCCAAGTCGTTTCCCTCTTGTGCGGACATACATTCTGTCAAGGCTGTTGGACCGAATGGGAGAACAAGCATTTGGTCGAGTTCAAGACTTCGACCCAACAGGGAAGGTATTTCGGGCCGGATTGTCCAGAGTGTAGAGAGTCCGGAGTGAGGCATGGGAAGGTTAGGGTTTGGGCGCTAGAGGAAGTCATTAGGTTTGTTGAGAGGGGGACGAGGGAGACGGAGAAGATTCATACGCAAGAGGAGATTAGGCGGATATTGGGTGACCACACGGATTCCTCACCGTTGCCGCAGCAGCAGGATCCGACATTCACCCGGCATCCACCCGCGCCGACTAGCCCTATCGAGACATCGGAAGGAACACATCGAGACTCTACACCAGCGTCCGGCCAAGACACTTCACCGGATCAACTCGAACCTCAGTCCGTCACGATCGACGCAGAGGACGAGGAATCATCCTGGACGCTTTTTTCGGACGAATCGACATCAACACCGCCCTGGGAAGGGTCGCTAAAGAAATAGTCGGGTATCGCCGCGTGTGCAAGCGTTTGTAAAGCTGACTCGCTCGCGTCCACCACGGCCGAACCAGAGCCAGGGGCATTGGCTTGGCTATTGAAAGTATTCGCAAACGTATCGGACGCGTCCAGCGACGCTGCAGATCGAGAGCGGGGGTCGAACGATCCGACGCGAGTGGCGGTCCCTGGAGTCGAAGCAGAAGCAGCCGGGCTCAAGTCCTGCAGGCTTGGAGCCGAAGGTCGACCGTTGGCGGGGCTGGATCCATCCATGACCACATCGTGTACTCCTAGTTCGGAATCGAGGCGTTGCTGCTCTTGCTTGAGAATCGCAGGCCCCGATGACGTGTTGGGACTGATGACGAGGTTTTCGAGCAAGTGGGACAGCTGCGATCGGTTCCAAGCGGCCATCTGAGCTGCAGCGTCGGTGCTCGAATCACTTTGATCGAAAAAAGCTCGGTACTTGGCCATGAGCAGTTCTTCTCCTTCGACCGCGAGCAAGTACCCCTGAGATAAAGTGCACAGGGCATGTGATCGGTCGATGAGCGAGCCGAGTTTTTCCTGAACTGAGAGGGGGCACTTACGACGAATCGTTCGAGACCCGTGATGCGCTCTGCAAGATTCTTGGTGAGACCTGCTTGAGGACCTCGTTTACGAGTCGGTCGTGTGAAGGTGCATTCGTGGGCGGAGCCTTGCTCGGTGCAGATCACACACGGCGAGTCAATCGAGGGGGCATTCGGGAAAGCTTCGCACTTGACGCGTCGTCGTCGGCATCTATTCCGCCGGGTTTGATACGGTTTCAGCGATGTGAGATCACGAATCAGCTTGCTACAGTGCACAAGCAGACTGACTGATCGCACTGTAGCAATGAACAGGGTGGATATGGAATCACGGTGGTGGGGCACAGCCTCGGGGAGAGCGAGAGCGTGGCGTGTCAGCGCAGCAAGCGTTCTCTGCAGCGAGCGACGTTGTACCTACGGCTTTGGTGACCCTTTTCTGCTTCTTGGGTGCGCGCTCATTCGAGTCCGAAGGCGGCGAGTGGGGCGGCGGGTGCTGGTGCGGTGGTACGACCGCTGCCAGTGCGGACGACGAGCTCGAGGTCGAAGCAATCGGCCCCAACGACGCCGACGCCGGTCTGGCGACCATGACGATCGAACTGGCCCAGTTTGATTGGTGACGGGTTGCGCCGTGCCCTGTGCGAACCGAGTAGATCTGGTTTCGGCGCAAACGTCGGCGGTGCGAACAGGAGCGCGATCGCCTACGCGCCCCAGCCTCAGGTGTGATAAGTTGTGGGGTAAATCGAGCCAGATCGAGCCCGGAGCGGCCGAGCGGGGCCGAATGAGCAGCGAATGAGGCCGAAAGAGCCCGAATGAGCCCGAATGAGCCGCGGCTTTCGCCGAGTGCGCCACCACTCGCTGCAACTGGGAGCTTTCATTGCAGCTACCTACGGTCACAAATACCAAGCTCTTCGCGGAGGGAAAGGACCTACACTCGGACGACCAAGAGCCCTCGTCTCCCCCACCCAGCAGCCGTCGGTGAGCCGGGGCGATCGGTACCCGTGAGGCCGACGGAACGTCGTACCGGCGTCGTGCGACCTGGCCCGACAATGCCTCACGCACCGCTGTACGATGCAGATGCCACCATCGCTCTCATTGGGATGCGTGAGTGCTATTCCAGTGATCGGCCTCGCAAGCTGAAGTCATGCAAGCTCGCAGCGAGCGTCGGCTTCGTCAGGGGGCAGAGGGCAGAGGCAGAATGATCCGCGACGGGAGACGCTCGAGTGCGACCAGACGTGTACCTTTGGCTGACGATCGTATCACCTTCTGTCGCGTCGATTAGGTGGAGTCGGCAAGACTACGCTCGGTCTTATCGCGGCGACTTCCCTCCGGCGCCAGTTCATCGATGCCGACTCAGCCTTCCAGACCCTGCACGGACCCATCACCGACTTTGTCAAAGGTAAGCAATGTTCACCATAGATTGACTCATATGATCCACCTCGGGGCCATCCAACCGCTTGCGGGAAAGTAGTGATTTCCTCCGCGGCATCCTCCGGATCCTGGCTGAGCCCCCACATGATGGTTTCTCACCCGCAGCTCGCGGCTGGGCCGACTTCCGTGACAAGGAGACGGCCATTCTCAAGCAGTTGCTCCACCAATATCCACATGACTACGTTATCGCGTGCGGAGGAGGCGTCGTCGAACGCGAGGAGAACCGCTCGGCATTGCGACAATTCAGAGCGTCAGGCCATCCGATCGTACACGTCGTCAGGGACAAGGAGGAAACGATTCGGTATCTCGTGGACGAAAACGCGAGGCAAGCTTCATCTCGGCGCACCTTGTGATGTCCTTGCGCCCGCTGACCAACGACTCGGCCTCATCTCAGACCGTCCTGGGGCGAGGAGATTCGCGCCGTGTGGAGTCGAAGGACACCTTACTTTGAAGACCTCTGCTCCCACACCATTGTCTCTCTCACGGCATATCCTCCACCGTCATCGCCGCAATTCCTCATGAAGCACGTCGAAACCGCCTTTGTTCGGCTGCTACGTTCCATTTTTGGCCTCGCCTCGTCCCACGTCCCGCTCGTCCCTGGCCCCAGACCATCTCCCATCGCTGGCCCTAGCTCGGGAGAGTATGGAGGGTATGGCGCCTGCGAGAGCGAGATGGGGCGCGGTGCCAAGGGCCAGAGGACAAGCTTTGTGGCGCTCAACTTTCCCAACCTGCTCAACGTTTCGGGCGAGACCATACGCAAAGTCGCCGGTGGTGTCGATGTGATCGAGCTGCGCGTGGATACGTTGCGGCAGTCACTGCCCGAAACGCCGCCAGACTCGCGTGGAGTGTCTCCTGCTCCGGAAACTCTACACAAAGCTCGTTCAAACGGCAAGGGAGGAACACAAATGCCGTCACCTCACTTCGTGACACTTTGCTTCGGCCACTTGCGGCGGTGCTCGCCGCTCCCAATTATGTACACCGTGCGGACGAGATCGCAAGGGGGTGAATTTCCAGACCTCGAAACCGAGGAATTAATGGAAAGGTATCTGGCGCTGGTCGAACTTGGCTTCAAGCTGGGTGCCGAGTATGTCGATCTTGAATTGTCCCTACCAGATGCAGAGATCGTGAGACTACTTGCGTTGCGAGGGGCGGCAACGCAGTGCCTCGGGGCTGACCACGATCGCGTAGGCGCATGGAAATGGGACTCCCTAGAGATGGTGGACAAGTACTCGCGAGCGGCACGACTCGGTGTCGATATCATCAAGTTCGTCTCTACTCCGACATCATTCGAATCGAACCTCGAGCTACTCAAGTTCCGCGCGAAGGTCTTGACTCTTAAATCGGTCGACCGGACAATATCTCTGCTTGCGATCAACCTCGGCAAGGGCGGTCAGCTCTCTCGTTTTCTCAACCCAGTATTCTCGCCCGTTACGCACCCGCTTCTTCCTGGCAAGGCAGCTCCAGGCCAATTGACCTACGCTCAAACACAGCAAGCCCTCTTCTTGTCCGGTCTCACACTTGAAAAGACATTCTACGTCCCGTCCCACGCTATCGCCGATTCGTTCTCGCGGGAGGCGCACCACCTTGGTCTACCGTACACCTTCGTTGTCAAAGACCGTCTGTCTCTCCGCGAAACCGAAACCGACTTTGGCGGGGCCTTTTTCTCCCCTCGCAAGGCCCTCCGAGCCGGCACGCAGAGCCCGTCGGACCAAGTCCTCCCTCCCGCAAAAGCAAGCAGCTGGATCGATCTCGTCGTGCCAGCTTGCTCCGAGCCGACGAGCTACGATGAACCACCGATACCAAAAGGATGGTACAAGCACACAAACGTCCGAGTGCTGGCGCTGGCCGACATCATCACACAAAACCTCAGCCCTATCAACGCCGTCGGAGTGCACACCTCGGCTTTGCTCGTGGGTCTGGGTGTCAAGGATTTGGCCGAAGTTCTCGAAGCTTTGGACATGGTTGGAGCCCGGTGGGTGCACCTCTATGCGTGCGAAAGCGAGAGCACACCGTCCGGCCCAAACACTGCTGGTCGAGCCGAGTCCATCGTCGCTCCCTCCCCTCGATCTGCAACGGCTCATCGCGCAGCCTCTATCGAACCGCTCTCAAGGTCACATACGCCGAGCGTGCCTTACCCACACAATGCACCTTTGCAAGCCTCGACGATATCGTCGTTTTCAGACCCGAGACTGTACTCCCGGCGGCCACCTACCATCATCATCGCCGCTGAGAAAGCCCCCACCCTACCGGACTTTTTGTTCGCCAGTCCGACAGGTGGTGCGGCCGTAGACCTCGCTTCGGGCAAGGACGTGGAAGGAGAGCTCAGCCGAGCAATTGAGAGCAAGGCCGGTCGGTCGGTGAAGGAGGGGTGGCGGCTGCTTTCAATCAAGGAAGTGCAGACAGAGGTGGAAAGACAGGCATTCCGAGCTTTGACCGGTAGGCGCATGGGATCGTAAGTTGTCAAGTACGTGTGGAAGATGCAAATTGCGCAACCTCAAAACTATATAACGAGCGACTACGGGGCCACCGTGAAACAAGAATTAAGGCCGATCGAATTGTCTGGCACTGCCAGGAACCCTTCTCGCCTTCGTCACCACGTATCTGGACCAAAGCCTTGAGGGGGCGGGTTCCGGTGCGATATACCGGCCCAATCGGCAGTGTTCTTGAAGACGTTGTTTCCCCACCTAGAAGAACAGATTCTTGGATTAGCTTTGCCGATTCGATTTTTGGTCACTCGAGAGAGCCCACACGCACCAATCGAGTGCTTCAACCATCAAGGCGAGGTGGCAAAGGGATCGTCAATGAGCTTGCTGTAGTTTCCCTGCCTCCCGTACGCTGGCAACACTCACTAAGTTGCCCGTTCTTGGGTAGCATCAATGAGAAAAAGATGATGAGCGCGCTGAACGTAGTCCCCGAGTCGAGCCCGGCCGAGATGATGTATACGTATTTGGACCAAGTTGAGAAGTGACGACGGCGTAAGCAGTATTCTGCAGGTGGTTACATCAGCCGGGTCGATCACGAAGAGTGAAGGATCTGACCGCTCCATATTGTGGCTTACGAAAGACAAAGCCCACAATGAAGCAAGACGAGTACTACGATTCCGAGACACCCGGCACCTCGGGTCAGTACTGGAAAAAGACAATCACGGAGAGCGGACGAGCGGACGAGCTCACGTTGATCCCGTTCGCGCTCGTGATGGAGAGGGCGGCGTTCATCGCCACCGGGAGAGACACATACGCCAACCAGCTTCTTGGCCACCGCTTCTCACACATCCAAGGGAGGAGTGGGGCAACTGCGCCGGCCAAGACGCAAAATAGTAAGGGGCTGTACTGTTTCCCCGGTCCGAACAGCCTCGAAGGGCCGATAGCTCCCCTATGCGGTGAGGTCTTGCGCGTTAGCAGATGCGATATGACCTTCCGTCGTGTGGTTTCGTGCTCACCATATGATAGACGCCGAGTAAAAAGTGCGAGTCGTCGGACAAACGAGGAGCGCACTCTGCCCGCGTTGACAAAAGTCCTCCACGTTGGCAACCAGCCATCGCTTTACCCCGATCTGTGCGAGACAGGTGACAAAAACGGCGACGACTTGCACTATTTGACGATGTTTCTTTTTCAGTGGAACCGAGCAAATACGGGAGAGTTAGATGATGACTTACCGAGAAAGGTGACTCGAGGGGGAACTGCAAAGTAACACAGGTCCGCCAGGTGAACCTTCGGGTCCCGTCTAAGAGAGCATTCTCAGAAGGAAAAGTTTCAACTGACCTTTCATGTAGTGTCCAAGTTTGAGGTCCTGCACGAAGGTGAGTCCGACTTGGGTAGTGGTGATGGTGTAAATCTTGAACAGCTGGGAGTGGAATGTTCAAGTCAGGGATTGATCCCAATGCCTAACCCTGCTTCTACGGCGTACCATATTAGCCGATGGATTACCCTTCATCATGTACCCCGCTAGCAATTCGCTCGGAACATTGACTTGAAGCTTTTTTCGAATACTTGGGAATATAGTCAGGAATAAGGCTGTCCCCCAGCTCAAGGTGACTTCTGACTCACCGCGGTGGCACTCATGGCATACACGAATCCGGCGGGTAGAAGAACGAGGCCTCCCAGCAGAGAGGCGATCAGCACTGCCCACACAGGCGTCTTGGTAGGCCATAACTGAGGACTCCCATAGTAAGTCAGCTCCGCGCAAGAGTACCGCGCCACCCCAAAAACAGGCTGGGCAACACTTACTCCTATGGCGAGCATCGCCAGCCCCAGCGCAGCCGTCGCGAATGATGCGTAGACCCAGTCCGGAACGTCGGGATAGGACTTCATGAGTTTGCTATGTATATCCTCCCGCTCGGTCTGGCGCCCCCGTAGCTTCGCCCAGATGTCTCGGCCGTGATAGATCCCCGTGTGTGTCAGCGCTGCCGGCAGAAGAGCGAGGGCGAGGCCGACTGCGCACACGTAGGTCGACGTGAGAAAGAGCGGCGAATACTCAGTGTATGCGGCAGCATCTATGGTCGCCTCATGTTGATTGAAGATTCTGGAGAGATTGTACATCTGACCGTACCGATCAAACACCGCGCTTGCCGATATGGGGAGGTAGTACGTCGACCACACGCCGCTGTAGTACAGGGCCGGCGCGACGATCCAGTTGGTTACCACGAAGCAGCCAAAAATGTTGGCAATCGCCCACCACGGGATGACAAGAGGTGAGGTGATAAAGGCGATCTGAGCCCAGTCGAAGGTGAGCAGAGACATCCCGAGTCCCGTGTTGACCCCGAACAGCTGGTTTACGATCGTGTTATCTGTGGGAGGCATCATCGAGAGGGGGAGGATCAGCTCAAGCTGAAAGGATTATACTAAGTGGAAGCGTATTAAGCACTTGCTTGGAGCTATCCAGCAGACGAAAGAGAAAGCGGAGAGGCCCTGGAAGATGTATCCTTCACGGATGGACGGGAGGTAGTGAAATCAGTCCAGCTAGTTGGAGGAGGTTTTGCCCCTCGCAAGAAAAGTGCGTACCTGGTATCCAGTACCATATTGCCGCACCCACGATGACGTACGTGAACACTCGTAGTCGAGGGATACCCACTGAATCTGGCTCCTCGTCTTCTTCCGCGTGAAAAGTCGCGATGAGGGTTGCCAAGAGCAAATTCTGTGGCCAAAGCAAACTTGCCGGCCAGACGAGGAACCGGCGATACAAGCCCGCGATACCGAACCCGAGTATGCAGGAACTCAGAACGAGCAGGAAATCAAACTGAAAGCTGTACTTGATCTTGTAAAACACTTCGGACGCCACAGAGTAGTTGAGCGCGTAGCTGGGCATCGGCCGGAGCGGGGGCTGGCATCAGTTCACGTGGGTGTGCAATGATCGAGCTTGATGTAAGTCTAACAAGCATCACTCTTAGGCTTACGGGGGGGTTAATCCAACGTTGGCCATCATGACGATCACCGCATGTTCCTTCTGGGAAAACGGACCAGGATTGAGACTTATTGTCGTCCCAAGCCGTAAGCATCGAGGAATGGACCACTCCTTGATCGGCAGCAACATCGCCGAAAGCTTCCCGAGAGGGTATGCCACGATCAAGGTGACGAGAGGAGTGATCGCAGGCTGCCATGTTCCATCTGTAAGTCTGGTGCAGCCTCAAATAGGTGCAGTCTAACCGACTCACTGAGGGGTATCGGAAAGCGAGGAACGTATTGGCACTACCCAGCAAGATGCAAAGGGTCAGGCCGAGGAACCAACTCCGAAACGTGAGCGATGGAATGATGGGGTCGTCCCAGTTGGAGACACTGGCGCGGACTTCAGCGTAGGGTGAGTCCTCTTCGATATCTCCACTGTCGGAAGCCGCGTCAGTGCTCACTTGCACGACCTTTGCGAGGTGGTCGTCGCTACCGGCGCCGTACGAGCTCGACGCATGCGGCTGGTTCGGATGGACGTCGATACTCTCCAAGCGAAAGTTTTGTCTGTCTGACTTTCCCCAGGGCGACGGATTGACACTTTTGCCAAATGGGTTCAATCCGACCTGAGACCCGTCGTGTGACTCTGACTGGAAAGAGGCTTCCGTGTCGCACCTGCGGCCGGTGGATGTGCTCGACCCGAATCCGTGGTGACCGGACAGCGAGTCTTCCGAGTCCGAATTTTGGTACCCGACCCGCAGCCGACCTCCCAGATCTACGCAGAAAGTCGCGTTGTCGAACGCGATATCATTACGAGGAAGCCTATACCCCGCACTTGGCGGTACGCCGCCCGTCGAAGGTCGCGGTGGCCCCTGATGACCATGTGTTCGATCCGAAGGGGCTAGGCCCTCGTCGTGCTCGCGCGAAAAGTTGAGCTGTTTTGGCGGAGTGGAGCGTGCGCTGCCATCAGGGGCAACTGTGATGGTGTCGGGTGTTGGAGGTGAGCTTGGGTGCGAAGGCACCCCCAACGGGATGGAGCGAGTCGGCTGGTCCGCCGTGGACGGTCGAGCGAAGGAGAACATCCCATCATCCGACCCCGAATGCATGTCGTCATCTTCACTGTGGCCGTAGCTACCAACGCCTTGGTCGAGGTTGCGGCGGTCAGAGCGGCTCGTGCTCGGTCGCGGGGCCATGTCTCGAGCTGGTGTCGACGCGTGAGTTTCACCCGCCTACTCGAGGACCGACGAGGTGGAGGGCACGGGTGGCGGAGGGGCAACCTGAGTCCCCGACACTACCGTCTCAGTCCAGACCGTAGAACGACGGAGCAAATGGTCGGGCTCTCCGCACTCGCCTCGGAGCTCGATTATGGAAGGAGAGATAAAGCGCGCTAACTTCTAAGAATCAGGCTAGTGTGATCGCGGTTCAGGGGCACGCGCGAGCGCGCACGTGGCGGACCCGTTCGAGAGGGGCTAAGGGCCCGCGCGCCGCACGCGCTGAACACGGTATGTAGTCTGTAGAGCACCGGTTTCACTCAAAGTGATGCTGTGACCTGTGGTTTTAGAGTTGTACTTCTCGAGCTAGTCGCGACACCGAAATCCAGCAATATGAAGCCTAGCAATACAACCTAGAAATAGAAATTTCAAAGACAAAGACGAATTTGACCAACGCACACAACAAGCACAGACAACCACTCAAAACCCCACAACGCCCAATGTCTAATTTCATTTCAGGAGTCCATCAATTCCACGTCGTTCGCCCAAATCCTTCCTCGGGCGGCACCTTGAAAGAGTTGCCCAAAAAGTCGAGCGTATTCGTGAACACCGTGTTGCCCCACCTGTACACACAAAGCAGGGTGGACGTCAGAACTGAGGAAGACAAAAGTGAAGCGACCGCACAACCCACCAATCAACGACTGGAAGGTGGTACCAAAAAAAAGCATTTGAAGTGAAGCGTCAGCGCCGGTGCTCTGCGAAGCAAGTATGTAGACGAAGGATGTGTCTCACAGATAGTCCCGCCCTTTGGAAGCACCAAGGCAAGGAAGATGACGATGCCGCCGATGATGGTACCGCTATCGAGCCCGGCTGACAATACAAAGTTGTACTTGGACCACCATAAGAATCGGTGACGACGCAAGAGATACTGAAAGACGAAGCCGGCCAGGAACCACGATGCGTAGTTGATTCCAGTAGCGGGAGGGACAAGTTGAATACCTGCACATCGGCTCGAAGTTCGGTCAGTCCAACCTAAATCGCGATAAGCCTGTACCATTGATTGTGTCACTCACCAACCAGTGCGACCGGGAAGTTGATCAAAGGCGCGAAACTGCGTGGAAAACGCCGTGCTGCAAGCCACGCAACGATCGGCAAAAGTACGCCGGGTAACAGCCACCACAGTAGCTTCGAGTAATACGCCCCGACGCCAATTATGCGCTGTGGTCCGATGAGTCCCCTTGAAGAGTGGGTGAACGAAAGCATCAGCATTTGCCACGGTGATATGGCCCGGTATGTTTGCCCTTACCATACGATGGACGACGAGTAAAACACTCGTGCTCCAGGGCAGATCAAATGCGACGCCTGGGTTGGCGAGCAAAAGTCTGGAACGTTTGAGACAAGCAGTCGCTTCACTCCAACCTGGACGAAACAGGCCAGGAATGTCGATGAAAGTTGCGCTAGGTGCGAGCCGAATAAAAACCACCGTCAGCATCGTGGCAGGATATTACATTCGAATAACCACTCACCGTAAAACGTTATGCGAGGTGGAACTGCGGGACAAAATGAAACACGGAGATCAGGAACGTTCACATTTGCCAAAAGCGTGACCGTGGACCTACTTTTCTGATAATGACCCAGCTTGAGATCCGAAACAAAAGCGAGCGTCACATTGAGCGATTGCGCAGCGTATGTTTTGAAAATCTGGTGGGCGGAAGGTCAACACTTGATGGGATACTGAGCAAGTGCTAAGAACTGACCATGTTGGCCAAAGGCTGCCCAGGAAATAAATAACCCCCGACAATTTGGGTGACCAAATTGATTGAAATCTGAAAGAAGACAGGCGTCCATCAGCACGAGCACCGCACCGGCAGGCTTGTGCTTCCGGCTTACCACCACGTTGGCCAGCGCATAGACAAATCCTCCAGGAATGGTGTAGAGCGTCGAAAGCGCAAGGGCAAGTATAACTCCCCACACGGGCATCCTTGTATCAAATGCCTGCGCAAGCCACATCGATGTGAGTAGCCAACTCCTTGCGACCGACACTACTCAGTCGTACTTCAGACTTACGGCGACTGCACAAATCGACAGCCCTAGGGCCACACCGGCTACGATAAGGTACCACCACTCGGGAACCTCCTTGTAGACGCGCATGAGCTTCATATGAATGTCGTCATCTTGTATGGTGGACGCCTTGATCCGACGAACAATGTCGGGTCCATGGTGGAAGGCAGTGTGAACAATGAGCGCTGAGGCTGTCATCAAACCGACCCCGTAGAAGATGGCATAGGTGATGGGAAGATACATGGGCGAATAAGCTTGGTAGGCCTCGAAGTCCAGTGAAAGAGTGGCCTTGTTGATGACAATGGAAGTATTGTAAGGTGCCCCAAATCGGTCAAAGACGGCGGAGGTCGAGATCGGCAAGTAGGCGCTGTCCCATACCTGTGAAGAGGATTGAACGTAAGTGATAACTCCTGGGCAGGTACGAATGCACGACCGTTCACGCACATTATTGTAGTATAAGATTGGCGCTAGGACCCAAAAAGCGACTACGAAGGCCGTGAAGATGTTGACAATTGCCCACCAAGGAATGACAAGCGGTGAACCAATGTACGAGACCTGTGCCCAGTCAAGGGTAAGCCCAGACATGCCTGCGAGCAGGTTATTCAAGTTCAGCACCGAAACCATCGCGTCGTTCATAATACAGCGTGATATCCGGCAGCTCACCGAGTCCTGAATTGACGCCAAACAGCTGGTTTACAATCAGGTGGTCTATGAACGGCGGAGTTAGCAAATGCATAGAGTCCCCTGGCCATATTCGAGTGTAGGCGTCACTCACTGGGCGCAGCCCAACAAACGAAGGAGAATGCCGAGAGTGCTTGAAAGAGAAACCCTGTCCTCAGAATTAATGAAGTGGCTATGAGCACGGCGCAGAATTGAGCAGAATTGAGGAAGAATACGCACCAGGGATGAAATAATAGCAGAAAGCAGCGAGTAGCACGTAGGTCAGGAAGCGAAATCGCGAGACCCTTCCTCCGGGTTCATTCTCGTCTTCGGCGTGCAAAGTGTTGAGCAAGGTGCAGTAGACGAGATTTTGCGGCCAGATCATCGCCGCCGGCCATACAAGGAAACGACGACACAAGCCCGCAACACCGAAGCCCGCAATCTGGGTCGTAAGGATGAACAAAATGTCGAAGCCGAAGCTGTACGAGATGTCATAGAACTTCTCTGCTGTGATCATGAAGTTGAGACCGTAGGCTGGCCCAGTTGCGACGTTTGCAATGATGACAAGAACGGTGTGCTCTTTGATATTGAACCAACCGGGATTGAGACTGAATTCATCGCTCAATCCCATTCTAGAGCAGATCTTGGGCAACCTGAACTCGCGCGTCGGCAGCGTCCAAGCCAGGAACTTCCCCGCGGGGTACGTGATGAGCTGGACGACGATCGGAGTGATCAAGGGGGCCGGATAGCGGAAGTAGAGGTATGCATTCGCCGCACTGACAAGGACGGTGACGAGGAAGCCGAGAAGAATGGTTCGGAACGTGACGCAGGGCGTGGTGGGGTCGTCATAGTTTGAGACGCTGGCTCGGACCTCCGGATATGGCGAATCCTCATCTTCATCATCGTCCTCGTACTCCTCCTCCTCCTCCAAGTGACGACGGACCGGGAACTCTAAATCTCCGATGGGACTCTTATCGTCATCACTTGCATGTCCTGGACCTCCGTCGCCGCCGAAATCGGTCAGCTGGACAGCTGTTGCTGAGAGTCGATATGCGAACGGAGATGCAGATTGCGCCGTGCCAGGGGGAATTTGTCGCTCGGTGGCGAATTGGAAAGGCTCGCCGAGTTCGTGGGTGCCTTCGCTCGTCCGGCGTGACTCTCCAAATTGGATGTCTCGGGATTCATCGTATTCTCCTTCTGCAAAACGACCATCTGGCATCTCGGGCTTGGTCCACCCTTGGCGATAGCTGGTTGCGGGCCGTAGATTCCCGTCGAGGGCGCCATGCTGGGCGGCAAGGGCATACGCAGCAGCCGGTGACATCGTCGAGTCGGGATCTGACAAGGCGGATAGTGGTTGCACGTCTACCGCAGACATTGGCTCGTGGGCAGTTGCGACACGCGCCTGGTCGAGGGGAAGCGGAGACGCGGCAGTTTGCCCAGAGACACTCGGTTCTGTAGCTTCCTGGACCGGCGGCATGAACGAGAACATGCCTGCATCGGGATCTTCATCGTCCCCAGTCATTTGCGCCGTCATATTGACCTCCACCTTCGAACGATGATGGTCCATCGAGGCGGGGGCACTGGACCCGCGCTGGGCAGCCGTCGTAGGTCGGGGTTCGCCATGACCAGACATGTCCTCAAGCAAGGGCTTAGATCTGCAAAGAACAACTAATTGCGTGTTAGATTCGTGTTGTTGGATGCGGGACGATCGTACCGGTCATTGCAGGTTGTCCCGCGAGGCCCCCGCGAAGCACGATCAACATGACCGAACAGTGGAGGTGAGCCTTTTGTTTGGCCATCGCATTCGGCGGCTATATACGACCAGCAGGCGATTTGCACTTGCATGTTGATCACTTTGAGCTGGGCTGCCGAAGAAACTGAAGCTCAGCCTCGATATCCCTTAGCAGTCGCTGCCCTGGGTAGGCCGGGAAGATTGCCGTGGTGACTGCCGAACAGGCGATAGGTGGCGGGAGCAACGTCCAAACAAACGGAGTCCGACGGGTGTCGTAGCCCTGAGTGTATGCCGATCGATTGGAGGTGGTAGATGGGCTCGAACAGATCCCAAGACGGCGTAGTTGAAAGGACGTCACGTCACGGCCGGGGAATGGGTCCGATGCGAGGGAGCCCAAGATGAGAGAATGTTCTATAAGGTCAAGTGGAACACTGGCGGTCGCGTGGCGCGTGGAACAAGATTCCCAGTCCGCCCGCCAGCGCCCGCCATCGTGATTCGTCCCGCCACTTCATAGGTAGGTCCGCACGGGCGTCGGGCACCGCGGTCGCCGGGTTACGCCGGCGCCCCTTACTAGGTATGTTGCAGCCTACATAACTCCTGCCCAACGTAACCATAGCTCAATCTCGCCAAGCCACCGGCCAGGCTAAATTTTAGCCTGGGCAGAGCTCATCGCTGAGTCTGATCTAAGCAACGTGTCGCGTCTAAAAATAATAATAAAACCTGGCTGCCCCGCCCCAGGCTGGCCGTGGGCCTTTCCAATCTGCCGATCGCGCCGATCACTTCATTATGCTAGCTCGTTATGCTACTGATGCCCTTAAACCTGGGTCGGCCCGTAGGGTTTTGATGCGGTGGGGGATTGTTCTGACAGCAACAGTAGGATTCTAAGCAAATAGTGATTGGGACTGTAATCAGTTGTATGGGAATACAATGACAACTCAGCTACCTACTTTACGTGTTTTTTTCGAGTCCGAATCGTTGATCACATGCTCTGCTTCCGTACCTGGTGGGCTGTAGGAACTTGAAGGCACCTGAACAGCCACCGACGACACCTGATTTGGGTGGCTTTTGACAGTCAGCTCTGGCTGTCGGATTGCAGGCATGCCGAGCGGCGATCGACGATCTCTAGAATCTGATTCGAGGTGGTTCAATACGTTAGAACGCTCGAATCAGAAGGAAGCTTAAAGAGAAAGCCCGCGCGCGCTCGCGCTCATGTAGCCTGCAGATGCAGAAGTGTACTTACTCCTCGAGTGTCAACTCAACAATAACGACGGGCCTCACTTCTGTTGACAGACCTGGATCCCGCATGGTCGCCAGTAAAAGTAGTGAGAGGTGACATAAATGACAACAGCCACTGAACTAATAGAGGACCCAACTTCCCCGAAAGTGATAACAGAATTAAAGAAGGGAATGTGCAGCAGCGTTTTAGGCCAGCGATTGCCTGATGGCCCTCAATCGTGAAGTATACGTTAAAGAAGGAAATTTGTCGTGATCGAAAAATAAAAAACTGTGACTCGTGATGAAAGCTTGCAGGTGCGCGGCAGGCTGGGCGAACGCTGATATTCTCCAAGCCAGGCGCCTCCGAGCAAGCACACTAGTCGGCCATGCTCGATCAGGCCGTAGGAGTAGGAGCGGCGCCATAGACAACGCGGCCCCTAGAGAATGGATGGACCATGAACGGTCAGAAGAGGTCCTCTATGAGACCCGGGGCCTAAGGCGGAAAGGATGAGTGCACAAACTCACCATCGAGGCTCGATCTGGTCTCGCTTGGCCGTAGGAGCAGCAGCAGAGCCGTAGACGACACGACCCCTGGCAGGAAGAGACATTATAGTTGGGTCAGACGGAGTGATCTAAGGTGATGAGGGCCTGTTAATCCTCGAGTGTCGGAGAGAGCGTGAACTGACCATCGGGGTTCGATCTGGTCTCGCTTAGCCGTGGGAGCGGCTTCGGAACCGTAGACGACACGTCCCCTGAAGAAAGCACCGCAGAGAGATCGAAGATGGAAGCGAGTGAACGTGGGGTCAACAAGAGGCGAGAGAGATGCAAGGAGGGGCGACGGAAGTTCGCGTGCAAGGAAGGAAACTCACCATCGAGGCTCGAGTGCCTTCACGTGACAAGACGCGACAAGGAATTGCACAAAGGCCCTTGATCAGCATCACAACTTCCACTACGTACAGTTGACCGTTGGTCCTCGATCCAACGACTAACCTGCTCCTCGGCAACGGGAACGGGGGCGGCGACGGACACGGCAACAAGGCCCGCGATCAAAGCGAGGGAGAACTTCATGTCGTGCGTTCGGATGCAGTGGTGTGTGGCGTGAGTCGTCAGACGGGGGGTACCTGGAAGGGGTCGTGCGTGGCGTACGGTGCTTCGTAAGAGACAGAAAGGACCAAGAAGAGGAGCGGAGGGGAGAGGGCAAGGCAGTCGAAGGATCGTTTCGCGTCACTAGGACTAGGAGGGGAAGGTAGAACTAGGTGCGGCGGAGTGGGTAAGATAGGGAAACTCAAAGGCGACTCTCCCGGATGAGCATCTTCTGACGGCGCGGCGCGGGAGCGCTCGGCAGGAGAGTGAGACAGCGGGCGCCGAAGATCTTGTTGCCGCTGCGCGCTTCGGCCGCGGGGGTCACGGGGTGCCTGGCGTTCCCCATCGTCCCCGTGCATCATTGGCATCATGAAACGGGCATCCGCCTGCCACGTTGCGATGGGCCGAAAATCTCTTGCTCTTTTTGGATGTTCGCTCCTGTCTCACAAGTCCTCACATCTTGCACCTCGCTCGCAGCAACAGGTCTCCCGAGGGAGACTCTGTGCCTTTTCCCCGCGAGAGTGACGAGGCGCCTCGCGCGAATATGCCACGCGTCGGGCTTAGCGACGCGCCGCCGGACGGTACATGCGGCCGATGATCACCTTTCAGACGAGTTTTCGGCGCTGAACCAGTTCTGCGGTAAAGGAGATCTTAACTTTTTGCAGAAAAAAATATAGGTAAGTAGGTATGTTAGCTTGACAATATTAATAATTGGGACTTGCATTGGATTCATTTTTGAGTTCTGAGTCCGGTCATCTCCTGGGTACGTGGGAGGTGCCCAGGCCCTCGATGTAAGTTTGAACTAGGTGGAAGCACCTGTCCAACCGAAGTAGTCAGTTGTGTGTGCCTACCTAGGTAGTACCTACACGTGCGATTGCCAGGCATGCTATATCTCTTCTCGTTTTTTTGGTTTTTTTGGTTTTTTTGGTGAAATCCGACCTCCGACGATCTTGAGACGAACTGAAACTTCCGCGCTCAGCTTCAACTTTCCGTTGCTGAATTGCGGAGTCGAACACTACTTCCACAAGAAGCTGGAGACAAGCTACAAGGACCGTGAAAGAGTAGGTACCGTACGTAGTACGTCTACGATACGGGGTACCTGCCTGGATGACGGCGAGATTGAATCAAGGACTCAGCGAATTTGCTGTTGGCATTTGGCAGACCTTAATGGCATTAGCGGATTCGGCATCTCGGAGCAGGCGCGAAGCATCTGGCCACTCGGATACCTGTGCGGCCCTGCAGCAAGTGAAGCAGCCAGCTGCAGGCGACGGGACAGCGGATCTCTAACTAGAAGGTAGCTTACGTATGGGGGCTTGGAATAGGGAAATTGACCGCTGCTCAGTGAACAGATAGGAGATGCACAGGACTCAACAAAAAGGCCGGTTGTTGAAAAGTCGTGTCGTGCCAATTCGGTCATATCCACAATTCGTGGTTTCATTAGGAAGCAGGCCGAGTTTCACTAGCGCGTCTCACCCGTCTCACCGGTCGATAGGCCATCGGGGAAACGTTATTTCGCATGTGATGGATGCTCCATGGATCATCAAAATAGCGTGGTACTGGTACGTAAGCATCTTCTTGTGCACCGGCAAGGTACCTATGAGACAGCTGGAGGAGGCTGTTGACCTCCGGAAATATTTGCGAAAGTATAAAATTTCTGTACGGTCGTCGGTCTGTGCTTGCATCATTTGGTATCGAGAACTAAGAGTGAAACCTTACTACTATCCGAAATCTGGAAGAGAGTCATGAACTGCCATGTGACGGTTTTGTTGTAGGGTACGGGCTGAGGCTGTTGAAAATCACGGGAAGAGTTTCTGCAATTGAAAAGTTCAACGACTTTTGACCTTGGCCGCGCAAGCAATTTCAACTTTGATTCACTCACGGTGAATACATGTCATCCAAAGCCCTTTCCTTCAGACAGCACTAGACAAAGGCTAGGTAGCAAAGGACGACCCCCGGGCCGCTCATTGCTACACCTCAGGCAGACTAAAAAGTAACCAGTCTTAGTAGCGCCGCCGCGCGGCCAGAAAACCCTATGCAAATAGGCGACCTGAGCCCGGTAGCAACTCGGCGCCGGGACAGGCCCGTACACCTCTTCCAAGTCCGTTAAGACCACTACATTGATCATGTGACGACATGAGAGATAATAAGAAGCAAAGATTGATCTCGAGTTGAATCAGTAACCACACGTAATTTTTTAAATGTTAAGACTCTAAGCGCCTGAGGCCGGGGCTCATGCTCATGGGCGGGTGTCCAGTCACGTGCTTGACGCGTTGTAAGATGAGGAACACGTCAAATTGGCACGCAAGGAATCTGTCGCGCGTGCATGCAGGCGGCCGCCGCTGCTTCCTGCAGGACGTACTACCTGGATCGTCGCAGACTTAACCCACCCGGAGCTCGTTGCTGCTGAGCTACTACACTTGCGTTCTCGTATTCATTCCGCTCAGTCACCATGGGCCGCCCCTCGCGACTCAAACCACGCTTTCCGCGGATCAAGCCTTCGGACTACCTCGACCATCCCGATTGCCCGAATCAATACGCCACGATGCCGCTGTGCCTTGTCACTTTCGGAGGTACGGTCGTCGATAAAGGAGGACGTAAGAGGCCGAGGAAGGCCAAGACAGATATAGATGCCACTCCCACCACATCTGCAACGTCAAACGTCGAAACGAGCACGAACCAACGCGTCCCTGTCGCCTCGACCTCAGTCTTCGCCAATGACCTGAACTTCTCCCACGATGATTTCAACGAGGATTATCTCAGGGACTTCCCTCTTGCTCAGCAGGCCGAGTACGAAGACCTAGGGGGAATGGATCTTTCCATGGAGCGCTGGGACCCACCCGACCCCGACTTACAACGCCCAACTCACCAGGAACTCGCACAGGAGGTTTTACCAACTCCCCGCGTCTCCGATCCGCCGGTTGCCGCTAAGCAAGAAGGTTACTTCAAGTTTATCACACTCGAGCACGAGCAGCGCGAGAGTCAGCGCGCTGCCCTTTTGGGTCTCTATCTTGATTTAGACATAAGCACCAATGGGCAGTTTCTGCCGCTCGTTTCGAACAGCGACAAGGACGACTTGAACGTTCCTTCACCATGCCACTGTCAGCACGTGTATGCTCGCGAGGTGGTCCTGTACGACGGACTGACCGGTATGTGTCATGCCAGCTCCGTTCACCGATTTGCGCGATGCATCTTTTCTCGCCGTTGTCCTGGTATCACTGACACGTGAAACCCCCTCTGCGCCTTGCCTTTCAGTCTATTCCAAGCAAGTCACGTTCTGCGCTTCCAATCCGCCCTGTATTGCGGAAGCTGTACGCCTGGCTCAACTTGGGTTTATAGCATCGACCGTTGTCAACCCAGGATCAGCGTTCTCCTTCCGCATGATCCGCCTAGAAAACTCGCGTTGGCGTAACGCCCCTTACGCCTCACTGGCCACGCTGCAGGCTTCGAAGACTATTTCGGGGACAACGGGTGGTCGAAACCAGAGCATTATCATGGACACCCATATGTGAGCATTTGTTATCGGTTTTTTGCCATGGGTTCTACCTGGACTCATTTGCTGCCTGATTGTGGAGCTCAGGATAAAGAGCTGAGGAAGCAATGGCAGCGGGCGATCGACGAGTTTCGCGCCATCGAAGCATCTGAGCGCGACGTTGGCGACTTTCTCTTGGGCACCGTCGACGCGCTGGCCAACAAATGCCCAGCGTGCTTCGGGCCGAAACGGCTCAACCGACCCCATCACACCCTCCAACTGGATTATATGATCGCGCTCGACGGCAACTTCCAGCAAACCCGAGAAAATAATGCGACATACGACGTCCAAGGAATAGTGCCGAGCTTGTTTCTGTCTGATAAAGCCGTCCTGGACATGAAAGCACTCGTCGAGAATACAGCGCGGCCAACGAAGAAGGTGAGGAGCGTGATATATTTGCGATCCGCCTCGAATACTGAGTAATATCGCTCCGGCCCCGTCGGAAGGCGTGCACAGAGTCGTGGAAGGCTGCTGACGGGGGCGCTGGTCGAGTCTCGTCGCGCAAGATCGATACAGGACTTGTCGCCGGCGTGTGCCGCCATGATATCGCCCTAAAAATGGTGAATCTTGAGAAGACCGGCGAAAAGTGAGTGTATTGAGCTTATGTTCTTCAACTCCAACTTGCATTTTTACTTTCACTGCTGATGCTCATGCCTGCACTCCAATCACCTAGGCTGTACTTCGCTTTAGCCATTGTCAAGCACATCTCGGACCATCTTCCCCCAGATGCTAGGATTGGAATTTTGTACGACATCGCTTGTAATTTCAAGCACCACATTGAGAAGGTTTGCATTGACCACCTCGGCTCGGGCCCCTCTCCGATATGTCGTTGCTGATCATATGGGCTTTGTGTTTCAACCTTTTCAGAGGCATCTGCTGCCTGAGCTGTTTGAGCGACTCGAGTTCGCCACAAGTGTCTTCCATGCATACGCCCATACCTGGGGTTGCCAGGTTGACTACAACCCCCGTCTCATCCCGAACTTTGGATTCACTGATGGAGAAGGTTGTGAGCGACTATGGAGCGCGCTGCGCTCCCTCATCCCCATCAATCATCCATCAAATAAGTCCCACCGCCTCGTCAATTTGGCGGTCCGCACGCAGGCAGTGAACGACGCGAACGTCTCAAGGCTTGGTCAGTGCTCCGCAGTCGCCGCTTCGTCTTTCGCCGCATTGACTCTTTGCACACGACTAGGGTCCTGTCACCCGCCGACTTCGCTCAGCCAAGGCTCGGAGCACTGCTGCTCGAAAGGAACTTGACGCCGTTATCGCCCACGATGCCACCTGGTCGGAGGAGGCGCTCCGCGTCGCTTGGCAAGACCAGCGACGAGCGCAAGCGTCGAAAACAGCTACGCAGGAAGCTGAGGAAGATCGTTTGAGGGAAAGCGAGCTTTATAAACTTTCTGAGGAACTTTACAGGATTGACTGCATCATGTACGTGCTTGGTGATAACTACTTGAGCTTGAGCTTGTCCTTCGTTCTCACTGACTCATCATCTTGCTGAGCAGTGACGAGTCTGAACCAGAAGCGCTTGTGGGGCTGAATTCGAAGCACGATCGTCTTGCAAGGGAGATCGATCAAGCAGCAATTGTCCAACTGCAAAGAAGTGGGACAAGCATCTCGTCCACAGGTTGGCCTTAATTATCTTACTTAGTTTTCCCTGTTCCTGATTGCGATGACGTGCCTATTTGCTTCACAGAGCTTCGTCACTTGTGCCAGTGTTCCGTTGCGCTGCGCAAGCTTCATCGAGAAGTGATTGCCTACAAAACTAGCCGTGAAAATTTGCTATCGACGCGTCGCGGCAGGGGCGGGTCAACACTTGGTCAGAGAGAGGCCAACAAAGCTCGCAAAACGGAAGTCAAGACTCACTCTGGCGCTGAAAAGGCACGTAAGGCATACAACAAGGCTGTCAACGCGTTTCGAACGGCAGGCGGATCATCACCATCGCACCTCCTCAACAATCTTCCATCAGTCGGTAGCCTAGCATCGATTCTTGATCTTGAAGACACTGATTTCTTCTGGCAAGACGGGTTTTTCACGCATGTTGAAGCTGCTTGGGCCACCGATCCGTGGGTTAAACGGGGCATCGTTGCTGTGCGTGACCTGGATCGAGCTGCGGAGGAGTTCGCTCGAATTGGCGCCGAGGTGCGACAAACCCTTGCTTGGCTCGAAGACGAGCACGACCTCATCTCTAGTCGCCAAGCACTTTGGCTAAGCGCGACAGGTCAGTTGTCAGTCGAACGTTACTCCACTAGTCTAGATGCTGATACGTTCTTGATAACACAAATAGATTCCGCTCCAACGATTTATGACCATGATCGTGTTGAACGCGCATTTGGCAGTACCGTCTACGCAACGATCCGGGACCGTGCCCTCGTCATTCTGGAAGCTCGGATGAGGGCTCTTCAAAAGCGCGAACGAGACTGGTTCCGCGATAGCACTTTCTTACTGCTGTGGTACACGACCAGAGGACCAGCGGATACGCACGAACCAGTCCCTCGAGCTCTGAAGCGTCTCACCCCGCATCTGCTGTTGAACCCGGGCAACGTCTCCAAGACGACAACAGCTACTGGAGCTGGCGCGCGTAGTGTTGCGCCTCGGGAGGACGCATCGGGCGCCTATGCAGCGCCGTCCGAGTCGTTCCGGACCACCGATGACGATCGTCTGCTCGCGCGGCGCATCACGGAGCAGCTGGATGCTGACATGAATGTAGAAGGCGCAAAGGCTTTGCATGAGATGCTGGAGCAGCAAGAGGGCATGCTATACGATTCGGACAGCTCTGATGATCTGGTTCCCGACGAGGAGCGTTCTTTGTCGGACTCTGACTCGGAAGAATGAAATGTGAAAAACACTGGCTGCAGTAATTATACCATGAGTTCGAATGATTAATGGTGTGACAATGATTACTGCATTTGCAATATCAATGTGCACGAACCATGACATGTCTGGCAGGGTTCAGCCCACTGTTCGGATGGTCGGAAGTAATGGGGAGTGCGAGCGTGCCTCTGCAGAGCGTCCTCTTATCAGGGGAACATGGCTCGGAGGTTCCCCTTGCCCGAGCCATGTTCCCGTGAGCACTGCACCTGAAGGCGCCTGTTGCCACCCCTTCCTCGGAATTGAGTACGATTTTGCTAGAAGCATCGCTGCTTGTGGGCACTGTCGCATGCTCTATGCGTCTCGACTTGTGCTGACATCATCCGGGAGGTTGAAGCTGAAATTTCAAGGCTTAGCTCAAGTTGCCGCCTTGGAGAGGCCACTGTGGGATCACTCCGATTGAGTCCGATGTGATACACTCCGGGGAAACCCTTGCGATTCGAATTGGGTTCTGACTGGTCATGGGTGCCGAAGAGCCCACGCGTCATCAGTGAGTAAATTAACTGCCTGCTATTGGGCCGGCGCACTGCGTCGGTGACTCCGAGCCTCACTCACTACGCGCTCTCAGCAGCGGACAGGACGTTGAGAGGAGCTGAAGGAGCGAAATGTGCGCAATATCTACTCTTACAAAGCAAAATAAGGCGGCCAAGCTAATACCTGTGGCCGTTAGCCAGTGTGCTTAAAGCATTTCCTCCGACTTGTCCGAAGATTTCTTGGTACTAAAATAATTGTGCTGTTAATGAGATCTATTCAATAATAAGAAAAAGTAGTATTCTGGCGTCGCTTGACATCTGATGCCCACACCGCGTGAAACACACTTTCGGACGAGGCACGACATGCTGGCGGGTTCAACTCGGGGCAAGCACTTGAGCATGGACCGTCATACTCGGTCGCTAGTCGTCATAATGAGAGATCGGATAAGACTTTTTGGGCCGTGCGCCAGTGTAAAATGTTCTCGAAACACCTCGAACACCTCGAATACTCAGTCGCGGAAATCCGGAACTGCGTATGTCAGAGCGCACTTAGAGAATTGCGGATCCAGAGCAGTCTATTTCGGAGGACGCAGAGCATGTTACAATCCGGAATTTTCAGAAAACGGAGCATTTCAGTATTCTTGTTCTGCGGAAGCAGCAGAGGTATCATTACGGCGAACATCATGCAGCATACGCTCGCGGCTTTGGTGCACTACAGACACGATCCTTGGTGTACTAAGTCCAGTAGTCATCTTGCTTCGTCCAGCGGCATCCACTCGTTGTATCTTCCAATTCAGCCCTACACTTCATGTCCGTCCCAGCGCGCCGGCTCATCTCGGCGTCGAGAGCTGCTGCCCTAAGCTCTAAGAGTGCTCGTCGGAATCGGGGCGGCTCACCGCGCTGCCATCTTGGCCGTTGGCAGGGATAGCTGCACCATCTTCATCTTCTTCATCCGCTAGTACCTCTTCCGTTAGCCTGAATCTCAACTCTCCTGCACGCAGCAGGGGAATGATACGATCCAAGTCGGCCCCCGACATTTTTTGCTTGCCCTGGGGCTGGCGAAGTCCGTCTCCAAGTTGAGGCTCGGGCCGCATTCAACTACGATACTGGCCTGTTGCATGAGCGCGGTTGGGTCGTACACCAACCTGGGCGGTTTGCTCTTGTTTTCGTGCCCTTGGTTCTTGGTACGTCGCATCACGGCATCATCTGCACCGAGAAGAAGACTCATCGTTAGCAGTCAACAAGTGAGCAGCAACTGAAATCTCGGTTAGAACATAGTCCACACTCAAAAGTTTTTTCACAATCGTGCTGTACCACGAGGCTTTTGTTTCAAGATTCGCTTCCTTCAGTGGCGCCTCCCAAACTGCGTGACAGCGTAACGGACGTCAATCAGCAAGTGACAATAGTCTGTCGGCGCGTGCACCTACTGACCAGCTGCTTCCAATTCGGCCTTATTTTCCTCCAAGAACGCTCTACCGGTAACGCAATCCGCGAAGTCGGAGAGCAGCTGTCTTGAACCCAAACTATCGCCCCAGTCTTGTCGATAGGCAAAGGCCAAACCACCGGGGCTCGCGACCATGAAACACTCCTTATTGAGTTCAGGAAGATCAGAAGAGACCACAGCAAACAATTGGAGTCCATATTTTTGCGCATATGAAGTGCTCTGGGTTGGTTTTGAGGGTGTTATGATCCTTTCAGTTACTTTACTGTGAGCAGTATCAAATTGAGCTTGGACTCACCATGGTTTCCAACGCGGTTTGCATGCATCGGCGCGCTTTCTTGATGGCTTCGTGACTCATCGGCTTGTTTCTGGCGATCTTGATGGAGGATGAACCTTCGGTCGCTTGCGTTGCTTGCGTCGCTTCCTCACGCTCCAAGGCAAGCGCCGCGTCAAACCTCGTCATCGCCTCTGCGTCATCCTTTATGTCGTTCCAATATGGCTTTGCGAGCTTAACCCTCTCCACCAAATTGGTCGGCACTAAAGCGGACCAACCCAGCCCGTTAGTTCAACAACAGCGTAGTGCAATGCTATGCTAGAATTTAGCACGAGGTAGTCAGGTAGTCAAGAGCTGTGCCTACCTTCCAATCCATCTTGAACTGCCAGCGATTCGAAGTACTTGCTCTGCACAAAGTCATTCCAGGAAGTGGGAGAGCCAAGGCGAGTCACGGGCGCAACAATGCTCCTCAAATAATCGAGTCGAATATTGTGTCGGATACAATACTCGAGCTCTTCGTCGTGTCTTTTCTGGGCCCATTGCTCGTGCATAAGTCGTTCGGATTGGCGACAGTTGCGCTTAGGGACAGGACAGCCTTGCTCTGTTCGTGGAGGCTAGGGCCCATCGGCCTCTTCGCTGGCGTCAAAGGCGAAACTCGGATCGGTACGGTGGCGACAGGGACTTCGACGCGGGCGAACTGTTGATCCGCGGCGGAAAGTGGTGATGGATGCATTGTCGGGGTGCTTCCATCTACTGATGAGAAAGTCGGCGAGGGCTGCAGGACGCCCGACGATGTATTGGCTTCCTCCATTGGCAATTGAAGGGGGTCAGGCAGCAGGCGATTGGCGGCGGAATCGGCGGGACAGGAGGGTCGACTTGATGGGTGCCCTGTGCTAGCTGTGCTGCCTAGGACAGGGAGGTCGTCTGGGAAGGCGGACGCGTGGCTACCCGACTCGAGCGAATAGGTTGGATAATCGATGTTTGCGAACGCGGGAGCGTCAAGCGGTTGGCTGGGCGGCGCAGGACTTGGATGGTACGCATCATATTGCTCGCTAGACGAAATGGCATTGGAAGAGAACATCGTGCAGGCAGAGGCTGGAAGGCGAACACGGGAAGGTAAGGTCAGAACGACACGGTGCTGCATCAAACCAATTAAACAGCGCGTCGACGACCGCGCAGCCGCACTTCCACCACGCACCCAGAGCCTTGTTTGTGAATGGTTATCCAGGAGGGAAGGAGCCCGCAATGTTCCGAGGCGACGCGATGAATCTATAGTCAAGACGTGGATGTCAGCAGGCCCTCAGAAGCTCGTGCTCTGGTAAAAGCCCGGACGACGATCGCCGGACATACACGTGGGGCTTGTCGAGCGCCGAAGCGTGGAAAGTTGGTATGAGTTGGCGATGTGAAAGGATCACAAGATCAATGGACATCAACGAGGGACGTGACGTGTGACGTGTGACGTGTATGCGGTTCAGCGATCGAGGACGAGGATATTCGCGGCGAGACCAATGGGTCTTGTGTTGAATGTACGGGCGAAAGCGGGCCTAAGGACAAGAGCTGTCTACGTATCAACAACGCACAACACGCGTCGATTCCGTCAGGTTCGGACCTGTTCGGACGCGCGCCTGCGCGCGCAACCTCGCGCAACCCGCGTCAGATCACGTGTTGCATTGGGCCAGACATACCACGGCTTCAGCAGTGCTGAGGCGTTAATGGATATACTTGGACTTCAACAAGCTTTTCTATAAGCTCTACAAGCTTCTCCCGCCAATGAATTACGTCATAGGGTCAAGCCGGAAAATCATTTCCGGATCAATTGTAATGACTTTAAACCATTGCGAGCTTGTTCCCGCGCCGAGTTGCTACCGGGCCCAGGTCGCCTATTTGCATAGGGTTTTCTGGCCGCGCGGCGGCGCTACTAAGACTGGTTACTTTATAGTCTGCCTGAGGTGCATTGCTAGTAGTTGACACTTCGAGCTCAAAGCGGAGGTGATCGACCGGCGCTGGCCGTCCGGCAGATCACGTGGGCGTAATTTTTGTCTTGGGCACTGACGTCAGACGTCAGATCGTCAGACACGAGGACTTTGGGCTGCCGTCAGGAGCGCAGATCTGCCGCCGGTCATAGCCGACGCTCGGGCTCTTTCCCGTGTCATCGTTGTAGTAAGTTGGAATTAGTTTTAACTAGGTTCGGCGGCGCGCGTAATAATAGTGTAGAAGTGATGCATTTAACGTGTCCGTGGACTCTCGCTCCCGATGAGGACTCACCCGGAACCGAGCGCACGCTAGAAGTTGGGAACTCCGAGCGTATTGAATCCGGATGCATGCAGTTTTCGTATCGCGGAGCCGGGGCTAGGCGTCCGATTCCCCTTTGGGGGGGCCTTGGGGAAGGGGTCGAGCCGCGCACCTATACGAAAGCTTGCAAGCGCTAATTGACGATCTCCTCTGCGATGAGAACAATGTGACCCATGATGTACCCCAATCGACGCTTGTGTGTTCGCTCGGACTGCTCATTCGCTTTAACGAGTCTTGACGTATCTCTTGTTCCTCTCAAACAGGAAGTGCGTTCACACCTGCCTACCCAGGGTCTATAGACTTACCCAGTCAAGTGAGGTGTATACTACGGGTACCCACTGTATTATGCGTAGGCATCCGAAGGACTTGCCGTATAGGTTCCGGTACCTCGGTGTACAGGCGTCCAAGACCTTTAACGTTTATTCAAGATTGCGCGATCCGGAGCGACCAGATCCACGATCTGCCAAATCTTCTCATCTCGGAGCCGAGCCTCCGAGGTGTTTCCGGCACGTGACCTTCTCACCAACCTGTTCCTGTAAGGTAGAGAGACTAGCCTTGTTGGTATGCCAACGTTCCTGGTATTCACAAACGTGTACTGCACCAAGCTATTCAAAGCTGGCCTGAGCCCTCGTCTCGATCGGCAGAAAGATGAGGAAGAAGGCGCTGACAAAGATTCCGCCTACTGCGAGCCATAGCACGCCGTTCGAATTGCCATCAATGTATGGTCGAGCCGCGATCGGGGCCACGATGCCAGCCAAGCGACCAAAAGTACTGCACAATCCTGCGGCGGACTGGAGATACGGGTGCAATTGCACTTTGTCAGAGGGAAAGCATCGGTGACCGGAGAATGGCTGCAACCGGATTGGGGAACTCACTCCTCGAATAGAAGCTGGGAAAATTTCGGGCGTGAACCCATACAGTACCACATTGAAGAAAGACTGCATGATGCACTCGAGTGCACACTGACCTTGATCGTGTCCATCTGCGTGTACATCGCCATGGACACTCCTTGCACGATCGCACCAAAGACAAGCGACCATTTGCGGCCGACACCGGGCAGCTCGACACACGCCGCAGCGAGGATGGTGCCCAAGATGCCGGACAAGTAAACGTATATGCTGTCAACAGAACGAAGTCTCAGTACGTACCACAGAGAGCCGATAAATGGGCCGGACCCGCAGTCTGCCCTCGGCGAGCCAAGATGATGGGCAAAAACGATCCGGCCAAGTTGAAGGACCAGAAGTCACCCATATAGACGATCCACAAGAGAACGGTCGTGAGCCCGAGTCGCTTGGTGCGGAAGAGACCGCGCAGAGGCTTGAATCGGCCAAACGCCTGCTTGATCACGCATTTCTTGCTTGTGTCCAGCCCTTGTTGCGGGAACTCATGATCGATGGCCTCAAACTCGGCTATGGACAATTGAGGAGCGACGGTACGGTTGAACGTCGCGAGCTTGTGCACAACCTCGATCGCCTCGGCGTCCCGTTCTCGCGCCAGCAGATATTTTGGCGACTCGAGAAAGTCGAACACGAAGAATCGGAGCACAAAGACGCTCAACGTGATCCCACCGCAGACGATCATGAGCAAGCGCCATCCAATGCTGCTCGATCTCGTGCAGCAAGCCGCACCGGAACTGTACGAGTCCGCATGCGAGTAGATCCGTGTTGCAACGGTACCTTGGTACCAAACTGAATGCGATCGCGCAGTTCAGCACCACACCAATGGGCTGCCACATGGAAAGCAGAGGCAAGAGCCACCGACGGTTCTGTGGCAGGAACTCAGGAACAATCGTCGCATCGATAGGAATATTCCTAGACGACAGAGAGCAATAAGAGCGCAGGTCGGCTTCCAAATTTCTTTCTGGGGCGATTCACCGTTGAAGAGGGCTGACAATTCCGAACTCACCCTCCCAATCCGAACCCACAAAGCGCGGTCAGAGCGCAGATGGCGTCGTAGTTGCTCGGTGCCGCGACCAGAAGTCCGAAAATACTGGTGACCAGACAGGTGAGGTTGAAGCACCACTTGCGTCCAATCACGTCGACTCCCAATCCAAACGTGAAGGCGCCAACCGTCAGCCCGGCGGAGAAGGCAGTGAAAATGTTTGCGCAGAGACCATCCAGGACAATTGTATCAGTCGCCACCCCCGATAGGAGATGAGTGAACGGTCGGTCAACAGAAGCGAAAGCTCTCCTCGAAGGAAAAGATATAAGCCAGGCTCGTAGCATACATCGCTAAAAACAGGCTCGACAATCCTACCTCGAGAAATTAGCGTGAAAGGATATACTGACTTTAACTCTTGATACAACGGCGTGGCGATGAGACCGGATGCTTGAGCCCAGAGTAGATCCAACATGTACCCGAATCCACACAACAACCAAATGCACTTTTGGTACCGCCCCAGGCCCATCGCATCAAGTTCGCGATTGATGAGCAACGATTTTCGCTCATCATAGAGGCTGCTCGGGGTCCATGGTGGCGCGGGTATTGATGATGAGTACACATGCGACCGAAAACGGTGTCGAAAAGAGCAGAATTATTTATACTCACGTCAATTCACCACCGTACAAATCCTCTTCGTAGGCTGTCGGCGGCAGCCTGTCCGAGGCGTCGGAGCCTGTGGCGCCTTCGGGCCGATGATCGGAACGGAGCACCCCCAAGTCGTCTCTCTTGAGCCCTTGATGAGTTGTCGTCATCTCGTCCAATTCGAGCTCGTCGGGAAGTCTTCGGTAGGAGGTATTCGTGGTGGAAAGACAGTGACGAGGCAAGGGGAGGTGAACAAGACTGAGGTGCTTCTACTTCGCAGATCGAGTCCATGTTGCACACCGGAAATCGCTTTGTAGGGGGTTTCGCATCGGACGAAGCTCTGAGTCCGGCCAAAGAGTGGGTCCTGCGCCTCTGCCTACCACCAGGCCGAGACCGACGCACCTACAACACCCCCCAACCTTCCTACATCTAGCACGGAGATGGCGTGCTTATCTGCGTTTCCGACATCAAACCGCAAGACCTGACTCTTCAGGTGCGCGGGATCGATGTCCAGACGGTCGGCCCAAGTAGCAAGGTGCAGTGTCAGCTTGCTACGTCCCTCCGCGATGCCTCTCCGTTACCCACTCCTAAGCCCCGTAGGAGACCATGGCTTCCGCCTCGACTTTTCTCTTTGCGGGTTCAAACAAGCTGGGCGGAGGAAGACGAAGACGGAGATAGGGACAAAGACGGCGATGATGAGGATGAAGACAACGAGGAAGAGGACGGAGAGAATGGCGATGGTGAACGTGAGCGTTTTCGGCTCTTTGTGATAGGTACCTCTCTGTTGAGACGCACGCACAGACTGACATAGAAGGATGAAGACCTAGAACGTGTCAAGCAAAAGGGGTCGAGGTGGATCAACCCGAGTCTCGCGTTCACAACCATCCGTGTACTAGCACGAACGCGCCGACTACTTCTAATCTCGCATTGCCCAGCATTTCTTTCTCGAGTTCGTGATCGACGGATATTCCTAGCCGAGACCGATCGGCTCAACTATATCGGGTTTCATCAAGAAAATCTGCGCCTTCACACGGCCCATGACATCACCGACGCGCGCTGTCAGCAACGGCTTGATCCCAGATTGAATTGGGCGTTCGGAACTTTGGGCTCGACGTTCAAGAATAGCCCGAGCGAGATCACGCAGCTTTACCAAGACGCGATGGCTTGCACTGTCCAATACGGAAAGCCTTTGCTGTTCTTTACGGCGACGTGCAACCCCGACTGGCTGGAAATCAAGGCTGCACGGGGGCCGAATGATAAAACATGCAACCGTCTGGATCTCAAATGCACGAGTGTTTGAAGCCGACTTGAACCGACTATCCGACAAAGTTCTGGACAACACGCAACGAGCAGGCTCTTTTGGCGATGAAAGAATTATTGGGTTCTGTGCTGTACTTCGTATTGTGTTTTTTAAACCTCTGCTAAGTTCATGTACACTTTTCGATCTTCCTGCTGTTTCATCATCCCATTGATTCGATGGGTTCCCACTCGTGGTTTCTATTTCTCAGACTAGGACTCTTTCTGATCAAATTTTCACATGGCACCCTACACATGACAAGAGGATATCAGCCTTTGCTTGCCGACACGTCCCTGGTTTTGGATGAAGCCTTTTGAGCTTCTTCTCTTTCTTCAGACTCAGTCCGTCGTAGACCCCTTCGCCTTTGTCAAAATCCTCCTCCAGAATAATCAATTATCGATCATTGTGAGGATTCAACGTCCTTTTTAGGGAACTGATTTCAATTTACTTAGAGATCATTTAACTGAATAATGTCACGTAGCGGGTCGTTGAATGTGGAATTGTACAGTGAAGAGTTAGGGTGCTTTGGCCAATTCCTCCAAAACATTGAGCTGATCAGTTATGCAGGCCAAAAGCTCAGAAAGGCCTGGCAGGTACAAATGCTCAGCCTCCTCTCTTGACAGGAAATCAGCTAGGAGTGGCTGGATCTGAAATGCCAGGTGACACTATGGTAAGTCTGTGGCCAGCCACTTTGGTCTGAAGCAGGTCACCCTCACTTACTTGTACAACAAGGTACTGCACAGGGGGCTGCAAGTCAGAAGTAACGGCTGGCCAATGACTTGAGGGGGTCTCTTTGGGGAGATGACGGCAGTCCTTCAGAGCAAAAAGAGTCATGGCCCAGAATGTTGACCAGCTGAATGGAGAGATGATCAGCTAGGGGTAACCCACCTTTGAAAGAAACCAGCAGCTTACCCCCACCCTGCACTTTGATCAAGAAGATCAGATACACACCGTGCCCACCGAGGGCGCCAGGCATCTTTGCTATGGTGTTGAAGAAGCTCCTTCACATCGGATATTGACTGCGCACATCGCAAGCCCTCCCTAGCCAAGCTCCAATATGTTGCCGAAATATTGTGCGCATTGATCCAGTTATGGTTCAGTGATATCGTTGGATGGGAAAGGTTTGTGACATGATGGTGCCACCCACTCGGGACTGTGGGGCCATTCTAATCTCGTCAGATACAGCTCCCCATAGCCGAATTGCGCTGTACCAACCTACCAAACAGAGTTTCGCCTTCCTCTTGTACAAAGACCATCATGCCCTTTGATATGAACTCCTCCTTTTGCTGCGTGTCCCACTCTTCAACATTGACCCAGCCATTGTCCCAGCCAGCTTTGGCAAGCATCGGCTCCAGGGTCGCAGTGAGTTCAGGCGGGAAGAGATACCAGCGCTTGGCACCAATAATGTTGGTCGAAATCGAATAGGAATCAAAAACATCTCGATGCAGTGGGGTGAACGTATCGGCTCCGCCTGCATACATGAAGCGGAAGTCGTCATTGGAGTTCGCGAGGTGATAACGGTTGAGCCAGTCGTCACGCCAAAGGCCAGGGACCTCATAGAAGCCATACGACTGGTCCCGGTTCAGAACACCGCTGGCAGCGACCTGAGATTCGAATATGGCGGGCAAGTGCCAGTCCTTGAGGTAAAGCGAGCGTCCCTCGCCATTGCGCCAGAGGTCGAGCAGCGAGCCAAACGCCGGCGGTGCATCCGGTGTGACGCGCAAACAGCTTTGATCCACGACAGACGGTAAAGGATAGTGACCAAAATATGCCCTGAGATATTCGTAGTTGGGTGTTGAAGTCGATGAAGCTTCGGAACTCGGATCCACTGCGGTGATCGACTTGGGCCGTAGCCTCCAATGCTGGCAGATTGGCCAAGCTTCCACTACCTCGCGGGGGAGCAAACACGGTTCATTGCTGAGCAGAAATGTGCGAAACGCAGAATAAGAAAGCTGTGCAGGGCTGAGTCGAGTCGGACACGGCGATTTCAGCGGGGCGGGTAAATGGTGAGAGTCGAGTGTCGTGGGCAACATGCTGGAGCATGCTGGGATCGGTGCGAAGACCATCGTGCCAGACCGTGCCCGCTCGACGGCGCTCGTGCCCTGCTACTCGCTGCTACTCGCTGCTACTCGCTGCTACTCGCTGCTAATCCCAGCAGTTACTGTCGGAGACTGTCAGTCAAGATCGGCCAAAATGGTCTGCTCGATCTGCTCGTACTAGACAACCCATTTTTACTTGCCTCCCACATCGTGAAACGCGTCGGAGTCTAGGTCTAACTCACTAAAAGTAACACTATTGACAGAAGAACGAATCTTCGACTTGATGCCAGCAATACATCCACTTCTGACCCCCTCTGTTCTATTTCCTTACACATGATCAATGACGCCTGTGAACCGCTCTCGGACTCATCAAGTGGTAGTGCGTGTCGCGCACATTACCTCTGAGTCGTGCAGGCTAGCCGCGAGGCGGCCCAAGGCGGCCAACGTTGGCCAGCGTTGGCCCGGAACGCGTGTTGCGGTGCCCAAGGGTGCCCACGTGCTCAGAGAGGAGCCGATGCGCCTGGCGCGCGCTTCTGCTCTTAAAACTGGGTCGAATCTGTCCCGGAGATCCTCGACCACTGAGACTCTCCCCCATACGTTCCCACTTGACGAGATCGCTACCGCCGCTTTGCCTTCCTCTCGACTCAGCCCCGGGGAATAACAAGGCTCGATCCGACACAATGGTGCTCTCCCATTTGCTCGATCTTACGCAGCTCACTGCAGCTCAGCTCGAGTCGCCTCGTTCGCCTGACCGGGACCCGCTGGTGCACCACAAACTTCACGTGAGGCGCGGAGCGAGGCCGCAACTTCAGAACGCACCAGTTCCCATATTGAGCCATCCGCTGACCAACTTCTACTCCATAATTTCCTGCAGACTCCGCGCAACTGGGAATCGGAGGACGCGCTGTCGCAGGTCGACCGTGATCTTTTTAGGGGTTCGCCGAATCCGCGCAAACGACCTCGGCGCGGCGCGGCGATCACGGCAAGAAGGTTTGATCTCGACCTCAGCGACGGGCCACCTTCTTGTTCTGCTGCATCGGACAAGCGGGGACATACCTCAAGGCCGGATGAGAAATCTTCCTCTCATCTTTCTACACGAAAGATCTCGCACTCCCTCATCGAGCGACGACGGCGCGAGCGTATCAACGATTGCTTGTCGCAGCTCAAGCGGCTTGTACCACAATGTCGAGAGTACGGCGAGCAGAAAGTGCGGAGGGCTCATGAGAGGGGAAGAAATCGACTCAGAGCGAATGACCCGATGGAAGACAGCAGCGGCGGGTCGGGCTTGCACAAACTGGAAATTTTGCAAGTAAGTACGGTCTTGCAAAGTTCGGCCTCTGACCGTTGTCCTTCCAATTTGACATTGCTCTTGCAACGGTACAAACAGGGAACCATACTCTATATCTCCGAACTACAGGGTCGTGTCCAGCTTCTCGAAGAGCAAATCGCTACCCCGTCAAACTTGCTGGATTCAAACCACGCATGCTGTTGCAAGCTAGCTGGCCCGCCTGCTGCGACTGACCACATGGATGCTGCTGCCTTACTTTTGAAGTTTTCCACTAGCCCTGAATTAAGACCTGTCAGTATATAGGAATTGTGTAGTTTATGCGCTGTTCCAATACCTCTGCTAGAGTGGCGAATTCATCTAATTGATGCCTTTGCTCTCTCTCGGGCACGACTCGGGCCAGTAATACGAATTCGCATCAAATTTGAGGCGGCGGGCCTGGCTGTCACGTCGGAAGTTGCTTGTGATCACCCCTTTTTGTCTCTCTTCTTCATTTTACTGCGTCATTGCGGATAAGCATCTGCAAACGCTCCGTCCATCGAAACCATCGGCGGAATCTCGAAGGCCGCCAGCCGGCGCGTGATTGATTGCCTGACAAAGCCCCATTTGAAACCAAGCGCGGGTGTTCGCCTCCTCTCCTCCCCCCCTGACTCTCGGGCCATCGTGGGCTTCTTCGCCTTCCATGAGGTCGAGCAATGGGTGCCATGCCTTCTTTTGGCAGCCGGGACCTCGCGTTGGATGGCCTACGCTCCTGCATTCCTTCAAGCTCCCCGGCCGGAACCTGCTACGTGCAGCTGCTCTCGTGGGGACGAAGCATGCCTTCCATCAGTCCTTAGGAGCCGCACGATATCTGAATACAAAATCAGCCCCATCAACCGAACCAAACTCTCCCCGTAAACTGAGGATGATAATCCTCGGGGCCCCGGTATGTGCAGGAGATTGGTACTGGCGAAGTGCGTTGAGCCCCACACTGGCTGACACCGTGACCCGCCTCGGGCTCTGGTTCCCGTAATCGGTCCCAGGGTTCAGGCAAAGGAACTCAAGGGGAACGAATACTCAAAAGTAAGTGCACGAAAAAGCATTGCGACGTAAAGCAGCTCAACCGATGCTGATGGTTCTGTGCCGCACCATGCAGAGTGGGATCTCGCGACCATTGGGGTCGGCGATTTATTGCGAGCGGAAATCCTCAGAGGAACCCCGTTGGGTTCTGTGGCCAAGAAAGCAATGTCAGCAGGAAGTGAGACCACTTATAATTATGCCCCAATTATCTGCGTGACTATTTCCTTGGAACTGACCCCTCTTCTCTTCGCAAAACGGGGCGATATCAGCTTTGCTTCCAGACGAAATCGTACTTCGATTGATTGAACCGCAACTGCACGCTCTAAGTGATAGAGACTGGATTGTGAGTATAGCTACGCCACCATTCTTGGAGTCCACTTTGGTGTTGTACTTCTCAAAGTCGCCTGTCTGGTCTTCTGTCGCGCGCTGACCTCCCACCGGTGTGCAATCTGCCGCTCCCAGCTCGACGGCTTCCCCCGCAAGGCCTCTCAAGCCACACTCCTTGACAAGCTTCTAGCCTCATCTGAGGACTCGCTGAACCTGGTCGTGAACCTAAATGTGCCGGACGATGTGATCCTAGAGCGGATCGAGGGGCGTTGGCTTCACGCCCCCAGCGGTCGAGTTTATAACAACTCGTTCAATCCGCCCAAAATACCGGGCAAAGACGATCTCACGGGCGAGGATTTGACGCAAAGACCCGACGACACAGCAGTGAGTGCTGGCCGCCGGTAGACGGAGGACGTTTGCTGGCAATGGGACACCACTGACGAAGAGTGCTGCGCGAGGCAGGAGATATTCTCGAAACGATTGGTCGCATTCCATACCGAAAACGAGCCATTGCTCCAGCACTACGCAGGAACAGACGCGGAGGTTATGACCCTCACAGGATCGACAAGCGACGAAATTTATCCGCAGCTAGAAGCTTTGTTGGAAGACAGGGTACGTTTGGACGGATGATCGGAGCAGATCTTTACGCCTGCGTAAGCTGAGCGCCGTGCCTTCATACCCGAATGCAGTTCCCCGGCCTCCCAAGGAAATAGAATCTGTAGAGTTTCTTCTGCGCGTGACCTTTCTATTGATTTGCATTTCATCTCTCTTGTCATTTGACGCGGCTCATCAGGGTGACAAGGAATTCATGAGATTAGAGAAGCGGCATGAACCAAGCGCACCCGTCTTCCGATCAGTACTCGTAGAAACCCTTGCCACTTTTTTTCCCCAGGTAACCCGCGGAGACCATGCGGCCCAACAATACGGAAGGCTGGCAAGCGACACCGGAACCGTCATCAGGTCCCTCGAAGTTGTTGGATCCAAGGCAAGAGCTTCGCCGCGATCGCACTCACCCTGTATTTTGAGTCTCCAGTCTCGGTGTGAAGGACCTGCATGATGCTCAAACACGTGTCCAGTCCAATGAAGTCCGCCAAGACGAGCGGCCCCATCTTGTGTGCCATTCCCAGGACCATGACTTGGTCGATATCTTCGCGGGTCGCGATACCTTTAGAGAGGAGTGTTACGGCTTCGTTGATGTAAGGCATCAGGAGCGCGTTCGAAATGAAACCTGCGCATATCCACAACCAAGAAGCATTAGTTTGGGCACGGCGAACGCGGCCGTTCAAGAGCACCCGACTCGACTCGCCAGGCGAATCCTTCGACACGCTCACGGTCTTGCCCATGGCCTCGGCAAAGCTTCGCGCTTCAGCCAGCGTTTCGGGCGAGGTCTGGATTGCCGGGATGAGCTCGACCAGCTTCATTACGGGTACGGGGTTGAAAAAGTGGAAGCCGACTGTCTGCGCTGCGCGCGATCCGGCTGCGGCGGCGATCTTGGTGAGGGAGATTGACGAGGTGTTGGAGGCCAGGATCGCATGCGTCGGCGTCGTCTGTGCTAGCTCGGCGAAGATCTTCTCCTTGAGGGACAGATTCTCGGATACAGCCTGGGGGTAAGAAGGTGCAATCCGTTCAGCGGACGGATGGTCAGCAGTAGCACCTAGCATAGAAAGCGGTCTACACTGCTTGTCAAGTGGGGCTCAGCGGGGGTCGGCCACATACCTCGATCACGATATCCACCTGGTCGAAGGCCGCTATGCCATCGACGAGTTTGATTCTGGCCAGAATCGCACTACTGGTCTCGGCGTCTAGCTTCCCTCGAGTCACATCCTTCTGCAAGAGCGATTCAGCGAAAGCAAGAGACTTGTCGAGACTGGCTCGGTTCGAGTCGGCGAGCAAGACTTCCACCCGCGCCACTCTGGCCGCGGTCAGAGCGATACCGAGACCCATCTGCCCAGCCCCGATCACACCCAAAGTCTTGATCGAGTGATGCTGCAACGACGAGCTTGTAAATCCACGCCCGGCGGCGCGTGCAGTTTGCCGGATGCGCTGTCGAAACATCGTAATGGTCGAAGCGCGTGGAAAGCCGACGAGGTGCAAAAAAGTACGTAGGCCGTTCGAGAGTCTGAGCGAAAAGAGACGAATTCTAAGGGCACAGCTTCGCGTACGCAACCCGTGTATGCCAAGAAAGCAAAGGTCATGCCAACTCGCCGCGAGCCGTCGGTCCGGGCCCCGACGCCCCGCTTCCGGTCTCAAGAGGGTCTCTGCGGTCACGGCTAACCGAGGTTCAGAGCAGCCGAGGCGCACCGAGCCGGAGTCAAGCGAGTAAAATCGGAGTCTGAGTTTTTCAGTTACTTGGATTAGGTGAATTCAAAAGTTGCAAGTACTATGACAACAAGTATGAATAACTATTTCAGTAAGCAGGTTAGCGGGCAGGTAAGGCAGGCGCGTGGGCAAGCCAAAAAAAAGGAAAAGAGTACTCTTTTGAGTCGTAAAACCGTTCGCGTCTGCCTAACCAAATCACGGGACGGGTTGTGTGGCCCCAGGTCAGCGGTCAATCATCAAGGCGATTCGGGAAGCAGAGCTTGGTTGGGGAACCGGTAGTCGAAGATCAGATTTAAAAGGCAATAAACTTTTGTCGCCAAGGCCGGCCGTTATGGCTGGCTCGGTTCAGGTCTGTGTTTATGTTTCATCACATTGACGATGACGGCATTCACGGTTCAAGAAGGATTAACTCACGAGTGGCTCTGAAGACCGCTGCGAAGCTAGCGGCGAGTTGTGGCTGTCAAAGCGGCACAAGTGACTGTCAAGTCAGTACGTCGTCGCTCAGAAAGCGCAGAAGCAAGATTTGAGATCAGGCATTGCGTTGTCTTCACTCCAATGTAGAACGCAAAGCGAGGACGTATGGTACGTGACAATAAATAGTATGAAGCATCATGTCGGAAACGGGGGACACTGGGACCGAGAAGGCCGGGGCCGCTGACAAGGACACTCACGAGCATTATGGCGGCGCGGCGCCTCGTTTTCAATCCTCCTGGCTTACCAGTGGGGGCCTTGCCGTGGGTGAGATGGTACGCTGATAGGAGCTAACAGACTCTGGTCGTGATGAAGCAGCCTGAGTGCGGGATAAAGACTCGAAACTGCGTTTGCGTTCCAATAGGCTGTCAATGGTCGCCTTGACCGCAGAGATGTTGCGTGCAGGGAGCGAGCCAGGCATTTCGATGGAATTCTCGGCAGCAGTTGACACGGTGATAGAGGGGCAGACATCGAGAAGCCGGGGAGGTACAATAACTTGGGTGGTCGAGGCATCGGAAGCGGAACCACCTTGCTTGGTAACAGTGAGGTCGTCGTCGGGGCCGACTCGATCTGCGTCAGGCTCGAGACTAGGATCGGTGTCGACGCTGATATACCGAAGAGCACGAGCTAGTTCCGAGGCCCAGCCATGATCGATGTCTCCTCCTTCAGGTAGCGGGTTAGGATTGGGAGCTTCTTCCAGCGTCTGCTCCCATCCGACCGGCGGTGAGCCTGGAGGCGAGATGAGAAAATTTCGAGATAGCGCGGGTACGGAAAGCAGGGTCGAGTGCAGCGAGGGCAAGGGCAGCGCAAGGGTGGGGCCGAAGAACACCCTTAGCGGTTCATGCTGCCTTTGTGTGGCATTGCGGACGACACGGTGGCCGAGGGGCGGTGGCGATGCAAGAGAGCGTGTGAGTGAGAGTGAGGGGGCGAAGGAGAACCCGCGCGTCAGCGGTCCGCGACAAGACGTTCTTTGGGGCGGCGTGCGAAGCAGTGCGAAGCGAGGCCAAAGTGGTGCGCCAGCGGCTCGAGCCGGAGCACGAGCCCGCTGGGACGGATCTCATCCGGTCGACGAGCATACACCGCAACCGCAAAGGGCACAGACACGCACCTGGGAGGTCGGGAAGTGTCTGGGTGTAGAACGGCGGCCATGGACGGGGGCTGCTTGACCTTGGCAGGACTCGTAGCTGGGTGATTGCAAGCGACAACGGCTTGATCGTCGTCGTCATCCTCCCAAACGAAGCCGTTCATCTCGCGACGCGCCAGGGTAGCGCCCTGCACGTCTTCATAGACAACCAGCACACGGCCGAGCATGCGTAAAGATGTCCACGAGACGAGTCGCCCATACGAGTGAAAGTGTGTCTCGAACATCGGCAAGAGGTCGGCGTCGAACAGCCGCGAGGGTAGCAGCAAGATCAATGTGTTGGTGGGCACCACTTTTGGGAGGGAAGGCATGATCACAGGGGTCGGTACTGCAGCTGCAGTGACCATTTTTAATGCGTCCAACAACGATCGTTGTACGATCAAGCCAGGTGGTGAAAGGTAGTCAAGTTCGACAGGTCTCAGCGCCGGTGAGCCCCGCCGGGCAAGATCTTGCGCGACGTTATGAAAATTAAACACTAATTGCCGGCCAAACAACCTTCTCGATTGAGCTAACTCTCGAAACTCTCGAAAAAACTAACAACAGCAATGATGACAATAGCAACATAATATTAAGAACACCGAGCAGGCGTATATGGTGGGTATAACTTTGGACTCGCAGAGCAAACCCCATGAGTGGAAGCTACCGAGCCTGAGGGCCGCTTGCGCGTCGCCACTGCCTATCGTCCTCAAGTGCCGGCCGGGCACCTAGTCCGCCGAGGCCAACGCCTCTGCGCGGCGCGTTCATGCCTTCGGCGTGGTGATCGACCATTTGCATACCACTCGCCCCTTGGTATCCATGGTTCTGATGCACAGACGGTGGCGGCGGAGCCCAGGATCCGATCGAGCTCCTCTCGCTCGACTCGCGTGAATTTGGACTGTACAGCCTTGTAGTACCGGCGCCGTAATAGTGGCCATCAGAAGCGCCCATCGAGCCGGCTTCGTGGTCTTGGAATGAGTTGGAGCCACTTCCGGGGGCCGAGTAAGATGTCAAGGCGTGGTGCGGCGGTGGTGCAAGATGATATGACGCAGGCTGGGGTTGGTGATGTGCGAGGCCGGAAGAGATGCCCTGCTGGGATTGCAAATGCTTGAGGTATTGATGAGACGGCAAAGTGGCGTGCCCGCTGTTGCCGTAAGCGTAGGTTGCGCTTTGCATGACTCCAGCTTCGGATCCATCGTGATAAGGGCTTGAGAAAGAAAGGGAGCGAACTCAGATAAGCGTAAACGGTCTGAGAATTCACTTCCATCACATGCACAGCAATGGCGGCTTACACGGTGTCGTAATTGACATGGGTATGACTTTCCGGGTAGTCGTAGGCGTTTGTCTGGTTCTGCGCCGATGACGTCATTCCGGCCGCGAGATTATGCAAAGTCGGCGAATCGCTAGAATAGGGGGTTCCGTTCCCACCGCCCGACAACGAATAGTTGCTGCTGCCCATGACGGGAGGACCTCGGCCGGCGTGAGCGGCGCCGGTCCGTGCGTTACCAGGTCCTTCAACCGCGTGCTGACTCGATGTATTTGTTTTCTCCTCGGAGCCATTGAATCCAGGAGGCTGAACGTCCTCGGAAACGTCTCGCGTGGATCCGAATGGCGACGGCAACAAGTTGGATATCGAGGGCAAAGTTACTCCACTGCGCGACCCGGACAACGATCCTGGCGGTGAGGGTGGGGTCGAAGACGAATGAGATGCCGCGGAAGTGCTGGGACCGATTTGTTGATGGGAATATGAATATGGTGCATTGTAGGTGTTGAATCGGCTCGTAGCAGTCGTAGGAGGCGCCGGGACCGGAGGTTGCGGAGGCGCGATTCGCCGGCGTAACGGAGGAGAGCCCGAAGTCAGGTGAGTGCCAAGACCGTTCTGAGGCGACGAAGGATTGCCGTATCCAGCGAAGGAGGAAGCGGGCCCTTGATCATAGGCGTACGAGTTGTACGACGCTGCAGGCGGGTAGTGACCACCACTCGACGGCGGATATGGTCCAGACATGAAGCGCTGTTGCAATGCGGGAGCAGCGGCGGATAGAGCCTGTGGAGGCGGCGGCGGCGAGGTTTGGCCCATGTCGGAATGATGAAACTCGGTGCTGTTCCCGCCTTGTTCATTATCAGCCTGACTGGGCCGATCACGCGTCGGGCTGTCGTGGTGCTGGCCCTCAGATCCGCCAAGGCCCGCGGTCACCGCAAGGGGCGACTCAGTAAGCGGCTCGGCGGTTGCATCGGTGGCAGCGGATTCTAAAGCTGCCCCCTCCCTCGCCCTCTTGGCTTTAGCCTTGGCCCTTCGAACAGCTCTGGGCTTGTTGGGATCTGTTGGCGCTTTGGGTTTGCGGGGAGGCGCATCCGAGTCTTCTTTGACGACCATGCCCATGGCCACTTGTCGCTGGGCGGTTGACGCGGAGAGTTGGTTGTGCAGAGCAGTGAGCTCCGTCATCATCTGGGTGTTGAGCTCGGCATCATCTGCATGCACTGTCGTAGCGTGTTGCCGAACGTTGTCCAAGCGTGAGAACAAACGACCGCAGTGGCACTTGAACGGCCGTTCACCCGTATGTTTCCTGTGCGGGGAGCACGAAGCGCAGCGCGGCGGTTCAGCCTCACATCGTCAGACTTCAAGCATGACACTAGTCGAGGGCATCATCCAAAAAGAGTTCTTGTGCCCCAGATCAGGCTTGAGAACGGTCTACAGCGCGATCTCCAAGGTCCCGGCGGCGTCGGCCGACTCGGAGGCCCCGGTCATCCGGTGCTCGGAATCGATCGTGGCTGGGTCGGTCCCGACTCGTGAGGCCGCGCAGGGCCGTGGGGGCGCGCCTAGCCCGTGCAGTCAACGCCCAAGTGCGGCTGCAGACTCACCTAACATGTCGGGCCAGATGCTCAGACCGCGTAAATACCATGGAACACTCGCCATAGCCAGTGCAGCGAAACATGCTCGTAGTCGACACGCTCAAGCGAAGCAGGGAGCTTGGTGTGCTGGACGGCGACGGCGCTTGCTGCGGTGACCAATTGAGAGCCCAACTTGGGCCTCCGGGTTACGTCAGAGGAAGCAAGGGATACAGCAGGCCAATTATTGCTGTAAGAGTCGGCGAGGCCGTCGTGTGAAAGCTGGACCACGGTCAGGAGTTCGGAAATTCCCTGGCGCACACCCAAGAGAGCTCGAATCCGGCGACGAGACGGCGACAGCGAAGAGCGGCAGCCGCGAGAGTGATGAAGACGCGGCGAGGGCCTGGCCGAGATGGCGGGCGCCGGGCAGCGTAGTACGGGGGGGGCACTGGGCAGAATCCCCGACGACGGTAGCAATTCTTCCCGAGGAAGGGCGTATTCACAGCACCGGGTGGTCTGCAAGGCACGTCAGAAACGCTGGTGGTCGGTGTCGGCTACCACTGTTGCTGAATGGTTGTCGGCGACCTCGAGCCTGCAGCTTGCAGACGAAGGAAAACGTCGCCCAGCCAGGCCGGCTGTGAGTCGCTGCAGGTGCCTGGGGCCGCCTTGAGTCGCGTCTGTCGGCGTCACTCTTTTAATGAAATCAGGGCACCCGCGCTCGCTCACGATTAGGTCTTTGGTTCCTGTAATTTCCTCAGTCGCACCCAGGTGACAGGTCCCGACGTCTCAATTTTACGCATGGATTGTACCTTGAAACTTGGTACCTAGGTAGGGGTACACCCCTGTGATAGGTATGTACCAACTCGGATTCATCTGCCTACCCGCGCTAGAGACTTGTGCTAGCGCTAGCTTCCAGTTTTAGATTGCGCAAATATATGCACGGGCTGCTACCTTTCGAGGCCACCTCGACAATCCGCGTCGCGCCAGCTAGCGCCTCGGGGCACACGTCTTGAGCAGTGCCGGTCGGGATTCCTACAATCATTTTCTGCTCCTTTGTCTCGTTCACCCAACTGGTTGTCCATTTCCGTCTCCTCGTGGCGGCACTGCGCCCATTTTGAAGGTGTCAAAGTCTCTTTCCGGTCCCCTCGGGCCCGGCCCGGGAGTAGAGCTGAGCGCTCTTGAGTCTTGACATCGACCGAGTCGGCCGACAAGGTCACATCTGGCGAGCCAAATCTTCGCTAGCGGGGTCGAGTGGAGAGGCGACGACGCACTCACCAACTCCGAAGGTGACTTCTGTCTCGAGACTTGGGGCTTGACTGCTCCAGTATCCGGGCACCGGGTGTCACGGGTTCTGAGCCGGCATAGCGTCCGACATTGTCACGTGGCCTGCAGTGGGTACTAGTAGTAGGCCTGAGATCCGAGATCCACCGTGTCGCAGCTGGATGAGTACTAACTGATAAAATGAACTAGCTACTGATTGACCACAACGTTTCTGTGGGAGTTATTTGAAGGGTAAATGTACATTCTCGGTAGGGAAAATGGTTACTACTACGAGGCTAACTCCTTTTCTTTGCAGAGGTTGCAGTGGGCCACCGGATCCGGGCCGCCGACTACTGAGTACGTGTCGGAAACTAATTCGAGATGAGGCTGTGAACCTGCTGCTGCATTTACATGTAGTTAAAGACGCGTTTATCGTGAGCCCACTGATCGGTGCTGTCGCTACAAGTATTCTAGCCTACAACTTCTAGCCTTTGAGCGGCTGAGCCCGGATCGCGAAGACAAACTTGTCGCATGCAAGCCAACGTAATTGAGGCGTTAACACCTGGACTGGAATCAACGACCGATTGGGGCCGATTGGGGCACATTTTTTTGACTGAAACTAATGGCATTGCAAAACGAATACGTCCCGTCACGCGACTGACTCCAGCTCCCATGCCAAAAAAAAAGAACACCCGTCGGGATGGGCCCGCCACTGGGATTCTTCATTAGACAAGATAGTCTCGCAGATATCAGGTAATTATCTAAAAGTATCGTGCTCTGGCTCTGAACTATCTATCTCCCACCTGAGTTGGATATCTTAGATGGATGCTTAGATATCTCTGAGCATCTAAAGTTTCGCCTAGTAAGCATCTAAAACATATATCTTAGATGCTTCCGTTCCTAACATGCTTAGATTTCTCATAGCTAATACTAAGCACCATATCTACCGGTAGATATAGTACATCCAGATATCTAGCTATCTATCAAACATCTATTGGACATCTATGAGAATCTTGCGCGCCGGTGTGGCTCAAAGTTCAGCTCATTTCATGGTGACTACTCACTTTAGCTCGGAGACAGTGCTATTTCAACCCCATTCCGACTTACAGATAGTGAAGGATTTGTACTGCATAATCTTAAGTCAACTGTCTCGGTCTCGGCAACCTGACATTTTGCACTTCAACAAGCTTTTTCGGTGCGGGGTCAAAATAAATGTCCTCCTGATCAGGCGCCTCGGCGCTCTGCGTTGGCCCGCTTTTTCGACTGGCCTCCGCCGGCCGCCGCTCGCCCTGCTTGAAAACCAGCGCCGAAAAGTTGGGCCAAGTTTAGCGCCTTTCAAGCTACTTGAAGCAAGTTTCGACAAATCTTGGAGGCTCCTGGCATTATTTAACATTTGAGGGTCAACAATCGATCTTCCGATTCGACATGTGGGCCCGCCGGATAACGCTGTTTTCTGACATGGGCCAGCTACTAGCTCTAGGCCCGGCGAGCGCTATTAGGCAAGTGCGCCAGTGCGCGCGGTGGATCCAGGCCGCCCGCGCCTACAACTTGCGGCCTCTTGCCCAACAGTGCTCCGCAGTAGAACGTGCGTGATACCCATCGTATCGACCCTGAGGACATCATACGATTGCTCATCCCGCTCTGTTCATTGGCCTTCTTCAGGCTCGTTTCTGCGATGACCAGTGTCGCACCGCCTGGGTTCATATTCCCGCCAGGGATGGCGCCACTCGAGGTGCCCAACTATGTGGTGAGTGCACTCGAGGGTCAGATGGTCCACCACACTCGCCGGTGTTTGTTCACGCTTTGTGCACGACCTCCCCAACTTTTGTTCCCGCCAGGAGCCCGAGGCGATGGCCCAAGAGACGCTGGACGCAAAGGCCAGGAAGTGGAACGCTCTGCAGAGCCGTCGTTACGGCTCGTCGAGGAAGACGCAGGTCGATCCAGGCAAGCAAGAGCTCCCACCAGAGGCATTGCGACGCATCATCAAGGACCACGGTGACATGAGGTAGGTATGGCGATGGCAGGCCGATGGGAGACCCACAGTTGGGCGGCCAGGCCACCGCTGGGTACGGGCGTGACGTGCGAGGCTGACTCTCGTGATCGTACACGTCGATCGTCCATCTTCTCGAAACAGTAATCGCAAGTTTCGATCCGACAAACGCGTCCATCTTGGCGCGCTGAAAGTGAGCTCACGGCATGAACGGTGTCGGATGCCTCAAGTCACGCGCTGACCAACGCTTGCGGCGGGCGACCCACAGTATGTTCCGCATGCTGTCCTGAAACTTCTCGAAAAGTGAGTGCCCGCTTGGTCGTTGCTGTGGCGTCTCCATCACTCTTGTCGCATAGGCTGATACCAAGCGATGGTCCATTCATCGCCGACAGCATGCCCATGCCCTGGGAGCAAGTTCGCGAAGTCAAAGTGCTGTATCATGTGACGGGGGCCATCACCTTCGTCAACGAGATTCCGACCGTGATCCCGCCTGTGTACCATGCGCAGTGGGCGTCCATGTGGCTTGCCATGCGTCGCGAAAAGCGCGATCGCCGCCACTTCAAACGCATGCGATTCCCACCGTTTGATGACGAGGAACCTCCCTTGGACTACGGCGACAACGTGCTCGACACCGAGCCACTAGAAGCCATTCAGCTCGACCTCAACGACGACGAGGACGGGCCTGTCATCGACTGGTTCTACGATTCGAAACCGCTGCTGGACTCGCCCCACATTAACGGGAGCTCCTACAAGGTGTGGAACTTGGATCTTCCCCAGATGGCGGTCCTGTACCGCCTGGGTAGGAGCCTACTGAGCGATTTCAACGATCGCAATTACTTCTACTTGTTCGAGCCCAAGTCGTTCTTCACGGCGAAGGCGTTGAATGTGGCGATCCCGGGCGGCCCCCGCTTCGAGCCGTTGTACCGCGACACGGACAACTTCGACGACGACTGGAACGAGTTCAATGACATCAACAAGGTCGTTATCAGGCAACAGATTCGCACCGAGTACAAAGTCGCGTTCCCGCACCTTTACAATTCGTTGCCCCGTGCCGTTCACATCCCTGTCTACCACGAGCCCCACAATCTCTACATTCGCACGGAGGACCCCGATCTACCAGCTTTCTTCTACGACCCGATGATTCACCCCATGTCGACGCGTGGGCTGGCGCCTCGCAACGAAAATATCACTCCGGAGCAGGCTGTCTTTGGTGATAGCGACGGCGAAAGCGACGGTCGTGGTGATGCCGAGTTGGAGCTCCCGCATTTCATCGAGCCCTTCCTCGGCGAATGCGAGATTGAGACGGAGCGAACTGCCGATGCGATTGGGCTGTGGTGGGCGCCTCATCCGTACAACCAACGCAGCGGTCGGACCGTTCGCGCCCAAGATGTACCCCTTGTCAAGAATTGGTACCTCGAGCATTGCCCACCCGGCCAACCCGTCAAGGTCCGCGTGTCGTACCAAAAACTGCTCAAGTGTTACGTCCTCAACGCGCTCCACCGTCGCAATTCCAAGCCCGCTACCAAGAAGTACCTTTTCCGCCAACTGAAAGCAACCAAGTTCTTCCAGACGACAACGATCGATTGGGTCGAAGCCGGACTTCAAGTGTGCCGCCAAGGGTACAACATGCTGAACCTCCTCATTCATCGCAAGAACCTCAATTATCTCCACCTGGACTACAACATGAATTTGAAGCCGGTCAAGACGCTCACGACGAAGGAGCGCAAAAAGTCTCGTTTCGGAAACGCGTTCCACCTTTGTCGCGAGATTCTGCGCCTGACCAAGCTGATCGTGGACTCTCACGTGCAATACCGCCTCGGCAACGTGGATGCGTTCCAGCTTGCTGATGGACTGCAGTTTACATTTGCGCACGTTGGACAGCTGACGGGCATGTACCGTTACAAGTACAAGTTGATGCGCCAGGTTCGCATGTGCAAGGATCTCAAACACGTCATCTACACTCGGTTTAACACCGGCCCCGTTGGCAAAGGCCCCGGCGTAGGCTTCTGGGCTCCCGGATGGCGCGTGTGGCTCTTTTTCCTTCGCGGCATTGTACCCCTCCTCGAGCGCTGGCTCGGCAACCTGCTCGCTCGACAGTTCGAAGGGCGCAATTCCAAAGGCATCGCAAAAACCGTTACAAAACAACGAGTCGAGTCGCATTTCGATCTCGAACTCCGCGCGGCAGTGATGCACGACATTCTCGACATGATGCCAGAAGGAATCAAGCAAAACAAGTCGAAGACGATTTTGCAGCATTTGTCTGAGGCGTGGCGTTGTGTGAGTTTCGAGTCGACGGGACCGACCCCTAGAGTTTACGGATCGAGATTCGGTTCAGTGTTCACAGGACTGACCTGCATACAATAACTCTCTGTCTACGAATCATTTTTCCGTCTCGTGTCCCGGCGCTCTACGCGGTGTAGTGGAGTAAGTCAATATGCTTCTGCCTTCCTTCCTTGGTGATCGCTGGAACGTGCGAGATTGGCGCATCGGAACCGGAAGACCATCGCTGACCCAAAGTGCCTCTGGATCATTCTCAGAGGCAAATATTCCTTGGAAGGTGCCAGGAATGCCTACAGCGATCGAGAACATTATCTTGCGTTTCGTCAAGGCCAAATCGGACTGGTGGACGTCGGTCGCGCATTACAATCGCGAGCGCATCCGCCGCGGTGCGACGGTGGACAAGACGGTTGCCAAGAAGAATCTCGGGCGATTGACTCGACTGTACCTCAAAGCGGAGCAGGAACGCCAAAACTCGTACCTGAAGGATGGTCCGTACGTCTCTTCTGAAGAGGCCGTAGCGATCTATTCCGCGACCGTACATTGGCTCGAGTCTCGGAAGTTCGCGCCAATGCCATTTCCCCCGTTGTCCTACAAACACGACACGAAGCTACTGGTGCTCGCCCTGGAACGACTCAAGGAGGCGTATTCTGTCAAAGGTCGCCTGAATCAGTCCCAGCGCGAAGAGCTCGCCCTGGTCGAACAGGCCTACGACAACCCTCACGAGACTTTGTCCCGCATCAAACGCCTCTTGCTGACCCAGCGCGCATTCAAAGAAGCCGGAATCGAGTTCTTTGACACGTACGAGAAGCTTATTCCTTGCTACGACATCGAGCCGATGGAGAAGATCACGGACGCCTACCTTGATCAGTTCCTCTACTTCGAAGCCGACAAGCGAGGGCTTTTCCCGTCCTGGATCAAGCCGGCCGACACGGAGCCACCTCCCTTGTTGGTGTACAAGTGGGCTCAAGGCATCAACAATCTGCACGATGTATGGGAAACGAGTGAAGGCGAATGTAACGTTCTGATGGAAACTCAACTTTCCAAGGTTTACGAGAAAATCGACTTGACCTTGCTCAACCGTCTGCTGCGGCTGATCATGGACCACAACCTGGTAAGCATTTTGTTCTTTGTTCTCACAAGGCGAATGCAGCAGTGTCTTGACAATGCCTGCACTTTTCCATTCCTTCATTTCGCTCATTCGCAGGCCGATTACTGCACGAGCAAGAACAACATTGTCCTGACCTACAAGGATATGTCTCACGTCAATGCATATGGAATGATTCGGGGCCTTCAGTTCTCGTCCTTTATCTTCCAGGTAATCCGAAACCTTTCTTCACGCTGAACCAGCAACTGAACAAGTAGCTGACTCGAGTGGCCCTCGCCCCGCCGCCCTTCACACCCACACCGCAGTACTACGGCCTCGTGCTCGATATTCTCATCCTTGGGCTGCAACGCGCGAGCGAAATGGCGGGTCCTCCGCAGACGCCCAACAATTTCCTGCAGTTCCGGGACACCGCTACGGAGACGCACCATCCGATTCGACTCTACTCGCGTTACGTGGACAAGATTCACATCATGTTCCGATTTACTGCTGATGAGTCGCGCGACCTGATCCAACGGTATCTGTCTGCTAATCCCGATCCCAACAACGAGAAGTGAGTCAGGGACGACATTTGAGGCCCCCAATATTCAGCTGAGGGGTCCGAGTCAACGGCGTCACTGACATCGCCTTGTGCCACGCTGCGTAGTCTCATTGGTTATAACAACAAAAAATGCTGGCCCCGCGATTGTCGTATGCGACTCATCAAACATGACGTCAATCTTGGTCGAGCTGTGTTTGACTTGGTGCGGACTTGTTGACAGCGTGTGGAGCAGCAGTCCATTCGGGCTTAGTAACTGACGAAGCGGGTTGAACTGACACAGGTCAAAAATTCGCTGCCGCGATCGCTCACCACGATCGAATGGGACGATACCTACGTTTCCGTGTACTCGAAGGACAATCCTCAGTTGCTCTTCGCGATGCAAGGGTTCGAGGTTCGCATCCTTCCGACGTGTCGTGTGTCTAACGAGGCTTTCACTCTCAAGGATGTGAGCAAAGCAGAAGTTTTTGCCAGGTTTGGCACTGTGAAGTTGATTTTGTCTTCCGGTCTTTAGGGAACCTGGGCACTGCAAAATGACGCTACCAAAGAGCGCACGGCCCACGCATTCCTTCGCGTCTCCGACCAGGTTCGCCTCCTCGATGCCATCTTATCCTGGCCTTGGGTTGCTGCAACTAACATGTCTAAGCAACTTCGAGCGCACAGGGAATCAAGCAATTCAGTGATCGGATTCGTCAGATCCTTATGTCCTCTGGAGCCACAACCTTTTCGAAGATCATCAACAAGTGGTACGTCGTCGTCGGCGACCGCGTTCCTGAGGCAGGTCGATGCTTATACGTATACACCTTTCGACCTTTCGTCTTCTCCCTCAGGAACACGGCTATCATTGGACTCATGACGTATTACCGCGAAGCCGTCATTCACACGAATGAGATGCTCGACCTGCTCGTGAAGGCGGAGAACAAAGTGCAGACGCGCGTAAAGATTGGTCTCAACTCGAAGATGCCATCCCGATTCCCTCCTGTGGTAAGTGAAGCTGCTGTGCCCGACTTGGTCATCCTGTAATCTCCAACAATCCTGATCGGCGTCCCTTCTTCCCCCTTATGTAGGTCTTCTATAGTCCGAAGGAGCTAGGTGGTCTTGGCATGCTGTCGATGGGTCACATCCTCATCCCCGCGTCCGACCTTCGCTGGAGCAAGCAGACGGACACAGGCATCACTCATTTCCGCTCCGGAATGTCGCATGCCGAGGATACGCTCATCCCGAATTTGTATCGCTACATCCAGCCTTGGGAGAGTGAATTCCTTGATTCAGCGCGCGTATGGTCCGAATACGCTCTCAAGCGCAAAGAAGCATCGGCTCAGAACCGCCGTTTGACGCTGGAGGATCTCGAGGACAGCTGGGACCGCGGCATCCCTCGCATCAACACCCTCTTCCAAAAGGATCGTCATACGCTTGCATACGACAAGGGCTGGCGCGTCCGCTCGCACTGGAAGCAATATCAGTTGCTCAAGTTCGATCCGTTCGCCTGGACTTCACAGCGCCATGACGGTCGACTTCATCATCTGGGGGCGTACCGGGTTGATGTGATTGCTGCCTTGGGCGGTGTTGAAGGGATTCTGGAGCATTGTCTCTTCAAAGCGACGGCATTCCCGACCTGGGAAGGTCTGTTCTGGGAGAAAGCGTCTGGCTTTGAGGAATCGATGAAGAACAAGAAGCTCACCAACGCGCAACGATCCGGCTTGAATCAAATTCCGAACCGCCGATTTACGTTGTGGTGGTCCCCAACCATCAACCGTGCCAACGTCTACGTCGGTTTCCAGGTCCAGCTCGATCTCACCGGGATCTTCATGCACGGCAAGATCCCAACCCTCAAGATTTCGCTCATTCAAATCTTCCGAGCCCATCTGTGGCAAAAAATACACGAATCGGTCGTCATGGACCTGTGTCAGGTACTCGACCAAGAGCTGGAGGCCTTGCAGATCGAAACTGTGCAGAAGGAAACCATCCACCCTCGCAAATCCTACAAGATGAACTCATCCTGTGCCGATATTTTGCTGTTTTCGTCGTACAAGTGGAACGTCACGAGCCCGTCCCTCCTCACGGACTCGAAGGACCAACTCGATGGCACGACAAGTTCCAAGTATTGGTTAGATGTACAATTGCGTTGGGGAGACTTTGACTCGCACGACATCGAGCGTTACTCCCGCGCCAAGTTCCTCGATTATTCGTCCGACAACATGTCGATTTACCCCTCACCGACCGGTACGCTCATTGCGCTTGACTTGGCCTACAACTTACACTCAGCCTACGGTAATTGGATTCCGGGGATGAAGCCACTGGTTCAGCAAGCCATGGCCAAGATTATGAAAGCGAACCCGGCACTCTACGTCTTGCGCGAACGCATTCGCAAAGGGCTTCAGCTGTATTCGTCGGAGCCGACCGAGCCGTACCTCAACTCGCAGAACTACTCCGAGCTCTTCAGCAATCAAATCATCTGGTTCGTTGACGATACCCAAGTGTATCGCGTCACCATCCACAAGACCTTCGAGGGCAACTTGACTACCAAACCGATCAACGGCGCAATCTTCATTTTCAATCCACGTACCGGCCAAGCCTTCATCAAGATCATTCACACATCAGTTTGGGCAGGTCAGAAGCGTCTGGGTCAATTGGCTAAGTGGAAGACGGCCGAAGAGGTGGCTGCTCTGATTCGCTCCCTGCCGGTCGAAGAGCAGCCCAAACAAGTCATCGTTACCCGCAAAGGCATGCTCGACCCTCTTGAAGTGCATCTACTCGATTTCCCCAACATCGTCATCAAAGGGTCGGAACTCCAGCTCCCGTTCCAAGCCTGCATGAAGCTGGAGAAGTTTGGTGACTTGGTGGGTCATCAAAAGCATTCTCGGGGACTCCTGCGACGAGGCACTAACTTGGCCCTGATGGCCACGACGATCCTCAGATTCTACGAGCAACGCAACCCCAGATGGTGCTCGCCAATCTGTATGATGACTGGCTAAAATCGATCTCCTCGTACACGGCATTCTCGCGCCTCATTCTGCTTTTGCGATCGGTGCACGTCAACAACGAGAAGGCAAAGATCATTCTGCGTCCCAACAAGAACACGGTCACAGCGCCTCATCACGTTTGGCCTACGCTGGAAGATGAGGAATGGATGCGAGTCGAGGTGGCCCTGCGCGATCTCATTCTCAGCGATTACGCTAAGCGCAACTCGGTCAATACCGCGTCTTTGACTAGCTCCGAAATCCGAGATATCATTCTGGGTATGGAGATCTCGGCACCATCGATACAGCGACAGCAAATGGCGGAAATCGAGAAATCCGCCGAAGCAGCTGCCCAGGTGACAGCGATTCAGACACGGACCACGAACATTCAGGGTGACGAGATACAAACCGTCACTACCACGGCCTACGAGCAACAGGTATTCTCATCCAAGACGGATTGGCGCGTTCGTGCGATCTCGTCAACCAATATCCCGCTGCGCTTGCAACACGTGTACGTGACCAACGATGACGTTAAGGACGACCTCCCGACATTCATTCTGGCGAAGAATATCATGAAATCGTTCGTTTGCGCTGCCGACCTCCGTACTCCCGTTGCCGCATATCTTTATGGTATCGTCGCCCCCGATAACACCCGTGTGGTCGAAGTCAAGGCCGTGGTCATCGTTCCCCAGCGTGCGAGCCAGCGTTCCGTCGAACTCGCGGCGGACTTGCCTTCGCACCCGCTTCTGGCTGATATGAAGATTGTGGGCATCATCTCGACGCAAGCACAAGAGACGCAGTCGCTCACGCCCTCGGACGCGTGCTTGTATGCCAAGCTGATGGCTCAGCACGCCGAAATTGACGGATCCTCGATGATGCTCACCGTCGCCTTCACCCCTGGCTCACTCTCAATGTCGGCCTACGCCTTGACGCCCAAAGGGTTTGAGTGGGGTCGCACTGCTGATCCGAATGCCCCCGCCGGTTACAACCCCGCCTCCATGTGCGATCGAGCTCAATTGCTGCTGTCCGATCGCATTTTGGGCTCGGTCTTTGCCCCCGTGGGTGATGTGTGGAACTACTCGGTCGGCCTCGGTGCCAGCTTCACCCCAACAATGCCATACTCGATATCTTTGGTCGGTCGACCTAGCGCCTACTGGGATCCTATCCATCGTCCCACTCACTTTGCTTCGTTTGGAAATATCGGAGAGGAGGACGAAAACGCGGCCGATCTCGATGACAATTATGCGTGATGATGTGGAGGCTTGACGAATCATTCCATGCTCTGTGTATCTTGTCCGTGGGAAATACAACTCTGTTTATTTTGCCCGTGGGAGATGCACACGCAGTTTATCCTCTGATTCCAAGCGAATATCAAACGCGACCCATTTTCCCACGAATTTAGAGCACGAACGTGGAGACGCCGGCATCGCGGCACATGTGACAGGCATACAAAATGGTAACTGTCGGACGTTCAGTAAAACATGCCATACCCTCCCCCCCGCTTGCACCCCTCAACCGACTAGGCAGTCACTCTGTCCCTACTATGGTACTAGCTCCGCGTTTTAGGCGCCCCACGTGACCAGACCGCGGACTCCGAATTTTGCGCAGCCGAGCGGAGGCGCTCTGTGCCGTGTGCCTGAAACGCGGCGCGCGTGAGCCGCGGATTCATTTACGATGGGACCGGACCACGTCTTCGCTTATTAAATCGCAGTCAGCTCGTCTGAGCTCGACCCTCGCCACCCGGCACGCACCGAGGTACGAATTAGCGTGCCTGAACGGTAAAAGAGTGTGGAAACAATAATGGCTAGTGTGCTTGTCTTCTACTTTCTCCCTCTCACTTCCCTTCAACTGACTTCAGCCCAACATCCGGCCCCTCTTCCTCGACTACCACATTAAAAGTTCACAATGTCTTCTCTTGCACCCCCGCCTGTCGCCCCTGCGGCAACGGTTCCGCCACCCCCACGTGCTACCCAGCCCGCTTCGTCTCGACCCGCCAAAACCGACGCATTCAATCTCAAGTATCTCCTTCGCCTTCCGATCCGGATCTTCTCGCCCCCCAAGGCGTCGGGTATGATTGGCAGCGTGCGTTCACTGCGTGCGACTCCTTTAAACGACGTGCGACTCGCGGACGTAATCGAAAACAAGCATTTCTCGCCCTTGTCGCTCAAGGACTTTGAGGGCTACCTCGTTTTCAGGGAGCATGCTGCTGAGAACCTGTACTTCATTTTGTGTGAGTACACTCTCCCCAGCTTGATTCCTCGCTCCATGTCGTGAAGGGTGTCCTTATCGGGGGCCACCAGCGGGCCCCGTGCTTCCAAGCCTTGCGCGCTCCTGGCTGCTGAGCGTTGAGCGCTGAGCGCTGAGCTCGGCTGCGGCGCGCTCTGGAATCCGGATGCAGCAACAAGCTGCCCCCAAGTTGCCCCCTGACGTGAGCCCTCACGTTGATGCCAGCGCAAGGTCTCGAAGCCGCGTCCCTATCGCCAGCGCAGTACCCAGGTTTGTGTCTTATTGATCGAGACAGTACTGACACCTTCTTGATGTGCGCTCACTCAGGGCTCAACGAATACGAGAAAGAATGGAATGCGTGGCAGCGCGACCCCACGGCGCTTAAGGAGGCACACGATGCCCGGATCACCGACCCTCATGCCTCTCGTACATTGACGCAGTTTCCACCTCAGCTACGCGAGTCACTAGAGCGTGGCCTCGATGCCTTTTTCACTCCTGATGGAGCGCTTGAACTCAATTTGTCGGATGCAACTCGTGACAAGGTGCTCGTGGAGGCTCGATCCGGCAATCCTGCAGACTTTGAGGAGGCTCGGGGCTTGATACTGCACAGTCTGCACAGGTGCGCCCTCGCTCGTTGCGCTATCACAGTAAATCCCATCTGACATCGTGGCATGGCGCACCTGCCCAGGTCTTTGGCTGCGCATTCCAAGGCTTGTGTCGCCAACGCCGGTCCTCGTCGTCTCGTCTTCTGCTTCTGTCTCGGCTTGTCGATCTTCTTGCTCGGTCTGATACCGCCCCTCGTCGGCATCCTTGGCGGATATGCTCGCGCATGGCGAGTTGTGGGATTGCCCTTCATTTGGTTTGGTACCGCCGTTATGGTGATGGCGGTGAATCGCATCTGCGGAGTAAGTGCTCTGGACTCTGAAACCTCTCCCTGCATTCGCATCCTATTTACGAAATCTGTTCCCACCCATCCCACCCATCAAGGTCATCTGGCTGCTAGGAGAAGATCGGCAGCTGCTCCGCTACGAGGCTGAGCCTCCGACCGTACTATCAAACTCTATCGTTGACCTGGGTCCTGCTACGCCTCGCTCGTCCAGCTCTTCCTGGGATGAAGAGTCTGCCTACGGCGACGAGAAAGATTGTAGCCCCGAGCCTTCGTTCACGACTCGGACGTCCGCCACGCCTTATCCGTGGGAAAGAACCGATGCCTCGGCTGGTGTCGACTCTGCTACTTCGTGTCCTCCATCTTACTTGTCGAAGGCGTCTACGCTTAACCTCGTGCCTTCCTCAGCTCAGGTATGGGGACCGGTCACGAAGGTGTTTTCGCCGGACGTCGTGCGCGCTCAGTGGAGACTCGCCGTTGGGGCTCTTTTGGCCGGGGTCGTGGGCCTTCTCACTGTAGGAGTGGTGCTGATGGCCGTTCCAAACAGAGCATGAAGGAATTGAGACGGGCTGGAAAGATACCGTATTTTCGGGGGTGCTGCTAATGGGGTTTTGCTGTCGTTTTGTAATGAAATATCCGGAAAAAATGAATTGTACAGTGGGTGGGAACCTCTACAGGCCCGGAGCGTCGCCAAAACACCCAGCGTGCGTTGAGCTTGGACCCACTTGCCTGACCTCCCTTCCGTTGACCTGCCTTTGACGGCGAGTCGTGACCCGCCCGCGACGCGAAACAACACGAGTGGGTGTGTGTTTGCGCAGCCTCTCAATGCTAGGCTTGCCCCGACCTGACTGCTGAACCGAGTTTGAGCTTGCGCAGATTGAACCTACGGTTAGGACGATCTGGGCCGATCACGACTGCGAAGCTAGAGAAGAGACTGGGAGCGACGCTTACAACTTGTGTTCCAGCCACCTCGTTGGCCTGTTGGTCGACCGGTCCGGGGCGAATTTCGACGGAGTACATCTGAATCTCAACTTCAATGTCGTGGCGTATCGCTCGGATTGCCTCCGGCCTTGGCTCCACTCTCGCGGCCCGCACCCGTGCTTCCGCGGCATGCACTTGTCGCAACCTCCCTTCTCGACAGCCGATCTTCACGCCCCATGTGCACGGAGTAGTTCTCGGGTCTATTCGAAGCTACGCCAAAGGAAAATCCAAGAAGGCGATATCCAAAGTGTCCGAACGCGCAGAGGATGTGACATCATCAGACGCGGACACCAAGAGAGGCAAAGGGAAAGCCAAGTTCGTACAGGCGCAGGAGTTAACGAATGAAGAGAGCCTGGGTGTGTACGACCTCAAAACGCTGGAGGCGAGCATGGACGAGGCAGTAGACAAGCTCAGGGTTTCGCTCAAAGCGGTTGTTGGTCGGGTGGGACGAGTCTCACCAGGTGCGACACATCGCCGCATTGGTTATGATGACGTCCAAAGTCAATGCTGATATGCTTCACGTATCCACATTTAATCCGCCCAACGGTATGAGTAGAACTACTCAAGGATATCAAAGTCGAAGAATCGGGCAAGCGAAGACCGTTGGCTGAATTTGGGACCGTGTCAGTGAAGGGCGGTCGCGACTTGGTGGTACATCTGTTCGACGAGACAGTCAGTGACGCCATCTCCTCTGAATTTTGCTCATCAAGTATGGGATGACCGGATTTCTGATGTAAATCCTTACACAGTTCATGAAAGCAGTTTCTGCAGCACTGTATGCTTCGCCGCTTTCCCTCACTCCGCAAAGTCACTCGGCGTCATCCTTGCTGGTGCCGATACCTGCGCCTACCTGGGAGAAGCGAGAGGCAATGACTCGGCAGGCGTCTGATGCCTGCGAGGCTGCCCGTGTAGTTGTTCGGAACTCGCGGGCTAGAGGGCAGAAGGAGATCAAACAAGACCTGTCGACGTCCGTAGTTAGCAAGGAAGAGGCCCGGTCTGACGGCAAAAATGTAGGCACTCCGTCCACCATGCGATGAGGTCACGAGTCCAAGCGAATGGATAACCTTCAATCTGACCTCGAATACCCTTTGTCTTCGCTGGAATAGCTCGACGTTGCAACCAAGAAGAGGACCGATGAGATAGACGGCATCTTTGCCGAGGCCAAAAAAGTGTGAGTTTCAGGTGCTGGAACTCCGGACAGACAGCATGGGTGCTCATTGGCAAAATCGAACGCACAGTCTCATGGACGAATGAATAGAACAAGCGAACATTATTGCCAATAAAAAGTCTCATCTGTTCCCGAGTCTGAATGGTCGAGCCGGCATCTTCGCGCTACGATGCAGAACCGTTTTCTAGGCCTTCAACGGGCACCCGATTCGCTATCGCTAGACGCGACCTTCTGTCGCTTTGCCGTGCCCAAGGCCGACGAGCCGCGCCGGCGGCCGCGATCCATCTCCAACATATCCTCCGTCGTGACCACCCGGCAGACCTCTACTTCAAGGCCTGCACGGAGTAGCACGTCCAGCCAGACCCGCTGCGTTTCGGAGAGCTTATCGCCGGGACCCTTGACTTCAACGAATTTGCAGACACTCTTTTCAACGTTCCAGATACTGTGGTCCCCAAAACCACGCGTGATGGGCATGTGAGCTGGCCAGCCGAGCTACCAAAATGGCCCGTCCGAGTCTGATTGTACTCACCAGAGATCTGGCATCCCACCCGTTTTATGCCCATACTCTTCGGCAAAATGTGTGGATAACACCGCCAACCCTGGACCCCCGATGCACTGTGGGGGCACACTTGCGTCAGCGGTGAGGGCTTGGCGAGAGCTGATGTTGCTCAGTGACTCACCTCGACCACTTCGATGAGATCCTGCTTGGTGAACTTTGCAAAGTTGACGCCAACAGCCCATGTATCTTGAGGTCGTTCTCGATCATCCACCTCTGTGAGGAGTTCGACTGCCCCGCCTTTCTCGATAGCGGTCAATCGAGCATCGATCATTTGCCTTCTCACTACAATCGTGCCGGGGGGTAACAAGTACTTCCAGGGTTAGTTCGCCTCTTCAAGTCTTCTGCAGGGCGCCTGGGACTGACCGATCGAGAATGCGTCCGAACGAAGATCGAGGGGGGCCGACTGATATTCAGTTTCAAACGCGCCGTTCACATCTGCAAAGATGATGTCCCAGAAACAGAGAGTGAAGATCGTGGACAGGATCCCGTTCTCGGAATGATACCCCTTCCATCCCTCCTTGCCATATTGCTCCAGGACCAAATCCTCGACCGAACACTCGGAGCCGTCGGTGGCGCGCCAGACCGACTTGCGTCCGATTGTCGGTTCGTCCAGACGCTCCCCTTCCATCACTCGGTCGCTGGCTTTTCTCAGCAGACCCTCGAAACGGCGACGCTCCTCTTTGGGAATGTCCAGTGAGGACTCGATCCGCAAGATTCGGCGTTGCAGAGAAGATCGGTAGATCAGGTGGGTGTAAGGATCGGCGAGACCGTCGATACAGACTTGCAGCGCCTTGAGTTTGCGTTGCTTTGCCAAGCGAGCCTTCTTCTTGAGTGAACAATCGCCTTTGGCCTCGTCTCCTAGTGGATAGCGCATCATCACCAGTGCCAGACGATCCCACCAGTCGCCGCGCTTGCCCCGTCGAAACGCCCTCTGTGCCAAGAGGGTGCGCAGCAGTTCGACTTCGCGGTCATGCCGCCCCTGTACGAGTGCTCCGGGTAAATTCGGCGAAAGATTCTAGCTAATGAGGCCATTTGGACTTACCAGTCGAGCGAGAACACCAGCAGCCTTGTAAGCGACTCGTGTGAGCGGCCAACCTGGTTCAGAGCAAAGCCGTCAATGCCTGCGCATCTTGGTGCCACCATTCATCGGTCCTGGCTCACCCGGATGAAACTGTCGGCGATAGTAAAGCAGACGCTCTTCAGTGCTCTCTGCCCCGGCTGTTGTCTCGCTTTCGGCGTCACGGCACATCCGTCGCCACGTGCCCTCGACCTCATCAAATAGCGCGATCGCCATTCGATGACCATTTTCTCGGTCTCGACTGCGCTGCTCGGTTGACTTGGCTCGCTCTGCGGCGATGGCGGCTCGGCTCGGGGTAGGAGCTGACGATGAGCCCCATCCTGCATCGCCCAGGTATTCCTCGATTGTGCGCTCGACCTCGAGTGCGCGTTCGTACTGCCTCAGTATGGCACGAGACGCGAAGATTGAGAACGTCCTTCGCACCGTATACACCGGATAATGCCGTTTCCCGAATCGCGCCAGAAGATTGGCTGTGAAGGAGGAAGCGGAGGAGCCGGATGTGTACGATGTGCGGTGGTATACTAGGCATAGGCGATCTAGCAGTGCACGATACGACGGATGCAGATGTACGACCTCCCCTGCAAAGAGACCGTTCTCAGATCGGTCAGTGGCGGGCATAATGCGGGAATTTCGCGAGCCACTGACGAACCAATGGTAGCCAGAGCTCGGCGGGACACGACACTGGACGCTTTGAGCTTGTTCCCGAGAGAATCGTAGCTGACTCCGAACGCTGCGGGCCGCTTAGCCTCGACAGCATTCTCCTTGCTTCGCGACGTGCTCGGCAGAAAGCAAAGTGTCGCTTGGTTGGAAGTTCGAAGGAGGGCGGACGTCCAGTCACCTCTCTGGAGCCAGGCCCGGCCATCAGCTGGGGTGGATCGTAGGCTTAGACATCTCGCTCTGCTGTCAACTCACAAGTCCCTTCCCCGGATTTACTTTCATCCCTTTTCCAAGCGCCACGAGCTCGTCCATGGTCAACAAGCTCAGCACAACGTCCGGGCTCGCATTCGCGAGATCGTCGCTGTTCCAGCAAATTTGCTTCAGGTCGAGAACTTGTGGTAGCTCATTTTGATCCAAGAACAGTATATCGTGTGCTTCGCCGTTATCTTTGCTGCCCCCACCGCCCGCGTCCTCGTCGTCTTCGTCATCCGTTGCCGTCAAGTCGACCACATTTGGATCCGCTCTGGTCCGGGAACCGACGTCCCGCTTCAAGCTCGGAAATTTCGGGCTAGGAGGAGTGATAGCCGGTGCCGAATCGGGTGCAAGATCGCGCACACGTCCTAGAACGCGGGCAGTCCCGTGCACATCATCGATGTCGTTGGCGTACCCGATCAAATCCACGCGAATCCATCCCGCCTTGCGAAGATACAGTCGCACGAGCAGGTACCTCACTTGATCTAGCCGAAAGTGCGGTACACGCCAGGTCAGTCATGGCAAGACATCTTCGCGATTGACCGGTGATAGGGTTCGACTTGCAATCAAGCGAACGAATATAGTGCAGGGCGTCGCGTTCGCTCGCGTCAAAGAGGAAAGCTTCGGCTTCAAGAACCTTGTCCAACATCTCGTCGAGCGAAAGCACGTAATAGCTGACACGCTTCTCGGGCCTCGCATGCTCGATCTGGCTCGCCGCTGTCGATTCCGTATTCCCGGTGACGGTCGACAATAAACTGCCCGGCGAGTTGGGGACTGGGGAGGGGCTCTGTACGTCGCGTGAGGTCGAGGCTTGGGACGACGCGTTCAGCCGCGAAGGTGACGCCGTAAGCTGCCGCGCGACGCAGAGGCTCGGGGGTGTACCTGTTCGAGCACGTTCGGGCATGGGTGTAGCTTGGGTCTCTACGCGTTCCATGGTTCGTGGGCTTCCCAGCAGCGGGATCACGGACTGAAGACCGCGGCGTCGATGGGCTCCTTGAGAGTTCGACGTTGGCTTGCCGGGGAGATGGCTCACTGGAAATTGCGGTCGCCGCGATCTGCCGCGATCGCGCGAATCAACGCGCGGTAAACGCTTCTTACCGACAGACGCGGCCTAGACTTCAGCAAGACTCAGGTTTCTTGTGACTCAGATTACTTGTAGAACAGACGCACAGCAATCAGAAGCTTGAAGATCGAAGGGGTATAATGGATGATATACAACATTGGGTGTGACGCGAACAAAAACTCTCCCAATCTGCCTCGTAAAAGCACGCTCGACCGAACAAATTCGAGCGGCGAACTGACGGTGAGACACACGCAGAGTGGGGTTTGGGGGTTCCCCACTGCCCAGGACAGAAAAGAGGTGAGGCTCAGCCGAGGCGGCCGCAATCTACCGCGCCGACCCAATTGTCTCAAGCTTGGCAAAGTGAGGTTTGGACAACTTGATGTTGAGTTCCAGGGCAGCAGGCTCTGCATGGCGTTGGGAATCGTTACAGGCGCCGGCGTGAGTCTTAGGTGAATGTTTGCGCACCGGAAAGGACAGATGTCGGGTGACTCACGTATCGCTGCCCTGGCCACAACCAGGATGTATGTTTCTGGTGTGAGCGCATCAAGCACCGCAGTGTAATGTGCAGTCGAGATGGAAAGGCTTGAGAAAGATGACCTCCGTCTACTGCAAGCCATTTTGAATGACTTGACCATGGTCGAGATACGTTCGAATCTGCGACGATCCCACATTGTTGATTCGTCGTCAGCACCGGGGCTATCCCCGATAGAGGGATCCAACGTGACGTGAGATATGACAAGGAATGTGGTCCTTTCGAAAAGCACAACCTCGCGTGCTGAGGACAGCTCAAGAAAGTGCGACAGATGTGATTTGAGTGAGGACAGCGAAGGCATGAGGTGGCCAATGACGACAGACCAGGCCTGTCACGAGAGGCGGTCAGCCAAGTGATTCCTCTTGCACCTTGTAACGTTCTGGGCTACTCTCCACCACCTAGAGCACCCTGGTCTTCGCGCCTAGCTTACCTTGTAAAGTGTCTCGTTCCAGATGCTGGTGCCGAAAAAGCGTAAATCGCCGGTCCATCCGCTGTCCTCGGCCCGCTTGCTGATGTCGTTCTGAAAATCGGAAAATTTGGTAGCTTGTGCCGCCTTCTCGACGAGATCCATCTTGTGCAGCAGGACAAACACGGTCGGGCCCTCGGCGCGTCGACGCTCACCGTCCGGGATGGTGGAGCTCGAGATGGGATTCTGGTCGCGCAGAGCGTTGAGGCATTTGATAAAGTAGTGGGCGTCTGACCCGTTGAGTTCGGCGGATTCGGCGTCAAAGATGTAGATCAAAGAGTGGACCGAGCGAAAAATCGCCGACGATTGTGAGGTCAAATGCGAGTCCATGAACGCTGGAGAGAAGCGGATCCCGGGACCAAAGTGGGGTTAAGCGTTTGGGCGAACGACTGGGCAGAGCGTCGCCCGAAGGATCCATCGTCTCGAGACGGCCGCAAAAGGCGCAATTGATCAGGATGGTAAGCACTCACAGTCTTGGCCCCCACAATCCCACAGATCGAGGCGAAGCCCTCCGAGAAACTTGATCTGACTCGACTCGACATCGATCGTTGCGCCAAGCCGGCGGGTGTCGGCCGCGAGCTGCGACTTGAAGATGATGGCACGCATCGAAGTCTTGCCCGATCCAGACTTGCCCATCAGGAGCACCTGGGATGCGGTCGAAGATCGCGCACAGGGTCGCACGGATGGTCAGTGCATGTCGGAGAGAGCAGCGGCGCGACCTGACGAGCACCTCGGGAGAAGGAGGACTTTGGCACGCACCTTTTTCCTAGATTTGCTCGACATGCTGGGCTTGGAAGGCGCTGGGGGCCAACGTGTTCACGGCGCCGCACCTGGTCGGAATGGCTGTTGCAACACGGCACCCGGTCGGTCGAAGTAGGCAAGGCAGTCCCAAGGCACGGCACGAAAGCTGAGAGCTGAAGCGCCGAAGGACGAGCCAGACCGGCTGCGCTCTAGTGCGCTCTACCAAGTGCGCTGCAGCAGGGCAGTCTAGGGCAGTGCCTGGCAGTGCTGGGCAGTGCTGGGCAGTGCTGGCCGGAGGTAAGAGCTGGTAAGAGTGTGCTCGAAGCTGGTCTACGCTGGTCGGCGCGCGCCCTTCTTCGCCTTCTTCGCTCCCCCACCAACCTTCTCAAACGTTCAGCAGCCTTCGGCAACCCCTCTATCGGCACCTCCTCTGGCTTACTGCGCTCATCTCTCGGTCTGCCAACTCATCCCACCTTTGCGTTCTGTGCTGCCCAACACAGTGTACCGTGCACCAAGCGCTGTCACTTGATCATGGCCAGCGTAGCCATCACGGCGACCATCGCCCCCATCAGCGACCTTCCTCTGGCGCTGCATCACCCGCTGTACCTCGCTGCGCCGGTGGTCGAGCAGCGACGATCTGACGCCCAGTACGACGCCGCCGTCGACCTTCTCGCTGACCGTATCCTGGCCCACGAAGCCGAATACCGAAGGACGGGTCTCGTCCACACCATCGCCAGTCGCTCTGTTCTCGCGCCGCTCATTTCGACACGCAGCCGCGGCGGCCCATCAATCAACCCGAACTCGGCGGCTGCACCCGGCCATCGAGTCGGAGCTGACGCAGCCTTGGCGCGACGCGTCCTGTGTCAAGGTATACCTCTGAACGAGCAAGAGTCGAGGGATCGCCTCAGGATCGCCCTCGAAGACAAGCAGACGATCGACTCGGCTCGCCCAAGTCTCATCCCTGCCGAGAAGGCATCCGGCATTTCACGTGGTGAAGAATCGCCTTCAACCAAGATCGTTTTGGCAAAGACCGCCAGTGCAGTCACGCTGCTCGACACGTTCTCTGCCTCCAAGGTCGCGTCGAGCAACTCGGCACTCTCGGCATCGAAAGCCCGACGTACCTCGACGTCTTCTCGACCCAAACACTCTGGAGGTGCTCTCGGTGGCCCCGATCGAGACGGTCCTGACACAGCGGATAGCCCCATCAAGGATTCTCGGCCGGTCAGGAGGCTCGGCAGCCAGCCTACGCGAGATATAGATGCAGCCTCGCCCAAAAGGGCAGCGACGTCGGAATCGCGGTCACTCGGGCGAGACGAGCAAGTGCTATTCGAGGGCGGGTGCACCCAAGTCAGTTCAGGAGAACGTCATTCTCTCCCTTAACGCCAACTACGCCATCTGACCATATCTCATTCAAATATCGGCCTACCAGATGGAATTGCCAGACCCGAGCTAGGGCCGCGCGACGAACGGGATATGGCTCGAGAATGAGCATTAGCAGGCTATGTAGCTGCAGCTGGAACATTGCCCCGCGACAGGCCCCGAAAGCGGCTTATGGGCCAGAGGCCGATCGACGAGGAACGTGGCTTGGCCGGCTAAGACTCGGGGTCGGGGCTGACGCGCTTGTGCTACGAGCCGTAGCTCTGACTTTCCATCTTGGTGCCGAGCCCTTGGTGCCGAACAAGTACCACAATCCCAGCGATTCCGATTGTTGCAATAAATTCGGTGAAAACGACAGGGTGAACAACTTTGGGCTATGGACAACATGCACGAGATAGATCGAGGACGACCGTATCACGTCCACACAACGTTCCACTACATCCACATCTGATCCACCGATTGCGATACTTATATTTTGCCGTGGAGCAGGTTTGTGAGCATCTCGCGAGCTAGTGGGGAGGGAGGAGGAGGTCGCCGAGCTTCTTCAGCATTTCGAGCAGACAGCCCTCGGCACGACGGCGAGCAGGCGCGAAAGCGGTAGAGACAACGAACCTGTGATTCGAACGGTGTGATAAAACGTCGGTAGATCCAAGGTCGACGAAAGGGTATCAGCTAGCCCCATCGGCAGCATAAGCGGGATCCAGCCTGTGCAAGTGTGGCAAGTACCGAGAACGAATGAGCTTGCGCAGCGCTGGGTTCTGCAGGCCTCGTGATTATAGGACGAGCACTCCGCTCACCTTGAGCAAGCTCGAGAGCGAATCCACCTTCGTGGAACTTGTACTGCTTAACATCACCTCTTCGGAGGTGGTGCATGGTCCCGACGGGATAGCGCTGCTCGGTCGACGTTGCATGGATGCATGAGTGGGGGACCTCGCGACGCCTGCAAGATAGCATTTACGCACCTCGATGTCGAACGACCCGGCTTCGCTCGCCCATTGCTCTCCCTTGAGGATGTGGAAATAATCGTCGGCTGTATGCCTTCCCGTGTGGCCTTCAGTGCCCAGAGGAGTACCGAAGATTATGAGGTACTCGGTGATGGACGCATGAATGATGTACATGGTTCCCATCGCGCCTGCAGCATTGTTGAAGACCCATTCGCGGGGATTCGGACGGTACGACGAGGCCTTGACCGCGCGAGTTTCGTTGTCAAGCTCGAGCGGCGAGGCAAAGAAGGGTTCGGAGTTGATCGAATACGAGTTGTGGGTCAGGGTGAGGTTTGTGACGATATGATGGGCCATGGACGGCATGTCGTCCGGGTAGAGAGCGATCGCCTCACGACACAGCGCATGGAGCGTCGGCGAGTCGAAGATGTACCAGGTATGCTGTGGGGGACGATGAGCGCGTGAACAGGTTACGACGATCGAAGCAATGTTGCGGCATCAATTCACCCGTCTGTTCCGGGGACCAGTTCTGAGTCTCTCACTTTGATAGACTCGAGCCAAACGACGGCTAGGCTCATTAGTGCCGCCACCACTCCGAACGCGACGAGGCCCTTCATCGAGAACAGACTCTTCCGTCTTGGCGTAACTCGAATGGTGCCGACGATGGGTGACCCATTGTTGCGTTTACCTTTGAGGGTCGACTGTGACATGAGCGCGGCTGTGAAGGCGACGACCAGGAGGAGCAAGTGTGAGGTGGGCGAGCGGCCGCGCGGGGCACCGGCACAGGGCTCTGGGCACGGGGAGGCACTGGGCTCCACTGGGCGGAGTAAAGGCGGCCACTGGCGGAGAGGGCGGGTCTGCAGCCTGAACTTGAACCCGGCTCCATAAAAGTTCAGCGTGGCTTTTGTTGATTTGATGCCGATTTACATCGGATGGGGCGAATAAAGCTAGGTACTATAGACCCAGTCGGGTGGAGAAGCATGCAGAGGGTTGAAGGCGAGAGGTGGCAAGGTTGAATTGAGGTTGTTTCCCGGCATGGGACATATCGCCTCGGCTGCCAGGGTGTGGAGGGACTGTGGAGGGAAAGGCCCAGGTGCTGATAGTTCGAGGTTAGACTGCAATTGTTCTTTTCGTGTTGGTCGCAATAATTGGTTGCAGGTCTTCGCGCGCGACGGGGGTGCATCGAAAAGACCGAGCGATTGGCGATCCGGAGCTCAAATAAAGTTCGAACGCTCGGGTCTCCTTTTCGCGCTGAAATCGCATCGCCCCTCGCGATTCAACTCTCCGCCTTTGCACTCTTACCATCTACATCAACTTCCATCATGTCCGACCCACTCGTTCTGTACGCAGATGGTACACTCACCAACGAAATGAACGAGGTCTTGCTGACGTAACTCCAGTTCCGTTGAACTTTGGCGGCGCTGTGACGGTGGATGGACTGCCCGTTACGTCGGTGTTGCTTGCTGGGTGTACCCTGTAGATTATGTGTTCAACTCCGAGGAGCGTCCGTCTCGGCGCGGCTGCAACGACTGGCTGGTGAGTCGGGTTCGGGCGGGTTCGGGCCAGATCGATTACGTAATCATGGAACTCGGGGGCAGGCGCAGGTTTCTGCAGAACAAAGACTGGGCCTCGTTATGTAGTTGAAAAATCAGGAGGTGCCCGGGACTTGCCCAACTGCTTTCATCTCAGATTCACAACCGCCTTCATGGCAGTGGGTTCTCCCGCACGGTCGAAGGCCACTGCACGGCTGCTACTTGCCACTTGACAGTGACGTAGTAGACTGACCCTTCAGAATGAACGACTCGGGTCATAAGGCTACTGATCGTCACTAGTCGCTATAATTTGCCTCCTTTCCAGGTCGCGAACGCTATTCGGTAGTGCGACGGAGTACGTGTGTACTATGAGGACGGACAATGCGACCTAAAAATATGACCGTTGCAAGGATGAGCGGGCCTCAGAGCATGGCAGCATGCTGGCAGTGTGAATTGTTCGCCACCAACCGGTCTGGTTCTGCCTGGGTGGACCCGGCGCGCGAAAGCCCAAATTCTTTCGAGTAGGTACTGGATCTAGGTGCTAGATAAACGGTTGGATGCAAAAGATAAACGGTCGGATGCAAAAGGTTGACGGTTGCGCAAGTGGTGCTGACGAAATCGTTGTAACGGCGTATTTCACCTCAAGCAGCGATCTACAGGCCCGTTGGCGCCGCACTCTCGAAGGCCAATTTCTGTACTATCACGTGGGGGATATGCTGATCCAAACCGTCAGCGGTTCGTGGTGATCAGTCTATCTCAACGGCCGTGTGGTCTCGGATAGGAGGCGCGAATTGCTGCGTAACCCGGAGACCATCATTGAGATCGGAAAACCCCACCTCCGTTCACAAGCGATACACTGATGCTTCGTCTTCCTCCGCGCCTTCGCATCACTTCATTAGCCTCACTCACCTCTGCCTCCATTTGCAAAGATGTTTCTTCTGAGCGTTGCATGCGCGGCTGTAGCAACGACCCTCGCCATGGTACGTGCGCCGCTACGTCTCCGACCGGCTATCTTTATTCCTGATAGAGGGAGGTCTGCTGCCCTGCGCCCGTCGTACGTGTCCTGACCTTGGTCTGCGAATACTCTAGCCAATCATAAACCAGGTTCAGGTAACGAACGAACCCACTCTGTCGGTAACAATGGATCTCGCGGCCCGCTTGATCACTTGTGTCCCCGGTCTGAGCAATGCGCCGGGTGGGACCGTGCTCTTGGGTGAGATTTGGCCCCTAAGTGACGGTGCACGCATGAGCTGTCTAACTAGATATTTCCTCTTACTAGTACATGGCACAGGCTCCAAAGGTTCCGAGTCGTGGGCCTCCGGACCTTAGTACGTTATTTCAAGCGTGTCGGAGACGGCAGCCAGCCTAAACTAACAGCGACGTCCGTTCCTCTCCCAGCGTCCGTGTTCTTCCAATTACGGGAAAGCGATACAAGCCATGCTATATCGATCTCCCAAATCGGTCTATTGGGGATGCACAACTCACTGCTGAATACGTTGTCGCCGCTATAAAGGTGAGGCTACCCCATGCTTTCCACTCTCCGGTCATATTCGTCTCCGATCTGCGCAAGTCGGCCAAATTGACATTTGGCCCCGTGCACGTTCCCTTCGACAGTTCCTCGCTCCCCGGTCGTCAACGAAGAAGGTCGCCGTCATCGGTCACAGCCAAGGAGCGGGTCTGAATATTCCCTGGGCGCTCCAGTTTTGGCCGTCAACTCAAGCACTGGTGTCGAGCTTTATCGCACTTGCGGGTGACTTTCACGGCACGACTACAAGCGTATTGCTGTGTGGGACTGCTGTGTCGTTCTGCGCCGCCTCCGTCAAGCAACAAACCAAAGGCTCGAGGTATTTAGCTGCGCAGAACTCGGCGGCTATGGGCAGTGCCAGGTCTGCGCTGGTACCGACAACGAGCATTTTCACCCGGCTCGACGACGTGATCCAACCCGAAGGACCAACCAACGCCGAGGCGACGAGCTTCCTGCCCGGCGCTTCCAATTTTGCACTACAGGACGCGACTATATGCGGGAGCATACATTACGCAAATCATGTGGCCATGTTGTGAGTGTCCAAAGACAATTGTGTCAAGCTGGGGGGTGGTGTTGCCTATGGAAATGTTGAGCACTCATCCCAGCATCTCATGGCATTACAGGACCGATTCGGCGGCTTTCGGACTGGCCAAGGCCGCGCTCGAGAACCCGACCGCGCCGGTTTTCGATCGTAGCTATTGTTCCCACATCAGGGAAAGCCCAGCGAGCAGCTTCACCGGCCTCGGTGGCTTGCTCTCCGGGGGTATGGCGGACATGTTGGCGATAGCTCGATCGAGTGTTGAGGGGATCCGAGCGGAGCCAGCGCTCAAGAGCTATGTCTGCGAAAGGGGCTTCGCGACGCAGTGCGCCGATTGAAGTGCTTCCGATCACTTTGAACTCGACGCATCGGTGGCCCTGGGGCTTTTTTCGTTCGCTTTCTATTATTTTCTATATGTGACACAGTTTCGATGCGGAAAGCTGCACTGCACATAGGGTAGCTAGCTAGCTAATACCGCCGGAGCAACTGTGGCAGTTGCCGTCAATAATTTATATTTACTGCAATTGAGTCCCGTAACGACTCGCAGCTCGGCAATGATGAATTGACGATACTTGAGCTATAAGCGATAAAGCTGAGAGCCCGAGAGCATTGATAACGAGGCTGGGCAGCCGTCGGACTCCTTGCTTTCGCCGGTGCGAGATGTCAATCCTTGCAAGTCGTGTTGGTAATATTACAACTGGGTGTTGATACATCTTTTGATACTGCGCGGCGTGTTGCACTCTACTCGTCATCCGACTCGGGATCCTCGTCCCGATCATCAAAGCCTGAAACGAGGCCGACTTGGGCTGCGGCCTCGGTACCTTTCTCGGCCTGAAGGCGCTTCCGTATCAGCTGCGAGATGGCCTGGTCGGTCTTGTTGCGTAAGCGTCCAAGCTGTTGACAGCGAGGTGATCAGCAGCGTTCGGACATGAATGGGTGGTGATGGCGGCTCGCGACTCACTTTGCGGTCGAGATCACGCTTGAGATCCCAATTCGGTTTCTTGGGTTGAATATTTGTGAGGTCCTGCATAAGGAGGGACCGATCGAGTGGGCATGGTCAGTTGTGGTCGCTTGTGCGTGGAAGCCCGGGATGGTGGACCACGGATCATCAGTGAGTGGGGACTAGGTGGTCCGTCCCGTCCGGTTGCAGTCTTCGCAGGACCACGGTAGCGGTCTCCCGAGGGTCAAGCCAGATAGGTCAGAAGCAACGTACCAGTTCCTGTACCCTGGTCGCCTCGTCGCGTGCGATGACTTGGTCAGCCAGTCCTTCGACCTGCTTCTCGACCGTGTCGAGCTCGTCGGTTCGTGCATGCTTCCTCGCAGTGCCCGTGGTTGGATCATAATTGCGGAATTGAAATACGTCACTGGCAAACGGGATATGTTCCGGTAGTGTCAGTCGGAGTTGATGAGCGATGTTAGAGGTTGTGAGCCACTACTGACGATGGAGCTTCGTCGTGGTCGCCGTCAACGTCAAGGTCAAGGTTGGACGAAATGGGTGCGCCCGAGTCGTGGAGCGTCTTGCGCTTCTTGAGTGCTGCGAGCTTGGCCTTGCGTGCCTCGGCTGCGTCTTGCAGTGGTGTGCTCGACATCGTAGGGCGTGAGAGTTGAGAACGGACGCCGTAGCGGGAGGCAGAGGAAGCCTCGCGCGCTTTTGGACGAAACGCCCCTGGCGCCAAGCGTCGACTCGGAGGCGAGTTGATATATCGGATTTATCAGTCGGGCGATCAGTTCGATTGATCAGCCCTTGGAGTTAGATGGTATCAAAAAATAGTTGGGTAGCCAGGTAGTTAGTAAAAGGTACCCAGGCTTGGAGGCGATTTTCCGGACGACATGGCTCCGAAGAAACCACAGCGACGGCAACCTGTCGATAGGCGCTCAAGACCTCTCAAGACAGACCCACTATTAGTACCTTAGTAACTCACTCGCTGGCGACCAATGGCTCTTGTCCTTGTTCTCGATCAGCCCCCGGTCATCGCACTCGTCGCGTTCGCAGCCCAGGGACAACACGATAAAAGTCGCATACGGCTGCTGTACAGCTTGTAGACCGCCTCACCTGTAGGCTGTAACCTCCGTGCGTTCTCGCATCAGTTTCCGTGCTCGCCGTTCTCGCTCGCTCGACCCCGTCCCCCACTCCCCCCGCTTCGATCTTCGGAGCCGACTGCGGAGCGCACTAGCACTACGCCCCCCACGACCCTTGACCCATCACTCCTTTCGACGGCACCTCGGGTAGCGAGCTCTGAGCTGACGCTCGACGCTCAACATCAAAGCTCAAAGTCATGGTCGAGTCGCACGCCGAGATACCCTACTACAAGCTCGACGTTTCGCATATCTCGCTCGCGCTGCTCGTGCTCGGCGCCTACTTCACTACCATCAACCAGCTCTCGTACTGGATCAAGGAGAAGCTCTTCCTCTCGAGTGCACTCGTATCCCTCTGCCTCGGCATCGCCTTTGGGCCCTATGGCGCCGACATCATCAACCCGCTCGAGTGGGTCGGTCGCAACGCGGCTGCCGGCCGCGCGCTCACCTTTCAGCTCACGCGGGTGCTCATCGGCATCCAGGTCATGTTCGCCGGCATCAGTCTCCCCGCGGCGTATCTGAGGCGAGAGGCGCTCTCCCTCTTTGTGCTCTTGTTCCCCATCATGACCATAGGCTGGTTCGTCTCGGCCGGCTTCTTGAAGCTCTTCATCCCCGCCATCACCTATCTCGAGGCGCTCGTCATCTCGGCGTGCATCACTCCGACCGACCCCATCTTGGCCAACGCAAGTGAGTGCTGGCCTCGGTGTGTGGACAAAGGCGCCATCCACAAGAGTTGCCCGCGGCTAACGCTGCACCTTTCTCACGGTCCACAGTCGTGCAAGGACGGTATGCCGAAAAATATGTACCCCGATCCGTCCGCAACATGATCTCGGCCGAATCCGGCGCCAACGACGGACTCGGCTACCCGTTCCTCTTCATCGCCATCGGCCTGATGCATCGCAGTGAAGAATCGCTCGGAACCGTCGTTGCTCATTGGTTCGTAACAACGCTCTTGTACCAGATCATGCTGTCGTGCGCGATCGGGGCCGTGCTGGGCTACATTGCGCGCAAATCCTTGAAGGTCGCCCACACTCGTCGTCTCATCGATCATGAATCATTCTTGGCCGTGAGTTATGCGGCCTCTACAGCCTAGGAAGAAGCGTGCGCAACACACTCATACTACTACGCCCTGTCCTTGCAGTATGGCGTTGGACTGTCATTCCTGACGCTCGGCGTCGTCGGCGTGCTTGGCAGCGATGACGTCTTTGCCTGCTTCATAGCCGGCAATTCGCTTACATGGCAAGACTTTTTCCGCATCGAGACCGAGGACGAGACCTTTCAAGACGTCATCGATTCGCTCTTGAACGCGTCCATCTTCATCTACATTGGGACCATCATCGATTGGTCGGCCTATACGTCCCAGTACCTAACCCCATGGCGCATGGTCTTGCTCGCCCTGTGCCTCTTGGCTTTCCGCCGACTACCCTGGATCGTGGCGCTGCAAAAGTTCATCCCCGCAATCCCGTCTCACAAACAAGCGCTCTTCACCGGTTTCTTCGGCCCTATCGGCGTCTCAGCGATCTATTACGCCATTCTGGCTTTCAACGAAGTCCCTGAAGAACGAGCCGTGCTGCGCGCGCTGATCATCCCTGTCGTGCTCTTCATCGCCTTCTCGTCGACCCTCGTTCACGGTATCTCCATCCCTGTGTCCAAGTTCACTTATGTCGCGTTCGAACGCACGCGCTCGACCATGTCGGTCACATTCTCACCTGCGGCGACGGCCCGACGTCGCACCAATACCGCCCCGGCTAGCCCCGCAGCCTCGATCCATCAAGTCGCTCGCTCCAAAGCGGTCGCCATGCCGAATATCGATTCCGCGCCCAGACGATTGACGTTTCAAACAGAAGGTACGGCGACACCCGACTCGCATACGGCGACACCCGACTCTGCGAGTCAGGTGGGGTGAAGTGATCGAAACCGTGGAGGCGACGAGCCGTTACGAGCCTGAGATGCGATCCTCTCACTTGTTCATCACTGTCGTAGAAGTTACAGACCGGTCGATTGGATATGCTCTCAAAATACAATATGTTATAACGAAAACTGATGAAGAGGCACGAAAATGAGTTGAGACTGTTATAACGGATAGCGAGTCGTCTCTTTGAGAACCCCGGGTTGTGGGGCAGACTACGTTTCGTCATGAACTTTCCGGTCCGGTCAACCATCCTTGTCGGCGCGTGCTTGCGCTTGTAGTACGACTGGATTCTCAGTTGCGTCAACTGATTGACTTGAGAGTTTGACGTCCCCACGAAGCCTCGGGCTCCCAAACTCAGAATCGCTTGAGCGATCGCCGAGTCGGCCCATTTCCACGCATCACCAAACGCCTCTTCGATCATGCTCGAAGGTGTCTGGCTGATGACCCAACCGTTGGCGGCGATCTGGTCCAGAATCGCGCGGTCGTCTTGCTCGTCGGTGGTGATCAGCACCTGGATCTTGTCGACGTCGAGTTCGGGCGAAGACATCTTGAGCTCGGCTTTGAGATGATCCTTCACCGCGGCGACAAAGGCATCGAGACTAGGCGTGCAGTCGGTACCCTTCTCGCGCCAAGTCTATCGGAGCGATCGGAAACAATGATCGAATCAGTTTCGGACCTGTATGGGAAGGAAAGAAGGAGTTACTTACCAGGAAATCACCCCGGCGAATGTGCATCGTGATGAGCTCCTGTGGGATCGTAGTCACCCCGAGACTGGCGCGAACGGATGCGAGTGCGATCTCCGAGATCTTGGGTGCAAACTAAGGGTTGGCAAAAGAGCAGAGTTCGTCAATTTTCAACTTCTACACCTCGTCGTGTTCCTGGCATAGTTTACTCACATCGAGGTATCGACCAACATAGTGCCATTCCGGCTGACGGTTGAACTCATTCCACTGCGGGGCCGTGAGCTTCTGCTGCTCCTTCGAACCAATTGATTTGAAACTGACTCGATATAAGCAAAGTACGCCTTGAGAGCACTTGTAAGCCCAATAAGAAACAGCCTTTAGACTCTTCCTGAGTAGAAAAAGAAGAAACTGACAAGGTACGTAAGGAAAGAACAAAGAGCGCCTTCGAGAGAGGCGAATCAAGAGGTTGATAGAGTATTTAAATTGAGTATGATGGGGTTTGTGGTTAACTTTTTTTTTCTTTCCGGCTTGCTTACCCGTCGGATCCGAGCATGTCAGGTCTTGTTCAAGCACGTTCAGACCATATCCGGCAGAGTTCCCAAGAACCTCGTCGAGATAACAGAGCGGATCCGAACGATCTCAGACTGCAGTCAGCGCAATCTCCGAGCGAGGCTTGCGCGTCCGACGGATCTCAGGCTGGCTCCTATGGGCCGCCGTTTGGGCAACAAATGGATCTGCGCGCCCGGGGCCGTCTCGAGATTTATTAAGTGGCGTTTAGCAAAGTGGCAAAGTTGCTGATGTACCCCCTCGATGAGGTTCGTAGATCTCACTGTAGCTAGCTTACTGCTTCGCAGAGTGATTGCAATCGATCTTACCTATCGTAGTACGTTACATGTATACCAAGGCCACGTCAAATCATCGTGAAAAAGTGGAGATCGACTCGGAACTCCCTAGCACTACTCTCGAATGACGTCCTCCAAGAATTGCGAGTTGTTAGTAAGGGCCGTTATTCAACGCATATGACTGACGGCACGACTCGATTGTTGGAATCGATGCTCGACAAATCTTTACTTCCTTGGAATCATCCTCGACGCCTGCGCTCAGTCTCTCTTCTCAGAAATCAGTCGCATACTTCGGGGAGCGTGACTTTTGACCTGAGCCAGCAGGCCGAGGCAAGGTCCCTCTTTTTCGACGCCGTAACGGATTACTGGACACTTCTGTGTCTTTGTGTAAACAAAAGAAGGGTGTGAAAGATGTAGGGTCAGAAAGGCAGGCAGCAAGTGCAGGTGAGGACTCCTTGGCGAAGCAGAACCGGCTGACGCGCGCGCGGGCTCCGTCGATTCCGTCCGGGCGAAAAATGTCCGGACGGCGTTTTCGCGATTTTTAAAGATGTTTTAGAGCATTTGAAGCAATTCTAGAGCTATTTTTGGATGCGCGTAGATGAACTGGACATTTTGGGGACTTTTTTGGGCGAAAAATCCAAAAAATGGGGACAAATGAGGTCCAAAATCGGGGATTTTGCCGGATTTTACCTACGTGCCTCAGGCCGGGCTTTCAAGGGTCCTATAACTCAGTGCGCCAACTCACGCGCGCGGTGCGCTAACTCAAGTGCGCTAACTCGGGCGCTCGACTGCGCCAACTCAAGAGCGCTAAACTCAATTGCGCCAACTCAATTTGGCACGCGCGAGTTAGCGCAAGCGCACCCCCTAGCACCGGTAACGCCCCCAAAGTGGGCTGGGACCTGCGTGCCCGGCCCCGCGGTTGCTCAATCGTCGCGCCAAAGTCGGCCGCGGTAACTGCGGTTGCGCGGATTTCCCGTAGGGCTGCGCGCGCCACTTTTTAGCGTGCTTATATAAAGCGTGAGTGGCAAAGTTGCTGGCACCTCCGTTCACAAGCGATACACTGATGCTTCGTCTTCCTCCGCGCCTTCGCATCACTTCATTAGCCTCACTCACCTCTGCCTCCATTTGCAAAGATGTTTCTTCTGAGCGTTGCATGCGCGGCTGTAGCAACAACCCTCGCCATGGTACGTGCGCCGCTACGTCTCCGACCGGCTATCTTTATTACTGATAGAGGGAGGTCTGCTGCCCTGCGCCCGTCGTACGTGTCCTGACCTTGGTCTGCGAGTACTCTAGCCAATCATAAACCAGGTTCAGGTTCAGGTAACGAACGAACCCACTCTGTCGGTAACAATGGATCTCGCGGCCCGCTTGATCACTTGTGTCCCCGGTCTGAGCAATGCGCCGGGTGGGACCGTGCTCTTGGGTGAGACTAGGCCCCTAAGTGACGGTGCACGCGTGAGGTGACGAGCCTATCTAGCGAGCCTATCTAACTAGATATTTCCTCTTACTAGTACATGGCACAGGCTCCAAAGGTTCCGAGTCGTGGGCCTCCGGACCTTAGTACGTTATTTCAAGCGTGTCGGAGACGGCAGCCAGCCTAAACTAACAGCGACGTCCGTTCCTCTCCCAGCGTCCGTGTTCTTCCAATTACGGGAAAGCGATACAAGCCATGCTATATCGATCTCCCAAATCGGTCTATTGGGGATGCACAACTCACTGCTGAATACGTTGTCGCCGCTATAAAGGTGAGGCTACCCCACGATTTCCACTCTCCGGTCATATTCGTCTCCGATCTGCGCAAGTCGGTCAAATTGACATTTGGCCCCGTGCACGTTCCCTTCGACAGTTCCTCGCTCCCCGGTCGTCAACGAAGAAGGTCGCTGTCATCGGTCACAGCCAAGGAGCGGGTCTGAATATTCCCTGGGCGCTCCAGTTTTGGCCGTCAACTCAAGCACTGGTGTCGAGCTTTATCGCACTTGCGGGTGACTTTCACGGCACGACTACAAGCGTATTGCTGTGTGGGACTGCTGTGTCGTTCTGCGCCGCCTCCGTCAAGCAACAAACCAAAGGCTCGAGGTATTTAGCTGCGCAGAACTCGGCGGCTATGGGCAGTGCCAGGTCTGCGCTGGTACCGACAACGAGCATTTTCACCCGGCTCGACGACGTGATCCAACCCGAAGGACCAACCAACGCCGAGGCGACGAGCTTCCTGCCCGGCGCTTCCAATTTTGCACTACAGGACGCGACTATATGCGGGAGCATACATTACGCAAATCATGTGGCCATGTTGTGAGTGTCCAAAGACAATTGTGTCAAGCTGGGGGGTGGTGTTGCCTATGGAAATGTTGAGCACTCATCCCAGCATCTCATGGCATTACAGGACCGATTCGGCGGCTTTCGGACTGGCCAAGGCCGCGCTCGAGAACCCGACCGCGCCGGTTTTCGATCGTAGCTATTGTTCCCACATCAGGGAAAGCCCAGCGAGCAGCTTCACCGGCCTCGGTGGCTTGCTCTCCGGGGGTATGGCGGACATGTTGGCGATAGCTCGATCGAGTGTTGAGGGGATCCGAGCGGAGCCAGCGCTCAAGAGCTATGTCTGCGAAAGGGGCTTCGCGACGCAGTGCGCCGATTGAAGTGCTTCCGATCACTTTGAACTCGACGCATCGGTGGCCCTGGGGCTTTTTTCGTTCGCTTTCTATTATTTTCTATATGTGACACAGTTTCGATGCGGAAAGCTGCACTGTTAGCTAATACCGCCGGAGCAACTGTGGCAGTTGCCGTCAATAATTTATATCTACTGCAATATAATTGAGTCCCGTATCGACTCGCAGCTCGGCAATGATGAATTGACGATACTTGAGCTATAAGCGATAAAGCTGAGAGCCCGAGAGCATTAATAACGAGGCTGGGCAGCCGTCGGACTCCTTGCTTTTGCCGGTGCGAGATGTCAGTCCTTGCAAGTCGTGTTGGTAGTATTACAACTGGGTGTTCATACATCTTTTGATACTGCGCGGCGTGTTGCACTCTACTCGTCGTCCCCATGTCGAACATTGCATACGACTCGTACATCCAGTCGGCCCAGCTGTAATTGTAAAGTAAGATTAGGTCAGTACTCTATATGGAACACGTCATAGCTCTGACTCACTACTGCACGCACTCTTTGCCTGCGACTCCTGGCCTATCGATTCGAATGATCGTCTGGTGGATGTTGTGGTGGCCGTAAGAAAGACCTTGGTCGAACGACCAGTTGGAGACGTAGCATCCGAGATGGCCTTCTTGAGTAAGGGTATGCTTGGGATCGCGGACTTTGACATCGTCTTGTTCAACAAACAAGATTCCGGTCTAATCATTGTGTGAAAAGGGAGCCGGGGGGGTTGGATCAGTTTCCCCACTCTGGCCGCTCTGATTCGTGAAGCTCGGTGAGGCACTCACGATTTGTCTGAAGCGTTCGAGGTCGTATAGCATGCTCATCTTGACAATGACGTCCGCTTTATAGTGGTGCTCGTCGTTAAAGCTCGGGATAACAGCGATCCGCGAGGTCGTGGACGCGAGGAACAGCAAAGGGAGCACGGTCGTAAATTGACCCCCCAAGCCGCTCCACGAGTCCGTCATGAGGTACTTCAAGTTTGGTCTATAGGAGAGGATTTGTTTGGCCAGCATCACGTTGTATCGTTTTGTGGGGACCTTGGCCTTGGCCGGTCGCCAGGCAGCCCGCGGCAAGACGAGACCCCTATTCCCCCAACTAGACTGGGGCTGCGCGAAACTTACTTGAGGTTATCGTACAAGGACAGGGTGGGGTCGGGATGGACCAGCAGCTCTGCGACCCCTGATGTGCTGTTTCCCGATGCCGACTCAAACAGGTCACCCAAGTACTCTCGTCGAGATTGCTTCCACTCTTCTTCGACAGCACATTGGTGCGATCCCGACGAGCGTCCCAGCCGGCGGACAGCCGCAGCCAATCGCGGACCGTCTTGACTGAGACATGCTCGGGCAGCTTAATTCGACCGAGATCGCCGCTCAGACCGACCGCGCCGATTATAACGAGCACAAGTGCAAGACATGTGAGAACACGTGATCGGATACTGCTCGACTTGACCTTGGACCACCTGGATTGCCAGAATCCAATCCGGGGTCGACTTGTTGGGAAGGTGGAGTAGTCGTGGTTCGAAACGACGCTGCCGTGACCGTCACGGTCATCGTCGTTGTCTGGATTGGGCGGTACACGCCTTTTGGATGGGGATTTCGCACGGATTCGCTCCTGGTTTCCGCAGGGTCTGACTCGCGCTAGCTTCGCGGTGCTGGATCGTACGGATTCCACGGTGGACACGAGAAGAAGTTGAAATTGTCATTTTCTGAGAGCATGAAACCTATTGCAGACGGTTAAACACCTGTTTGGGGATGCTTAACATCTATTCCATTTATAGCAACCGCTAGTGAGCTGATGCTGTAATGTTTTTGCATTCCATATGGATTCCAGAGTACCAAAATCTAAGTTTTGCAGAAGGGTTTCATAAGGAACGCGTACTGGACACGGACTCATGTTATCCGTACGAGCGAGGGTCGCGCGTGTAGGCCACAGTCAACGTAGGTTCCGCCGCCGTCGGAGGATTGTAAAATTCGACCTCGCTCGGACATTTCCTCGGGGCCGCCATCGTGGGTCGCCACAGGGTATACATCGGCTCGCAGATGTGCACGGAGGAGAGAAGAGCTTAGGTAGAGATGTGCGAGTGCAGAAGATGACTTGGTGGACAAAAGAGAGGCATGCGACGCTGTGCCGCCGAGGTCCTCAACGTCGATCAGTGCCGCGCCCGCACCTGCCTGATGGGTCCGTGTGGCGGGCGGATCCAGGCGAAGGGCCCGAAGGCTAATTATGAGTTAGATTCCTGCTTGATGTCTGTTCAGCTTTAGCGGTAAGAGTTCCACGCTCATTGTTCAAGCGCGCATCCGTGCATTCTAGTCCTGACTCAGCGTCAGCCGATCCTAGCCTCTCAGGAGCGCTCAGCGTCCTAGGTCTCTCCGTGAGTCCTCAGAGTCTCTCTTCGAGTACCCTGCGTCCGCGCCGCTTACCCTCTCCTCGGTTCGGCACCGTCGACATTTTCTGGAACCAGCTCGCTGCTCCAGCACTGCCACCCTCTGCCAAGGGTCAGTTGGTCCTCCAACATTGGATCCTCATCTAAGCGATCCGTCGCTCACTCAGCAGTCTCCTTCCTCATCAGGACCTTACAGCAGCCCGCTGCTTTTCCACAAACCCTCGACGCACGCACGCCTGCCACGCGCTCGAGGTAAGTGTTCAGAATACGCTCGGCTAGTTGCACGACGTACTCATTGTTCACTTGCCCTGCAGTAGCTCTCTGTGATCTCCCTGTACGATCTCTACCCTCTCCTGGATCGCCCTAGTTGGGCGCACCAAACTGACGCAGGCATCCTATAGGCTACCTCCCGCGGAGTTTGCCGGACGCTCGTTCACTGTATTGGACGCCCGCGCTACGCCTCGCAAAGGTATGCTACGCCGTACTTCTGTCGTAGTTGCCACATTACTTATCATCCCTGATCGCTACGCCTCGCAAAGCGATCCCTCTTTTCCCGCTCGCCTTCCCTGTTTACACTCTCATGGTTTATTTTTCACTTTGATACATCTCTATAGTGACCTAGTTGTTAGTTACGACACGGTCCCTTTCGGCTTCTCGAGCTCCGCTGCAACATGACATCACCTCCCTCGCTAAAACTCACTGTGCAAGCGGCTTAGAGAGTTGATAGCTTTTCGGCCCGAGCTTTCGTTCATAATCGACTTCCCTTTAGCTTCAATTTGCGAGGTATGAACACCTTTTCTTCTCTTTGAAAGCTATCACTCACCGCTTAGTGTACATGCAAGCGTTTAGTATGCTCGAAAGTGAAAAAAGAAAAAAGAAAAAAACAACATACGTTGGCTTGCTCTGAGCCGGTCTGGACCCGTTGTAGGGCACCGCGTGCCGGAGGGATTGACGACAGCCAGGATGTGATCACCCCAATAATAAAGCTTGAAGCCTGCGTGTAAGGCCGCCGTCTCGCTCCGACCTCAACGTCACCCTTCCAATTTCGGATCTGCGCGCAAGATGGCCTTACGCCCGGATAGCTCTCGTTTTCTCTCTTAGCTTTTTCCCTCATCGTTAACTGGACTCAACCCCTCGCCTAGTTACCGATTCACCTCGTACACATCTCATTTATCGACCGTAGTTACATATCCCCTGCAACTAAACTCAAGCGTTTCACCGTCTTTTCTTCGTCGTTCGTCGACTTCGCCCTGTGATCGCCGCTTCGCAATTTCGAATTGCGTCTGGCCCTCACATCTTTTTTTGACGTCTTCAACTCTTGTTGTTGCACGGACCACTGTCGATTTGCCTTTGTGCTTATCTGGCCTTGACAACTGCATCGTACGCAGTGTCCTGTTTCGGATATCTACTTAGGTACCGAAAGTACTTGCAAGGGATTAGCTACCCCTTCGCAGGCTTTCGGATTGCGTCTTCATAGGCCCAAAACCCTCGTCGAACCCATCGTTACAACCCTCGTTACCACAAGTACTCACCCAAGTACTTACCCCTCGTCGTCCCAGGTCTGATCAGCCTCGGATTTTTTTTTCGTCCTTGCCGCCCACACATCAAGTATGTCTGCGCCGCCCTCGAAGGACCACGTCGCGGAAAAGGACGCAACGCAGCGCCTTACGCGCGCCTCCGCACGCGACACGAGCTCCCGCCGCTCAACCTCGGTCGACTCCATCGGGAGCCGACACAGCGACCTCGACTCTCCCTCGAGAGCCGATCGCCATCGCCGCAAATCGATTAGCGGTTCTATCGAAATCGCTCATCGCTCATCCGGAGCTGATGAGTCTCGTGCCCAACGTGACCAGATCGCTGCTCACACCGAGGACCTGCAGATCGCTGCTGGCCCTAACGCAGGAACGGACGTCCTATCTGACAAGCCCGTACATACTCGTAATCCTACTCGCTCAGCTGCAATCGAAGATGCTGCCGCTGAAAATGATGACTTGGTCACGCCTCCAAATCACCTCCATGCCAATGAAGAAGGTGCAACCATCAGCCGTAGCCAAGCACGTCGCCGTCTTGGAGAAAAAAACCCACGATTTAGACGACGAATACCTCCAAGTTCCGCCGCCTGTCGTGCAGTTGCCAGTTACGCTACCCCCTATGCCAGCGGTTACTGACAACGGAGCCCGTCGCGCCACAGACATGCTGGCGCCAAGGCGACACACGGCCACTCAAGCCTCGCCCCGCCGCGGCATCAGCGTGACTGGAGGCGCAGGAGGCACGACCCCTTTCGGGACACACTCCCGACTCCTCGCCGCGACGACGCCACAGGTCCAAAACTCGCGTGACCGCGACGCTTACCGTTCACGCGACGAAGAGACCGACGACTCGGACTCCGATTCTGGCCGCGACTACCGCAAGTTGGCCCCAAAAGTGCCGGAGCCCAAGAAGTACTCGGGTCGCGACGGCCGCCCCGATAGCCTACGATTGCGTCTGGCCCTCACACTGCGAGCTCGGGTCTGAGACATCTGTCCGGGTAGGTGACTGTTTCACTGCGGCTGCCGGTGCAATAAATTAGTACAGGTGCGTGTAATCACATCTCGGGCTGTAGGCTCTTGAGACACGAGAATGCGTTCTCTAGCATACATTCCCCGGCAATCAATTCGAGTGACCCCCACGCCCCGGTCGGCGGCAAGACGTCCAGATCCCAATCGTCCCAAAAAGACCTGGCTGGCAGTGGATGCTACCACTCCAGCCCGCGAAAATCTACCGGGCGATTCTGGGCTTCCAGGATTCGACAACAAGACTCGTGCACCAGTACATCGAGTCCTCTCTTTGTGACCCAAATTCGTGAGAGCTAGTAAAGTCAAGGAGAGCGCTAGAGGATGGTTGCAGCATGCAGCCCACTCTATTACGCGCGCGGAATATAGTTGCCAGGCCAAGCAATTCAACTTACCATCTTCCGGGTCTGACTCCGTCCTCAGTCCGGGTACTCCGAGTCTTTTTCCCACTGCTTCGTAGTCGACTGGCATGAGATAGGACTGGAGTCCAGCTTGAACCTGACCATCGAATAATTTCACCGGGAAGAGAACCGTGCAGTAGTAGTAGTCGTCGCGCGCGTCCGATCCGATGCTCGCTGCGGAGACCCGACTGATCGAAAGCACCCGTGCGTCACGCCCGTCCATAGGATAACCGGAAGATCGCGGGCCCGTGGTCCAAATTAAGTGAACTAAGCTGTGCCCTAACTTGATAAATGAGATGCACACGAAGCGTGTCGAAGACTGAATGGATTGGCGATCTACGCCTCAGCGAAGTGGTCCGCCGAGGCGACGATAGGGTTTTGTCAGCGGCGACTTTTGAGTGCTCACTGTGTTGGCTCAAGGTTGGTAGCAACTCGTAAATATTACTCCTTGGGAAATGAGATTTTAATTTTCAGAACAAGGATGCCCACAGAGGAGTCAAACGATATGCTAGGAACCCTGGTTAATCAATGGACTCGAAGAAGAAATCCACCAAAACGAGCTTTAGACCGGCAAAGCACCTATCTTAAGCGGAGTAAGTCGAGGCGGAGACGTTGCCACCTCGTCCGGTCCAGTTGATGTGGACATCGGCACCCTCGGCGTACTTCTCGCTGACGAACTCGGGCAAGATCTTGAAGGTGTGGGCCCCGAAGTAGTCTGTTCGACGGTGGAAAGGGTGAATCGAGACAGATCAGCATCAGTGACGACGGTCTACATGTCCCCCGATCAGGTCTTGGTACTCACCACGTTGGGCCTGGAGGAGCGAAGCGGGCAATCGCTCGGTGCGGTAACCGTCGAAGAAGGAGAGAGCGGTCGCGAAGGCCGGGGCAGGGATTCCCCACAAGGCGGTCTGCGCGATGATGCGGCGCCATCCACTCTGGGCCTTAAGGATGGCCTTGTTGAAGAACTGGTCGAAGAGCAAGTTCTCGAGGTCGGGGTTCTTGGTGTAGGCGGCGGTGATGTCGCCGAGGAAGACGGAACGGATGATGCACCCACCACGCCACATGAGCGCGATGCCGGCGTAGTTGAGGTTCCACTTGTACTCGGCTGCGGCCTCGCGCATGAGCATGAAGCCCTGGGCGTACGAGATCATCTTGGACGCGTACAAAGCCTGCTCGAGGTCATCGATGAACTGCTTCTTGTCGCCGGTGAAGGCCTCGATCTGAGGGCCACCGAGGACCTTGGAAGCGCGGACACGCTCTTGCTTGATCGACGACAAGCAGCGGGCGAACACGGCCTCACCGATGAGGGTGACGGGCATGCCGAGGTCGAGGGCGTTGACGGCGGTCCACTTGCCGGTTCCCTTCTGGGAAGCCGAGTCCAAGATCTTGGTGACGAGGGGGACTCCATCGTCGTCGTTGTACCGGAGGATGTCGGTCGTGATCTCGATGAGGTACGAGTCCAGGACACCCTTGTTCCAGTTCTCGAAGACGTCGGCGATCTCTCCTTCGGACATGCCGAAGCCTCGCTTGAGGATGTCGTACGCCTCGGTGATGAGCTGCATGTCTCCGTACTCGATACCGTTGTGGACCATCTTGACGTACTGCGTGTGGTACGAGGTGAGGACGTCGAAGGCCAGTCGTCAGCGCACCAGTTGAGCGCTGTGGTCACCGGCGGCCAGGTCGTTCACTCACGTGTCCCGAGCCGGATTCTCCGACCCAGTCGCAGCAGGGCTGGCCATCGACTTGAGCAGCGGTCTTTTGGAAGATCTCCTTGATGTGGGGCCATGCGGCGGGGGATCCACCGGGCACTGGAAGACGCGAGGAAAGCGATGTGGGTCAGATCAAGGCCCCGGCGGTCCTGGCTCAAAGAGCAATTCGCAACTCACTGATGGAAGGACCGTAGCGGGCACCCTCCTCACCACCAGACACGCCTGAGCCGACGAAGAGGAGACCCTTCTTCTCGAGCGCGGCGACACGGCGGACCGAGTCGGGGAAGTGCGAGTTGCCACCATCGATGATGATGTCACCCTTCTCGAGGTGGGGCTCGAGCTGTTCAATGAAGTTGTCGACGGCGTCACCGGCCTTGACGAGCAAGATGATCTTGCGGGGGGTCTTGAGCTTGGAGCACAGCTCCTCGATCGAGTGAGCGCCAACGATCGACTTGCCTGGAAGCGGGTTCACAGGGCCAGGGCGGGACCGAGCAATATGAGCACGTCAGCATCACGCTCTAGCGACGGTGTACCACCAGTTCAGGATTATTGGCGACGAGGAGTGTGCCTAACGATGCGGCCAGCATTGCGTGCAGCGCTTCGCCGAGGAAGAACGAGGATCAACGACGCCCTCCCTCGGTCACGGGGCGCTTGCTCGCCTCGCCTCGCCTCGGTCGGACCGGGTCGAGTCCCATGTATGTACCCAGACAGCCAACGACGAGTGCCCTTTTGATCGGGCAAGAAACATAAACTGACCCTTGGCCTCGTTCTCGAGGAAGTGGTCAACCTTGGAGGTCGTGCGGTTGTAGGCACAGACGGTGAAGCCCTTGTCGGCCCTGGCAACGAGGACGACATCGAGATCGCGATGGGACCGGTGACGAGGCGGAGAGGATGCGGATCAGCTTCGTCACCGCTGGTAGCCTCCATCCCTACTCGGGGTAAGGGTGCAGACAGACTTACATGTTGAGGATCAGGTTCTGGCCCATGACGGCCAGACCGATCAATCCGATATCAGCGCTGCGGGGCAGGGCATCGCGATCGGCGTCAGTTTCACCGAGTCTGCACGAGTCAACGAATGCGGTGCGACGGCGTCCAAGATGCTAGGGCACCTCGTTGCATCACGATAGAGCCGTGCAATGCCCAGTCATGGCGGTGCAGGCTAATGATCGATCCCGTGCGAGCGAGGGCAGCAGCATCTCCGAGAGCGAGGACCGGCTCGCGCTTGACCGAGGCTGCGACGTCCCGTCGACGTCAACGCGGCCAGAGCGACGGCAGCGGGAGAGAGGGGAGACTGTCGAGGCAACACTCACACAGCGCTCATGTTGGTGGTAGTGGTGGGGGAAGCAGAGGACAAGTGTCGCGAAACAAGGTCTAAGCGCGAAGAAGCCGTTGGTGCGGACGCTTTCCAAAGGTGCAGGACGGGGGGATACGGGGGCAGAGGAAGGAAGGCAGAGTGACAGCCGCGCCAAAAGCTGCCACGCCATCCTCGAGGGGGAGGCGGAGGGACTCGGAGGGAGCGGCAGATCGCCGTCATTATCCGCTCGCACGGACCTCTTTCGATGGCATGGTCCGCCTGCACCGGGGCTGCACGCGTGACAGTACCACGGGATGTATGATTACAATGCTGTAACTGATCTAAAGCACGATATTACTAGGTGAAAACTTGGCAGAGCACGTGTCCGCCAGGCGTGGCGGGCTATACCCCTCGCCACGCACAAGCCAACAGAGTCTGTTTACCGACAGTTGGTCCGCCGGGTCACTTCGTGGCTTTCGACTAGCGTCTTGCCATGCCCATTCGTCGCCTTGACTGTCAGATCCTTGGGCAACGGCAGAGCCTTTGGTCGTTCATCCACCTCCGTACTCGTCGAACGCGAATGCCCATTGGAGAACGCGGTCCCGACCTTCTCGCGACCCTTGACCAGTCGCTTCAACTCGCATTCCTTCTCGTTGTCCATCTCACTGTCCTGGTCGTCCTCCTCGGCCTCGCTCTCGGCCTCATCATCGCTGCGAATATCCTCGGCAACCGCCCCAACAACCACCATTTTCCACACAACTCTCAGGACTGTCAGAAGGCACAATCGGCAAGCGTAGGGACGTCAGCACATCGCTGAAAGCCAATCGAGTGTTCCCTCCAAGCACTTACTCATGCCCAACCAAATCACCAAAAGAACCTGCAACGCCGTCAACAAGAACTTGAAGATGAACATGGCCCACCAGGAGTGGAAGTAACCGTCCTGGGGGCGCCAGTCGTATTCGAGGATCTGGTGGGCTTCGGCGTAGACGCTATAGGTGATCATCCCGAACGCGACGTGTCGGGTCGCGATCCACACCACGAGGAAGACGGCAAACATGACATCTGCGGCTTGAGGTCGGTCGCAGTACTTGATCAATTTCGCGGACTGAGCGGGGAACGTATGGGTCAGAACTTTACGCATGGCCCTTTTGCGAGTGTCGACGCGACTAACCGAGAGAAGAATATCCGCCACGTCCATCGTGCACAAGATCGCCGTCCCGATACGTGTCCAGTTTTGAATATAACTCAACATCATCAGAAGGGTGGTGATGATATGATGCGTGAACATTTGGTAGTAGTCCTTGCGCTTAGCCTCTAGGTTGATCACGATGATCTGTTGAACCCAGACTGCGACATAGAAAATAATTCGGCTAAGCAACTTTGCATCTCCAGTTCCGCACGAGTGACAACTCACAAGCCGTTTGAGCCAAGTCTAAAGAGAGCGAGTAAAAAAAGGGGGTAGGATCAGCACCAAACACCAGATCAAACGGCGCATCCATGGCGAAGGGAACGGACAGTAGAATTTGGTGAGGCCCGAAATGGCGATGTGCGGGTACCCGACGTAGAACTCGCGCGTATTGAGCCAGGCATAAGGGCTTGTTTGCATGATGTACTGTAGTAATGCAGCGCGTGTGAGGGACGGGAAAACGTAAGCAACTGGCTCCCTTTAGAACCGGCTGAGGGGACTCTGAAGGACGGGTTAATTCAAGTATCGCCCACTCACCAGGCCAAGCGACCAAAATATGACTACATCCCCGAGGATGATTCTTAAAAACATCAGTGATCCATAAGGAACAGCCGAAATCGCACGAACAGAGAACTCACCGTAGTAGAACACCGACCACCCTTGCTCGGCGAACCTGACCACGTTGCGCTCCTCCTTGATGCCGCTCCGCCTCGCGAATGGCGCCAAGACCCACCTCATCAACGCCTCCCTCAAGAACCAAAACACGACGACCCACCAAGCGATGAAGTACGCGTCACTGTAAGAGAAAAAAATAAAAAAAATAAAAAACGAGGCAACGCGGGTGGAAACAAGCGGGGGATGAGCAACATTCTTGGCGCGGATTCGACGCGGTTATCTCTTGGTTCTACGGCTGCGAAGAGCGAGCGCGATCTCGTGGAGCAGCGGCGGCGTGACGTACTCTCTACCCTTGTAATACAGATCCGAGTCGGGTAGCCGGAACGAGAGGTACAGGAAGCGAGAGAACGGGTTGCGCAGATGGTACGACGGTGCCGGTGTCCACCGCGTCGAGAGGAACAGTTCGGCCCTCGAGGCGGCATTGACTGCGAGCACGACGACGATGACGCTCAACGAGACACCTGTTGGCCAATGTACCGAGTGCGGGGTAGCCGGATGTCAGTGGTGCAGCGCTGGTCGAGGGGTGTGCTACCAGTACTTTCGCTCGTCCACGGGTGAGGCCCACGCTGACGTACCGAGTTGTCGTTGCATGCACCATCCGAGCGCGTTGACACGCTTCGACCGCCGTCGCGAGGCCGCTGACCGCCGCGGATGCAGCTGCTGTTGCTCCTGCGGCTGTGGCCGCGGAGGATCGGGTAGGCGGTGATTCGTCGTCTTGGGATCGGGTATAGATGCTGGAGCTGGCGAGACCGTACTGCGACTGATGACCGACATGCCGAACGAGACAGAATCGACGGACCCCCCAAAAAAGAGGCCCCAAGCTAAGTCCAAGGCGCGACGACGAAAGCGAGGCGACACGCCGTGCGTGTGTCCCAAGTCGAGCGTGGTTGAGAGCAGCCAGGAGGAGCAGCCTAGAGCAGCTGGCAAGGTCGAGCATGGTCGAGCGCCTGTTGAGCGCGCCCAACGGTAGTGGGCCGGGCTGCTTCGGAAAAACCTCGATCACTCCATGGCGGATGTAGCTACATGGCCTGGATTTTCGCCGGTGTGCGTGCACCAGACAGTATTCATAAGCCGTAGAGGAATTTGCAACGATGGAATTCGGCCTTAAAAGAGTCTTTGAAAGGAATGCAATAATGAGGACCCGACCGACATTTGACCTGAACGCAGTCGTTGGTCCTCTCGAGATAACATTGGGGTTTCCGCACGCCCTCGTGCTTGGCGCCCGCTGAACCGTCGGTGACGTGGTCCATTTGCTGCGGCAGCGAGGCACCGCGTTGCTAGATCATCTTGCTGCGAGCGTCGACGTAAACAAGTCTTCTTCGCGATGACATGATCCCAGAATTCCAAGTTCAACAGCTACGAGCGAAGAAACGTACCCCTTGAACCGATCCTGCTGTCCATCGTTCCACCATGTCCTGTTCCTGTTCCCTCCCGTCCGGTCACGTTTCGGGTCTCACCTTCCTTGCTGCGGCGGCAGCGCCAAAGGGGGCATTTGCATCTGAGGCGAATTGGAAAACACTGCAGAGACATCGAGATGAAGAGTCACAATTAGTTCCGACGCAAAGATGACCACAGCAAAGCCGGCAGGACTCACTGGCTGTTCCTGTGGGTTGGAAGATGGCGCCGGGCGGAGGTGGCGCGCTGGCGAACTGCTGGAACTGGGGAGGCATCGACCCATGCAGCGGCGGCTGTTGGACGTGCAGCTGTCCTTGGTGTGGTGGTTGCTGCTGATGCTGTTGCTGTATTCACATCAGATGTGACCAAACTGTCAGTCAGATGCTCGGCAGAATACATTTTACTGTTGGTGAACTCACCGGTCCGGGGAATCGAACAAAACCTCCGGGTTGCATGTGAGGGGGAGGGTATGCGCCAAAGCCAGCAGCACCAGGGTGCATCGGAGGCTGACCCGGCATCCTCATGGGGCCATGCGGTCCACCTGCACCGAGGTTGCTCGTCTGCACCGGCGGTGAAGACTCGGGGCCACCGTCCTCGGGGCTGACCGAGCCAGACTGAACGACGAGAGGCAGTCCGATATGCGGACCAAGCGGTGGCGGAGGGGGAGTCGGGACGGGGACGGGGTACACGGCTCGGTAAGATTTGCCATGGAACGACCAGCGCGGATCGACGGTCGCCGGGTCTGGGACACCGCTTTTGAAGGGCGCAAACTCCTCCTTGACGTACAGACCCCCGTGACCGCGTTTGTAAGGCTTGTTGCCGAAAAATGGGTGAAGCGCGGCTTGAGCTGACGCATGGTTGGGCGCGGCGGATGCGACGGCTGCTGAGATACTGGCAGGAGCAGGCGAAGGGCCCGCCACGGCAGAGACACTGGCATTTGAAGGGGTAGCGGCGGCAGGTCGAATTGCCCCGGCTCCGAGAGATGCGCCAGGCGTGAATGCGGACGCATTCGGGTTAGGTTTGAACACGAAGGCGGGCGCAGCAGCAGTGAGCTTCGAGGTAGAGGCAACGGGAGCGCCGAGAGGTCGAGGAACGGCCGCCGATGTCGCTCTCAGGGGTGCCGTGGCGGGTTTGGCCGGTGCCGTGGCGGGTTTGGCCGGTGCTGTCGTCTTGCTTGCGCCGGAGAGGGCTTGAGCCTCGGCCGCTGCTCGAGCTTTTTCGGGGTTGAAAGGAGGAATGTCGGGAAGAAGCTTGCCAGGACTCATCGTGGCGTTACGAGCTGGTGGCGCGGTAGAACCCCGCGTTGCTGGTGTACCCGCAGCGGCAGCAGGCGCGGCAGCAGGCTTGGCCGCCGCAGACGAGACGGTCGCGGCAGTCTTGCTGTTGCCATTCGCCGCAGGCTTGAGGTCGCCGATGATGGAAGCGAGATCGGTAGGTGTCCCACCTTTGAGCTTGAACGTCTGGCTAAACTCGAGCAAGCTTCGCAGCTTGGAGTCCTTTTCCTTCTTCTCGGCGGTCTCGCGGGCCTCCTTGAGCAGAGCTTGCTTGCGCTCGTTGAGCTTTTCTCGCTCGTCCGAGACAAAACGCAGAATGTGGCCATCCAACGTCGCCTTGCTCGCAGCGTCCGACTTGTCACTAGCGGTTGCATTCGTGCTCGCGGCCGGGGAGGGGATCCTCGAGTTGGGCGCATTGGGCAAGGGCAATCGAGACGACCCGGAAGCCGAAAGAATGGCCGGATCTTGGAAGCTTGTCTGGGACTGGGCGCCACTGTTTGGTGTGGGCTTGGGCGCGGGGGTGGACATGCTCGGGGTAGAAGCTGACCCTAAAGAGGCGCCGTTCGGGGCGGCAACGACTGGCTTGGCAACAGGAGTCGACTTGCGAGCGCCGGGGGGAACGTAAGCTTCGGGACCACGAATGACACCCGAATAGCGATCCTCCTCGTTCATATTGCTGTCGTCAAGAGCGGTCCCGCGTTCTTCGGCCATGTGCGTGTTGTTCGCGAGAGCACCTCCACCGCCCTTGAGAATCTCGCGCTCGAGCTGAGCCGCGCGCTGCTCGCGCTGCCGAAAGTCGGCACCGGTGCGATCGAGTTTGGTCGTGTAGATCTCCTCCTCGTAGTCGGTCCGTGTACCGTAGAGTCGTTCGTTGGTCGCGAACTGATCCCATCCTTTGCCGGAGGCGATGTCATCCTCGAGACTCAACCCCGAAACCGAGTCCTCGATGCCTCGTCCCTCACCAGGACCCGAGGGCGCCCAAGCCTGCAGCTTCTTCTCGCGTGCTCCGAGAGACGTGCCGGTGACCTGAAGGTCCGTCTTGAAGCCTTCTCGATTGGACGACGAGCTGGCGGTGAAGGAAGACGTGCGCGGATCGAGCGCGACGTCATGGGCGTACAGCTCGACGAGGTCACGCGACGCGACGAGCATGTTCGGCTTGGCGGCCTCCCCGGGGATGTCGTCGCCTTGAGCATCGACCTGTTGCGCCTGACGCAGGTTGACCGAGAGCTCGTGCTGGGGCGAGGACGCGGCGAGGATGCCGATGTACCGCTTGCCCTCTCGTGTAGTGACGACCACTTTGGATCCCTGTAGGTTCCTCGGTCCGGGGAGGCGCGAGAGAGCAGTCGATGGGGGAAGCGTAAGGCGGTACGGCGCGGGGGCCAAGTCAGTCTCAAATGCTCTGGAGCGTAGGCTAGCCCGCCGGGAGTACAGTTCACGAGAGAGAGCTAGTAGACTCGGTCACTCACCACCAAAGCCAAGAGGAGCACGACAAGGCGCTGGTGCAATTCGGGTTCGGCCTTGACCGGTGCCGCTGCAGGCGATGCAGGCGCTGCAGGCGATGCGGGCGCTGGCGGCGCTGCTGCTGGTGATGGAACTGCCGCTGTGGCGGCTTGCGGTGCCTTGGTCGACGATTCGGTCGCGGTCGGACCACCGACGGTCGTAGGCGTCACGGAGCCCGACCCCGCGCTCGGAGGTGGTGCAGACCCGGTCGAAGCTGGCTTGAACGCAGACGACGGCGCAGCACGTGCGTGGGACGCATTCATGGCAGCTGCGGTCGCGGCGGGGGATGACCACGCTGGCGTGCGCCCACCACCCGAGGCAGCGCCAGCGGTCGGCATCGCGGTGGGAGCCGGTGCGCCCATTCCACCCGTTCCACTGCGCCTGTGCAGAGAGAGCGCAATCACAAGAGGGTGCGATCGCAACAAGCAAGGATCCGTAGGTCAGAAAAGATAAGGATCAACGACTGGGGCGGGGGGCTTACTTTGCCGCCATAGTTACACGTCGACGTCGCTGGTGCGGGTCAGAGGCCACGGACACCCGGGTCGTCGATCGCGCCAAGAGGAGCGCGGGCACGAACCGCAATTATTACTAGCTGACCGCTAATGGTGCTCCGTAGCAGGCAATTCGAGCCGATCGGGCGGTAATAAGGGGCCGACGCTCTCGTCGTCGCTCTCGTCGTCGCTTCGTCGTCCAAGGTCGTCCTCGCGCTACCCACGCTTCCCTTGGCCCTCAGAGCAGTCTCACGCCCCTTCGTTTCCTTTCGTTTGCGCTACCGCTCTGCCATCACCATGTCCACGTCGCACACGTCGCAGCGCGAACCTACGCCAGCAGCACCGCAGACGTCGCGAAGGGAGGAGGACGAGGACGAGGTCGACCTGAACGACGACGGAGCCGACGAGATTGACGAAGCCGAGATCGAGGCGATGAAGAAGCGAGGTGCGTTTCATGGCCGGACAGATCTCCTTCTCTGCACCATGCACTGAACCCCACCCCTCCTCGTGCAGTGGCCGAGATGGAAGCCGAGGCTGCGAAACTGAGGGCCATGACCGCTGCGGCGACGGCGGCTGCTGCGGCGTCATCGAACGGTGGATCGTCGTCAAATGCTGCAGGCGATAGTGCCATGTCCGACGACGAGAAAGAGGCGGTCGACAGCAGGAGTATCTACGTTGGCAATGTGGGTTGCACGTCGTCCCTCCGTCCGGAGGTGTGCGCTCGCTCGGATCACCTCGAGGCGTGACCGTGACCGCAGTCGACGGAGCTGGGGTGCTACGCACAGGCAACTGACCAGACCTCACTTCACTCGACTAGGTCGACTACGGTTCGACACCCGAGGAGATTCAAGCGCACTTTGCCTCGTGCGGCACCATCAACCGAGTCACGATCCTCTGCGACAAGTACACCGGGCCAAAAGGGTCCGTCGCGGGTGGAGCCAGGGCATCATTCCCATCCGATACTTAACCTGATCTCCCGTACAGCTACGCCTACGTCGAATTCGCGGAGCCGTCACTGGTCGCCAACGCGGTGCTGTTGAACGAAAGCATGTTCCGCGGTCGCTTGCTCAAGGTACGCCTCACCGCAGTCTAATGCGCCTCCCCAAAAAATCGATCGAGACTAACGTGATTCGTCGCATGCAGGTCACGCCCAAACGTACGAACGTGCCCGGGATGGGTCCTGGAGGCCGAGGGCGAGGACGAGGCCGTGGACGAGGCGGCTACCGAGGAGGGTACCAAGGGGTCAGTTGCGAGCAGTCGGTCGCTCTACATTGTGCAGACCCAGCTGATACGCTTGCTGTGCATTCAGAACGGCGGCTTCTCCCCTTATGCTCGTGGGCGAGGTCGCGGAGGGTTCCGTGGACGAGGAGGATTCTGATCGAAAGAGGGAAGCAGTGTCTCTTTCTTGCCGCCTTACATTTTCTGCTTTCGGTACCCAGCCTTGCACTGTATTCTCAGACTTGAAAACAAGGGGGTGCACATCCCCTTTGTGTACGATGATACAAAGCAAACGCGTCCCTTGGCATTCCTTGGATCTGATCCCATTTCATCCCACGACTGCACCCGACTGCACCCCTGCGTCGACGGCTCCGTCCGTCTGGCGCTCTCGCTCTTGCTGCGTCAACTCCCTCCCCACCCCAGTTCTCCCCAGTTTGTGCGCCTGCACCGATAGCCAAGTCGGGACCCCCCTTCCAACGCAGGTCAGGTAGATTCATACTCGTGTCCGGTGGTCAGTCATTCGACTTCTCGAGTGGCAAGAGTTGTCGTCTTGTCGTGCTCGATACGATTCGACCGGACCGGACCCAACTCGACTCGCCAGTGCAGTCATCTCCGCGTCGCGTTGGTCGAACGCTGCGGCTACCCGCACTCACAACATCCTTATCGCTCTACAGATATCTCTAGCACTCGTTCCCACACAGTGCGGCCTTGGGCGCATTGGCTGAAACGACAGCGCCGGTCCCCTGCCCTGCTCCCTCCCCCCCCCCCCCCGTTCGACCCCCTCGACGCGCTCCCGCTCTTCCCCAGTCATGCATTTGCTCAACTACTCTCTCCTCCCAGCCTCGAACGTGACCTGCGCCTGCGTCGGCCAGTTCAGCGGCACGAAAGCGCAAGAGATCTGTGTCGCCCGAGGCGCCACCCGCATCGAGTTGCTTCGCGCGGACCCGCAGACGGGCAAGCTCGACTTTGTCGTCGATGCAGAGGTCTTTGGCACCGTCAGGAGCCTGGCCGCATTCAAGCTGACCGGTGGTAGCAAAGGTGGGTCCGCGAGAGCGCAGAGTCCTCCCGCCGAGCTGGAGCTGAGCGACCAAGTCTCGCAGACGGAACTCGTGCTGACATGCGCTCGCGCCTGATCTGATCTGATCCCCACAGACTACCTCATCGTCGGGTCGGATTCGGGTCGGATCGTTGTTCTCGAGTATGACCCCGCAGCGAACCAGTTCAACAAGCTGCACCAAGAGACATTCGGTCGCTCCGGGTCCCGACGAGTCGTGCCCGGCCAGTACCTCGCCACCGATCCCAAAGGTCGAGCCGTCATGGTCGCGGCGATGGAGAAGAGCAAACTCGTCTACATCCTCAACCGAGTCAGTTTCCGTTCAGTTTCTGCGACGCGCTTTGTTCCGTGTCTGACGCAATCTGTGCTCTCGTTCTCGCGCGCCATTCAGGATGCCGCCGCCAACTTGACCATCTCGTCGCCCCTCGAAGCCCACAAAGCCAAGGCCATCATTCATTCCATCGTTGGTGTCGATGTCGGGTTCGAGAACCCGCTCTTCGCGGCCCTCGAAGTTGACTATGGCGAGAGTGATCAGGACCCGAGTGGGGAAGCGTTCAACGCGGCAGAGAAGGTACGTCCCGATGACGCAGGTGCACTCTGGAGACCGACCACTGACATGCACACCACCCATATCTTGTATCCAGATGCTCACTTACTACGAACTCGATCTCGGCTTGAACCACGTCGTGCGAAAGTGGAGCGAGGCGACCGATCCGCGCGCCAACATGCTCGTGCAAGTACCCGGTGGGCAAACGACGGCAGACAAGTTCGATGGACCGTCGGGGGTGCTCGTCTGCGCCGAGGACTACATCATCTACAAGCACCAAGGAGCAAAGGAGCACCGAGTACCGATCCCGAAACGCGCCCACCCTCTGATGGACCCGGAACGAGGACTTATCATCACTTCGGCGGTCATGCACAAGATGAGGGGGGCCTTCTTCTTCCTCTTGCAGAGCGAAGAGGGCGACTTGTACAAAGTCACAATCGAGCACGAGGAGGAGGAGGTCTTGGCCCTCAAGATCAAATACTTTGACACAGTCGCCGTCGCCGCTTCGCTTTGCATCCTCAAGAGCGGTTTCCTCTTTGTCGCTTCCGAATTTGGCGATCAATACCTGTACCAGTTTGAGAAGCTCGGCGACGACGATCACGAGACCGAATACTCGTCGACGGACTACCCGAACTTTGGTGCCGGTTCTGATCCGCTCCCGATTGCACTGTTTCGCCCTCGCCCTCTCGAAAACCTCGTGCTCGCCGACGAGCTCGAATCGCTGGGACCGATTCTCGACTGCAAGGTCGCCAACTTTCTCGGTGAGGACACGCCGCAAATCTACACGGCATGTGGTCGAGGTGCTCGGTCCTCTGTGCGCATCTTGCGGCAGGGCTTGGAAGTCGTCGAAGCCGTCAGCTCGGAACTTCCGGGTGCACCGATCAACGTATGGACGACCAAACTCCGACACGAGGACGAGTACGACGCCTACATCGTCTTGTCCTTCGTCAATGGTACGCTCGTTCTGTCGATCGGCGATACGATCGAAGAGGTCTCCGATACGGGTTTCATCTCCTCCGCACCGACGTTGGGCGTTCAGCAACTCGGCGAGGACGCTTTGCTGCAGATCTACCCGCGTGGTATTCGCCACATCTTGGCCGACAAACGCGTCAACGAGTGGAAGGTCGGGCCGAACCAAACGATCGTGTGTGCGACGACGAACAAACGACAGGTCGTCGTGGCGCTGTCGACAGGTGAGATCGTGTACTTTGAACTTGATCTCGAGGGACAGTTGAACGAGTTTCAGGAACGAAAGGAGATGCATGCCGAGATCTTGACGCTGAGCATCGCTGAGGTCCCGGAAGGAAGGCAGAGGACACCCTACCTAGTGAGTTTGAAGTGCTCTAAAGACGAAAAATTAGTGAATGGCAGCTGACACAGCGACGTGTTTTTTTGGATCCTTTCAGGCCGTCGGGTGTGCCGATTCGACAGTTCGCATCATCTCACTCGACCCGGAAAACACTCTCGAAACCTTGTCGCTGCAAGCTCTGACTGCACCCCCTTCGTCGATCGTCGTGGCCGAGATCCTGGATACGTCGATCGACAAGCACCACGCGACGCTCTTCGTCAACATTGGACTACAAAACGGTGTTTTGCTCCGAACCGTCCTCGACTCGCTGAGTGGGCAACTAACCGACACACGAACGCGGTTCTTGGGTTCGCGACCGGTCCAGTTGACGCGGGTGCCCGTGCGCGGATCCCCCGCCATCCTCGCGTTGTCGAGTCGATCGTGGCTCAATTACTCGTACCAGAACATGCTTCAGTTCACGCCGCTCATCTTTGACGCACTCGACCATGCATGGTCCTTCTCGGCCGAGCTGTGCCCTGAAGGATTGATCGGTATCACCGGAAACAGCTTGCGCATCTTCACCTTCCCCAAACTCGGCACAAAAGTCCAACAAACCTCGATTCCCTTGTCCTACACCCCTCGCAAGCTTATCACCTCCCCCACTCGCAACCTTCTCTACACCGTCGAAGCCGAACATCGCACGCTCTCTCCTTCCGCTCAACAAAAGATGCTAGGTGATCTCAAGTCGGCCGGTATCGAGGTCGATGAAGGGGTCATGCAATTGCCACGCGAGGTGTTTGGTCTGCCCCGAGCGCCGGCAGGTAATTGGGCGTCGTGCATCCGCATCATCGATCCCGTCGAAGCGACGACAGCCTTCTCCCTCGAGTTGGAAAACAACGAAGCCGCGTTCTCGGTTGCGTTGTGCACGTTCCACACCACGCCCAACGAACAGCACCTCATCGTTGGCTCGGCGCAGGACACGACGTTGGCTCCGCGAACTTGCAAGCAGGCCTATTTGACGACGTACAAGATCATCGATGATGGTCGAGGGCTCGAGTTGGTGCACCGCACCGAGATTGACGATGTGCCCAACACGCTCATGCCTTTCCAAGGGCGATTGGCGGCGGGTATCGGGAAGGCGTTGAGGATATACGACCTTGGAAAGAAAAAGTTGCTGCGGAAAGCTGAGAACAAGGTGAGTTAAATGGGGGCACTCATGAGCATGAGAATCATCTGGCTGATGTGTAACATGGCTCTTCTCACAGTCCTTTGCCTCAATGATCATGACTCTCAATACCCAAGGATCTCGCATCCTGGTCGGTGACGTCCAGGAATCCATCCATTACGTCGCCTACAAAGCCCCTGAAAACCGGCTAGTCGTCTTTGCCGACGATACCTCCCCTCGATGGACTACAGCGGCGACCATGGTCGATTACCAAACCGTCGTCGCCGGTGACAAGTTCGGCAACGTATTCGTCAACCGTGTCGCCGCCGCCGTCTCGGAAGAAGTTGACGAAGATCCGACAGGCGCCAGCATCATGCATGAGAAGGGTTACCTAATGGGTGCGCCCCATCGCACGTCCTTGATCGCGCAATACCACGTTGGCGACCTCGTCACCTCGATCAACAAGTGTTCGCTCGTAGCCGGTGGTCGTGACGTGCTCTTGTACACCGGCGTCTCGGGCACGGTCGGTGTGCTCGTCCCCTTCGTTTCGAACGAGGATGCCGATTTCTTCTCGACGCTCGAAATGCACCTCAGGACCGAAGCCCCTTCGTTGGTCGGAAGGGACCACCTTGCTTATCGCTCCGCTTACGCGCCCGTCAAAGCTGTCGTCGACGGGGACCTCTGCAACCAGTATCGCCTCCTCTCGATGCAAAAGCAAGGCAGCATCGCGGGGGATACGGACCGAACGGTGTCTGAAGTCCTAAAAAAACTCGACCAAGCCGCCGCTCACGCGTGGTGATCGTTCGAGAAGATTCTTCTCCAGGTTTAGGAAAAATGCTTGCTTTCAAGCGAATGCGTTGTAATGAATATACCGACCGGTCGAATGAAAAAAGAAACATCTTGGGAAATGCTTTGCAGTATATACACAACGACGTCTAGAACAGAACGGCAAGACGACACTCATTCATCTTTAGCAATCACCGCTTTCCACCTCCTCGACTTCTTCTTAGCCTCGAGGGTCTGCAACGTCTCTGGCGTTGGCCCCGGTGTCCACGTCGATTTGGCCCAGTCATAACCCCTCGCTGAGCCAGCAACCATACAGTGAATATGAAGCTTGCGATGACTCATCTTCCAAATCTTGCCCATCGGCGAATTCTCCTTCCAACTGTCGTCCTTCCTCCAAGCCAACATGGCGTCGTACTCCGTCCTCCCCTCGGGTGAGGATAGATACCGAATCCTCTCGACCATTCGCTTGATCCCGTCCTTGTTCTCCTGACTGAGCGATTCGCCAGGTGACGAAGCCGTCGTGGACATCTCCAACAGATCCGGCGTGACGTAGTCGGCGACGTTGATGAAGCTATTCGGGGCGATGGAGAAGCGTTCGGCGAAATGCGGCGCGCCGTAGACGATCGGCACGGAACCTCGTTCGAGGCATTGGAAGTATTTCTCGCTGACGTAGTCGAGGTCGTTACTGTTCTCCATCGCAAGGGTGAACTTGTAGAATTGCGTCACCGCGGTCTGGGGAAGGGCCGATTTTGATTTGATGAGTATGAGAATTCGCCATCATGTCTTATGACGACTGACTGACCTTGACAGTCCACCACGTCTCGGGTTGATCGATTGCATCGAGCCTCCCAATGTCACTCAGCATTTGCTTTGCATTTCCATTGCCTCGGCACCTTCCGAATGAGTCGATCTGCAGAACAGGTGGTTTCGATCAGTCTCTCAATCGGATGGTCGAAAGCTGGACCGCGAAGGACGTACCTGTCCAGGCATCAGGGCCAGCAGCTCGTCAAGAATCTATCAAGGGTCAAAAAGTCTCATCCGATCAGCAACCGTGAAGAATATCCAAAAATTCCACGACAATCTCACCAAGGTTCGATGGTTGCGAGGGTAACAATTCGAGATGAAGGAGAGGAGCGGCTTCTCTTGGTTCTTCTGCTCGTACGGCACGATCGGGAACGAATAGTTCATGTAGTCGTACGAATACGTTTGCGGAATCGTTCCATTTAGCCGATCTATCGTTCGGAGTCAATTGATCATCAGTGAGGATAACTCCACAGAAAGACAGCCCGCCGGGACTGACAGGTCATATCTCCATCGGCATAGCGCTCCTCGGGCGGTAAACCTTGGTAGACCTGCTCGAAGTAGTCTTGCAAAGCCGATCTTTGAGGCGCAGCCTCGGCACCAGTGACGTAATGTTTTTGCCAAGGCCTCGTCTTTTTCCACTGGTGGCGTTCGTCCATGGACGGGCGTTGCCCTCGGTCGGTGTTGAAGAGGATCGCTTCGGCGATATGGGCTTGGTCGGTGTAGATGATGGGGAAGGGACATGACGGAGGCATGATGGTCTCTTTGTCGCCACCTTCTCCATATAGATGGAACAGGAAGGGCGAGTCCTTCGGGGTATAATCTTGAAACTCGGGGTCGAGGTTTGTGCGAGGCGAGGTGAGCTCGTGGGCGTCGACGGTGGATTCTTTCGTTGTTTCCGGTTTGGTGTCCTTTTGAAGGGGGGTCGTTTTGGCCAACGATGGGTGCCGGGTCGACTGTAGTGTTGTGTACGTAGCCCAGGCGACGATCATCCCGGCCGCGAATGTTAGGAGCAGCACTCTCCGGGGGGAGTGTTGCACTGCGGCTGCGACATGATTCGTCCAGTCGTGGGTCCGCCACGGCTTTCGGCTTCGGCCGTGGGCCCAAGCGGCTTCCAAGTCATCGACATCGTCCTCGTCACCGTCCTCGTCTTCGTAGCCTTGTCCATCGAGTCGTGAATGCTTCTTGCTGTCATAGGGGACATCCTCCAACACGGGCGACAGCTCGGAAGGGGCAGACGGGCCGATGCCGAACGGGGTGACGAGGTGCGCTGCGTCTACGGCTGGCGCGGCCGCAGCGTCCGGTTCGAGCGTCGCGGGCTCCGGTACTAGCTCATATTGATCAGTACCGGTCGAAACGCGTCGCATCTGTAGTGATGGCGCCAGGATGACGAGGGACGCGCGATGGGCACGAGCCGAACGGGGCTCGCGTCGCCGGGGATCACAAGTGGGGCGGCGGACGTGCGTGGGTGAAGCCGAAAGTCAAAAGGCGCGCCGGCCCTCGTTAGACGGAGGTGAACGTGTGAACGCTCATCGCGCATCGGATAACGCCGAATTGAGATTTGCAAGGGGTCAACGCCGACTTCATAGTAGTGTGGCTAGCGGCTACCTTACCGAAGGTGTGCCGCTGCAATGTAGTCATCAACGGCAAAGAGGCTACGCCACAGAATCAAATGAGAGTGTACTATCTTTCTTCAGAAAAGATCAGATATATATTTGTGGCTTGGATGCATTGACGAGGTCGGCTCCATTCCTACGAGCTCGTAGGTTGAGTGGAGATGGTCCGTGCGCGTAGGCCATCGTTTCGAGCTTGCCTTGGGGCAATTTGACGTCGACCGGAGGCAGCTTAAGGCGGCTGGTGTGGACAAGGCCCTGCTTCCAGGCGCCACCCCCCTTGCCCGCTCCTCTCCCCAAAAGGTTCGAGTAGATCGACCGCATACAAACAACACTTCCACCGTTTTCTTTCCTTTCCATCATGGCGTACGGTACGTGGTTGCTGCGGCCTATTCTGCAGAGGGACAAGCCGCTGACGAGCTCGTCTCTTTCGTCGTCGTGGTCGCGGGCGCTGGCGCTGGCTGCTTGCTCCCTTCGCAATCCTGCGCTTGACCCGCACCTGCTCTCCGCGCGCGCACCCACACCCGCACCCACACCCGCACCCACACCCACACCCACACCCCCATCAGGCGATTCTGGACGAGGCGGTCGAGGCGGAGGTCGGGGTGGCTTTGGCGGTGACCGAGGAGGGCGTGGTGGAGGTCGAGGTGGTTTCGGCGCTGATCGAGGTGGACGAGGTGGTGGACGAGGTAAGTGAACTGGCATGCTGACTCTCTTTCCCCCGGTCGCGGCATCGCTTTGGCTCGCAGTCCCGCGTGTCTGCTCATCGCTTTCTTGGCATCGAGAGAGCGAGATCATCTGCACAGCTCCTCCTATGGGGAGCGTCGCCAATTGATCAGCACTGACGGTTTACATGCTTTTTGCATCAACAGGTGGCTTCTCGGCTCGTGGCGGCGCAGGAGGAGGGCGAGGCGCACCCCGAGGCCGTGGTGGTGACCGCGGTGGAGGACGAGGTGCTGGACGAGGTTCGTCCAAACTCGAATGCAGCGTCAACCGATTGCTCACCCTCCCCCCTTTGGAACCACAGGAGCACCCCGCGGAGGTCGAGGCGGAGGACGAGGGGGTCTCGGCGCAAAGAAGGGTGGAGCACCCAAGGTCATCCTCGAACCCCATCGTCACCCCGGTGTCTTTGTCGCAAAGGTAACCAGAAGCTACACCAGAGTGGAAGCTCCTTCTCGTTGTTCACGCGCTGACCTCCCTCCCCGCCCTCCACTCTCAGGGCAAGGAACATTTGCTCGTGACCCGCAACCTCGTCCCCGGCGAGTCCGTCTACGGAGAGAAGCGAATCGCGATCGAGTCGGCTTCGACCAACCCCGATCTACCGGCAGAGAAGGTCGAGTACCGCGTCTGGAACCCTTTCCGATCCAAGTTGGCCGCCGGTATCCTCGGTGGTCTCGACGACATCCACATCGCCCCCGGCAAGAAGGTTCTTTACCTCGGTGCCGCTTCGGGCACATCCGTCTCGCATGTCGCTGATGTTGTTGGGCCGGAGGGGACCGTTTACGCCGTCGAGTTCTCGCACCGATCGGGCCGTGATTTGATCAACATGGCCAAGAAGCGAACCAACGTCATCCCCATCATTGAGGATGCCCGTCACCCCAACAAGTACCGCATGCTCATGTCCATGGTCGATGTTATGTGAGTCATCCACCAGCGTCGACAAAGCCTCGCGAACTTTCACTGAATATACATCCTCGAATCCATTCGCCACAGCTTCGCCGATGTCGCCCAACCGGATCAGGCCCGTATCGTCGCCCTCAACGCGCACCACTTCCTCAAGAACGAGGGCCACGTCGTCATCTCCATCAAGGCAACTTGCATTGACTCGACCGCCCCTGCAGAGGTCGTCTTCGCGTCCGAGGTCAAGAAGATGCAGCAAGAGATGTTGAAGCCCCACGAACAACTGACCCTCGGTGCGTTCTAACCGCCCCACCCGGACGAGACCTGTCGACAAATGCTGATCATCCTTCTCCGTCGCTGCTCTATTTGCTTACAGAACCGTACGAACGTGACCACGCAATGGTGAGCTATACATTTCAACTCGTCCTATTGGCGGGTCTTGTCCCGATGCTAATCTTCTGCACCTCCGTTCCTCCTCAGGTCGTCGCTTCTTACCAACGACACAAGTGAGACGACTTCTGAGCTCTTCTCCACCCCAGATGCTCGCTGTTGTGTTTCTTCCTTTAGCTGTCGTCCATGTCGCTTCCTCCTTCACCATAAGCGCATGTGCCCTTGAGTCGTTTGTCTAATTGTTCTTCCTTTTCTCTATTGTCATTGTCATTTTCTTCCTTTCTTGACTGCCCTCCCCCCCTCCCTCCCTCCTCTTTTGGAAAATCGCTCGGCGCGCGGGCCCTTTTTGGCTTCTTGTAATATCACGTATTCTTGTGACTTTCCCATCTACGTTATTGTCTACCTTCTTGATGCCTTTCTCCGTTATCAACATGTCAATCAATGAAGTTGCCCCTCGGCGACGAGCAACATGTTGTACGGCGAAAGAATCAGACTGGACCAGACTGGACCGAATGATGGCTGGCCGGTGGACTCCTTCTCCGGGCCCCCACTTCCCACTATCCGTGCGCTCGCGAGCCCCGGCCCCATCCCGAAATGCCACACCTCGGTTTGCGGTAGACCACTCCAACACGCACCTTGGGTCATGTCGACTCTACTTTCGACACGACCCTCGCTGTCGGTGTGGGCGTCGTTGCGAGCGGGACGACGACCTTCGCTCGCTCCGTCGTTCGCGACCATCGCCGTTCGTCATGACTTCAATACCTCCGCGATGGACCTCGTCGTCGAGAAGAGAGTTGAGGCGGCTTCTTCGGCTGCGAAAGATACGACTCGAAAGAAGGGTGTGTTGTGAATTTGGATATCGGTGTACCACACTCGATCGGGATTGACAGCTCCCTCTACGTCACTCGTCTCGTCCTTACAGAGTCCGTGCGAACCAAGGCTGGGCCGAGCGAGGGTACATCACCGCGCAAGAAACCCGTCGAACCTCACAAAGTTGCGTTGACGTCGCACCGCTACCTCTGGCAAACGCGTGACCGCTGGATCGCCCGCCAACTCGCCGCAGGAGCGGACATCCCTCCTGATATTTTGTCCAAGATCCTCGCGCACCGCAAGATCCTCGCCGCCGATATGGCCATCTACGTCGACGTCCTCGCTAGGAAGGACGTATACTACTCTATGGAAAGACTCGGTCTACTCGAATCGGCGGGACCGGATCGACCGCAGGTTCAATCACCGGATTGGTTGATCCTTTCGATTCCTGGGATGCTCAAGACGAACCAAGACGTGCCCTACCTCGCGAGTATGCTCGTTCGATCCCCCCGCTTCGCACAACTCAATCGAGAGAATAGGGCCCTTTTCATCGCGAGGTGTTTGGAGTCCTTTCTGAGGATACGACATCTCGTCGCGGTCAGGGAAACGATCGATTGGGTTTGCTCGAGTCCGAATCAACTGGGGTCCGCGACGGCGTTCGCTAGGATCCTCACCGTTCTGGCGGCGGGGGGTAATGATACGAGAAAGCCTGTTTCGAGGTCGACGGCCGCACCCAAGGAGCTGCTCCATCGAGCGAGGGATCGTCTGTTGGAACTGATGAAGGCCAAAGGGATCGAACCGACGCTGGACACGACTTTGCCGTTGCTCGAACCGGGGCTGATCCCAGACGACGTACACGAGATCGCCAGCTTGGTCGTCCAGACTAATCGACTGGGTCAAAAACTCAGAAGGGGCGTGCTGAGAAGAGCGATGTTGTCGCTACTTATGGCAGGGAACGAGGAAGGCGCCAAGGTGTTCGCTCGGTCGCTCGAAGGCATCTCGGAGGAAGAGGACGGCGCAGAGGGTTCGGTCGAGGATTCGGAATCAATCTTTGATGCGACATCGACGGCTTTTGCTCGATTGGAGGAAGGGAGGGATCTCAGTGGAATCGTATTGCCCCACAATGCTGATGTAGACGAAGTCATCGAGCTCTTCCATCGTGCTCTTGATCGTCAGCGAACGGTTGCTGCTCCGGATGCTGCTCCGAAATCAGTCTCCACCGCCGACCTCATCTGGGCCCGCCTCTTCAACTTCTTTCATCGATCGACCAAAATCCAGGCCAACGAACTACAAGACCTTCTACATCAACTCGAATCGTCCTCCGTCCAACTACACGACCTTACATGGCGAAGGATCTACCACGGGGTCATGGTGGGCTGCTTGTCGCGCGACGAACCGGATCGCGTCGTTCGGTTGTGGGAACGGGTAACGCGGGACAGGCCGGTCCCATTGAGTCCAAATCTGCACATGCTTACTGTGGTCATGCGTGCGTATTGCGCTTTGGGGCAACCTGATCGGGCTCGCGCAGTTTGCGACGCTTGGACGATTGACGTCCCAAAGGAGGATACCACGCCGCGGAGAGAAGACGAGGTCCCAGCTGCTTCCGACTCGCCACCGCGGTCCAAACGCATCAAGCTCACCGTCGACCCTCTGAACGACTTGATGCTCTACTATTCCCGCACGGCGGCCTTTGGCGAGGTCTACGCCTTGTTCAGAGCCATGTCGTCGACCTACGGTGTCGTACCGAATTCAGCGAGCTTGACGATCTTGATCCAATCGGCTCGCTATGCTTCGTGGCACGATCCTTCCGGAAGCGCGCATTCGGGGACGGGCTTGAACTACCCTGTCCTGTGGGGTAATCGAGATCCTGTGGCTTTCGCCGAGGACTTGTTCTGGTCCGTCTTGGAGCAAAATTGGCCCGAGTTGGCCAAAAACGAAGTTGTCGATCCTTTCAAGAGCAAACCTTCCCGAATCATGGAAAAGATATTCGCTCGCTGTTCTGCGTCCGGAACTGCAGAGACGAACGGGGAAGGAGGTGTTGATCTCCGAGCTTTCGAGGCGACCTTGAGTATCGTCGATCCACCTCGATACCCGTTCTTGTACCCCAGCGCAAAGACGTTCCGTACCTTCGTCATCCTGCTCGGTTCGACCAGACGGTACGAGAAGATCCCGCTCGTCCTCGCGTGGATGAAAGCACTCAACGTGAGACCTAGTCGACATACGTTAGGGTTGGCGATGATGTGGGTGGCGGAGATGGCGTTGGCGGAGGAGGAGATGGTCAAGTGGAGGGGGTGGGTGAAGGATTGGGTAGGGGAGGAGGATGTGCCGAGGGAGGAGGAGATTGCTTGGTTACGGAGGGGGAGAGGGTGGAGAGCGGATGGATGAGGGATCGCTAGTTTAGAGTAACATATGATATTCCTAGTTATGTCGAGGGACTTGAGCATCGAGTGCGACGGCGAGAAGTAGCACGTGATCAATTGGCAGTCTCTCTCTAGCATTACAACAAAGAGGAGTGCAACCCCGCTCCTAACAGCCCCCTCACGAGCCCAAAACCCTCGGCGTTGAAGCTCCCCTGTCCTTCTATGACAACCTAGGCACCCTTCTCCCCATGTTCAATAACTCGAATCCTGCGTCAAAGGACTGTTCCCACTCCCCAGACCCTTCGGTAAAGGTCGACGGAATCGAACGGTCGGATCCTCCGCAGCCGGTCGAGCGATCTCGTGTAGCTTTTCGCCGATTTTGAGGGTCGTCCAACTAGTGAAATATGGGTCAGGGGTGAGATTGGAGCAGGCAATTTCATCTGCGTCGGTGTGGGTTGGTAGCCTACCGCAATACACGAGGATCGAGCCGTAACCTTTCGTTCAAGGCCTTGACCGTCGGAGGATTCGCGTCGAACCTCATCGTCCAATACCTAGATACATCCGCAATCACCGTAGACGAATCAGTACCAGTTCCATTCTCCATCCCATACACCCAGCACAAAGTGCGAGCGCAAGACCGCAGCTCCAGAAGCCGCTCTCGAACTTACACGCCCTCCAAGCTCGATCCATCCCCCCTCTTCATCCTCTGCGGCAAGTTGCGAGTCCCCCAGTGGTCCAAGCTCCTCACCACGCCACCGTTCGACGTGACGAGGGAGGTGGTGGTGGTGGTGAGGGCGCGGATGGGGGCCTATGAGAGGGGGTGGGAGGCTGCGATCAGTTCATCTGCGTGCAGTGGTGTTCGGGCGGGTGATGTGGTGATGCTTACGAAGCTGGCTTGACGGGAGGAGATGCAGACGAGTTCGTAGAGGACCATCGTGGCTTGGTGTACGGTGCGGGACGTGATGCGGCGTGACAGGACGCGAAGAGGAGCGTTGCGGAGCCAAGTCGAACCTCGTCCTGTGCCGAGAGCGCTCCACCAGGCAGGCTCCACCAGGGCTCCACCGCGCAGCTCCGCGCCAGACCGCGCCGGGGAATTCGGCTCAATTGTGTCAGGCTTCTTCTGGGCTGAAGTCATGGGTACACTCTGTTTTGAAGCTTCTAAAGGCTGTAACCCATCGCATATCACGCGGTATGCATTCGCCTTTTTCCTGAAGAACCTTGCTCAGGGAGTGAGGGCTCTCCGAAAAAGACAAACTTTCCAGAGGACGACGGCGATTGCCAACAACGACCTTGCATTACAGCGTCCCTAAAGCATCCAAAACGCAATGATTCCCGAAATCGAACAAAACAACCCAATTCCCATAAACGCCAACAGCTTCAAGAACCCCGTCTCGGACGAGATGGGTTGGCCAAGCCTCGCCGCATCGATGCAAACTCTTTCCATCTCCTCCCCTAACCTAGAGAGGGAGAAGACCTTCTCGACTCTTTCTTTGCCTTTGGAGCCCATTTCTTGACGGCGCGTCGGAGAGAGAGCTAAGAGGTCCTTCAGGGCTGTGGCCCATACGTCTGCCGAAGGTGAGCGTAATAGACCGGTCGTGGTAGAGGAATCGAGACCGTCGTCGATGATGGATTCGGTCGGCCCTCCCGAGTTCGTCGCTAGAACCGGTAGGCCCGAAGCCATCGCTTCGATCGGTACTATACCAAAGTGCTCGAACGAGGGAGTGTAAAGCAAAGCGACGGTCGAGGGGGAGTGGAGCAACGCATCCTTTTGCGCTGCAGTCAAGTTCAGGAGGAATAGGATACGCGGAGTTGTGGTTGGTGGAGTCGTCGACGCCTGAGCGGCTTTGTAGAGTTCGGCATCGGGGGCCGAGGAAGTTGCGGCCGAGGACGAGGTGTAGGTGTAGTATGACAGCTCATGCTTCTTCGCCAAGCGTTGAAGGGACAACAGAGTCTTGACATTGTCCGCTAGACGGGGATCGTAGCCCCCAGCGATGACGAGACGGAGCTTGGGCTGATCCCCGGCGATCCGAGCGAACGCATCGACAGCGAGGGCAAGGTCCTTCTTTCCCTCGAAGCGATTAACAGACAAGAGCATTGGATCCTGACTGCAGACTCGCACCGCGTGGATCAGCTACTAGCCAGCAGTAGCAAGATACTCGACCGGAGCTTAGCCCACCTTTGCAACCACTTGTCCTCCTTCCCCACTTCGACTCTCTTTCCGTACGCCCCGACGTCCACCGCGGGGTAGACGACTCTGGGTACCCTCCCCATCGTTCTGAAAGTAGTCACGAAGACTTGACCCGTAAACTCGGAGTTGACCACGATCTTGTCGGCTTGCGCCGTCGTTTCTTGTTCGAGCGTATCGATCGGTTTCCGATACATGGACCGAATCTCCCTCGCGATCGTCCATGGCGGCTCTTTACGAGGGTCATTCGCAGCTGACGATGCGGGCCTCGAAGGTGAGAGGAGCAAGTCGGGGAAATGGCAGTAAAAGACGATACGGTTCTGGCCGAACCAGCGCAGGAGAGGGATCGCCGTTGAGAGTTGGTCGACGACGATGACGTCGAAAGGGGCCAACTGTCGAAGAGGGGACCAATCTGCGCTCGAGGAGAAGGGCTTTGTTTCGGGGACGAGCAACGACGATAGTAGAGGTAGTCCACTGAGATGGTACCAGAGGCAGGCGAGGAGGAAGGAGAAGGTGAGATGGAGTTGACGTAGCATCGCGCAGACGACTTTGAATCGACCGAGGAACGAGCGAGGCACGAGCCATGCGCCGAGCACGTGGACTTTGAGAGTACCTGAACATGGGAATGATTGCTCTTGGCTTAGTTCATCCCAGTTTGGATCGCTACAGACTTTGGGGACGGCTCGGCCTCCGAGTGACAGGTTACGACACCCCCACTTCGGTCGGCTTTGAGACGAGCCACTCCCCAACGAACTGTATCGCGATGCAACGATGACTGACCGTTCCTCGTCTCTTCAAAGCTCCTTCCTCTAGGCCCATCCTCATGGTAACTGGTAAAGATCTCGACATGATGACCACGTTGCTGCAACGCGACCGCAGCATCGACGACCAATCGTTCGGCGCCACCTGCGATTCGATTTCCGAAGCACGGGGAAGGTTAGTACCACGGCGCGCATGCTCATAGCCTCGCGCGAGTACATATAGTCGGTCACTTCGTCCAGCGAGACTTGCCAATACCTAGGTCAGGATGAAGGAACGCGATCCTCAACTCGGATGGCAATTCGATCGGCTCGTGTTCGCGATGGTACGCCGGAGGAGGAGCGAAAGGGCTGTTGTTGTGCTGCACGTGCTGCATCCTGAAGCCCCTCCCCGTTTTAGTTAACGAGGTTTCGCACGCGGCCACTAGGACCTGGCGAGAAGGAATGAGAGACAGAAGACGAAGGAAGTGCCGCCCGCGATCAGTTCGGCGTCGAGATCGGCACCCCGGGCCTCCCCGCGAAAGATTGGCCCGTGCGGGGCAAATCACCCCAACTGTTACAGATCATCAACACTCCGAAGAGAGCATGCAGATGAGGGCCGCGCAGAAATGTGGAAAGGCGAAGAGGAGCGGCACTCAGCCTTCGATCTACCCGAGCATGCAAGACTTGTACTCGTTTTTCGTCCCAAGCCCGCATCAAAGTTGACTCGGAGGTGCCGAAAACGTAAAAGGAGGCGAGCGGCCTGCGCCAACTCGGGCGTGCTATATGGACGCCCCGGCTTCGGCGAAGTTCATGAGAAGTGCTAGACTGGGCGGCGACGCATACGCTCTAGGTCAACTTTTGTTCTCGGATTACATATACATACTTCCCGCCTGTTCCCTCCTCTTCTCCCTCCTCGACCTCTCAATCCAATCAGAGCTCTTCCCATCCCTCTTCTTCGCATCGTACCACTCGTCCCAACCCAAACCCTTCCCCACAGCTTTCAACGACCCTTGTACATCCGCGTACACCCCTCTTGAGTCGCTCAACGACGTCGGCCCGCCTGCATCGTAGATCGTATTGGACCATGAGGAGGGGCCGAGGAAGGGACCGTTCAACGACGTAGGGGAGGCGATTGAGGGCAAGAGAATCAAGGACGCTTCGATCTCCGAGAGGGTCGAGAGCGTCAGGAGAAGAGGTGCAAGACCGTGCAAGAGGTTGGGAGGTGAGAATGGGGAAAGGTGGCCTGCTTGTTCGAGCGTCAAGAGAGAGTTCGGGGTGGGCGAGGAGAGGTAGCGTATCAGGGGGGAGGCAGGCGGTTGTTCGGCGATATAGGAGGGGGAATGATAAGGTGCTACGATCGTGGTTGAGGTAGGAGATAGCTTTGACAACAATGCATGGGCGAAGGGATACAACGAGACCAAAGGAAGAGCGATCGAGGTGAACACGACTGTCACCGAGGGAGAGATGACATGAGTTGATGCAGCCTGCACACCCGGCATGTATTTCATCAGTCTTCATCGTACTCTTGTGTCAAAGACCTAGGAGACCCTGACTCACTTGTTCACCATCGACAAAGACCGTAGCTGACGCGTCGCCAGTCTTGGCACCCTTGGCGAACACCTCTGCGACCTCTCCCACAAGAAAGACGACCCGAGTCGGCTGAAGTACTGTTGCTCCACGAAATTCCACCACGGGATCCGGTTTGCTTGCTGGGGCTTTGGGAGCCGTTGTTTCGGCGGCCTCGTCATCAGAATCGTGTTCGTCCGACTCGAGCGCATAGGCCGGAGCGGCTTGCGAGTGGTACATATCATCGTCCATGACTGCGCTTCACGTGTTTTCGAGTATGCTTTGACGAGGCTGAGCTGGTTATAATCTGATCTCGCGCAAGTTGTGGGATTGGTTGGAGTGCAAGAGACGACGGCTTCGCAAGCGCTTTTCAATTCGAGCGCGCTCCCGCCTCATGTGGGGCACCAAATTGTTGGAGGCCACTCGCAGATTGTCGGGAGATGCAGTGGGGGATGGAGAAACGTCAAGGCAACTCAAGCGGTGAAGCCCCAGACGATTGCGCCGCAGCTTCCTACACCTGCATAGGAACACCTGCATACGATGAAAGTTGGCTTGATGAGGCTAGAGTACCTTTTCGGTTCCGCTGTCTGGCCCGGCGCCGCCTGCGGACTAAAAAGTATAATCGGACTGATCGATCACCGCCGCCAATTTGCCCACGCCCTTTGCGAAGCCAGCATCCCCAACTATACCCCGAAAGAGGCAGAATGCTTGGACGATGTTAGGGAAGGCCGACTTACGAACGAATAGATGGGTCGACATTGATCAGGTCCGCGGGCTCGAGACACCGTGTCACCGCCGTGGGAAGCACATTTGGCGGCGCGCCTTCCTTTGGCGCTTTGAATCAAATGGCGGAGGCTGACAGGGTCGCGTTCATTTCTCAAATCGCGCGAAATCGGCTTTTCGGGTTTAGGGGGGTTTTAGGCCATTTGGAAATGCACGCAGACATAACCGCGCTAATAGCTCCTCGCTCTGGGCTCACATAAGGTCGGCTTTTGGGCCCACTTCGGAGGCACTCTGGTCCCACATCGGAGGCGACTTTGGGATCACATCGGAGCGGACTTTGGGATCACATCCGAGGTCATTCTTGTACCACGTTCATGGGGACTTTGGTACCACATAGTGTAGACGCCTGTATCTCTTGCAATGTGTGATGTATCACTCTGGGAACAGTAGTTTGATGCATGTACAGGTCTATAAGTACATATGGCCGGTGAGACAAAGCGGACAATGCAGTAGTTGCTACATCGGGATTATGCCCTGTTTGGCCCTCCGGGCCCGCCGTGGTGCCCGCGGTCCGACCTCACGATCGTCACCACTCTCACCAGGCAGCGAGCGTAGCATGCAACAAACATCGTAGGGTGGAGCAAACCCTTTTTTCCCTATGCCTTGTCACTGTAACGTCATTATCACTGACCATTTCAGTGACGCCGTCACATAAACCACATGGGTGAGCTCTAGCTCCATAAGGCCTGCAACCGTTAGAACCCTCATTAGAAACCGGCAAACTCACGAATGCCGCTGAGACGAGCATCATTTTTTAATAAAAAAAAAAATAAAAAAAAAAAATAAAAAAAAACCTCATTCTCATTGAAGCTTCGTACGCTCCTCATCTTTACACCCCACTCGCCCACTCGTACACATACAATCCTCACACAAAGCAGTCCTTTCCTTCCTTGTTGTGCGGATAGTTCGTCCATTTCGAGCACAACAACACCTGGATGGGGTACCTTCTAGACGACGCCAAGTACGCTCATGTCAACAACTTAAGCGATGAGCCAACTGCAAGTCAAATACAGAGGGGACCACTCACCCATTGCGCTGCGACAACAAAGCTCGCCAGGGCCATACCTATCGGATGATGAATCGGATTCATATGAGGATGAGGACGATTCGAAACTCTCGGCAGCTTTGGTCGCGGTTCCCCCCAAGTCCTCGACGTCTCGCACCTCCTCAGCCTCGGGGCTTTCGAACTCTCGCAAGAACTGTTCCAGCGACTCCGAAGAGGATTCGACAAGCGATTCATACTACGGAGTCGGAGAAGACAGCTCAAAGGAGGTATTACCTGACAACGTCGTCTCCGCACCACTCCTGGCTCGGAAAGACAAGAAGATTTGGACCGGCATACCTGCGAGCTCTCTCGGCGGAACGCAGACCGACGAACTGTCGAACACGACGCGCGGAGGCATTTTTCTTAACCCATAATCTTCACCACTGCAGAGCACAACGAGCTCCGTCTCAGGCCGGTCGTTCCTCGCAAGCAGAAATCCGAATGGAAATTTGTAAGCAACCTTCCTGTCCTGGAGCTCCCAAGGTTCATAGCTACAGAGGTGTGTCGAAGCTGCGTGCTGCGCTGCGTTTTGTTTCGTCCTGTGATCGACCTAACCCTTATTGGTGAGATATATCAACAGACGCATGACTGGGCTTCACGCCAATATGAATGCTGTCTCGCTGTCGTCGAGCGACCTTACGGTAACGCGCGCTCCTCTACTACTCATCATCAACATCCGTCGGACGTGGCAGTGGGGATCTGATGACGTCCAGAACTGCCCATCACTCTTCTAGAAGCTTGGAGCCAACCCGCGAAGGTCGAACTGTTGTGGAAGTTCTGCGGATGGCCGTCGTTGCTCGGGGGCCTGCAAAAGAGATCGGGGACGTTTGAACATCGTTCAACTGCAATGATCATACAAGCAAAAGTCCGCCGATGTCGAAGTGTCACTTATTAGAATCTGTATCTTCGCTCGATTTCTATGAACTGTTCTTTATGGATGAGAGAAGCGAGAGACCGGTGCCAATTCTGGTCTAATCGGCGCAATCACGTTCGGGAGTGTCGGCCTTGGCGGTTCGGGCGCCGGACCGCTGACACTACGGGCGCGGAGCGGCCAAGCATGGGCAGAATCCCGATGTAGCAACTACTGCATTGTCTGCTTTGTCTCACCGGCCAGAAGTACTATAGACCTGTACATGCATCAAACTTCTGTCCCCAGAGTGATACATCACATATTGCAAGAGATACAGGTGTCTACACTATGTGGTACCAAAGTCCCCATGAACGTGGTACAAGCATGACCTCGGATGTGATCCCAAAGTCCGCATCGATGTGATCCCAAAGTCCGCATCGATGTGATCCCAAAGTCCGCTCCGATGTGATCCCAAAGTCGCCTCCGATGTGGGACCAGAGTTAAGCTCAACTAAGCCCTCCCTCTGGGAGGGGCTTAGGACTTATCGGCGCGCCTGGCCCAGTTGCCCTCCGAAATTTCAAGGCCATTTTGGGGTGGTTTTCTGTAGCGTGGCAAGTACTTACAATTATCCAAAACGCAGAGATGTTATTGATCTTCTACTAGAAAAAATGGCCTGTGCCGAACGGCATGAGGATACCCCATCTGTAGCCGAAGCTATAATGATCTGAAGTGTGTAAATTTGGTCAATTCCGTCCCAAGTGGTCCGAGCGGCAACACACTGCTGCAGCCGCCGGCTTGCGCACTTCGGCGTGTGCGCATCGGTTTTTCTCCCGCCCATTCCGCATCACTCATCTTCTCGGTACTATGCTCTTCGCTTGTTCTCGATGGAACACCACGCTTATCTCAGAATGACGCGCAACCGCAGACGCTATGACTCGACGACTCGCCAGGATCGCCGCCGTCAGGCAGATCTATTCGCTCGGTTTCGGCTTCACAAGCTCTCACTATGTCAATACCTCAAATCAATACCTCTCGTGGTATTTCAGCCCGTCAACACAACACGATGGTGTTCACAATCATAGGCCAAAGCTCTTCAACAGTAATTGGACCCAGCTCAAGCGTTTGACGTCGCTTCCCGGCTGTCGAAGTACATGGTGGACTGGGGAAAGGTGCTGGGATCTGGCCGCTGGTTAAGGAGATCCCTGATATTTCCCATCGTACCGTTTGTTCTTGGTTTCATCTCGACAACAACATTGCGTAGTTTTGGTCGGAAAAAGTCGGCTTTGGCGAAGAACTTCCGCGATTCGGAGAGACTGGATACCTTTAGGCTCTTGTTGATTTTGTAGGGTGGAGCGCCGGCGGTGAGGAAGAGTGTTTGACAGCCAAGTATGAGACGCCGCTCCGCAACTTGCCCATATACGGGGCGAAATGCAGTCGAGCCTTCCATTCCATTGAGTGGCTCATAGCTCCGGCGCGCTCCCTTTCGCTGAATCCTCACTCGGCGATCTTGATTGCCTCGTCATAGGCAAGCAGCTTGACTCGTTCTCGGAAGGAGTCCTTCGATATCAGCTCAGCCCAGTGCTTGTCTCCATTGTGCATCTCTGGAGACTGTCGGAGATTTTTAGTAGCAAGCTATCGGTACGGGGGTTGTGAGCATGCAAAAACCTGCGGCGGATTGAATGGACACGTACGATGAAGATGAATGAGACAGTATGGGAGGGATCGCTCAACTGCTGGTACAGCTCTCCGTCACCCCATGTTTCCTTGCATATGGCAGTCGCTTTCTTTCGCTCTTGATTGAGATTGTCGGCCTGTAAACGTATCAAGACCGTGGGACTCAGCACCCGCGTCGCCTCAACGGCCAACCGAATAAAACCTACGTGATGTTGGCTCAGCGCAGTCAGAGGACTGACAACTATGGTCACAGCCCGGCGTCCGTAAACCAACTACATGGCTTGTTGAAATATCAAGCTCTTCCCTGAACCCGTTGGAGCAATGACGAATACAGCGTCATACTGATTTCGAGTCTTGAACCGCTCGAGCTGAAAAGGTCCCGCGAGAGCTTCGATTTGCACCGGCCGGGGGACGAAGTCCTCGCCAAATTTGTCGACCAAGAGGAGTCTGATCTTCTTGCGTAACTCAATCGGGTCAATTCGATCTTCTTGAGTTGATTGTGATCTCCAGTGAGCAGCCCGAGAGCGACGGGTAGGCAGTTCGGGGGTTGTGTCGGTTGAGTGATGGTCCCTTGATGTCGTTGGCTTTGCCCTTGAAGCTGATCGTAAGGGCGACTCTCTGAACTCAATCGATGGAGACCGACGAGGTGTGCCCTTGACAGGCGTTGGCGTTTGTACGGGCATGGTGGATCATGAGGGCGGTAGCGACGTCGTGGACTGGCGTTGTGGACCGAAGGTGAGGCCGGTGAGGCGCGGCTGGCTGATTCACGTCGGCGCGAAGAACCGTCCCTCTGGGTCCGTGCGCGAGCCAGCTCCAAGTCGAAACTAACGACTTCTCACCGCTGTAGCTCAATGAATAGGACATGCGAGAGTCTTCCCTTGGGCAGATGCTCGTAAAAATAGCATAAGAATGCGCCTTTTTCTACATATTGTATAGGTGATTTTATTTGCCAAGCTACAGCAAGGTGGTACTTTTCTGGGCCAAATTTCGATAGGCAACTCAGCCAAACGCGCCGATAAGGTACAAGCCCCTCCACAGAGTGGAGGGTTTCGAGCTTAGACCAGAGTCCCCTCCGATGTGGGACCAGAGTTGCCATCCTCGGGACCAAAGTGCCCTGCTATTCGCGCGATTAACCTAATTCCGTTTGGAAATGAACGCCCCGTCGCCGCGCACGGTAGTCAGCCTGCTGGAGTCGGTGGGCCCACAACAGCTCTGAGAGGCCGTAGGCAGCGATTCGATTGACGAGTCGACGCGACTCTGTCGCCGACCTTAGTATACTCATCTGTCCACAATGGCTCGTAGAAGCGCCATCCAACAAGAGCGCGATCGAGTCCAGCTCGAGATCGAAAACACGGAAGATGCACTGGACAAACTGGTCTCCTTCAACTATTCACTCATGCAGGAGATGGAGATGGATTCTCAATCCGACTATTCAACCGACGCGACTGGCACGGACACCGACGCGGTCCTACAGCCTCTTCCACACTGTCGGAACATCTGTGATCCGTCTTTCCCGCTTGTCCTCTAACTCACAATATAACAAACGGACCATCCAGCATCTCATCGATTTGTCATGTGCCCTCCTCTCCCCCCTCTCCGGTATCATCGGCTCCCGAATCATACGCTGCGTCGTCCGAGTCCGATGGAGACGCCGAATATCTTGACGCGTTGAAGGAGCTCCGCAATGATCAGTTTCACTCCAACTACAACTCGGCACTGGCAGCGGAAGCACATCTCGAGGCTTTACACTGTGAAGCAGCAGATCTCGCTCGCCAACGCTACCTCAATCGGGCACATAAATACACCCCTAGACCACCCGGCCACGGATTGGACAGGTGCCTCGACGAGGATCGCCAACTGAACGACGAGGATTTTGCGACGGAGCTTCGCATGAGCAGACAAGCATTTAACGAGCTGTACGAAGCCGTGAGTCTCAATTTAATTATGTAATCGATTCGCGATCGCCGTCGCACTGAGATACTGAGACATTATCTGAGGCTGCATGCGCGCAGCACGAATCGAAATTCCACGTTGTAAGGTATGCGCCTCTGACGTGCATCAAAAATACGGTGTATCGTTCTTGACCGCTAGGCTAAAAGCAAGTCGTAACTAGAACTCGATAGTTCTAGCTACTCAGAGGCTACCTATGGGGCTGTTTCTGTAAGGCATCCCCTTACACACGTGAATATTGGTCGTTCCAGAAGCGGAGGAGGGAAGTTCAAATGAGCAACTGCACCAAAAGGTGGCGTGGGAGACAGTGCTATGGTGCAGATAGGTGCTCCTGGTGGGTCCTACAACCACTCCTGATCTCCCAGCAGGGGCCCCGGCGTACTCCTCGAAATTCCTCGACCCCCTGAGCCCGATCCGAAAATGAATCCGGAGAGGTGGTTTTGCTCCGGCGACGGCCATACTCCGGAGTTCATCCGGGTCTTGTGAGCAGGTTTTAAGAAGCGCCACCACTGGACGGGCAGAACGGTCATGAACCGGAGTGGAGGGTGGGCGTTAGCACGGGCATGCGCCGAAGGATGGTGGTACGCAGGCAACCTAGTGCTTCGATTCAAAGCCGGCAATTGGTCAGCAAGGAACATGTGGGGCAAAACAGAGGAGCCCGGCAAGTTGGCAACGGCGGATTTGAATTGATTTGAATTTGGATCACGAGCCCAGCGGTGCCGAGACCTCGTTAGCGATCGTCCGTTTTTGTCTTGGAGCATTGAGCAACTTTGAATACGCCCTCCAGTCGGCCTTCTTCTCCTCCGTCTCACTCAACATACCCTTCATCTTTTCGGTCAACTCGTTCGAGATGCATACCAGTTCCTTGACCTTGCTCGCTGTCGCATCGCTTGCTTCGGCGAGTTATGCCCCGGCATTCGTCTCGTGCCCCACCGCCAATGTGCTGAGGCAGGCAGGTGTCGCCGGGCCCTCACGTGAGTGATCGTCGACCGTGCGTCGACCGTCGGCGTGGGCGCACGGTCACATTTTCCCGGCTCGCGGAGCTGATCGACGCCCGTGCTTAACATCTCATTCCAAAGACACGGGCAACCAAAGTCTCAATACGGACGAAACCGCTTACGTCCAAGCGCGTAAAGGTCAAGTCGTGTCCGAACTCGCCTGTGAGTGCGCACCACTGCATCCCCCCACGCGCAAGAAGCTGACCGCTGCTGCCGTGAGACAGCTTGGCTAGGAGACAGGGCCAGTACCGTCTACAGTGGGTCGCTCAGCACTTCGACCAACGCTACTGTTCCTACCATCGCCATCGCTTTGTCGGGCGGTGGAGATCGTGCAGCTTTGTAAGTATCCTGCCAACTTATTTTTGGAGCGGGCGTCGGAGAGCTCTCGGGCCGATCACCAACCGGTGCCCCACACCACGCTCTCCGCCTACAAAGCGTCAGCACAGCCTTTGCTGACCTCAACCGATCACATCCTACTTCGTCTTTGCCTTCCGTCACAGGTACGGTGCCGGTGTGCTCGCTGCTCTTGATGGTCGAAATGCTCAGTCCAAGACCGTTGGTACGGGCGGGTATCTCCAGTCGTCCTCGTACGTCTCGGCGCTCTCCGGCGGCTCGTGGCTCCTGACCTCGTGGGCGCTTAACGACATGCCCGATGCGTTCGACATGGTCCTCGGCAAGAACGGCACTGAACTCGGATGGAACCTCGAGTTCGATCTCTTTAACCCCTCGTCCAACTCGACCATCACGAATGCATACATCGCGTCCCTTTTCGCGGACGCAGGCGAGAAGAGGGCAGCAGGCTTCCCTGTCACCATTGCGGACATCTGGGCCCTTTCGGTACGTCCTTAAGGTCTTTAGAGTTCCCTTTCGACACTCTCAAATATGCTTACCGTTTCTGCTATCATTTTGGCTCTCCTACTTTGGTAGCTCTCCTACCACTTCGTACCCGGCACGAACGCGACCAACTTTTTCACCAACTCGACCGAACGCCGAACCTCGTACCGCTGGTCCAACGTCACGTCGGTCTCTTCCTACGTCAACAACACGATGCCATTCCCCATCATAGTCGCCACGGTAGTGTCGAAGAACGCAACCGAGAAGCCCTTGGCGGGCGAGGCTGTCCCTCTGCAATCGGTCGTCTACGAAATTTCCCCCCTCGAGATTGGCAGCTTTGATCCCGATCTCGCGAGGTGCGTTGGCTCCTACGGCTTCCAGAATGCTCCTTAAATGCCACAAATAATTTATTCTTGTTTATCCGTAATCCATCAACAGCTTCATTCCCACCGAGCTGATGGGCACGGCCGCCGTCTCCGGTACGCCGGCGGGAGGGTCCAACAATCAAAGCTGCGTCAACAACTTTGACTTGGCCTGCTACGTCACGGGTATCTCGTCCAACATCTTCCACGCCTACAACGTCTCGAACGCCACGGCGTGGACGGCGTCCGTCTCGCCCATTTACCAACTCGTGCAAGGCATCAACTCGACCTTCGGGGCGGGCCAACAAGACGTCGCTCTGGACGTTGCTGCGGTCCCCAACCCTTTCCAGGGTGTCAGTGTGGCGACGTTCGAGGATGCCCGTCAGACGCTCCTCAGTCTCATCGATGGTGGTTTGGCCGGTGAGGTCGACCCGATCGCTCCGTTGGCGGCGCCCGCTCGTCAAATCGACTGTATCGTCGTCGCCGACGCGACTGCGGATTCGAACCAAAGCATGCCCACCGGCGCTTCTATGGTCGCGACCGAGACCCGATCGATGCTCTTGGCCAACGGTTCGATCGCCTTACCCCCTCTGCCCAACTCGGCGCAAACGTTCATCAGCCAAGGCCTCAACACGCGCCCGACCTTCTTCGGTTGTGGGCTTGCGCCGGCCAACTTTACGACCGCGAACGCCTCGATCGCTTCGGACTACCCTTTGATCGTTTACTTGCCCAACTACGACCCGACTGGTGTGACCAACACCTCGACCGGTCAAATCCAATACAACGTCTCCCAACAAGTCGCATTCCTCAACACGGCGTACGGCATCGCCACGCAAGGCAACTCGACCGAGTGGGGAACCTGCTTGCAATGCGCCGGTGTTGAACGCCTGCGCGCTCGTCAAGGTTTAAACAGGACTTCGACCTGCGAGGCTTGCTTCGTCAAGTACTGTTGGAACGGGACCGAGGCCGCGACCAACTCGACCTCGGGTGGTAATTCCGCCGGTGGTTCGGGAGGGGCTGCGAACGGCACGACCGGTTCAGGCGGAACGACCCCTAAGAGTGGCGCGATGGCGTCGTTCCAGAACGCTCCTGGAGTCGCGGCTCTCGTCGCTGTCGGCTTGGCCGCGTTGGTCTTCTAAACTTACGCGCCCAACCACGCGTCGATGGAGTGAGTATGGAGTTGACAGGGACAAGGAGATATGTAGTCATTCCAAAAGGCGAAAGATGTGGCCGTTGTTGTTCTCGGTTTGTTGGAAGTAGTAATGGTCAAAAAGGGAAGGAAAGAAGAGGGGATGTAGCGGTAATTATGAATTTATGAACGCACATGCTTGGGGTCCACTTTGTTGAATCGCAGACGTGCAGGTTTCGTTTGTGTGAGTCCCCGAGCAGTTTTCCTTCTCGATGCCACCGAGTCGACTCGTTCCAAAGGTCTTCCTGGCCGAGTCCAGACCGCTGTCTTGTTGCAGCCACTTCAATAATTCAATGATGTACCGAATACAGTTGAAGCATTGCATCTGGCGATGCTCTATCGTCACGCTGCAAGCACCCGACCGTCTACGCGAACTGCCTCGCACGCCGCCTCCCCCGATGTTGTCCTGCTTCCTTATCGCTTCTTCATGCTTGCTCGTCGACCGAAGCCTGTGCGAGTGGGAATATGTGGTGTTAGTTGACCTGTTCATTGATCAAGGCGCAAGGCGCACATGCAGGCCAAGAAGGCCAACGCACCCTTCTTGGGTGTGACCTTGCCTCGTCTCCTCCTGACCTCGAGGTCGATCAGCCTGCGTGAAGCGCGCGAACACAACAAGCACAAAGTCAGTCGACCGTAATGATGATGACGAGAACGAAGAAGGTCGCACCTCTGTTCCTCTGCAATGTTCCTCAACGCCAAACCAGGCACCTGCGCATTCAACTTCTTCCACCCCGAATACCTCTGGCCGTAATACTCCATCATCGAAGGACCCCTCAATCGAGCCTTGAGGATCTTGGATCCTGTACGAACGTTTTCCGGGTTGAAGGTCGTGGAGAAGATGCGACATCGGAGTTCGTCGAGCACGAGGAGACGGGCTCGCGAAGGGACAACGGAGGAGGTCGCCGAGGCGACGAGACGGGGTATTGTGCCGAACATGTTGGAAGGGGTGTTGATGTGCTTGAGCAGGTATAGGTGGGGGGGGGCTGCCGTGTGCTCGTGATGTGTGTGTGAGGCGAGAGGTCAGGTGGAGTGGATGCGCCACGCGCTCTCCTTTCCGCAAGCCAAATCGTGATTAGAACGTGCGTATTCCCCCCCCCCCCCCCCCCCCCCTTTGACTTTCCCATTTGTAGTCGGCCCGCCTGCGCACGACCGCAGTCAACAGCGCCGACGGAGCGTGTCAGCTGAGCTTTGGTGGAGCTTAGTGGGTTGCAGCTCTTCCCCTTCCAGGCCACAGCCCTCAACCCGCTCCCTCCCCCACCTCGGGTGCACCCACTCGAGCTTTTCCTCTTCCCCAACTTTTCGCCTTGAATCATGTGTAAGTCTTGTCGATGCGGTCGTTCTGTGCCGCGACGATCTTTCGTCGCGCGCACCGACCACACCCGACCACACCACACCACACCACACCACACCACACCACAGCGCGTCACCAAGATGGCCCCTTGGTGGCTTCGGTCGTACGGCCAACGGATGCCACAACAGAGATGCTAGTCCCCAATGATCTTTCTTGCAACTCGACTAACCCTGCCTTGCCTTCCACCGCTCGTTCGCCCGACGTTGAACGTTGATTGCTCTGCGCTGCTCGGTGGCTCGGTGGCTCCTTTGCCCCTTCGCAGGCGGAGTGCTTGGCGTCCTGCTCGCGAACCAGGCGAGCAACTCGGCTGGCGAACTCGCAGAAGGATTGCAGCTCTTGCAACATCGTGGGTATGTCGAGCGTCCAGATCCGATTTGCTGTTCGAAGAGCCTCGACAAGCACATGGCACCTGCGCTGACACGCTTGCGCGCTTCCTGTGCTGCTGACCAACGCGCACCAACGCGCACCAACGCGCCCTTGCAGCCAGGATGCATGCGGTATCGTCACGTGCGGGCCCAAAGGTCGCTTCTTCCAGTGCAAGTCCAACGGAATGGTCAGGGACGTGCTCGATGCCAAGTCCTTGTCCCAGTTGATCGGTTCGATGGGTGTCGGTCACGGTCAGTCGCTTCGAAGCAGCTTTCGCTCCCGGCTCGCTTCTCCCCGTCCCGTCCTCGAGACCGAGACTGATTTCTCTGCCGCCTCGATCCAATAGCTCGCTACCCCACCGCGGGATCGTCGGCGCACTCCGAGGCTCAACCGTTCTACGTCAACTCGCCGTACGGTATCGTTCTGGGACACGTGAGTCGAGTACTAACTAATCCTCCGCCGTTCGCCAATCAGCGCGCTGACAGCTCTTCTCGACCTCGTACCGCCACAGAACGGCAACCTGACCAACACGCAGCACTTGCGGTACTACCTCGACCACTACGCCCACCGACACATCAACACCTCGTCCGACTCTGAGCTCTTGCTCAACCTGCTCGCCGACGCCCTGCAAAAGACGGGCAAGTTCCGCATCGACTCGGACGACATCTTCCGTGCCCTGCGCGACGTGATGCACACCACCTCGGGCGCGTACGCCTGCGTCGGCATGATCGCCGGCTTCGGCATCGTCGGGTTCCGTGACCCCAACGGCATCCGACCCCTTGGCTGGGCCAAGAGAAAGAGCGAGACCATCCCCGGTGGATACGACTACCTCATCGCGAGTGAGAGCGTCGTCTGCGACGCGCTCGGCTTCAGCGAATGGGTCGACGTCAACCCCGGAGAAACCATCATCATCAACAAGACGGGCGTCGTCATCCAACAATGCATGCCCCCTCGCACTTTCGCGCCCGACATGTTCGAGTACGTCTACTTTGCTCGCCCCGACTCGGTCCTCGATGGCATCTCGGTCTACCGATCGCGCATGGCGATGGGCGACGCTTTGGCCGAAAACGCCCGCGCGCGCCTTGCCGAGGCCGGCATCAAGGTCGACGTCGTCATCCCCGTCCCCGACACGTCTCGCGTTGCTGCCCTGCAAGTCGCTCAAAAGCTCGACGTGCCCTACCGCGAAGGCTTTGTCAAGAACCGTTACGTCGGCCGAACGTTCATCATGCCCGGCCAAGAGATCCGACGTAAGAACGTGCGCCGCAAGCTCAACGCGATGGCGTTGGAATTCAATGCAAAGGTCGTCCTGATCGTCGACGACTCGATCGTGCGAGGTACGACTTCGAAGGAGATCATCCAGATGGCTCGGGACGCGGGAGCGAAGAAGGTTATCATGGCCAGTTGCGCGCCGCCGATCCGATACCCGAATGTGTACGGTATCGACATGCCCTCGCGCTTCGAGTTGGTCGCCCATGGTCGAACGGAGGAGGAGATTTCGCAAACGATCGGTGCCGATTTGACCATCTTCCAGACGCTCGATGACCTCGTCAAGTCATGCGGCCAGTTCAACCCCAACATCAAGGATTTCGACTGCTCCGTCTTCACGGGCCAGTACGTAACGGGTGGTGTCGACGAGTCGTACTTGGCCGGGTTGGAATCGCTGCGATCGGACAACGCCAAGATCAAGGCCAACGCCGCAGCAGGTCGACCACCGATGACGAACGTCAACGCCGCGAACCAAAAGGAAACGGGGGGCGCGCCCGTCATCGCGAATGAAGCCAGTGGAGTCGAAGGTGCTTCGGCCGTCGAGAACCTCGGGTCGAATGGGGCGAGTGTCGTAACGGCGTCGGGAGCGATGAATGAAGTTCACTCGGGTACGGGGGATGATGATTCTCAGGTGGTCGGCTTGACCAATGCGGGGCAGCATGATACAGAACACCCCGATTTGAGCGTCGGGTTATCCAACCTTGGCGAGCGGTGATCAAGGTTGGGGTCGGTATCACTGGTCGGGGTTATTATTTGTGCTCTCTGCTTGTTCTCTCGTCCTCTATAACAAGTCAGCACACCAAAAAGGAAGTCCGGGATGGGGTTTGTCCCTTCTCACAACCCTCAATTTCGACCTTCTTCGAATGTATTTTTTTAGCGGCTTTCACTCTTTGGTTCTCTATCTTTACCTCTTTTTTCTTGTCTATCTTTTCGCAAATTCAAAAGTAGAAAAGCTCGCACGATGGTGCTACTCAGTATGTCGATCGATCGCTTGTTCGTGTTTGGAGCGGGAAAAGTGAGGGAAGCTGAGAATAGAGAGCGAGGTGAGAACGCATCGAGACGTGGTGCTGCTCTCCCTCGCGCCTTTCATCGTCGACCGGACCTCAAATGCTACGACGATGGCTCGTCGCACCACTCAAACCCGCATTCCTTCATCCTAGCCTCCAGAGCTATCGCCATTCCTCGAATGAGGCCTCCTCCTCATCCCTCCCTTCAACGCCAACGACCACGACCATCACTCCCGATCGGCCCAAGGGAAAGAGCCGTACCCCACCCAAGAACCTCCAATTGCCGCCTTTCCCACCTCTAGTGGAAGGCGATTTGGAAGAGGAGTTCCTTCGAGGTACGTGTGAAGGGTCTTGAACCTATGCTGTGCCGGTACGAAGCCGGGAACCCATTGAGCACCACTCGAGGAACGAGTTTCATTGCTCAAAAGTGGGGGGCGACAACCCTCTGCTCGACTTGAGTCGGGAGTAGTCCTGACTCGAACTTTTTTTCCCTCTTTCACTTTCCCACTCCCAGGTCGTGGTCCAGGAGGTCAAGTCATCAACAAAAGTTCCATCCTCGTTAGTCTCTTGCACGTCCCGAGCGGTACGAGGGTCAAATGTCAAGTCAGCTATAATTTTTCTCCCTCGGGAGAGTCTTGATTCCGAAGAGGGACATTCAGAGCTGATTTTTTGGGGGGGCCGGTTCAATCGGTCGTGAAGGAAACGAGATCGAGGGAATCGAATCGGTTGATCGCGAGGAAGAGGATGCAGGAAAAAGTACGTTTTTCAATCTTAGTATCTTGGATAGCTCGTCCGAGGTACTGACTTGAACTCGCTTGTGAAAAAAGCTGGACGTCCTCTGGCACGGCGCGAGTTCGCGACAAGAGTTGAAGAGGGAACGGGAGAGGAGTAAGAAGGCGGCCAAGAAGAGGAAAGGTTTGAGGAAACGTAGAGAAGGGGAGGATGTTTCAGTGGAAGGGGCCGAAGCGCCAGAGGAAGGCGGCCAAGAGGATCTTTTGAGGAATGCCGAAGAGGCTGGGGGAGAAAAATGAGGACTTGGCCCTAACTTGTGTTGTACTCTTCGACGCGTGTGTTTACTATCAGTGTTGGATTGCATACGTGTCGTACATCATGAACGTCCCTTCAGAACCTGCGCTTGTTGACCTTTCCTCGTGATGTCGTATTATTCGATGGCCTGGAGGGTTCCTGTACCGTCGCGCTCCCTTTCCCAGGCCAGACGATGCCTTCCTCCTCGATCTTTTCCCTGAGGATCCAGAAATGCGTATCCGCCGCCTTCTTCTCATAGTTCTGCAACTTCTTCGTCGCCTCTTTCACACCCGTTGCCTTCGCCCTCTCCTCCGCCGTCGTCGTCGTCGTCGTCGTCGTCGTCGTCGTCGTTTCCACGCCCCTCAACTTGTCCCACTTGATCTTGGTCATCTTGACCACCTCCCCCTTCTCCAGCATCCCCGCCAAGACCTTTCTCTTCAAGTACGCCATCGACCACGTCCCATCCGTATCCCCTTCTTCGCGCGGCAGATCGACGTCCTGCCGTTGTTGCTTTCGCATGTGCATGATCGAGGACGAAGGACGGGTGTGGCCCATCAGGTAACGGTTGGGGAGCGGACGGGCGGGGAGCGAGGAAGGGTGGGTCGTGTGTACGACGTCGTAGAGCGATTGGGTCGTTAGAGGACCTGAATCGGAGTAGGGGGCCAAAGGTCGGGGATCGGGATTAGGGATTAGGATGGGGTGTCGAATGAATCGAGCGAGAGCAGCACTGACCTTGGGCGCGGAGAGCATCAGCGACGATCTTGGTCGCCTTGTGGCATAATGGTCGATGCGACATGCTTGCTCGTGAGCGACGAATGCGACAAGCGGTGTATGTGTGCTGGTCGCAGAGGCGTCGGGCAAGCGAGCGAGCGAAATGAATGGATCGGAAAGGCTCCGTTTGCGAAGCCGGTCGGGGAAGCGCGCCAGTAGTAGTAATGCAGTCTGATGTGATTAGCCCCGTCCATAATCAAGCTCGTCGTGGCTTTCAACGTCGTGCTAGTTCAACACCATTCTCACTGGATAGGTAATTTATTCTCTAATTTTTTGATTGCCATGAGTACGAAGCACGTATCTCGGGTTAGAGAGCATCCGACCTAGAACGACAGGGGTACCAGTTCCTGCGACTCGAGTCAGAATATCCGAAAGTGCTAAGCGTCGGCTACCTCAGCTAAGGCGGTGGTCTCCTTCTCCTCCAACGACAAGACGGGGATCTGTTTCATAAAAATAGTACTCAGACGCATCAGCACCGGCGCGTACCTCGACGACACCCTTTTTCCGTACTCACAAAAGCAAAGCTGACAACCGAAAGCGTGACACTGACGACCGAGACTCCAAAAGCTCCTTTCACAGCCATCGCGAACGCGTTCCTCGCCGCCTTCTCCAACTCCGGTTGCAGCGTCTTCAACACCGTCGAATCTTCCCGAATGGCCTTGATCAATCCCTCCGCCTCGGGTCCCGTTATCTCCTTCCTCAAGGCCGTGACGAGCAATCCTTGGAAAACGGCGGAGGACACACCAACACCGATGATTTGACCGGAGGATCTGAATAACCAGGTCGCGCCGGTGACGATGGAGATTTGGGATGGAGGGATGAAGGCCATCATGGCTGCGTAGGTCGCGGAGAGGGAGAACGAAAGCGCGAAACCGAAGGGGACGACGAGGAGCCATTTGAAGAGCTCCGGTGAGGAAGGGCGGAGGGATAGAGTCGAGTAGATTGACAAAGCTGTTCATGGAGATACGAGGTCAACATGTCAGTCGCTGATCAGATTGTTTTTCAAGAGCCTCGACTCTCACCTCCTATGACCGAAACAATCAGACCCGAGAGCCAATACCGGCCAGTCCGATGCACAAAGATCCCACTCGCGATACCACCCACAGCGGCAGCAGCACTGGTCGGCAACAGGTGAGCACCTGCCGTGCCCGCCGAAGTCGATTCAACAGCGAGGAAGTAGATTGGAAGATGGTACATGAGGGCGAAATTGCTGATCGCCATCAGGATCGTCACGGCCAAGACGAAGAAGGGGGTCCGCTGACGCAAGAACCCAAGAGGGAGGATCGGTTCTCGAGCGTGGTTGCTCTCGACGTAGACAAAGACAGCTAGAAAAATGGGCGTAAGAGCGGTCGAGATGATCACTCTGGGATCCGACCAAGGTAGAAGCTCGTTGTTACGCAGACTGAGAGACGTCAGAAAGCCGGCAAACGCGAAGAAGAGCGAAGCACACCCGCCAAAGTCGATTCGGGAGAGCGTCTCGCGTGTGGATCGAGACGCCGCGACCTCGACAGAGTACTTGATGAACACCAAGCCTCCAAGCAGAGTGCAGAGCAGGATGGGCACTACAAAATCGAGATCGCGTGGAGAGGAGAGGTTAGCGTCAGACGCAGCCCAAGGTACCAGAGCTCGGAGCGTGGTTCTGAGACCTGCCCTGAATGATGAACGCAGCTCGCCATCCGTACAGATCGCTAATGAAGCCACCAAAGGGTCCACCAAACGCGGAACCGGACTGATATGGGGATCAACAACGGGCAGCCGTCAGCTCGGTCAGGGATTTCCTTCGGCCGAAGGCTGGAGATGACTTACGGCCCAAACGACGCTCGAGACACCACCGATGAGCACGCGGTCCTTGAGTGAGAAAAGATCAGCGGTAATGACCGCACTAGTCGTCGTCATCCCACCTCCTCCGCACCCGGCTAAAAACCTTGCTGCGATCAACCAGGGCATACTCGGGGCTAAAGCGCATCCCAACGTCCCGAGCAAGAACAAGGTGATTGCGGAAGCGTTCGCGTAACGACGCCCGAGAATGTCGCAGAGTCGACCGTAGGAGGGTGTAAAGGTTAAAGATGCGAGGAGATACGACGTTCCCAACCAGGATGCTTGATGCGAAGCGTGCAAGTCGGCCGAGATCGGCTGGATCAATGAGGCGGTGACGGTCGTGTCGATCGAGCCAACGAAGACGGCGACGAATGTTCCTACGAGGATCGAGACCTTGTGCGAGGTCGCAAGGTCGACTCCTCTTGGCCTTTGATCGGCTAAATAGAGTGGGCTGCCATTGCTGGATGCTTGAGCAGCTGCTCCATGGTTCGGCGTGCCGCCGGAGCCGTTCCGCGATAGGCTCCGTGCAGGCTGGAGCAGCGAGGTTCGCTCTGTAGAAGTAGCACCACCGCTTTGAGGACCCGAACCAGACATGTTACCGCCGGGTTGAAGTCAGGTCGAGTTGAAGTTGACTCAGTCGCCGCGAGCTGGAATGAATCGGTTCCCAGTTTGCGTCGCAGCCCGATGGCATGATCAGCGTCGCAATAATGTGGGGGTCGACGAGAAGATGGCGTGCTGCCTTACATAAGCTTTTTGGAGCTCAGGCTGCGCTGCGCGATCGAGACAATTCAGCGGTGCTTTTATCAGACTGCTTGGTGTTCTGGTAAATTCATAAAAAATATGGAAACTGACAGGGCGGTGAACAAACTGTAAGCCAACCTCAGATTCTGTTTAGTGCCCGGAACCCCTGTCCCATCACGCCGCTTGGCGGATCCGCTTGGTAATCACTTCGACTCTCCCGTACACACCGATCTGTTCGTTCAGTAGTATAATCGCGATCAAATCCTTGCATCACTGCTAAACAAAATTAGCCGCCGAGTCTGGAAGATGAACCCTCACGTGCCAAACCTCCTCCGGTCGCCAGCGTCTACTGTGGGTCTATGCAGCCACCGCCACCGCCGCCCGCGGCACATCCTTCTGCTCCAAGGCCAGGGAATGTACAGGGATCTGTTTGAAGTCCGTTCAAGAAGAGGATGCTCAGATTCAACTCGGTCCAATCTGATTCTTGTAGACGGACTCACGAGTGCAAAGCTTATCACTGTCAAGGTCACCCCTACCACAGCGACTCCGAAAGCCCCCTTCGTGGCGTTAGCGAACGCCTTCTTCGCGGTCGCCTTCAATTCTGGATCCAGCGTATTGAGGAACATATAATTATCTCTCAATCTATGAATTGTTTCATCCGCAACCGACTTCGGTAATTCCTCCCTCAGCGTCGACACAAGCAAACTTTGGAAAACGGTCGCAGATATTCCGAGTCCAATGATTTGTCCTGCCGATCGGAAGGCCCATAGAGCCCCTGAAATGATCGGGATTTGAGTTGGAGGTATGTAGGCCATCATGGCGGCGTAGGAGGTTGCTTTAGCGACGGAAGGAGCGATACCAAAGGGTATTACGAGGACCCATTTGAGCAGCTCGGGTTGGGAGGGTTGGAGGAGCAGAGTCGAATAGGTCGCCAATGCTGATCGGATGACACCGAGATAAGAGGCACAAAATGTATCGCACTCAGTTCTCTGCTCTCATATGATGATGTTAGAATTCCCAAGGAGCCGAGTCTGATTGAAAATGCGACTCACCTCCGACGATCGAAACGGTCAAACCCGCGCCCCAGTAGCGTCCCGTTCGGAACATCCATATCCCACTCGTCAGACCGCCGATTGCAGCAGATATGCTCACAGGTAGCAGGTGTGCCGCCGCGTTGACTTCGGATCTCGATTCGACGGTCATGAAGTAGATCGGAAGATGGTGCAGGAGCGCCGAGTTAGTGATGGCAACGAGGAAGGTGACCCCTAAGGCAAAGAACGGCGTCCTGGGCTTAAGCAAGCCCAGGGGGAGAATCGGTTCCCGGGCTATGTTGCTCTCGATGTAGAAAAAGGCGGCAAGAAACACGGGCACGAGTGCTGAGGTGAAGATGACCTTGGAATCTGACCAGAGTAGGTCGTTGTTGAGCAAGCCCAGGGAGACGAGGGATGTGCCGAAGGCGAGGAGGAGGGTCGCGCAGCCGCCAAAATCGATCCGAGTGAGCATGTTCCAGCTGGATAGGGCTGGTGGTATGTCGGTAGTATAGCGGATCAAGCACAGGCTTCCGACGAGAACGGCGACTAGTACCGGAACTGCGGGTGACGAGAAGTTAACGTAAGTCGATAAACTCCTCAGCTGTTGTCTCTCGGGCTCGATCACTTGCCCTGCACCATGAACGCAGCTCGCCATCCAAAGAACCCATACATAAGCCCCCCGAGAGGACCGCCTAGTCCTGCTCCGCACTGCCTCGGGTGAAAAATATCGCGCCCGTATCAGTCAGCGTGTCGAGGGTTTCGGGATGACAAGCTTGAGACTCACAGTCCAAAACACGCCAGAGATACCCCCGTAGAGTAACCGCTCCTTCAGTACGAATAGGTCCGCCGTGAGAACCGCGCTGGTGGTCATCATGCCACCATACCCGCAACCAGCGAGTATCCTGGCCCCGAGTAAATGAGGCATGCTCGGTGCTATTGAGCATCCCAGAGTCCCGAGCAGAAACAACAGCACGGCGGAAAAGGCGGCCTTTCTTCTTCCGACGATGTCGCATAGTCGCCCATAAAATGGAGTGAAGATTAAACTTGATAGTAAATAAGAAGGCCCGAGCCAACCAGCTCGATGGTGTGGGCCATCGCGCAAGTCGAGCGCGATGGGTTGGATCAGCGCTCCGGTGATGGTCGTGTCGACCGAGCTGAGGAAGACGGCGACGAAGGTTCCGGTCAAGATGGCCAACTTGTGCCATCGAGGTAAATCAATCCCAAGTGGTAGTTCGTCGGGTATCGGAGGGTGGCCATAGTCGTTGGAGCTGCTCAGACCGCTCGGCGGCAATGGTCGAATCGTCCCGAATGACCGGACCGGTTTCGGTGAGGACTCCCACCCATGCCGAGCCGTCGGCAGCCCACTTTGCAAGAGGGGCGTACGCTCCGAGGTTTCAGGCATCTCCTTCTGCACCAGATCACTCTCGACGCATTGAATCTTGAGAGAATTGGTACCAGGTGGGGAGCGGAGTTCAACCTCGGAGCTAAGGAACTTGTTGAGGCCGAGTCTAAGCTGATCGGAAATTATTGGATCTGGACCTGCCACCGACGAGCCGACGAGCCGACGAGCCGACGGAACTCGGACCTGTTCTCAGACTGTCAAAGTTTGGCCCGCTTCGACTGCGTTCAACACGACCTAAATTGTAGTTAGCACTACAGTAGGTTGCGTTAACGATATCGCCCTAGCACCTCAGAAGAAAGACTTGAAGCATACATTAGCTGTAGCCTTCACCGTCCGGCAGATTTTCATCGGAGCGCATCGCCGGTGGCCGCGGCACAGGCCGTCTAAAACACCGAGGTCCCAATCGGGCGATCTTTCCGAGGTGAATAACCGATCGACGCCGCAGCGGTGACCAGGCATCATCGCGACATGCCATGCAGAATGAACTGATAAACATACGACATAGCTGTTTGGATTCGATGGCGTCGATGGCGTCGATTTCGTGCGAAGCGCTGTAGTAGACATACTCCCGACCGAACGACAGGCAGATGAAAAGGAGACGAGACCCCTGTCTCGGATGCGAGCCGCGGCTCCAATCCCGTGGGACCAAGTAATCTTTTGTGGGGTTCTCTGATATGTGAATCCTGTACAGGTAATTTTGTCACTCAAGAGCGTTTAGGCTCAAACTCTGCCTACTTTCCGACTGCAGATGTGCCAAGGTGGGTCTTGCGTGATCGACGATGACGAGCTCGACTGCAGTGGGCCTCGTCCCGCTCCGGCAACTCGCATGAGGATGCCAGGTGACGGTGCGGTAGCTACTGCACTTCGTGTCCTCTCCGCTCTTGACTCCCCTCACACTGTCGATACTTCGTGACCGTGATGAGGTGTACTTTTCCGTCACTGTTGGCATCATTGCTGGCGGCGCTGCCGCCCGTCGCCCGAACGGCTCCGTCAAGTGGGGCACCGGCAGCAGGACAAGTCCAAGGCGCTCAAGGCGAACCGACGCGACCCAAGGCCCACCCCAACATCGTCTTCATCATCGTTGATGATCAAGATGCGGTACAAGACTCGATCTCGACCATGAGTGCGGTCCAGCGACTGCTGGTCCAGGAAGGCACCTCGTTCGAGCGCTTCTTCGCGCCTATCTCGGTGTGCTGCCCTTCGAGGACGTCCTTCCTAAGGGCCCAAGCAGCGCACAACACCAACATCACTTCGGTCATGGCACCTTGGGGTGGCTGGGAGATCTTCAACGAGAAGGGATACAACAGCCAGTGAGATCATCCAGAATTCGATACAGCCTTCGGACGTTGAACTGACTGCTCGTCTTGCCGCCTCAGTTATCTCCCAAGCTTCCTGCAAGAGGCCGGATATTCGACGCGATACGTCGGAAAACTGATGAATGGGCATACCGTGGACAATTATGAGAGCTTAACTCCCGCTGGCTTCACGGGTGAGTTGGCTTCAAAGAAAATCCTGTCCGAGATCTCAGAATTCCTGACAGCTACATGTTCTATCTCCCGTTTACAGATGCCGAGTTCTTGCTGGACCCTCAGACGTACAACTATTGGAATGCGTCTTTTGGTCGCGTCGGCTCGCCCATACACTATCACCCCGGATCGTATTCGACGGACCTAGTGAAGGAGAAAGCGCTGGGTCTGATACGCGATGCAAGTCAAGAGGACAAGCCCTTCTTCGTCGGTAGTGAGTATACGAGACATCACCATTCACCAAGCTTGGTCGTATAAGGAGTATTCTGACACTTGCACTGCTCGGCTGCAGTCGCCCCTATCGCGCCTCACTCACACATCGCGACCGAATCCCACTCGCTCGGCGCGATCCTGTTTGACGTCCCCCAATCCGCACCTCGTCACGCCCATCTCTTCAAGGACGTGACCCTCAACTACTCACGAGCCTCTCACAACCCATCCTCCCCGAGTGGTGCTTCATGGGTTCGTCGACTCAAACGACTGAATCAGACTCAGGTCGAGTACATCGAAGAGTTTTACCGACAACGTCTGCGCGCCTTACAAGCCGTCAACGAGCTGGTCGAATCCGTTGTCCATGAGCTCGACACGCTTGGCAAGCTGGACGATACGATCATCATCTACACCTCGGACAATGGATTCGAAGCGAATGGTGGCCATCGGCGCAACCCTGGGAAGACTCTACCCTACGAAGAGGACATTCGAGTTCCCCTCGTCGTTCGAGGACCGGGAGTCGCCAAGGGTTTGGTCGATAGTAAATCAGTTCTTTCTCTGGCGGACTTGGGGGCCACGATCATGCATCTGGCTGGCGCCGAGTCGGACTATGAGCACGATGGCTCGCTTGTACCTTTGACCCAAGCATTGCGGCAGGTTGTGGAGAGGGAAGGCATCAAGCAATATCATTTGGCAGAGTACTGGGTGGAAGGGATAGAAGAAGGGAAATATGGTGGTCAGTTTGAGAGGTGTGGCCAGACCGTTTCCAGGCGAACTGACCTATCCTGACAACGTATCCGCAGGCAAGCTTCGGCTCAACCAAACCTATCGCGCGATCCGAATCGTAGAGGGTGACTCACTCGACCTGAGCTACGCTGTCTGGTGTACCGGCGAGCACGAGATCTACGACCTCCTCACCGACCCTGACCAAATGCACAATTTCGCTGAGGTGGAGTCGCCATCGTTGGAACTGCAGCATCTTCGCTTTCGGTTGGATGCGTTGTTGCTTGTGCTTAAAACTTGCGTTGGGGAGGTGTGCAAGAGGCCTTGGAAGGAGATTTTCCCCCAAGGCAATGTTGGGTCGTTGAAGGAGGCACTCGACGAGAAGTTTGACCAGTACTTTCGCCAGCTGCCGAAGGTTGCGTATTCGGTGAGTATACGTCAAGTTCGGCCATTGCGCATTGAGCAACGCTGACGAAGACCGTATTCCGCTCTTCTTATTTTTTTCTCCAATGACTTGTGAACGCCAGAGGTGCGAGTTGGGGTACCTTCGCGAGCTCGAATATCCATTCTGGTCTAGAGACCTAGCGTTCTCCCAAAGTGGTTCCGATGGACTTAGCATGCAGGCCACATAGAACCAGTGGGTCAAGCTGGGAACGGCCTGGCATGTAGTTTACGCAGAAGTTTTAAGATGAAGTTTTACGATTTGAGGAACGCAGATGCGCTGTCTCATGGTGCTCTGTTTCTCATGGATGTCGGAACTGCTGGTCTCGAGACTTGACTTTTTTGCATAAAGTACTTGAAGTTTGGTCCCCTCCATCGCTAGCCGCCGCTGCCGCCCGCGTTGCCGTCGCCTGGCCCCCTGGGCTCCCCTGGCCTGCCCTCGCCAGTCCCTCGCCCCACATCAGCGCGGTTTTCCGCCGTCGCGGGGGCCACGCGGTTTTCCAGTCGCCCACCACCACCTCCAGTTTCAACTTCCCACTTCAATCCACCGCAATCATGGGATGGGAACACGTTTGGCTCCTTGACGGCTATCGTATCCCCGAGATCGGCTACGGCTCTTGGCTTATCGGATCCGGATCGACTGTTGTAGATCAAGTAAGTACAGACATGGCGCCCGGCCCTCTGGAGGTGACGCCATCGTGTGAACTAATCAATCTGGGCTTTGTGGGTCTGCTCTCGCTCGTTCTTGTTAGGTCGAGCAAGCGCTTGAGACGGGGTTCAATCACTTGGAGTTAGTTCAAAGGTCTTTCGCTGGTCATGCATACCAGGAGCACAGGACTGGAACTGTAGTCCTGCCAGGGGACGATGTGGAGGGACTTGGGACCGGATGGCGCCCCCACACCAGCTCGATCGTGATCGGTCGTCGGATGACCAACCTGAAAACCGCAAAATTCTGACTCTGGCCCGACTCATGGACTCTCCCCAGTACCGCGCAAATCTATAGGAACGAATCCGAGGTAAGTGGTGTGACACTTTTTCATACCTTCATCTACCAAGTCGTATATGTATACTGACGAAAAGCTTTAACTCGCATCAGGTCGGCGATGGCCTCAAAGCGAGCGGTCTCGAGAGGAAGGACGTCTGGGTCACGACCAAGTGGTCAGTCAGGGATCCGCTTCTTAGTTCTAAGGTGACCTGACCTGCTGACTGGGGCAACGTCCTCCCCTGACTCAGGAGTGGCAAGGACGGCAAGGGTATCCGAGCGAGCATCAACGAATCGCTCGAATTCGTCAGTTCTGCATTGAGATCACCTGAACAAAAGCGTAACGACACTGAAAGGATGTATACTCTTCCGCGGTTTAGCTGAAGCTCAAGTATGTCGATTTGTACCTCATCGTAAGTTGATCTTCTTCTTGCCCTCACTCAGGGGCTCAGAATTTGATGTCGTGGTGGACTGACTTGATGCGACTACTTTACCTCACGACGTGTAGCACTCCCCACGACTCGCGAAAGCCGATCCGGTCGCAGCATGGGAAGAAATGCTCGTCTTGAAGAAAGAAGGGCTTGCTCGTAAGGTATCACCTCGAGGGTTACAAATTCAAAGCCCAGTGCTGATGAAAGCTCGAGCTTTACCACTGTTTGTTCTCGCTACCAGATTCTGTCGGCGTCTCGGTAAGTCACAACCCTAATAGTCTTCAAGCTCCTCCCTGCATGTACTGAACCCAAATTCCGTGCATTGGACAGAATTACGAGATCAAAGACCTTGAAGTGCTGCGTGAAGCGGGCCTGGCGACACCTGTCGTCAACCAGATCCTGCTTCACCCCTACGTTTACGACAACCAAAAGGCGTTGTTGGCCTACCACGAGCAACAAGGGATCGTGACCGAGGCCTACTCGAGTCTCTACCCCCTGACCCATCAATCCGGCGGTCCGCTCGACAAGCCCCTCCGCAAGATCGCCCAGGCTCATTCGGGTGAGAAGGTCGAGGTTACGGAGGCCGAGGTCCTGTTTGCCTGGGCGAGGAGCAAGGGAGCGGTGATCGTCACGTGAGTTAAAGGGTTGCTCCACCGTTCCATTCAATCAGATATCTGGAGACCCTCCACTTTTGATCTCCAGCATTCGAGGACTAGCCAGCTGAATATGTCTTCGCTCGAATTCTCTGCCAACCAGGACGACACGCTCGAAGGAACGTCTGCATGCCTACCTTCGCGCGGGCGACTTGGAGCTGACCGAGAAGGAGATTGCTTCGATCGACTCTGCCGGATCGCAGCTCAAGGCGTGGCAGCGTTGGCAGTACGCCAAGCGAGCGGTGGCCTTGGTTGCTGGATGTGCGGCCGCGCAGTTCGTTTACACGGCTGTTCGCGCGGCAGCGTAGGGATCTTTGTAGACACTCTTGGATGGACAAATGAAAACGAGTTTTGGTGGAGGCTCTTCGTCGGTGGTAAAACAGACTGCGCGGATGGCGCTAGCACAAAATCAAGTCAGAAAAGCTGGCAGAAGCGCAACCCCGCGGGTTGCGCGCACTTTGGCGGTTGGCTTGCTTCCACAACCATCAGCGCTATCGCCTTCCCTCCCCGTCGCCACGAGTGATCCTCCTTCGCCGTCAACGCGTGTACACGCATCGCATCTGCCTCGGACGTCGTATTGCGATTCGAGTGGGGTTCATTCCAACCCACCCACCACACTACGGCAAGACCAAGCCCCCCTGGACACAGGCGCACCCCCGTTTGCTCAGACTTGAGATCACTGACACTGCTCCCCACGCCCCCCTCCTCCCCTTCTTGAAATGTCGTCGACCGCTTCCACGACCCCTCGTTCGACATCGGGTCGCAAACGATCCTTGCCGCCGTCTTCGTCGCACACCACAGACGCCCGTAGGGACCGCGACCGCGACCGCGACCGCAAGCAGGACCGTGATCGAGAGCGACGGCACCGCGAACGTGACCATGACCGACACGATCGCGATCGACGACACCGAGACGACGACGGCTTGCCATGGTGGGAACAGGACCGAAGGGGAAGTACAAGGGACGTGAGCGATCGACGACGTGGACCCAATCACGACTGCGACTCTCGACGCGCAACAATCGATCGCCACAATCGACGAGATGCCCCGAGTGATACTCATGGTCACGGCCATGCCAGAGACCAGGACGAGAGGTATCGTCATGTCCCCTCTTCCTCCTCCTCCTCGCATGCTAGGGACAGATCCCATACTGGCGCCTGTTCGCACCGGCAGGGGGACCACCGCAACGGATTCCGTCGCGAAGGCAGTTATGGTCGAGCGCACGGACAGTTTTCGCCCCCTCCTGCGTCCAGGAATGACGTGGAGTAAGTCAAACTCTCTCTGCACAGCTCAGATTTCTCAACGGTCGAATCGAAACGATCCCGCGGTGAGACTTTGGGCTCGGTTGTATGGCCCGGACTGAGCTGACTAGACCCCGTCCTCACAGCTTCTTGAACTACTCGGATACGCCAGTGTCCGCCAAACCCCCTGTGGATGGTAGGTCTCGCCTTGAAAGCCATGCACCGACCCCGATCCCGTCGACCCTCCCTTCCGCCCCGGAACCGACCTCCACGGCACAAGTCCCGACAGAGAACGCACCCCGCGAACCCGAGCCCGAGCTCGAACTAGAGGTCGCGGCGCCCGTCGACCCCGAAGCGATCATCGCCGAGCGACGACGACGACGCGCCGAGATCTTGGCCAAGTACTCGAATGCCAACAACTCGACCGCCGCGAGTGAGGCATCGACGCCTGTTGCCGAAAGGGTCTCGACTCCCGAAGTCGGCGATTCGGAACAGCGCGAGTTGAAGCGGGTCAAGCTGGGGACTGGTGAGTGCATCTAAGCTCCCTGCGAATCACACTGGCTCCGGTACCTAATTCAAATTTGAACGGCGTTTACAGCTTCTCCTGCGCCCTCCTCCGATGTGACGTCAAACACAATCCCGAACACGGCAGCAGGAGCAGCGGACGAATTCAATCTCGTGAAGGACGCCGATGCCGATGCCGCCGCTCGAGCAGCGGAGCAGGATGCGACCGCGCATATCGAAGGAGAGGAGGAGATCTCTGCAGCCGACTACAACCCCGATGAGGATCGCAAGAATGATGATCGTCGACGAGCTGAACGGGTGACCAAGCCGACAGCCACCAAAACAGAGGACCAGGCTGGGGTTGATCTCACTCAAGGGGCGGGCAACGACGGTGATGAGGATGATGAGGATGATATGTTTGCGATCGGGACCAAGCCGTCGAAGCCCGTCGACGAAGATGAAGAAGATGCTGGGAAGCCAGTCTTTGTTCCTGTATGTTTCCCTATGTCCTTGTGCGATGCGATGATGTTTCCTGCTTGCTGATTCTCTTCCGCGCGGTCTTTTTACAGGTCATCCATCGCGAGTACAATGCAGACGCTGGTCAACTGGCCGACAACTTTGACGATGCGGATGGGTACTACAAGCTGATCATTGGCGAGCTGCTCGACAATGGGCGCTACCACGTCCAGGCCAACCTCGGCCGAGGCATGTTCTCCTCTGTCGTACGCGCCAAAGATAGCGAATCGACGACAGGCGAGGACGTGGCGATCAAGATCGTGCGTTCGCAAGAGTCGATGTTCAAGGCTGGTCTGAAGGAGGCGCAGATCCTACGCAAGCTCCAAGAAGCCGATCCGGAGGACAAGAAGCATCTCGTGCGGCTGCTGAGGACGTTCGAGCATCGAGGGCATCTTTGTCTCGTCTTTGAGAATTTGAGCATGAACTTGCGAGAAGTCGTCAAGCGGTTCGGCAAGGATGTCGGGATCAACCTACGTGCTGTGAGGGCGTACGCTTCGCAGATGTTTTTGGCGCTGGCATTGCTCAAAAAGTGCGACATCATGCATGCCGATATCAAGCCTGATAACATCCTGGCAAGTCCACTGGATTACACTATATAGGGAGATGCGTGACTGATGGTTGGCTTCGTCCCATTACAGGTCAACGAGTCCAAGTCCGTGCTCAAAGTCTGCGATTTGGGATCGGCGTCTGATGTCACCGAGAATGACATCACGCCCTACCTCGTCTCTCGATTTTATCGTGCGCCTGAAATCAGTTAGTCGCTTCTCACAAAGCTCACAGCACGAGTTGAGGAGTCTGTACTGACCCTCTAATTTTTTTGCTTGCAGTTCTGGGCATGACCTATGATTGCTCTCTCGATACCTGGTCAATTGCGTGCACCCTTTATGAGCTGTACACTGGAAAGTGAGCAAATCTGGCTCCTCCCTTGCCCCCCGACAAACCCGTGAACTGATTCCGCTGTCGCACAGAATCCTCTTCCCCGGGCGGTCAAACAATCACATGCTATTGCTCATCATGGAGCTCAAAGGCAAATTCCCGCACAAGCACTTGAAGAAAGGTCGTTTTACGGACCAACACTTTGACCCTTCGTTGAACTTCATCTCGGTCGAAAAGGACGGTAGTTCCCTCAAGACCGTCGCCTTATCATCCAAAGCGGCGCATGATTTGAGATCGAGGTTGATGCCCCCTAGTGTGATCAAGAAGTTGAAAGAGGACGAGGCGAGGTTGCTGGGTCATTTCGTCGACTTGTTGGACAAGATGCTGAGCTTGGAACCGAGCAAGAGGCCTTTGCCGAAGGATCTGTTGAGCCACCCGTTCATAAGGGGTTGATGCACGAGCGGTCCGGGGTGCAATACTAGTCGCGTGTACATTGCCTGCCAGTGCTGGGTTGTCCAGCTTGTCCTACTATCCGCGGAGGTTCTGGTCGCTCTGCGGTGGTGAGAACCTTGGCGTGGCCTCCCGGCCTCGTTGTCTGAGAGCAATTTGGCTCCATGGGCGCGCGAGCTCCGAGAGCTTGGCTTCCTACCAGTCACAAGAAGCCTTCTTACCGGTTGGTTCGTCCGCGCAGATCCTCGTCTGTATCCACATTTTTTAGCTATTTGTGCCAAGTGCCTGCGGTCATACATACCAGTGGATCCGATTATGGAATCGCTGCAGGGGGTGGTGGTTTTCGTTATTGCAAACAATTGTTGTACAACAAGTGTTGAGTTCGACTTCAGAAGGAGAGCTCGTCACACCTCAATCAAACCCGAGCATGTTCCTCATCCTCTCCACATCCACCACACCTTCGACGCCCTCGTCCTCTATACTTCGCAGCACAGCTTGACCAACCGCATCGACATGAATAGGCGGGATCGCGAATAGACTCGCCATAGATTGGAAAGCTGAAGGTAACTCGTCCCCTTGCGCATCCCAACGATGTGCTTGGAGCGGCGATCTCGCATCCGGACCTGCAGCGAAGAGCGTGTCGAATCTCAAAGGCGGCGGTATCATTCGATGGATCTTACTCGTCGCTTCGAACAAGGTCGCAGGTAACGTCGTCGCCGGCGCCAAATGAGGATGATAAATCAACGAAGGGCGAATGAAGATTGGGCGCAAGACCCGAGTCGAGCGCCTATTTGCGGAAGGGGGTAATTCGGCTGCTGCTTCGTAGGTTGATGTTGAAGGTTGGGAGAGGGAACTGATGAGGGATTCGGCCTGACGCTTTGTGGAAATGTAGCGTGAGGGAACGAAGGGACGGAAGATGTCCTCGGCGGAAATGTAGACGAAGGGAGAACGGCGGGCGGGGGAGCTGGATGGAGGAGAGGAGTTGACAAAGGCCGAGGCCATGGTGACGGCTAAATCGAAACAAATGAAGACGTCAGCCTTGTGTGGTGGTCCATCGCGAGGATATGGACCGTGAACTGACCCGCATCGCGATTGATCCTCTCGTAACTGCGTTCATTCGCGCCTTTCGCAAGTGGGTTCCCGCGTGAGCCCAAGACATTGTCGACTATTCCCCTCAAGACACCGAACGGGTTTGCCTGTCCGTTTTCCTTGTAGTTCGTCTCGAGCAGTGTCCCCAGCGTGGATACGACGGCTGTGCAAGATGGCAGCAGGCTTGCGTACGTCGACGGATCGAACGGCGTTCCTGCTCTCCATTCGACCTGTCCAATGCGACGACCCATCAGCTGAAAGGAAGGTCGACGTCGTCTCGCAAACGACCTGTGGACAGTCGTAAAGCTGACCTTGCTGGCCCAAGTCGGCTCATGCCCCGCAGGTGTGACGAACGGATTACCCGATCGCGAGAGGGACACGACGTTCCATCCTCGGGCGACAGCCGCTTTGGCGACCGACGATCCGACGAATCCGTTCCCTCCTACGATGAGTAGCTTGGGGATCGTCCTGGACATGGGGAGAAGCGATGAAGTTTCGAGGGGTGGAACGGGTGTCGAGATGAGGTGAGCGAGGTCGACGGGTTCAAGTCGATTCGAGGATCGACGCGAGTTCGGCCAAGCTCGGATCGACCCGGATCGACCCTGATCCGGACCCATGATTCGATTCCATATGAAATCAATTTTAAAAGTCTGCTGCCGCGGTATCGGTAGAGTGTCCGTTCAGGTCACACCCTTCTTTCACTTATCATGCATAGCACTCGAACTAGGCCAGTTCTAACCTAGCGGTGCCAGATGGTCACAAATCCTTTCGGTGCGGTGCACGGCGTGCATCGAGACGATTCGACTGCGACCAGGCAAGGCAATTTCATCGCCTCCATCAAGAATCAAGAAAACAAAGTAGAAGGGCTATGGGAAAGAACCTTCCAGGTCTTGGCTCAGTGTTCCTGGAAGATTCGGAAGCGCTACTGCCTAAATTGAGATGGCTCCTCGGAAGCAGAAATCGTTTCGGACCGACCTCGGAGGGTGCAATGCAGTGGCATCAGCGGTTTTCTGCTCCTTCTCTCCGTACTGAAGGATCTCTACTTCTTCCAGGATATTGCTTTGTGACCCAACGAACACTTTTGCGGTGCCTTGCAGCGAGGTTACTCCCCTGCCTTGAAGAAGTCGATCGCAAACTGAGAAAGTCGATCCCCTCAAGATGACGACGAGCCTGTGAGTCGGGGAAAGCACCCGGTCAGAGTCTGATCGCACGCGCTCGTTTTTCTGCACCTGACCGAGTCCATCTACCCCACTACAGCGAACACGTCGTTGCAGATCCTCTTATTTCCCATCCTAATACAGCACACGCAATGGTCAGTAGGATCCTGGCCACTCCATCCAGCTCTGAACAGCTCCCGGCCGAGCTCCACGGGGCCCGACGCGCTAGTGGTCGCCGCGTGCCCCTCGCAAAAGCCCGACCCCGCTTCACTTCGCCCGAGTCTCCGCCACTGACTTGCATATCGCATTCCTTCATGTGCACAGCCCATGGAATCTCGTCGTCGTTCGAGTGTCCGCAGGCCCAGTATCGCCGCGGACCGCTTGGGTCCCATGGTCAGTGGGAACCCGGCCCATCGAATCGGCATCACAGCCCCAGTACAGCGCCTTCCGTAAACTGATGTGGACCCTCCTCGGCACGTCCTCCTCCCTCAGACGATGAGCAAGCCGCCCAAGGCCGGTGGCAACTTCAACCTCGTCTTCGTCGGAGCTGGTGTGAGTGCCTCTCCCCATCCGGAGCGTTCATTGGCTCCGTTGCGCACCTTGGGGAACACGTTACCGGTTGACCCCTGGCCGAAGGGGCATATGCCTCCTACGGAACAATGCTGACCCAAAAGTCTTTTCCAACCTCTCAACAGAACATCAACTTTGTACGCATCCGCTTCAGTGGGCACGGCCCCGCTTCATGCCACGACACCGCCGCCGCGAAGGAGGTCGATTCGTCTATGACGTAATCAATCACCTTTGGCGTCTGGCCAGCGATAACTGCCCAACGGTTGCCCCGGGGCCACGTCTGGGAGTCCGCGATATGAAGTGAATGTGCTGATACTTCTATGCTTTTATCCGGACCGTCCTCCTCTGCAGGGAAGTGACGAAGGTGCGCGCTACAGGCAGCCCCTATTGACGATCAGTTCCAGACTGATCGCTGCGAACGACCTTCACAGGACCTTGGGACCACTCGTTCCGACTTGAGCACAAGGTTAGTTCAGACCGCGAATGAAGAAGAACTGACAGTTCGTTGCTGATATGCCGCGCACTCCTTCAGCTCGGGCCCCGCCTCAAAGTCGTAGCCATCATCGACCCCAACGCCGCGACCGCCGAAGCCGTTCTCGACCGTAAGCGTTCTTCGTTCGTTGTCTCGGCCTATCAAGACACGCGCATCTGCAAGGATCTCGATGAATTCGTCTCGACCATGTCCGAGGACGAGCGACCCCACGCCTTTATCGTCGGTTCGCCGCCCGCTTTCCGTGGAAGTTTGCAGCCCGGAAAGGATATCGAGGTTCAGATCTTGAAGGCATTCCCCAACAAGACACCTGCTGTGAGCTTACGTTCCACCGATGAAGCTAGTAGTACATAGGATTCTGACAGCGGGCGTATGTGCTCAGCTTTTCATCGAGAAGCCCATCTCAACCGGCAGCGTCGAGGATGCCGTGGAGGTGAGCCGCATGCTCGTCGACAGCAAGACCGTCGTCTCCGTCGGCTACTTTCTCCGGTACCTCAAAGGTGAGAATGGCTCCAACAGGCAGAGTGACCACGAGATTGACCAGACTCTTGCGTACCACGACTCCAACTCACAGTCGTCCAAAAGATGCGCTCCATCATCGAGGACAACGACCTCCACGTCATGGCGACCGTCGCGCGCTACATCTCCTCGTACGCCAAGATCGCCAAACCGGCTTGGTGGATGAAGTCGCGTGATTGCGGCCCCATCGTCGAACAGGCGACGCACTTTATCGATCTGTCGCGCTACTTTGGTGGTGATGTCGAGATGGACTCGGTTCAGGCTCATGCCCTTGGTCAGTCGAGGAGCGGGACATGAGAGCAATCAGGAATGGATATAGACCAGAACTCATTTTATTCTTTGCATCAGAATGGTACGAGGAAGCTGGAGAACTTTCCGTCATTCCTGTCGACGAAGGCAAGATCGCCGAGGATGACCGTATTCCTCGTGTCACGAGTGCGACTTGGTAAGTTGCCAAGCCATGAAACTGATATTCGCACGACGTTTCACTGACTTGCAGTCGATTACTTTTCGCAGGAAATACAAGACGGGAGCTGTAGGATCGCTCACCCACGCCTTGGTTCTCCAGGGTACTAAGTACTCGACTGAGCTCGAGATTTGTACGTTCAAGGTTACTCAGTTCTTAACGAGGACAACATAGCTGATTTCGATGTCTTCTCGAAACTTTGGTACTAGACGCCGATGGATGTAAGACTTCGGTGATCGGCGTGTCCGAACGGTGGATGGTGATTGACGATGCCCTCTTCTCTCCCACCTCAGACCAATTGCGCCTCATCGATCCCTACAACGCCCCTCAGCTTCGCGTCCGGTGAGCATTCACCCAAGAAAGTATGGCACCTTTCTGAAACTGACCTGTGATCCCGCACTGCCTTCAGACACCCCGGTGTTGACGACGAGGAGGTGCACACCTTCTCTGGTGACGACCCTTACTTTGGCCAGGTGCGTTCTGGCCTGGAAACTCAAGACAGAGAGCAACAAGGCTGACAGGCGCTTTCTGAATCTCTGGATCACAGATGCAAGCCTTCATCGATGCCGCTGAGGACGACCAAGGGCCTGTCCCTGCCAGCGCGATCGTCGATGATGACGAGTCGATCGAGGTCCTTTCGAGCTTTGACGATGCCGTCAAGTCGTATGCTCTGTAAGTACCGCCAATCAGGGTGTCAAGTTCAGCTTACGAGAGGATTGACACCCCCTCTTGATTGTCACCAGCTCCTGGGCTATCCGAGAAGCCTCCGAACGATCCAAGAAGACGATCAAGAAGAGCGCAAAGCAAGCCGAGACCAAGGCGAGGCGATAGATGCCCTGCCCACCAAAAATGTTTCTCCTTCACTTTAATTTTTCATCTTCTTTTCAAATCTAATTGCTTTGTGTAAACTCCCCTGAGTGTTTTGGGTGCTATTCTTGAGGTTTACAAGAAGAATGGACTACTTGGGACTTCCCATTCGCGGGCGGAATCCGAAGCCCCTGGATCCCTGGAGTGGGGAGAGGATAGGGGTGCGAGATATTCATTCGCGTGTGAAGAGATGTATGGAGCCGAGTTGTGAAAACTAGGTCGATATTGTTCAATTCAACGAATAAAGTTGCCTATTGCCATGGCTTGAAGCTTGTTGGGGTCTTATACCGAGGGTGCAATCGAAGGCCGGGCGTGCGTGTGCGTCATCGATCGATGATGACGATGCCACTCGCTTCCGGGCGGAGAGCGACGAGGAGCGGCCACGACGTCGACTCCTTCCCCTTCAATCCACTTTTGATCCCAACACATCTATCCAAAATGTAAGGCGATACGTTTCTTCATGGGGTGTAGCCCTGACACGTGCTGAAGCTGAATGCCCATCCCCTCTACAGGTCCGACAACTGTAGGTCGCTCGGATTGAGGCTCCACTCTAAAAGTCATGCTCCTGCTGGCAAGCGATAACCCCGCAACGATCATGCCTGACATTCGCCCTCCCACATCAACAGACGAGCAAAACACCAACTCTTCCGGAGGTCGTCAGATGAACGACGGCAACGCCAGCATGAGTGGTGATACCGTGAGTTTCCTATCCTCGCTCCGTTGAGCTCCGGTCGAGTTCGGTTGAGCCGACGGCGTTGGCGGTCAAATTGTCGATGTCGGCGCGCGCACGCAAGGGCTGATGTGGAGCGCCGCCGACGAGTCGGTCCTCTGGAGTTTGTTGGCGGTGGTTTTGGTGTGATGGTAGATGGGTTGTGGCTGCCTTTGAACGACTAGGGGATGGTGCTTCAGTGCTATTCGCTGACTCAATTATGATCATGTATCCCCCACTTCAGTCGTCGCGCGACAGTGAGTCACCATCGAGCAAATTCGAGCTGGCTTCTGGCAGGTGTTTCGATGACTGACGTCAAACTTTTTTAATTCCAGACGTCAACAACGAAGGTGACGTCACCAACAAGTCCTTCTCTTCTTCCGACGCTTCGTCGGACCAATTCTCCGCCGATGGTGCATCCTCCGCTACTTCGGCCGGTCAATCGGGGACCGCTGGGGGTCTCGGCTCGACGGGCAAGTACAGCGATGTCCAGGGTGGATCGAAGTGTAAGTTAATCCAGTTCATAGGGATCGCTACGAGAACAAGAATGGCTAGCTGATGGTCGAATGTTTGTAATTGGGTTGAACACAGACGATAACGAGCAGACCGAGACGTACTCGACTTCCGACAACTCGGGCGAGGGCCGCGGTGGCGCCTACAAGAGTCGTTCGGGAGGGAGGAACCAGGGCGACGACTATGCCACGATGAGTGGTGATGCGGTGAGTCCCAAATCTTGATAGATACTGGTAGACACTCCCACACTGACACATCGGTACCTTCCCTGACCCGTCTCGTAGTCCTCAAAGCCGAGTAGGCTAATCTTTGAAAATGGGGTCTGCGCTGCAAATCGGCAAAACTGATGTTCCCGGCTTTCGTCTCGTAGATGTCAACAACGAGCTTCCTTCAGAGGACCAAGACAACGCCAACTTCAAATCTTCAAGCTCGAGGACTCGTGAATCGGGCAACGACTACGAAGGTGGAGGATCGTACGAGGGTGCCAAGGGTTACGGCCAACCCCGTGTCGAGAAGGACCAGGCCACGGGGGACTTCCAGTAGATCACAACTCTTCTTTTGGGCTTGAGTGTCTCTCTTTTCTGTACATAGCACATGATACATCGTTCTCGACGATGACAAGTTGCAGTTGAAATAAGTAAACAACGGATGCTACATCAATTGTTGGCGATCTCAGGGCCCGCGCCTGTACCGATCCGTCTAAGCCTGCACAAATCCCTCGCCAACCACTTCCAAACGTTCCCTTGCCCCTGCTCAAGCACGAGCAACCTCCCCACTTGCCAAACCTTCTCCCTCAATTCCTCGTACCTCCTTCCATCGTCCAGAATACCTTGCAAGATCTCCGGGACTCGATGCGCTTGATCCCTCGGGATCTCAATCGAGAACGATGACCAATCTACATCGTTCTGGAACGGAAGGACTTGACCCGCGATCTGTCCCGTCCCAATGAAGACGGGGACGACGCCGAAAGCGAGGTATTCGTAAATCCTCGTCGTGTCCAAGGTGTAACCGGGTGGGGCTAGGCCGAATTTAGCCCGGGATAATGCGAGGGCGTAATCGTGGTTCTCGGATTGGAGAGCGAGGTCGTAGTCCGGGAGGGAGGAGAAACCGGCATGGATCGAGGAGGAAAAGGGAGGGGTTGTGGGATCCCCATCGGAAGGGAAGAAGAGGGAGCGGATACCCAAAGCATACGACTCCCCATCTTTTGCTTCGCCTACTCCACCTCGGAAGATCGCTGTGGTGGGACGATGAGAGCGTGAGAAGGCTGCGATTTTGGCTTGTTTGAAGGAGGAGGACGAGAAGAAGCGAGAGATGAAGCCTGAAGCGGGAGCGAGAGCGGAGGGGACAAAGATCTCTGCCCGAGTTCGAGGTGGGGTCGGTTTCTTGGGATCAGTAGCTTCCCTCGGCGTCGACAAAGGGTTTCCTGACTCGTCGAGGTAGTCCATTGGGTTGAGGTAGTACGAATTGAGCAGATGCGTCGAAGAAGGGATGACGAGATCCTTGTACCGTCTGAAATGCTTCGAGTAAGGAGGGGGTCGAAGATCGCCCACAGTGACGAGGTAATTACTCGAGTTCATTGCCGCACGAGACTTCTCGGTGTAGTACCCATCTCCGTGATCCATAGGATGGAAAATGAGGTGATCCTCGCCATCACTACGCTGCCAGTATTCGCTCGTCTCGGGTGAGGTGAAGATGTAGTCCATGATTGGTTGAATGTAAGATGCATCGACGTCGCACCGTTCCGTCTTGATCCAACCCGCTTTGACCCAACAATCGAAGAGGTAACACGCCGGAAACATGGGGATTAAGAAGAGGTCCGCTGAGGCTGGGTCCGTGGTGAGGAGTGAGCGGGGGTAGGCTGGACCGTCCGGAGAAGTGAGGAGGGAATGGAGGGCTAGCTCCGAGTTGTACGCCGACCAGCGGCATTGAGAAATCGTCGCTTCGGGTAGGACGAGTGCGGCAGGGAGGTCGTAAACCTGTCGTTGCAGGGGTCGAGTATGGTAGTATCAGGATTCACGTGTGGGGGCAGATGTGGGGAAAAAGACGAAGGAGTGCTTACGTAGATCTTGGGTTGACAAATGGGGCCATCTGGATCCAATCGAAGAAGATGAAAGGCGTCAGTTATGTGTGCTTCGGCATTTGTGGACATGTTTCAGCGATGCCGGGTGCAGAGGTCGGGGGAGGATCAGAGTGCGAGTGGCACTCCGCAGCGAGAATCGACCAACTCGACCGGTCACGTGCCGTACGATGGATTGCCATCGCAGTAAAATGCAATGCCTGATAACGTATGCAGATCAAGTACACCTCATTCCCGCGCGGAAAGCAAAGACCTACTCAGGTCTGGTGGCCACAGCCTCCTCCTGTCGCTCAACTCAGGCAACGCAGCGAACGTCGGCCTCTCCGCTCCTCTATCCCGATCGTACTTGAGGAATCGGTGGTGTTTTCTTGTTGAAGATCCACTCCGATAGAGAGCGACCACAACGAGGGAGGTCACAGCTGCGATGAACCATTGTCGTCGGGTCGTACGCGTCCGAAGTAACGATTCCAAGTTCCTTAGGTCGAAGGCTTGGGAAGCGGGATGGGTCGCATCCGATGTTCGGTGTCTCCGGCGTGGTTGTGCCATGGCGCAGTTTCAATTGTGACGCCTGATAAATATTCGGTGGTAGTGGCTAAATAGTCGTGCGCGGCGGCCAGAGCTAAGGAAGAAGGCGGCGGAGACCTTAGGAGACCACGGACAGCCGCGCGGCGTTCAAGTGCCTCCAAGCCTTGAGCTCGCCAGAGCTCGCCTAAGGTCGCCGATTTTTCAACCAGTATGGCACTCGGATGGGACACACAACACGTCCAAATCGGTATGCCTGAGAGGTGCTTTCAATTTAGGCAATGTCTATCGTGTGATCATGATCCAGCGACGTGTGGTTCTAAGAGCCCAGTCTGTGGTCAGTTGAGTCCGGGGTAGACGCAATTCTTTTCGAGGTTTGCTTGATACTCCGAGGAGTGTCCGACGACTCTCGGGCAAGCTTCAAGTTAAGCTGTTCGTCTGGCAAGAGCGTGCGGATAGGCCCCAATAGGCGATCCCGGTTTTCATAACAACTTCGGTCACGTATACTTGATATGCTATTCCCCGGTGCGCCTGCAGTGACGCGGAGAGGCCGGGACCTCGACTCAACGGCTTCCACTGCACCTTGGCGACTGAGCAAATCGATTAGCAAGTGTTCGGTTTCCATGCCGGTTCCCACCCGGATGGCCGTCTCATTCTAGGTCGCTAGTGCAGCAGACGGCATAGTATCTGTGTTAATGATCTGTAGTGTGGGAGTTGCAAGGCATTTCCTGATCAGGAATTGCTGTATGGGGGAAATAAAATACACTTGACGAAGTGCTCAGCGACGGCAATTTTCCTTTCTTTCGCAGTACAATTTTCGGCAGATTATCGCTTGAATTTCAATGCGAAATTTGATCAGAAAGACAGTCATCCAGCCTGAGTTTCATAGTTCAGTTGCAAATTTGGCTGTCTCCTGAAGGGTAGCAGAGATCGATGAGCTGACCAGGTCGTGCCGCGTGTCGGGGATCATCGATCATGTCGAGCGGGCAGTACTGAGTCGGATGTGCATGCCTCAACGTCTCACACAGTCCAACCGAACGCTGCCAAATCATGTTCATTTGAGCCAAGGAGAAAGGAGAAAGAACGAGGAAAGATCTGACATGCTTGGTACACCGAAGGCCTGGCGCCACCCCTCTCCGCCTTCCCATATTTTTGCTTCTTGCTTCTTTTTTCCCTGTTACGTCTCGCTATTTCTCCTCTTTTCTTGTTCTTCCAAATTTTATTCTTTCTCTTTTTTCTCATTTTTTTCTGGCTGTCCCCCCTCCCCCCGACATGTGCTCTAGCGTGAAATAGTCTTGAAAGGATGATCTCTTTCATTGTCTCCCCTCGGCACTGATACGGCAAGCGCGCTGCCAAAGCGCGAAAAGCACCGCCACTAGCGCCCCCCGCTGATCACGGCGAATACACGTGGCGCACATCTATCTATCTTTGTCCTCCTGGATCGCGCCATATTCTCGTGAGCCGACCCCCGAGCTCGTTTCATAAGGCTTGACACAGCTATCTATCTTTGTCCTCCTGGATCGCGCCATATTCTCGTGAGCCGACCCCCGAGCTCGTTTCATAAGGCTTGACACAGCTCCACAACTCAGGGGTCTCTCCGCCAAGGCGTCTCCGAGCGTGCCGGCCCGCGCCTATCAAGCCTGAAGGCCTGAAGCCTGAGCGAACGGCTGCAACGGCAATCCCCAGGACGTGACCATATCCGCCCATCGTCGGCTCTACTCTTTGCTTCCTCATTCTTACTTCCGCTTCCAGCTTGAGCCTACCATATACCAATCCCGAGCCATCGAAACCCCTTTCTCTCTTCACCCGTGTACCTGTCCCTGAGCCTCTCGATCGCCCGTGCTGGCTGTATGCACATCCTCTACCTCCACTTCGCAGCCCGCACAACTTGAACATGGATCGCGAGCAGTACGTGCCGCGTAATCTGATCGACGATGCCGACCGCTGAGCACCAAGCTTATGCTTTTGGCCTAATTTATTCCAGATTTCGGAAGGCTGGCTATGCTGCCATCGACTGGTACGTGCTTCACCTCTGAATGTTCAGACGACCGGAGCGCGGTTCTTTCGGCGCGCACCCCCCATACCACCGCGGTGCTGCACGTCTCGGCCTAGAATCGTCATCGCTGACCATGTTATCGCACTTGATGCCCTGGCGTCCATAATCGTTTCGTAGGGTTTGTGACTACTTCGAAAACCTGGAGACGCTCGATGTTATGCCTAGTGTACAGCCAGGCGACATCTGCAAGCAGATTCCTGGTGAGTCGGTGTTGCCTCCTGAGTCCCTTTCAGAGGCCCCCCCGGATCCTGCGTACGAGACAACCACTTCGCCGGTTGCGCGTCAGGGGTGACGGATACCCGGCCCGCTGAGTGAAACATGTCTCCTTTGTACAGACACTGCCCCAGTCGAGGGTGAAGCGTGGCAAGATATTGCCGACGATTTCGACAAAATTATCATGCCTGGGTGAGTTCTCCCACCGCACCGCCCCACCCCCGCGCGTGTCCTCGAGAGATCCGAACACCGTCCGGTAGTCGTGTCTCATTCGACTCGTCCAAGGAAATCGAGCTCTCCCTTCGTCAAATGATTTCCGAACATCGTTCATTCGAGGCGAGGTTTCCGTTCGTAGGCATTCGAGCGGGCACACTCTCGGCGACGTTACTACGGGCGAACTAACTAGTACTAACCGAACCTTCCTCTTCCCACGATCTCATATACAAGATTAACCCACTGGCAGTCACCAAATTTTTACGCGTACTTCCCCGCGAACACCACGTTCGAATCGATCATCGCCGACATCATGGTCGGTGGCGTGTCGAACCCCGGTTTTAACTGGCTTTGTGAGTAGAATCGCGTCTAGTCTGTGGTCGCCACCTGTTATTCGGCACTTGCTGACCTTGACGTTCTTCTTCTGCTTCTTGCAGGTTCTCCCGCTTGCACCGAGTTGGAAGTCCGCATGATGGACTGGTGCGCTTCCCTGTTCGGCCTCGACGAAAGCTTTCACAACTCGTCAAAGGAAGGTGGGGGAATCATCCACGTATGTTTCCCACTCCCTAGGCTCATGAATCATAGCCTCGCCCGTCGTCTGACATTATGTCTCTGTCTCTACCCGTCTTCACAGGGCTCGGCATCGGAAGCGTGCCTCTCCGTCTGCATCGCTGCGCGAGAGCGCGTGATGCGCATGCATCCCGAAACCAAGCACGAAGACTTGGTCATCGTCGCAACGACGCAAACACATTCCCTCGGCGCCAAAGCGGCCCTCTTACTGGGCATCCAGTTCCATCCCGTTCCCACCAAGCAAGAGAACGATTGGGCGATTCGCGGTACCGAGCTTAGGGAGGCCCTCGAGGCCCTCGAGCATGATGGGAAAGTGCCTTTCATTTTCTGTAAGCAGTTGCCACCAGGTTCTCTTATTCACCGCACATGCACTAACAGCGCTTCCTGCTGTTGTCGTCATCAGTGGCTACCGTTGGTTCGACAAGCACCGGGGCGATCGACAACATTTCCGAGATCACGGCAGTCAGTGCGTAAATGTGTTTTCTGCTCGCTGCGTGCCAATTTTGAATTGGCCGCTTACACCTCGTCTGCTCTTCTCGTAGCTGCCGACTATCCTGCAATTTTCCTCCATGTCGAGTAAGTACATGTTATTTCTTCCTATTAGACGACTACCGAGCTGAGGCCGAGAGTCTTCGTTTCCTCCTGCAGCGCTGCTTGGGGCGGAGTCTACCTCGCCATCCCTGAACTCCGTGCCGAGTGCCATCTTGAGGCCATCAACCGCCGCTCGACTCGAGGCAAGCTCGCCAAGGATATTTGCGGCTCCGGCGAAGTCCATTCGTTTTGCACCAACCTCCACAAGTCCGGGCTCGTCACTCTCGACGCTTCGCTCCTATTCATCCGAGACCGTCGTCTCCTCACCGAAGCACTCGACATCACACCTCCCTTTTTGCGCAACGCCGAGAGCGACTCGGGCCTCGTCGTCGACTACCGCAATTGGCAAATCGCGCTCGGTCGTCGTTTCCGCTCGCTCAAAGTGTGGTTCGTCTTGAGGTCGTACGGCCAGAAGATGTTCCAAGAGCATCTAAGCAAGGGAATCGCACTTGCCCAGCGCCTCGAGAACCTCGTCCTCAAACACCGTGGAAACGGCTTTGAGCTGTTCGTGCCCCGTCGTTTCGCCCTTATCGTGATCAGGCTTCTCGAGCCCAACGGCGGCGATGAGGAAACCCTCAACAAAGCCTTCTTTGCTCGCATCGCGAAGAGAAAGGATGTTCATCTCACACCGACGATCGTCGGGGGCAAGTCGTGCACGAGGGTCGCGATCGGCGGTACGCAGACCAAGGAGCAACACATCGACCACTTGTGGAAGGTGATCAGGGAGGTTTCCGATGAGACGCGACAGGCCCTTGAGTGCTAAATTTGCACACACCCCTTCCTACACGTGCACTCCCAGTGGAATCAATTTCTGCCCTCCCCCCCTTAACCTTCTCGTACATAGTACATTCACATTTTCCCTTTCAACAAGAAGTCATGCAACGCAACCAAGTCCCTGCTGAGTGCCGTTCAGCACTTATTTCGTTTCGTTCAAGATGTATTCAATCTAGAGACGCTATGAAAGACGAGGCACTCCTATCTCTGCTCGTTGTTTTGTTTGAAACATCTACTGTTACGAGGACGGCTGGTACGTTGTTACATGCGAAATAGAGACTCCAAGGCTGGACCACGATTCGGGCCCTGCGCAAGAGAACAACACGACAAGAGAGCAAAAAACGAGACTTGACCTAATGCGAACAATACATCGCTATCCAACTCCATCTCCCAAACTTTCCTACAACTGTACGCCACTTGTGCCATTACGTAATCAAACGGCGGGCGCAGAACAGCTAAGCGTCCGAAAAGGGACGGTCGTTCGGACTGTTGAAAGGTAAGAGGCACTCGGGGTTGGCCATCAACTTGCGCAACGTCGACGACACCGTCTTGCACACTTGCACGAAGCGACCACCCATCTCCGAGAGCAACAGGACCTGCTCGGCCATCGCTCGCGAGGCGGCGGCGGCTTCGGTCTGGCCCCGATATGAACGAATTGCATAGTCGCGGATTAGGGCTCGACCGACGACGGACCAGACGAAGGGCGTGAAGGGGTCAGCGCCGGAACAGTCTGTCGACATGGCGGCGATCAGCACGCTCGTCGAGACCAAGCATTTGGCCGAACGAAGGCACTTCTCGAGCGGCGAGTCGTCGCCTTCATCCTCCAAGGAGACCATCGCCTCCTGCAACAGGATCGAAGCGAGATGCGGCAAACAGTAGGCCGAAGCGAGGTAGTGGTCCATCGAGCCATCTTCGTCGAGGAAGTCCGAGTCGGTCACGATCAGAGTGCGATAGCGTGCGATGCTATAGTCGAGCTCAACAAAGTCGGGCGATGACATAAATTTGTGGCGCAGAGAAATGCACGTCTCGTTCTTGGGCAGGGCGTGAAATCGGGGCAAGCGTTGGAGGAAGTTGACGACGCGACCAAGAAGAATGGCACCCTTGATGTACAACCCGAACGAGTCCATGGCCGGGGACTTTTCGACAAACAGGCGAGGGTTGCGGATCGACAGGGCGGTCAATTGGCCCGTCGCATCGTCGATGGTCGGATCGATCGCGTTGGATCCGTCGGGGAGACGGATGTAAGGCAAGTGCGTCGAGATGTCCTTCTCGTCGATCGACACGGGCCAGTCTGTGGCGGCGCTCAACAGGCGGTCCACGGCGAATGCTGTCCAAAACGTCGCTTCGCGTTCGCACTGCTCGCGCGGAGTCGCGACCCCCGGAAACAGGGTAGCGCCGGACACAATCTGACCTCCCTTGACGATCTTGGGCCAGTCGGGGTATTCGGGCATGCCAGACGGGGACATGACGTGGAGGCCGAGCGGGATACACAAACGCATCGAATGACTGCCCAGAATCCAGAGATCGTGGAACTCGCCCTCCTGGTATGCGACGTCTGCAAAGTCCAAACCACACAATCAGTCAGTGCCGAGTACTCTAGGTCACACAAACTGGAAGAGAGTGGTCACTTACAGCTGGCTACAATGCTCGCTTGGATGATCTGTAATTGATTGGCGTACTGCGGCGCCTCCATGATGCGCTTCTTGGCCTGCTTGTAGTGGTATACGCGAGCGCTCTTCTCGGACGCCCAGTACGGGGAGGAGCCGAGATCATCTTTCAAGCTCTCTGGTGAGACGAACAGTACGGCATAGGCCATCAAGGCGTGCAGCAGCGCCGTCTCAGGGAAGTCAGGTTCGGAGGGGGCCTTGCGCAGCGCTTCCATCAAGCGGGCACGGTCAAATATTCCTCTTGCACGCATTGCCCGGTTGAAGAAAACCGAAACGACGTGTCGAACGATCGCAGGCCCAGGGAGGCTCATGTCCCACGCGGGGTGGAGAATCTGGAACAGCGAGGCGTCCAAGTTAAGCGCATCCATCGGCGATTGCGATGCGGATCCCGAGTCCGAGACGGCGAATATCGAGTCGATCGCCGAGGACAGCTTGTTACCGTACTCGCTTTCCGAGGTGGCGGCCGAGGTTTTGCTTCTCGCGAGCGAACTGGAACCAAACGAGGTGACGCGCGTGATGGACGGCGGGGACGGGCCTCCGCTCGTGGATGAGGAAGCCAGCGGCGCAGCCGAGTTGTCATAGTCGAGGGGTGGGTATGAGCTGCTGTTGGCGTAGGAAGGAAGGATGTGTTTGCTGAAAGCGGAGCCGCGGTTCGCCGAAGTGGAAGGCATCGCCTCGCCGTACGAGGAAGCTGGGATGAAGCTCGCGTACGCGCCTGCTGAGGAGCCTGATCGTCCTCGACCGCCGGTGGGGTCCATGGGACCGTCCGCATCGAAGCGACAGCTCGACTCGGGGGTCCAAGCCGATGAAATGTCAGTACTTATCGGAACCTCGCCGCTGCGGGACAAGGACCGGCGATGGTCCATCGCGTACGAGCGAGCGTAAGGGGATCCGGGGCCAGCGTACGGCGAGGTCGGGATGCCATAGCCCGATGCGGAAGGGAACGTCGCCTGTGCAAAGTACGACGGAGACGCAACCGAAACACGTGGCGCAATCGACGGCTGGCTCTGTACCTTCAGACGCCGTTCGAGCTCCGAGATGCGATCGACGAGATGTTCGACGTCGGTCTCGGTCAACACCTTTTTGGGTGCTGGGCCCTCGTGGGCAGACAGGTGCGGTTTGGTCGACGAAGGACCCGCAAGTAGCTGTTCGTCCTCGTCGATGTCGTCCTCCTCGTCGTCGTCGTCGTGAATCGAAGGGACGATGGGTACAAGGTTGGGCTTGGGTGCGGCGTGGGCCAGCATCTCGGCGAAAGAACGTTTTACTCCGACCGCCTGGAGCGCGGAAAGCGAGGGCAGTGCCGCGGTTTTGATGGCGCCGGCACTCGCATCCGACATGGACGCAACCGGTAGCGCGAAAGGTGGCGGTGGGGCATAGTGTGGCTGTGGAAGTGTCGGGAGCGAGAGCGGCTGTGACGCCCCAAGCGGGTATGCTGGAGCGTTGGCAGCTCCCTCGGCGGCGGCCAGCAAGGGCGAGGTGGCTGAAGAAGCACCGGCAGGACCGAGGGGAGGACCAGCAAAGTTGGTTTTTTGAAAAGGATGAGTTTGTTGGTACGCTCTCAGGGGTGGCAGAGCAGGGCTGGCGGACGCAGGACTGGTGGCTGTGACAGAGGCCGCCTCGACCGTGGCCTCTCGCGTGCCCGACGCGGGCGAGGCCGAGACCGGCCCGCCGGCCGAAGCGGTGGCCGACTCGGCGAGTTGGTCAGCGTCGTCCTCCGAGGTCGTCGGTTGTGCTGCCTTCTTGGCCCGCGGTTTCTTGGGACCAAGCTTGGGCGTCGAGGAGCCATCGTACACACAGTTGCATAGAGAGGCATTGCCACGAGCCGATTTGAGGCATTCTGTAGAGTGCGGAAAGAATAGTGCGCCGGACAGCACGAGCGAGGATCTTGTTTGATTAGCAGGTGGTCGATGGCAGCATTTGGCTGGCGGCTGGCCCGAGAATGAAGCACGGTCGGAGCACGGGCGCGCATTGCGCGTTCGGGCTTTTCTCGCGCCGGTGAGGGCAGACGAATGAATTCGGGGAAACTTTGACACGACCAACTCACGGGCACAGATGGGTTTCTCGCCAGTGCACTTGACCTTGCGTGCTCGACAGAGATCACATCTAAGCGAAGGTGAAGAGGGAACAAAGACGGGAGTGTCTGGTCAGCAAGCCTGAGCGGTGGGTGACGATCACCGAAGCGGGCCTAGTAATATCCGTCAACCAAGCCGTCAGGCGGATCGCGCGGGGCCTCTTCTACCTGCGGGCTGCCTCGGGTCTCGACAAGGGCGCATCCATGCCCGCAGAAGTCGATAGAACGCCGAAGGGGGGATGGGTTTGGCGCCGCGCGCGCGAAAACTGACGACGGAGGACTGCCCGCACGCCAAAATCGTCTATGACCGAGGCGCCTGCTCACGTGCCATGCATACAGCATGTCCCCAATCCAGGAAGGGTCTGGTCGTAGCGTATGTTGCCTATTCGGGTCCATACGTCCGAGGTTCCCCATATCCAGGTCGGGAGGGATGGACAATCATCGCCGGTCGATGGTAGCAGCGGCCCATCGCGAGACTCGGGATTCGAGGGTGCAGCATGCCCATGCCCGCGCGACTAGACAGAAAGTGCGGGCAGGGCAGCCAAAGAGGGCGCATCGGTCGGCGGTCGGAGACACAACCCGAACCCGGGGCGAGAAATGCTGAATCGGCGACATGCTCTACTCACGCAGCACCCCTAGCGAGCATGGCTCGCACGGGTTTGTGTCCTTTGCCAATCAAGGCCGAGTCTGAGTAAGGGTCGATCGTCTTGGCGGGCGTTGTAGTCGTTGGCGAGGCGGAGGAAGAGGCGACGGAGGCGGCGGTAGCAGCCGGCGGCATGATCGTCGTCGCTGTCACGGTCGCTGCCGTTGCCGCGGTCGGCGTCGTCAGCAGTGGTGGCAACACGGGTTCATCCCGAGGGGAGAGTGCCGTTGCCTGGATTGGGAGGGCCGCAAACATAGCCGCGTCGACCAACGTGGGTGCGAGCTGACGTCTGACAGGGTTGCCGTGCGAGCAGTGGTGACCGAAGGACGGGAAGGATCTCTTGTCCGAGACGACGCGCGATTTCTCAGCTCGCTTTTTGAGGGCGTTGGCCGCTTCTTTGCCCGCAGCCTCAAGCCTACGTCGACGAATAGATACGCTGGAATACCATACCATGTTGTAGCATGCGGGCCACCGTATTAGTAGTGGAGGCTACTAGCGGCCCGCCCAAATTGAGCCCTAGCTCTGGAAAGTACTTGGCTGTCAAATCGTTTCAGCCACATTCAGAGTCTTTGAAAAGTTGGCTTAAATTGGCGGGTGAGCAAGCCCAAGCAACCAACACAAAGAGGTTGCTACAGCAGATCGAGGAAGAACTTCGGGCCGCGCTGTCTTTTTCCGAACGAGCTCGGAGACTTGGGCTGGCACCTCGGCCGATCACCACCAGATCACAATAAAACCCTGCTCGGGGGGCAACCGGGGGCGCGTGGCCCGTCAAAAAGTCTACGACAAAATTGCGCAATTGATTCCGCCGAGTCTGGACAAAATGAAACCAAAAATGCCCTAGGCGCGCGCGCCGAGAGAGAGGCAGCGTTTTCGGTCAGCGCCAGCCTTCTAATGAGACCTTCGAATCATTAGCTCGAAGACCCACGGTGAAAGAATCCCATTTAATGATCCTCCCAGTGTCTGAAGAAGGTCGAGAGAAATCCAATCACAATAATCAGCACGATGCTGGCGATGATGATGATGGATGATAGAGCGAGGTCGAGACCAATTCGACTCGGCTCCCCCCCCTGGAGCGACGGACCGAGGGCAAGAGGGGAACGTCGCACGAGCTGACTCACCATACTTCGACGTCTTGTGAGCCTTACCAACAGAGTATCCTACACTTGCGACATCTCCAACCGACGGGCCAAAGCTCATCATCCCTTCTTCCAGATCTAAACACAAGTCCGAGGGCGCGACGTGGGTCAGCCGAGGCTGGCAAGGTCTGTCGAGGTCGATCACTTACTCTACGCCAAACACGTGCAGATCCTCGTTCGAGAGGTGGACGGAGCGTGAACGGGTTCGATGTAGAAAACCCCCAGATCAGTCTAGTGCAGAGTAAAGGACATATGGCAGTGTTATTCACCAGGATCGCCAGGATGTGAGCCCCATCAGATCGAGGGAGTTCAACGACGTTCGACAACCAACTCTGTGCGACGGCCGTGCACCACCTTGATCACGTTTGACCGCGTCCGGGCTCATACTCCCGACCCGTGAGGGTTTCCCTTCTCATCTTCCTGCTCTTGCTCGGTCGTCGTCGATCGGGTGGAACGGTCGTCTTTGATCTATTCGTGGGGCTCGGACTCATGCTGACCCCAAGCCTGGCACTACATGATCACCCTGACCTTCCACAGCCTCGCGATGAGTCAATCGACGTTGCTGCCGCACAGGTCGATTGGTCAGCAGGATCGGCGCGTTGGTACGGCCCGGAGCCGCGCCGCCGGAAAAGAAAGAAGAAGAGAGAGGTGTGTGAGCTCGTCACTGACTTGGGAGTGGGCCAAGGATGCGCCTGCTAGGATGATTTACTTCGATGACGCCACCCCTTCCGATCTTCTCCACCTCTGCCAAGCGCTGAGCGATGAATACCGAAGGCGACTGAGCGGGGGCGGCGCGGATCTGAAGCGAAATCGCGGACAGGGGACCGAGCACCCCACATCGAGTTCAACGATCCACCCCTCGGAAAGACGGAACACCTTGTCAATCAAGCTCGTTCAAGTCTCAGCAAGTAAGCTCAGCTCTGAGAATTACCCCAGAGTCGAGCTCGCCGCGATCGATAGAGTGATTGTTGCTCCAGCAGCTTCGTTCGAGCTGGGGCGACCTCGCTTCGACCGCGATTTAATGCGAACTCCGACACGGAGCTGGGTTGTGGTGCGGGGTCACGGTGACTCGAGAGCTCCGATACAGCGAGTAAACGCAAGAGAAAAAAATAAGATTGATATCTGAATACCCTAATAAATGGGCTCTAGATCAAGTAGACACCTTCAGCTCCAGAGGTAATTCGGCTGCTTGAGAGAAAATCGGTCACAGGCGGCAGAGATAGTAACTCGATTTTTCCGAGTGCATCAGGCTTGTTCATGGGCATGTGTAACTTTGCATCTGGGCGTCGTGGGTCATAACATTGATTTGCACGGGAATGCACTGTCATGCACGGTCATGCACAGTGGTGCATGGCTGGGAATCGGATCCGAGTGGCTTAGAACTCGGGCGGTTCGAGACGCCAGGACTGCACGCCGGTGCATACGGGTGCATCGCTGTGCATTGGTATTTTGAAGTGCTGACCAGGGTTCTATGTTCTATACGAGTATGAATTTGATCCGACTTCATCCAGCCACCAACGGAATGACTTTGGGGAGATTCCCCAAAGTGGCCAATACTCATCCTGAAAGCGATTTTGGCGCGGGCGAAAACTGGCAGAAATGCTCCTGCCTACTCACCACCACGCCACGCTTGGCAACTGACGCTGGGAGCCTGTGACATCAGACGGGGGTTCGAGTGTGAACGCCCATGCTTCTTGACTATCAGGGCTAGAGTACCATTATCATGAGCAACTCGAATCGAGATGAGATAACCGCCATCGAGGTGGTAGTATTTCGACATCGATTTGATGACGATACGACCGACAGACGTCCCAGATCGCCGACTGCGATGCCGAGCAGTGCTGAGCGCTGGGGTCGTGAACTAGAGCCAACTCCGAACTTGCGAAGCAGAACCTCGTTAAACAGTGAAGACAAGTCCGACGGTTGAGATAGTGGCCAGCTGATGCCAAAGAGCGAAAAATAAAGAATCATCTGCAGGATCACCCATCACTAAAGTTATACACCCGATTTAACAAGGTCCACTTTCGCCGTGGAGGCAATTCGAACCGCGGGGCCAGGCCGGTAACTCTTTTTCCATTTATTTGATAGATTTCAATAGCAGTATAATTATATTAATACCTAGAAACCTTTGGAAAAGTCGGAGGGAATGCAGTTAAGCACACTGGCTAGGCCACATCCGGGGCGCCGGAAAAAAGCCCGGCCGAATCCTAAATTCGACTTTTATAATGCTGGATTGCCTGCTTCGCGACTCGCCGGAGCTCGTCTTTCGAGTTGTCCCTTTCCACCCGTCCCACACACCTCACCGAGCATGGCGAGTTGTAGGACCGGGACAGCCGCATCGTTCCTTCTACGTACAACGCGACCAAGAAGTCGCTCTGCTCTCGCATCATGGTCGTCGTCTGTGTCGCCTTTGATCGCCGTCGCACGCCCCGGTCCAATTCGGTCGCACCAGTTCAACCTTTCCTCGTCGTCGCGAATACTGGTCGATCGCCCGCCATCCTTCTCGACACCAGACCCATCCCTTGCTTCGTCAAGCTCGCCTAGCCAACCGCAACACGATTCCAGGCAGCCCTTGAGCCCCGCTGCGTTACCCGTCGAGGACTACGCTTCTCCACTGCTCCACACCGCTTCCTTCTTCGGCTCCATCTTCCGCTACGCCGTCTATGGATCGGTGAGCGTCGTCGTCGTGGTCGTCGCCACATTTGCAGGCGTGCATGCCTACGTCGAGTACTTCGCGCTCGGCCAGCAGGGCGTACTCGCCGCACGTGAGGATCCCGACGAGTGGGCCTCGGAGCTGGAAGGATGGACCGGTGGTCATCTCGGCGGTGGCACCGACCCACGACTGGGTCTCATGACACGCTTGGCTGTTCGAGCAGCTTGGGCGGCACAGAACTGGGGCGCTGAAAGCCCACTCGGACCAGCTTCCTCGGCGTCGTCGACGATGGGTCCGGTCTCGATGCGAACTCCTTTCTCCGGTGCGGGCGGGACGATGATCGGGTCGGATCAGGATCGACAGGGTGCGGTGCAAGCTGGACTCTCGCAAGGAGAAATCAGGGACGCAGGCTGGCAACTCTCGGAAGAGTTTCTCGTCTATGCACTAGCGAAGGCCGCGAAGAAGGGCATCTCACTTGTCGGCCGCGCCGAGTCTAGCTCGACACCAGCAACGGTCGATCGGGCAGCACTCGAACTCGAGCAGCGCCTCGCCAACATCCGGGAACGTATTGGAGGTCGGTTTCGACTCGAAGCCGCCCGAGAAGCGTGGGAACGCATCTACTACGCCCTCGTGTCGTCGCCTGCTTCTCCCTCGACGGCGGACTGGTTCCAGCGGGAGAAGCTCAAGGCGACGCGCAAACTCGGCGACCTGTCGGCGAGATTGGCTCAGAGCGCGCAAACCGGTAGCGAGGAGCACGCAAACGAGAACATGCGCGCAGAGAGATGGTACCTTGGTGGGATCCTGCCGGCACTTGGAGCATCGACCGAAGCGGCCCAGCCGGACAAGCGGGAAGCTCTGAACCCCGAAGTCGCCAAGGTCACGAAGTCTGTCTCGCCTTCATCGTCCTTCTTTGGCTTTTGGTCGCGTTCCCATCCACCTTCGAACGCTATATCGAGCTCGAACGTGGTGAACGTTGGGGACGCCAGCTCATCCTTAATTCGACCCGAGATCACCAAGGCGGTGAACCTGCTCGAGCGAGGCTCGTCGCGACACGAGGCCTCACCTGCGACGCAACGAGCGCTTCTATCCTCTCTCATCGGTTTCGAGATGTTCCTAGCTCGACGTCGGGCTCTGACGGCTGCTCATGCTGTGCAAAATGCTTCCCTTAGCTACGCCGAGTCGTTGATGGGTCCGTCATCGCTACCTTCGTCATCCACCTCGTCGGGCGGTCCGACCCTTTCGAGCGCGACACCAGCGAGTGTGCTGGGCCCTAGTCTGACCTCGTACTACTACTCAACACGAGCCGCCGTTCTGCGCACCCATCTGGCCGAAGTGTCGCTCGCGCTTCGCATGTCCAACATCGAGGAGTACGCGCTGAGTCTGCTCTCTTCAGCGATCCACTCGTGCGATTCGACACTCGTCGCGTTGATGCAGTCCCCTTTGACCAAGGAATCGTCGAGGAAGATGAAGCCCTTCTCCAAGGCCGCACAAGGACTCGTCAGGGATTCGAGGGTCACCGCGGCCATGGCATGTAACCTGTCCGGCTTTGTCGTCGAAAATGGATCGAGAATCGTCGAGGTTTCCGGAGTCAGGAGGGAGGAGACCAAGACATGGGCGGAGGGAGGCTTGAGCAAAAGTAAATCGTTGTTGGATCAGGCTGTGGCCTTTGCCAAGAATGAGGCGGGGGCGGTGGTGGATCATCAGGGGCTCAAGTTGGCGGAGCAAGGGCTCAAGAGGGTCAATGCCAAGATTGGGTCGATAACGGCTTAAGGTGATCGGGGAGGGAGAGTAGGTTTAAGTGAAATGCTATTTTAAGAGCCTTCTTTTTTTCTTTTTTTCTTTTTTGTAGTCTGTAAGACGCCGTAATTCCACAACTCACTTTCAGTTGATTCTGGGCCCTCGGGCCGCGTGTTGGCCGGGACCCGTACCCGAGAGCGTCGATGTGGGGGTGGCTCGCTCAAGCAGCGCTCAAGCCGATGCCGGCCAGACAACGCCCAGTGCTCCCTCTTTCATTCCCTCCGCCGCCTGCGACTCGTCGGTGAAGTCATTCTCACCCACATCCCCACTTTGCGATGTCAACAGTACGACGACGCAGTTCCCTTGCAGGTGACGATTCACCTCTCGAAGAAGACACCGCAGCAGCATCCAGCACCTCTTTACACTTCGGTACGGCCTCACCGTCGGCCGCTTTTAGGTTCGGCGACCACGTCCCCGACCAATCGGACAAGCCTCCGACCGTCGACGACGACGACGAGCACTGGCGTACCTCTCCGGGGGATCCTCAAGAATGGAAATAGCGCGAATAGTAACAAGGGTCCAAGTCGTTATAGGGAACATTCTATGTCAGAGGCTTTGATGGAGTCGGGGTGGTGGAAGATGAGGAGACGGGAGTTGCAGGTTCAAGGCTCAAAGTTCGCGATGCTGCTGGGCGGGACGGTCGTCGTCGCGTGGGTGGTCAGATCGATGCTGTGAGTCCGCATGCACACATGATAGCGATCTATTGCTCGTGACGGTCATTTTCTGCAGCAAATCTGGAGTGGAGTAATTTCGCATGTGACGACGCGAATTCATCGGAATCCGTCAGGGGCTCAGTCGGACTCTGAGAGGCAACGAGGGGCACGCCCCCCCCCCCCCCCCCCCCCGTGGAGAGGATGACTCGTCGACGCGTCCTGCCTACTGTCCAGACGAAATTGTGATATCCATATTTCCATATTCATCTAACGATGTTATAAAGTTTACCTCCACCTCACAGAGGCCGGGGCTTGAACACAAGGCGCGGTTCCGAAATTTGTGACGCCCTCGGTTCACCTGGACGATTGCTCGTCGACCTCGAGTTACCCTTCAAGGCCGAATGGCGGCCAATCGACGAGGAATGATGTCCTCCTCTGCCGAAGTACCTCTCTGCGTTGTGGACACTCACCCATGGGCCCGATCGGAACCAGCCCAACTTCCCCTTCGATGCTTATTCTGCCGAGCACCGAGTCTTCGCCTCCGACCCTTATCCGTCCCACTGGGTCACACTCTCGAACCGCACCTCCTCGGCCTCGTTGAATCCCAATGATCAGGTCTCTTTTTTGCGCAAGAAGCGGTCACAACCCCCTACAGTCCTCGTCATTGGCGATTCGGTCGATCGAAATGGACTCGTACATTTTTGCCAGCTTTTCAAGCGCGAGCTCTCGATTTCTCACTACCACGACATCAATTCGCACCCACCCGGTGCCTTACCGGCCGATTTGACCAAAGGTCATGGACCCAAGTTCGATGGATGGGATCAACGAGGCTTGCCGCACATTTGCGAGATCCCATTCCATTCGGATACAAGGGAAGCTGGGACCGATGGAGTGGCGATGCGAGTCGTCAATGGGTTCCATTACGGGATGGACGCTTTGGACGAGTTCAACACCCCTGATCATACGGATTGGCACAAGCCGGGGAGGGTGGAGGACCGATTGGAGAAACTCATTGTGCCGTTCATCGAACAGCTCGGAGGACTGGACAAGATCGATGTGGTGCAATTGCACAGTGGGATGTGGGACTTGGCACGATCTCAACGAAAACGTATTTCAGCAGTCATTCCAGTTGCTTACCAAAATATTCTCTTCCCTGATGGATCGTACAGGCTCTTTTTGGTATGCAAGACGATAAGACCAAATGGTCCTTGACCGTGCCGTTGACGCCGGATCAGCTCGCTTGGTGGCAAGAACGGATGAGACAAACGATCCGACACGTACGATGGCTCTTCCCGAGGGCCAGGGTCGTTTATCGCAAGCTGCATAGAACGGATGATGCGGTGGCGGGGATGCAGTATTTCACGAATTGTGAGCCTTCGCACGATTTGCGAAGGCCTTTCCAGACCTTGACTAAGTTCCCTCTACTCCTTCTGCCTTGCAGTGTAAGCATAGCCAGGCGGTCACGCTTCCCTTTGTACAGGATCAGACTATTATTTGCTGTACTGGTGCAGGCGCGTCAACCAATTGCGACATCTGCAGGAAGAAGTGGCTCGGAGCGAAGGCTTGCCGTTATTTGGTCAGTGGCTCACGCGCCGCATCAGACGCGATCGTGCTCTCTAACATCGTCCGCCCTCTCGTATCTGTCCATCGCAGATTTTGGACACCTTTTGGAAGGGTACCAACACTTCCAAGAGAAGGTGCATCCGGTTCTCATTCCCGGTGGTGTGATGTATGCGCAGAACTTGATCCATCAGTTGGGGCTGGCACTGAACGATCCTCGGAATTGGAGGAATCGAAAATTGGGCTCGGGATGGGGTCAAAGCGTTCTCCGAGGGGTTGTAAACTAAGAAGGAGATTCATTATCATATTCAAGTTCTCAGCGACGGATTCGCCTCTTCATATATATGCCGCAACGTTGTTCCTTTCAAATCCGCGCAGTGCTCTTGCAAGCTCAGCTCCGTCGGGAGGACGGTGATGGAAACAACCGTTTGATCACACTCATCTTCTGGATTCCAACAGTACGCGGGCTGATAGTACGTTGAAAGCTTCCCGAAAATCAGCCCGATTGATGGGTCGCCGCGCACGGACTTGAGCCGAGTCTAGGACCGAGCGGCCGACGGGAGCAAGAACCCCCACTCAACGGCTGTCCGAGCACACTGGCTCGAGTCGCCGCCGGCTCTGCAGCCACAGGCGACCAGCTTTCGGAGATGAAAAAGAACTACTTGAGGTCGAAAGGCAGTTCGCAAAGCACCGCTTGTCACTCAGGACACGAACGACTTGAATGTCTCGAGAACAAGACGTAAAACACCCGACCCTTCTCACCCCCTGAGTCCAGCAGCTTCAGGTCGGGTAGTTTCACTGAGAGCGGGCTTGCCCGGCGGAGCTTGTCGAACATCAATGTGGACGTTCTCGAATACCACCGAAAACGCAACAAAAACCTCACGTGCAACAGCGGTAAGTCTGTGGGTTTCCATTTCTGCGGACTAGAGAACATTGTTGTGCACCTACTAGGCTCTCAGGAGACCTGCCCGATCTTCGTGCTCGTCGCAGCGCGGCGATCGATCGCGGCGCCCGCCGCCCGCCAATTAGCCTCCTCAAGCCTGCTGCTCTTGCGGGGTCAGCGCCGCCCCTCAGTCAGTCTCTAGTGTCTTCGTCCGTCCTCACCCCACTCGCACACGACGACCGCACCAGGAGCAGCTTTGCCTCGACTCTGAGGGGTCCGACGTACCTTGAACAATGGCATACCGCCATCAAGGCTATGACCAGCCCGAGTCTGGGCCCGAGTATGTGAGTTGCTCCGTCCCGGACCCAGAGCTAGTAGGAACCCGCCCGCCGACGGCCATCATCCGGCCTTTCCCCCTTTACGCTATTGGCTGCGCCGCTGCTTGCTTTGGCGTCACCGGTTCGATCGCTCCCCGCCGTACTCAACCGAGTCAACCCCTTGCCACCCTCGGCCCGCGCTGAGAAGAGCAATGTCCATTGTAAATACAAGCTGATGCACTGTTGAACTATACAGGGTGCCTTCTTTCGGTCCAACAACCGAGCGCCTGCAGGAGGGCAGTACGGGCTCTCGTCGCCCACCCCCGCCTCCGCCATTTCGAACGGCGGGACAGGCACCAATTCGAACGCCTTCACCTCGTCCAACGGCACCACCGGAGCGAGCTCATCATCAGCGACCCCGCCCTCGTCGTCCTCATCAAGAGTCAGAGGCGCACCCCGCCTCGGTGGCTTGGGGTTGGGCGGCATCGGCGCCAATGTGAACAAGCCGTCCCCAGGACCACTAGTCGCCAAGTCACTGCCGATCAACTCGGAGCGCGCCAAAAGCTCAGCTTCCGCGAGTTCGGGAGTCCCCTCTTCGCCTTCGAGGGTCCCCAACTCTTCCACTCCTTCATCTCCAAACGGAGATTCGGGAAGTGGACCCGTTTACGCCAAAAGCCAAGGGTTCCCTTCCAAATCGCGCAAGGAAAGCTCTCGGAAGCGAGCCACCTACACGGCCAACTCGGACCAACGCCCTAAGCAGATCCCTGCGGGTCTGCCATCTCAATCAGCAGCGAATGCGACCGTCGAGCGACCGTTCCTTTCACCCGAAATGACCAAGCCCAGCGTCAGGTCGGAAGCCTTTGCTCTAGATCGACCGACACCGGACTATGGAGTAGCTTCGACGCATGCCGACGACTCATTCGAGGGAGAAGAGCTGTCTCCGACCGTCGACGGGTATGACGAAAACCATTTGGCCGATGACAATCTGCGAACTTTAGTACGAGGTATCGACTCGCCCGATTCTTCGATAGAGGCCGGGTTCAGTCACTTCACCCAAGCTATTACGAGCGTCCCCGTTTCGAAGTCATCCTCGACGGCATCCCAGTATTCGAGCCACAAGCTGGCTGAAGCCGCCCCGGTCGAGTCGCGTGCTCGACAGACATCCTCGACGTTCACCACGACCGACGACGACGCCTCGAGCGAGTACGACAATTCCCACGACTCGGCGTCCTTGTATCAGGAAGCATCACCAACCATCGATGAGAAGTCGGCTCTTGCGGAGAAAGATGGTCTTGGGAGCCTAGCTGAGCGTGCCGTGTCCCCACCGCCGGTCGTCACCTCGATGGACTCGCCGCGATCGTCCTTCACGGAAAGCGAGCTTGCAGGACCCACTTCCACTCTAACCATCGAATCGCAGAAGCTCTCCGACTCCGAGGCCGAAGCCGTGTGTACGGGCGACAGCGTTGTCGAACCCGAGGAACGCTCGAGCGAGAAAGTCGACCGTGCTCAATTGGCCCCTTTGCAGCCACCGCCACAAGTACCTCGCTCTGTTTCCCCAGACACCTTGGATGCCAATCAGTCTGGGGCGTGGTCCTCTGCCGTGTTATCTAGTCGCTCGACCTCGAGGAACTCTTCCAACTCGCGAAAGAAGTCGTCCGAGGCCCCACCGCGGCCCAAGAGGTTGCGAGCTCCAGGGGCCAAAACCCCCCTGCTCGGCGCGTCACCTGCTCTCAGCGATGGATCGTTCTCGGATTTGTCGCCCGCCACCAGTCGTGAAAGTGATCCTTCACCTTCGCGCAAGCCGTCTCCCAGCGTCGAGTCTCAGCTTGTAGTCGAGCCAAAAGCCGAGCCTGCACCGTCGCAAGCAGTCAGTGCCAGTCTTGACCGACCCTCACTGTCGACGGCTTCCTCGAGCGCGACAATACACACCTCCGCTGAGCCGACCTCAACGACTGTGCCTACCGGTGGCTCGAGTGAATCGGCCTCTTCGTATTCGTACGCCGGCCTCGGTCTTCGAATGCCCTCGACGCTCAGCCGAACCTCGAGGCGTACCTCTATGCAAGCTGGTTCAGTTGCGCCTGTCGCGACCCCAGCAGCGTCCGCAGTGGCTACGCCTGCACCCGTGGTTGTCCAGCCTCCCAAGGAAGTTTTAGCCACGTTTGCCTCCCTCACTGCACCTCAAGCTTCATCGGATCTGAAGCGTGAGATGCAAGCACAACGCGAGCGGGAGACTCGTCGCAAGGAAGAGGAGGCTGCTTCTGCCGCCGCCACCGCCGTTTCGGCTCGTCTTGCGTACCCCGAGCCCTCCTCAGAAGAGGAAGACGAGGAGGATGATGAGCGCGATTTCGGATCGGCCGACCAGACCTTCGCCACCCCTCGCCCGAGTATCAGCAACGATGCAGAATCTGACTCTGGCACGCGCACCCCGACCATCAATGTCTTCTCAGTGTCCCCGTCCAATTCGACCAAAAGCACAATCACACTTCCCGAGGCAAGTGCGACGGTGGAGGAGGCGAACCCCGAAGCTCAGTCGGCAGATTCTTCGAATGCCACTGGAGAAGCCGGCGGAAGTACGGCGACTGACATTGGCGTAGCAGCGGTCGGAGCCCTTGTGACTGGTAGCCTGGCCGTTGGGTACACAGCCTGGCGCGGTCTCGGCGCTGTTGCGAGTTGGGGATGGGGAACGGCGGGACCCAAGTCACGAGCCGCACCGAAGGAAGATACTGCTTCGCCGGAGACTTCCGACAACGAAACCGACGACCTGCCTGGCGCTTTTGGGACCAAGGGCCGGAACGGACCACTCACGACCGTCGAATCGGAAGGCAACGGCGACTCCGAGAAGGCCTTGTTCTCAAACGAAGGGGAAATCGATTACTCGTCTGCCAGTGCACGCCGAAGACAGAGGCTCCAAGCCGAACAGGCCGGGCAGACAGAAGGAATGGCTGTGGCCGAGGAAGTCGTCGTGATCGATGGTGCGCGCCTCGTTAGCTCACCCAACGCCAAGACGGAATGGGGAGACCTCGAGTTTCCGGCGCCCGAAGGTCAGTGGTTTCTAAGGAATCTCCTTGCTATAAAAATGGGAAGCTTAGTTTGGCTACACTTTTTCACAGGCTTCCTGGAAGAGCTCCAAAAAGTCATGGCCGAGCTTGGGCCGGAGGATTTTGCCGCCAACGAGGAGGACGAGTTCGCTGCCCAACAGGCGGCTTACGATGCAGCCAACGCATTGCACAACGCCACGGCCGGCGATGGCGCCAGCGAAGATGACTCGACCGACTCCGCTTCCGACGTCAGCAGTCCCCCTCCACCACGCATGACGTTCCCGACTCGTGCACGTAAGGAGAGGAGAGTCAGCTCAGCAAGCTCTCCACGTGATGTTCGACACGATGCGATCGAGGAGGACGACGACGAAGGCACCGAACGTGAATACGACGACTTCGATGAGATCGTCGACCTCATTGCACCGATGTACCAAGACGATCGCAACCCCGAGGCCAAGTCGAGATATCGCTCTCCGCCAGGCTTGGCCCCACCGGGGATCGCTCGCTCCGCATCGATGATGTCCAGCTCATCGGCGACGTCCAACATTTCGCCTTCTCTGCGCTTCTCGACCGGTTCGATCAACTCGTCCACGGGCTCCATTTCGAAACGCAGCAGCGGCATCTTCGGCTTCGGTCGCAAGAAGACGAACTCGCAACTCGGCGCCCCCACGCTAACGGCCGATTCGGTCGGTTCCTCTCGCAGCCTCATGCGAGCCCCGTCTTCCTCGCCTTCGATCAGTTCGACATCCGAGAGCTCGATCGGCCGTTCTCGATCGATCCATTCACTCGCGTCTGAGACGTCGATCGAAGGTGGGGACGGTGATTCCTCTATCACCAGTGGTACCAAAAGCAAGCGTCTGTCGTTCTTTGGTTCCAAACCCAAGAAAGCCAGTAGCGCCTCCATCGAGTCATCCATCGGCGACACGACCTACGTCTCCTATTCGTCAGGTCGAAGCGCTGCTCGAAGGGGCTCGTCAACGGGTAGTGACCCGCTCTCCCCAGTCGGAGGGGAGGCGTTCCTACCTCGAACCGAAGACGGCGCCTCGGTACGTCGTTCGAGTCTACGTGCCGAACCTCGTTTCGGACGAGGTGGAGAAGACGCCATGCCCACTTCCCCAGCAGAAAAGCGCATCTACCGCGTTCGCTTCGCGAATGCGACGCGTGGGATCGGCCTACGCTCCGTGGCTGAATCCGAGGCCGTCAGAGGTGGTGACGAGACGCACGCTTTGAAATGGGTTGGCGTCGGACGAGGTCGGTACGGGAACCTCGTCCTTACGAATGACGCACAGAGCGATGAGGTGTACGCCGAACAGGTCGCTCAGATCAAGAAGAATCGGAGGTTCGGTCCCGGCGCGGGAACGGTGCGCGATTGGTCCCAGATCAAGGTTGATTAACGACGCCTTTTGCTCGTCTCTCTCATTTTCACTACCACCCCTTCGGGTCGTATTCCCCTAGTAGAAGTGCTTAATAGTTCTTGCTCCTCAGTCATGTTTTGGCGGAACAGTAATACTTGGCTCGACCCATGTTGTCAGAAATGCCCGGAGTCAGGAGCATGCTGCTTGATAAGAGTGTTCGGAAGGAGGCAGCTGTTGCTATTTCATACAAGAAAAAATCCCGAGAAGAGCCAGAAGACAGGCAAGAAAGAAAAAAGGGAAAAAGAAAGAGCAGATGGAAGGAGAAAACTACGCGATGAACAAGGGAGGCGCTTTTGATAAAACGGGGGAAGAGAAAAAGAGGAGATTGCAATCCCGATCGATGCTGGCGTTCGAAAGGGCAGGGTGTTTTGTGAGTTGCATAAGGGGGAGGCTGTGTATCGGCATCAAGAAAAGCAAATCTGCAAGGAAGAGGTCGGAGGTCGTGGCGAGCATAAGGAGGAAAACAAGGCGAAGGTGGCGGAAGGCGAAGGGGGAAGAGACGGGTTCGGAATATCACACACATGCACAGACATCCCAGCCCACCGACGATCGAACGAGAAACGCGAAGACGTTGTCCTAGTGATGATCTTTCGCCGTCTACCCATTGATCTGCACCCCTCGTTCAGCCGGTGCTCGCCGCCTATCAGGGTGATCAAGACCAATGAAATCGTCGTCCTGCCACTTGTGGTCGAACAAGACGTCGCTGTCGTTCAACGGCATCGGCTTGTGGTACATTGCGGTCTGCAACATGGTGAACTTGATCTTGGCGAACTCTTTATCGCCCAAACCCAAACGAGCTTGTAACCTCTTCCTCGTATCGCCGAACGCTTCGTGCGGTTTGAGGACGAACCGGAAGGGGATGCCGTGCGTTCGTGATGGGTCCTTGTTGTAGTGGAAGCAAGGCACGACGCGCGAACCATCATCGGCCCTCGCTTCCTCTAGAGGTACCTCCTCGGCGAACAACTCCGTTTGGTCCGAAACGTCCCGCACGAGTTCGCTGCCCGTGTAAATGCGTTGAATGGTCCCCTTGACGATATCGAAGATACGGATCTCGCCCGAACCACCGTTCTGCATCCTCACGTCCTTGCGCAACCAATCCTGCGCGCAATCGTGAATGGTCGTGTTCTTGGGCAATAGGAAACCATGCGACGATTCCTCCTTGTTCGTCGGCCCGACCCAACTGATGCGCAGACTCTTCTTGGTCTCGAGTTCGATGATGGACACGTCGAGCATCTCGTAATACAACAAGTTCGCGGCGTGGGTCATGTTGTAACTCGGCGAGACGAGCTCAGCGACGGTCATGCTCCCTTGGCGCCGCACGATCGTTTTCGGTTGCCCGTTCTGACCATTGGCTTGCGTGAAGCGCAACTTGAGCGGGTCGTGCTTAAGCCGTTCGCCGACTCTCCCCGCCATTTGGTCGTAGTTGTTCTTTTTGCTGAGCGTGATCTCGAACTCCTCCCGAGCGTTCGCATCCTCGTACTTGGGCCTGAAGGTGACGACGACGCGGTTGAGGAAGAAGTCGTAGAACTGAATCGGCGTCGTGAACATGTTTTGCTTGTCGAGGTCTTGTGGTCTGCGCGGGGTGGAAAGACCGAGCAAAGAACGATTAGCCTCCACAATTCCAACCCCGAACGGACGAGAGAGAACAAACGTACAGCGAATCCCGTTCCGTCATATCGACTTGGAAGCACACGATATCCCCATCCTGAATCTCACTCTGCAAAAACGTCGCCTTCATCTTCATCAACTCGATCATATTCGGCTTAATCTCCTCGTAAATCTTCAACGGCGTCGAAGGAGGGAACCCCATACGATCGTTGATCATCTGCGCCAAATCCAACACACGCATATGGCGATGGACGTGGAAGTGACCCAACCCAGCCAAGGTTTGATGCGCGACGTCAAAGTTCTTGACAAAGATCATTATCGGAGGTTCGTTCTGGTGGTTCTTTTGCCATTCGGCCTTCTCCTCCTTCGAGATGTACTCGAGATAGAGCTTGAAGTCCTGTTGCCGAGACGCCATCTTCTCCCTCACGACCTCCATCGTCAACGTCGGATCCCCGTCCGAGATCGGCGCGTCCGGTCGCACGGTCTTGTTCTGACGGTTAACCAAGACCCACAAACGAATGTCCTCTGGGTTGTACCCATATTGATGAGCGATCTCGGCGCGGAAGACGACGTACGGTTTGGTCTTGAGTACGCGGTAGGTCGGCAACTCGGTCGCGGCAACGGTCCGATCGTCAAAGGTCGCGAGATCGAAGCCTTGGTGTTTGGAAAAGGTCTCGTCCGTGACGAGTTTGACGGTCAAGTACATATGTTGTTCATCGCGTTCCTTCTTGCGCATCTCGGCGTCCCTCCTTTCCCTCTCCAATCGTAAACGAAGGTGCTCAGGCACTTGCTCTACCGTGATCGGGTCCAGGACCTCCTTGACCCGCGATTCCCGAATGTACACGAGCATGTAGGCGTTCGTGAACCTCTTCATCGCCGGCTTGGCATTGGGCGGGTGCGCGCCGTTGTTGAGCAAAGGTTCGCCACCAAAGTTATCCTCGAGCACCTCTCGATCGGTGACGGGGACGACGCGGTCGTCGTCGAAGCGCAACCAACGCCCGTCGGCCGAGGGCTTGATGAGCACAAAGTAATGCCCGCCGTGGACGTCGCCGGAATGGACGAGCACGCCGTGCAATTTGTAGTTGTACGACTCGGAACGATCGGCTTGTTCGGACAAATACGGTTCGAGATCGATTTCGAGAGGGAACTCGTGTCGATCGTTGATCTGTGGGCCGCGAAGATCTACGTCTCAACATATGTCACAACAATCGAAGCCTGATCCGACCACTTAAGAACCCACCTTGACGTTCTGATCCCTCTGCATATCGTACTCGAACCTCTTGAGCTGCAAATGCAAGACCGGAGGGAAGCTCTCAAAGATGACGCCCTTCTTGGCGTCCTGCAACCCAAAGCCCTCGGCATTGTACTTGTTTTCGCCCTCAAGAGTTTCCATCGCGATGTAGTCCTTGAACGAGGCCTCGAGGTTGGGCATGTCCTTGACGTTGAGTTGGATGTCGTAGAAATCCTCCGTGCGCGCGGACTCAAAGTCGATGTCGATGCACTTGATGTAACTCTTCATCGAGCCAGAGAACAGGCGCTTGATTTCCCCATCCGCTGCCGTGCCCTGCGCGAAGCCACTAGCGGCGAAATCAGCTACCCATCCCTCCGTGTTGATGGGCTTGCTCGGCAACGCAAACGCACCTTCATCTTGGTCTCGAGCTTGTCACACAAGACACGGTTGAACTCTTGCACGTCATGCTGCAAGAACGAATCAAAGCCCTTCCAGCCGAACGATCGCGTCAACTCGGTCGTGCCAACAGATTGGTCCGAGGTCTGGAGGTTGTAAAAGACGCGTTGCAAGGCGAGTGGGACGGTATCGGTCGTATCGTCCTCGGTCGGGATTTGGTATACGGCCTGGGGGTCAAGGGGGTTTGGAGAGGTTCACATCAGAGGAGATTCCTTTACGAATGTAAGCGTTCCGTTGGACCGACCTTGCGGAAACTGTTGGTGAGGAAGAGGGACTGGAGCAGCGAGTTCATGTAGCACGTCGCGCCTTGGTTCTTGAGCCCGACGTGGCCCGTCTGCTTCTTGGAGTCGTAACTGTAACAACGCGCAAAGTGCATCAGTGAGGTAGGGCCCCAGAAATGTATTCCCACAACTGACTTGTGAAAGTTGTGCCACAGCACACCGGTCGGATCCTTGAGGACCCTGACGAAAGCGGTAATGATGGTCTCGTCGTTCTCGATGATGGGTTTCGGTCGCCCTTCGGAGACGGAGAAGAGCTTGCGCAATTCGACGAAGCGGGTGAACCCCCAGTCTTGTTCCTCTTGGGTGAATCGATGGTGCGCCTCTGCGTGGCGGTGGTCATCGATCGCCGCGAGATGTCAGCACGGTCGGCCGCCACCGGTGGGAAGTGAGCGTGCACTTACGACTCTGGATGTAGACGGTCGGATCGGAAGGGTTGGAGATGGCGAGTGCGAACTGGGCGCAGACGTGCCAGCCTTCCGAGGCTTTCTGGTCGCCATAGTTGAGGTAGACCGAGACCATGTCGTTGGCTTGGCCGTTCGAGTTGCCCATCGGAAACAAGAGCACGTTCCTGAGGTTCGATGAGAGTTAGTTTCGTTGTGGTTCGTGATAGTCATCCCCACCGCCACCGATCGACCTCGACCCCCCCAAGCCAGCAGGCGCAGCCCAGGGCGATCTCCGATCTCCGGCCCCTGTCCTGTGTGAAGGGCGAGCACTCACCACTTGTGGCCTCCACACGAGAACTCGGGCGAGAGCAATCGCTTGTCGGCCCTACGGTAGTCGCTGAGCTTCCACGTGAAGACCTTGAAGTCGTGCACCTCCTCGCCCATGTCGGTCAAGTGCTTGTTGGCGAAGCCTTCGTCTGTTGGTGCGGTGCAGGGGAAGACGGGGAGGTTGGGGTTTCAGTACAGGGACTTGTGGTGTTACGGAGCATGGATGCATGTGGTATGCTGGAGAAGGCTAGGCGGAAGTGAGGGCATGGGACACCCCTCCTTTGCGTCGACCGCAGTGGCTCCACCCGTCCGCCACCCGTCCGCCACCCCCCCGGCGTCTACACCGTCAACCGATCAGAGACCGACCGACAACTTACGATCATCAACGGAAACGATATCAATGTCCATCGGCGCGACCGTCGGCGGGCCCGCTGTGCCGGGAGACGGGGACGCCGAGCCACGACCACCGCCAGCCTGTGACTCGTCAGCTATTAGTACGCCCGGTTGCGGCTGCGGCTGCGGCTGCGGCGCGGGCTGGGCGTGCGCGGTTGGGTTGGCGGTGACGGTGAGATTGGCGGTGTGAGTCGCATTCCCACCATTCCCACCATTCCCACCATTCCCACCACCGCCACCACCACCACCATGTTCTGGCGATGTGGGATCCTACGAGCGCCTCACGCGGTGTCAGCATCCTACAGCTTCCTCGTGACCGACTCGCGCGTACTGACCATGTTGTGGACAGGCTCGCTGTGTTGCTTTGCACGAGCGGAAACAAGAAGGAGCCGAATGCGAGAGGCGTACGTATAATAACCGAGCGAGCAGCGTATAAGCGCAGATAAGCGCGCGCTCCAAATCGGTGTGATTAGCTCTTTTTTACCATTTCAGTTTCACACTAGCGCGCGTGAGTCCCCCCCCCCCCCCCCCCCCCTCTTTGTCGGCTTGTCGGCTAGACCATTACATGCGGGGCTTGTGCTTCTTTGCGCGTGAAACAACATGGACTTGTCTCTATTTCAAGGATCGCTGCATCAAGTACGTCTCTCGTTCGGCCGAGTCGAGTCGGTCAATCATCCGGAAGAACAAACTTGCGTCGACCTCCCCGTGTCTTCGTACCTCCTCCTTTGGTCATGTCTCGCGAGAAAAGAAGATCCTACTTGCTTAGAGCCTCCTTAGAGCCTCCACCTCACCGCACGACCTCTTGTCGACTCGGTCGTCCACGATAGCTGCCCGTTCTCTTTCCGAATGCCGAAAACCCCCGATCGAATTACAACCCCCCCCCCCCCTTCCCTCTTATGCATCCTTCACAACGACTTCAACTTCCCTCGGCAAACCCAACCTCTGCACCATCTCCACACTCCCAGCGGGCATAGGCAACCCCTTGACCCCTTCCAACACCTCCCCCTCCTCCCTCCCCAACCCAAACTTTTCCCTACTCAACGCCTTCCACCCCACTTTCTTCTTCGCGTCCACGACCCTCACGAACCCCCCGGGAGCGCCGGGCACACACCCCTTGACGTAGAGCACGTTGTGCAACGTATCGATCCTATGCACGAGCAGATTCTGCGTCGTGACGTTCTTGCCGCCCATTCGACCGGCCATTTTCTTACCCGGCCAGACCCGACCGGGGTCTTGGTGTTGACCGGTCGAACCGTGCGAACGGTGGGATACGGAGGTACCGTGCGAGGCGCGAAGACCTTTGAATCCGTGGCGCTTCATCGGACCTTGGAACCCCTTGCCGATGCTGTTCGTTCAGAAAAAATGCGAGAGGAAGAGGGGGAGTGTTCGGAAGGGGTTTCGGTTGGGTTGAGGATCCCAAGTTGGATGACTCACGAAGGTGCTTGCGTATCAACATGTTGTCCCGGAACGAAATGCGCCGCCGAAAAACGAGTGCCTGTACCCAAGTTCAACAAAGAGTAAGCTCCCGCTCTGTCCACCAAGCTTGTTGGGGAAGGGGTTCCGCGTCAAGAACTTACCACTCGGAACCAACGCGTCTTCGGTGACCTCGAACTCGGCCAACCTCATCTTGGGTTCGACGCCGACTTTTCTGAATTGACCGAGGAGAGCGTTATGGGTCGTTTTCCGCTTTCGGGGACTGGCACCGACGATGACGGAGTGGTGCGCGGGGGATTTCGACGTCGCGGGGTAGGAACGCGATTCGATCACTTGGACGTCGTCGAGCTGCAGGCGATAGGAAAGCAAAGTGAGTACCGGTGAATGATTAGCCTCGCCGTCTGTTCCTCCTCTCGAGGCATCCCACGAGAGCAAGCAAACGACCCGCGAAGGCGAAAGCCACACCGAATCCCGGCCCTTGAAGACGTACATGCAACACCGTAACCGGTACCCTGACTCCCTGTTGCCACAACGCGGTCATGCCCAACTTTCTCGCCAACACCCCCGTTCGTTGGGTCGAAGGTGTCCAGACCGGATCGGCGGCAGTGGACGTGCGTTCAGTCGCCGTGGGTGAGGTGGCAGGGGTGGAGGTGGAGGTGGTCGCTGTCGCAGCGGAGGTGGAAGAGATGCATCGTCGAGAGACGAGGGACACGGAGCGTAGGGTTGAGGTGAGGGACTGCATCTTGGCCGGGTAGACTTGAAGGGGCGAGCGGGAGGAAGCTCCGCTGGCTGGGGAGACCTCCTCACGGGTCGCGCTTGCGGAGCGACGGCGCTGAGCGGCGCTGAGCTCGGGTGGTGTAAGGTCCAATTGGGGTTTTCTAATCCTCTTTTGCCACGGCTGCCTTCTGCTGCCTTCTGCCGCCTTGTCGTCGTCATCGGTCCGCTTTCCCTTCCTTCCACCACGTCGCACAGCCTCCCTTTCTCGCTCAGCCCACCATGGCTTCCACCCCCGAGACCACCTCCACACCAAAGGGTGAGCTCTCCCCCTCCCCACCTTCCCCAAGGTCCTCCCCCACGCGCGTGCTTCGCATCACCTAACCCCCTGTCCTGCCTCTCCCGCCTCTCAAAGACTCCACGTCGACGCCGCCGTCCTCGACGTTCAGTCTCCACGGCCGCGCCCTCAAATTCGATGACCTCCCCTCGATCGAACCCTACCTCACCCAAATCTCGACCCACTCACCCCCCATCACGACCCTCATCCTCGGCGGCAACACCCTCGGCGTTCCCGCCTCCATCGGACTCGCCTCCACGCTCGAGACCCAAAAAGATCTCCAAACGGTCGACCTGAGTGACATCTTCACCTCGAGGTTGATCTCCGAGATCCCGTTGGCGTTGAAGAGTTTGTGTACGAGTCTGTTGAAGGTCGACGGATTGACCGAGTTGAACTTGAGTGATAATGCTTTTGGGGGCAGGTCCGCCGAACCCATGTCAGTTCAGCCGTAAAGCTCGTCGCTCCCCAACCGGCCACCCCATTCACTAAGGCAATGTCCTGCAACAGGTTGGAGTTCATCTCGACGCACCCCAACTTGCGCGTCCTCAAACTCAACAACAACGGGATGGGACCCGCAGGCGGAGCCATGATCGCCGGCGCATTGTTCGACAATGCCGAGAACCACAACAAGCACAACCGACCGAGCACGTTGACGACCATCATCTGTGGTGAGTGCAGTAGAGCTCTCTTTCAGCTTTGGAGCTAGCCCTCTGACCATTTCGATCAGGCCGCAACCGACTCGAGAACGGCTCCTCTGCCGCGTTCGCCAAAGCCTTTGCCGCTCTCAAATCCTTGAAGGAAGTTCGCATGCCCCAAAATGGAATACGTATGGAAGGCATCGAAGCTATCGTCGAAGGTTTGCGGGAGAACAAGGCTTTGGAGGTGTTGGATTTGCAGGATAATACGGCGACGCAGAGGGGGTCCAAGGCGATTGCGAGGAGTTTACCTTTGTACGTCCTTCCGAACCCCGCGATCTCTTGAGCCGAACCGAAAACTGACCCCGCATCTCTCTCTCTCTCTCTCTCTCTTGATGGGGCTTTTAAAGCTGGCCCAAGCTACACACCCTCAACCTCTCGGACTGTCTGCTACGTCCCAAAGGCGCGCTTTCCATCTTCACCACGCTCTCCACCGGTTCCAATCCGCACTTGCGATCGCTCAAACTCCAATCCAACGAAATGAACGCCGTCCCCATACTCGAACTCGCGAGAGCGATCGAGAGCCATCTGGGTGAATTGAACGATTTGGAATTGAATGGGAATTTGGGCGAGGAAGGGGATGAGTGTTATGAGAAGGTTAGGGAGGCCTTGGCCAAGTGGGGCAATGAAGACGGTTTGGACGAGTTGGACGAGTTGGAGGAGGAGGAAGGGGAGGAGGAGGAGGAGGAAGACGGGGAGGAGGACGTGGAGAGTGAGAGCGGGGAGGGAGAGGAGAAGAAGGAGCAAGAGGATAGTTTGGCGAACGATTTGGCCAATGCGTTCGCTAAAGTTCATGTGGCGTAGAGACAGCCGAATTAATAGAGGCGTTTGGGGTTTGGTCAGGAGAAGGGGAACACTATGCAATGGTTTATACGTTCTCTGCTTTACGCCTTTTCGGTAATTTCTACATTACAACAATTTCAAGAATCATCCTGCGCAAACTCTGCTCATCCCTCCAACTCCCTCATCGCCGCTTCAGCCTCATCGTCCATCCAATCATTTTCGTCCAAGTCATCCGGGATATTTTCCTCCTCCTGCGCAGCCAGTGCTAGCCCTACATCCTTCCTCACCTCCATACCCGCTCCACCCTGCGTCTCCATCGTGCTCGCCTCCTTCCCCAAACTCTCTAGCACCTCCTCTTCATTCGCCAACATGGCTTCGAACGCCTCCTCATCCCAATCGTCTTCCATAGCCCCATCCATCCCTTCACCGTCATTCATCTCCTTCAACACCTCATCCGCATTCAACCTCGTCAAAGGGCCGGCAGAACCGGGCGATGAGAGTCCGTGAGTCAGGTCAAAGGCTTGGCCATCTTGATCTTCGGTGTCGAGGAGGGCTTCGGCGGGGGGTGGGGGTTGAGTCGCGAGTTTGTGTTCTTCTCGGTATTGTTTGAGGGCCGACTGTGAACAACGAATACGTCTTAGTTCCATTTCCGCCCCCCTTCGTTTCCTGAACGAACAGCCCGTTCCCCGGCCAACTCACCTGCACGGACCGCTTATGACACAACTTTTCGACGACCTTCAACGTATCGGTCAAGTTGGTCCTGGGGTACATCTGATGACACCACAACTGATACATCCTCAACACCCTCTTGAGATCGTTCTTCTCCTCCCCCTTGACACCTTTGATCTTGAATTTTTGAACTTTGTCAAGGAGTTTCGGGAAACCAGAGGGACCGAGGAGTCGAACGTCGTTGAGTTTGGCCAAAGGTTGTCGTTGCTTCTTGCCCGAAACCCCCTCCACGTCCAAAGTGGACGCCAAACCACCGACAGGATCGATGGCGTTGAGGTTCTCAGCCCAGGGATCTTCCTCCACCGGAGCCAGCACCTCCACTTGTGCCCTCCCCCCGCCCCCGCCCCCGCCCTCTCCCTGTCACGAGCATTGGCCCTATCCCGATCGGTCGCCTTATTGAACGCGGGAACGCGCTCCAAATCGCCGAACAAATCATCCAATACCAAACTCTGACCACCGCCTTCATCCTCATCCCCCAAGAACCTCGGTAAAGCCCTCTTGGTCATCTTGCCCCCGTCGCGCGTGGTGATGGTCCTCCTGGAAGTGGAGGAAGCAGCCGAGGCTTCACGTTCGTTACGAGCTCGTTTGGACGCGATCACGGAACGCACGTCGTCGTCCGAGGCGGAGGCACCGGAGGCATCGGAGGACGCGTTGAACAGACGAGCGTTCGTTTGGGGTTCCTTTGGAGGTTGACGACGGTGGAGACGAACGGCCGATACGTCAGAGTCGTCGGAATCCATCGTGGGCGTGGGCGTGGGCGTGCGCTGGTGCGGTGCTGCAGTGAGGCGCTGAGGAGGGAAGGGGACGCGTAGCGACGCGCCTCGGCTGGGGCAAGTTTACGACGGGGTCCGTGCGCGCCCGTATTTCGGAAGGATTTCCTGCAGAGCTTGCGAGGGGAGAAAGGCATTTTATCTGTTTCGACCGCTTTGTTTTGAATGAATGCAAAAACCGGTCCACTCGTTCCATACCGAACATCTCGAACATCTGAGCTCACCCGAAAACCCAAAATGCAGCTGAACCCGCCGCCCAAACTCTTTCCTAGTGCCTCTCACGCTCTCTCGACCCCCCCGTACATACGCCCTCCCACACACCCTCGATCACTCACCATGCGATCCCTGCACTCCCTCCTCGGACCGCCCGACGACGCACAACCCAACTCGCCTACACCGACGCCTCGTGCCTATGCGCCTACGAAACGAGTCACCGAGCCTTACTCGGTATTGATCCCGATCACGAGATTGGAATTGGTGCAGTCGCAGACGTCCGCGAACCCTTTGAGGAATCAAGTGACGGCGACGACGGCGGGTGCGCTGACGAACGCTGTGGGCGGCCCTAGGGGAGGTGCAGCTGCGAATGGTTTACCCAAAAGACCTAGGTCCACCGTGGAGGAGGAAGGGGAGGAAGCGAATAAGAAGGGGAGGATCACGACGCAGCATGATGTCACGCTCGTCACCAATCATTGTACGCCCCATCCTACACTTTCAAATCTCTCGCAATGAAAAAACTCACTACCTTTTGTATTGCCCGTAGACAACGCTCGTCCCAACTTTGGTCGACAGACGCGCACGGCGTCCTCCATCATCGGTCTCAAGAACTTCAACAACTGGATCAAATCCGTCCTCATCAACAGGTACGGGCGACCCCAACCTGGTCCCTCGAATGCACACATGTTTGATCGTAAAGGGGCTTGGAAGGGCGATTGGAAGGTGATGGATATGTGTTGTGGCAAGGGAGGGGATTTGATGAAGTGGTCAAAGACGGGCGTGAAGGAGTATTATGGATTGGGTCAGTGGGATAGGAAGAGATTAAAGTTCTTTACGGGTACTGATCGGGTCGTTCTAATTCAGACGTCGCGGGCGTTTCGGTTGAACAAGCTCGATCGAGGTACCAAGACATGCGAGACCGTCGCTTCAACGCTCACTTTATAAGAGCCGACTGTTTCGGCGTGCGTAACCCCCCATACCCCTCCCTCCCTCCCAAGCCTCTTCCCTGATAGCCCTCCCCTCCCTCGCACAGACGGCCATCACAGAAATACTCGAACCCCGCCAACTCGACCCTTTGTTCGACGTCGTGTCGATGCAATTCTGCATGCATTACGCGTTCGAAAGTTCCGACAAGGCGAGGAGGATGTTGAAGAACGTGGCGGATTCCCTTAGGGTCGGGGGAACGTTTTTGGGGACTATTCCGGATTCGGATAAACTCATGTCAGTTGCCACCGTTTGACCAATGGATCAGGAACTCGTCGACGACTGATTCCTGATCGGGCCTCGTGGACTTGATCACAGGGACAAACTTAATGCCATTCCCGCGGAAGAAGAGAACCTCGCGTTCGGGAACGAGGTGTACGGCATCAAATTCGACGAACGGGATTGGGTCGAACAGTTCGGTCATCGGTATACGTTCTTCCTCCAAGACGCGGTGGAGGAAGTACCCGAATATGTCGTGCACTGGGAGGCGTTCGTGGAGTACGTTTCTTCGGTGACAGTGGGATGGGGTGGGGAGGGCAAAACAACTGATCTTGTACTTCTGACCTTTTCCCCCCAGTCTCGCGAGGGAATTCGACCTGCACCTCGAATACAAATCCGACTTCCAGGATATTTTCCTCGCTCATAAAGACGAACCTGATTTTGCGCAACTGTTGAAGAGGATGAGGGTGATTGATGATCAAGGAGATACGGAGATGACCCCCGAACAATGGGAGGCGGCTAGTGAGTGGGGATTCGATCGCTGTCTTTTGGGGGAGAGGGACGGAACTAACCTTCCCTTGTTTGTGTTTGTGTAGCTATCTATTTGGGATTCGCTATGACCAAGGTCGGATCCGAGGAAGGAAGGGAAGACACGAGATCAATCTGAGCTTTGACGAGTCCAACGGTCGAAAGGGTGAACAGACGCGAACAGACCCTGCGCCGGACGACAAGGATGAATCTGATTCTCCTTTCCGTAACATTTTGTGAAATGAGATATGTTGTTGTTGTTGTTGTATAACCTACTCTGGACAAATATTTTGAGGTGCTACTGGCCAGCACTGCAGCAGACATCCGCACTCCGCAGCACTGGCCTAGAAGTCGCATGGCCAAGCCGCGCCGAGCACGTACTTGGTCTCGACTTGTACGCGACTCCGAGTTGGCACGACATGCTCTGTCGTCGCGTGGACACCGATACCGCCAAGGACACCGCACTAGGTTCACTGTTGCCGACGGTTACTAGGCTCCATACGGCCCCGGTTCCACTTCATATTGCATCTCACGATCAATGGCTTTCTCTGCAGTGCCTCCTGCGACTCCCACCTCGACCACTCCGCTCCGATGACGCTCCAAGACGTTCTCGAGCTCGTGCTGCCCCATAGGCCATCTCTGCGTGACGAACCAAAGCTGTTTGATGAAGAGAACTTCTCCTCGTCAAATAGCTCCGCACAGCAGCCATGGTGATGATGAAAGGGACATCTTTCTGTCGCATGCCTGGTCATCGGACGCTCCACGTCTCGGAATCGCCGTTCGGGAACCAACTCTGATCGATAGCGTCACGTAAGCTCTGCATCGAGGTCTCAAACGAACGTCCGCACAGCCGAGTACACATTCCTCGAACCATTTTTTGCAAGGTTGGTTGCAACAGTATCTCAGCCGTCGTCGGTATGCGCAACTGGTCGAAGAAGGGGCGTCGTTCTTTCGCCTGGAGGAGCTCCTCGCTCTCGTCATCTGCCCCATCGTCGAGATTGTCGCAAAATGTTCTCAAGTGGAAACTGATGATGACCACGACTCAGTCCAATGAACAGGGACTAGAACAGAGTAAGTAGGATTCCATGTAGCTGACCTGATGACGACCACGACTCAGTCCAATGAACAGGGGCGAGAACAGAGTGGCCAGAGTGTTGTGGGAAATTAGTAAAGGGTCAGCGGTCCAGAGGGACTTGTGGCATTGGGAAGTTGGCGCGCGCGTGGCGCTGCGCCGGATGGAGGCAGATGGCGGTGTGGTGTCTTGATTGGACTCAGAGGTGGCTTGCACGCGGATACTATCTAAGGCTCTGGTTTCGTTCACTCTCTCCCTCTTCTTTAACACACACTCGATATCTATCTCGCCCATTCGCCTGCTACAAGTTGATTGACCTTGGCGATACTCTATCTCACAATAGGTCATCTATCAACGCCGCGTAGCTACAGCGAATCTTCATTCATTCATTGGTACTCCAAGTCCAAATCCACAACAGGTTATGAGCCTAACGAGCAATTGCTGCTCTTGTTGGCAAGACATCTGCGTGTTGCAAAACCATCCTGGTCGCCTTAACCAGTACCCCAAAAGTGAAGGCACCTTCAAGAGATGCATGCGCCGAATCCTCTTTCAACACAGAGACTAAGGGACACACTGGCAACTGCTATGAACCTTTGACGGCACTCGCAGTGGAGGCGACATCGAAGCAGACGCTTGAATCGTTCTTCGATCGGAGTTTTCGGTTTGGCGACATGGAACTCAATGCTATCGACATTCGACTCAATCAAGGAGGAGTGAGCCAGGTGTTGATGCTGCAGTGGACGACGGATCAGCGATAGTGGTCAAGGTGAGGGAAAGTGCAGGGCACCGGTCATTGCAGCCGCTACTTTCTGACCGCAATTTCGCAGATCCATCGGCATCTCCCTAAGCGAGAAAGAATACAAGTTCTTGCATCGCTTTGTGATGAGAGATGAAGAGAGAAAAAAAAGGTCGATAGAGACGGTCTAGAGGGATCATCGAAGCTCAAGCTCATCGAATACCTGCTCGCGACCAAATGGGCATGAAATGAGCCCGTCTCAACAAAGTACGCAGTCACGGGATGGCAAAGGCACTGTAGCCTGCTCTTTTGATGTCGCGAGACCGATTTGAATTGTCGGTACTCTACACGAAAAGAGTGAAATCAGCGATCTCCACTAAAGTCGTCAATATTCGCAAGGATTCCGAAGTTGCTCTGCGAAAGGGTTTGTGCAAGCCCGGCGGGGCACAGCGATGTCCTCGACATCCTCCATAGAGGTCTGCATGCTTATCAACCCCAAAATTTTGTTTAGATCAGCGTTCATGTGTCTCCGATTCAAGTTACACCGGGCAAATCTCTCCGGCTTACATCCGATGCCGAATTTGGCATTTATAAAGGCCGTCCGCCACGGGCCCGCACGGGCCCGCGTCGACACTAGCTCCTTTTTGTGTGTCCGATTCGGCCAGAACACGCGCTAAAAGGTTCGAGTTGGAACGGCGATGTACAGGAGGGTGCTCGGGGTGGCGCTTATCTTCATTCCGTCTGCTTCATCTCTTGGTTGGCAAAAATGACGGGTGCGCTTTCAGTTTCTCGAGTGGACGAACGTACACCTCTTCTTCAGGCAAAGCGCGATGACACGTCGGTCTCAGTGTCTCAATCGGATGCGACCCCCCACACGCTCGCGACCCTGCCGAATGGACACGACATCATTACCAGCAGTAGCAACACCTCACGTCCTCTAGGTGTCAACCTCCCCCACTGCCAAAAGGTCGTCATCCTCGTCGGCACCTTCCTCGCCACCTTCCTCGGCTCCCTCGACGCAACCGTCACCGCCTCTCTCATGCAACCGATTTCGTCAACCTTCAACAAATCGCAAGAAGCGTCTTGGCTAGGAACATCCTACCTCCTCGCTTCTCTCACCTTCACTCCCATGTACGGCCGCCTTTCGGAAATTCTTGGCAGACGGATCGCCAACACTTCGGCGATTGGGATTTTCACTCTGGGGACGATGGGATGCGCTATGGCGAGGAGTATGAAGGAATTGATTTGGGCGAGGTTCGTGGCGGGGTGTGGTGGGGGCGGTATGATGACGACTTCGGCGATTGTGGTGTCGGATTTGTTTGAGCTTAAAGAGAGGATGTTCGTGACGGGGATTTCGAGTCTGGTTTGGGCGGTGAGTGAGGGACGGAATCTCCCTTTCGGTCCGGAGCTGATGAGACCGGAGAGGGGCTTCATTCTCCTTTCAGGTCGGTGGCGCTTTGGGCGGTCCGTTGGGTGGCTTCATGAATGATCTGTTCGGCTGGAGAACCGCGTTCATGGGACAAGGTAAGGGCTCTTCTACTCACGTGAAACAATGACTCTAGGGAGTTACCCTCCGAGTACGAAAAGCTGACAGGACCCATCATCAAATTCCATAGTTCCTCTCCTCATCCTTGCCCTCCTCAGCGGTCTCCACAACCTCAACTACACGACCCCTTGCACGCGCGTTGGGACGAATCGTGAGAAACTCGCTCGGATCGATTGGCTCGGCTGCGCAAGCTTGTTCCTCACCTTTGGAAGTCTGCTCCTTTCCCTCGCACTACACAACAACGAGCTTATACCCTGGTCGGATACGCGAGTTCTGGTCCCGACTTGTCTCACACCAGTCTTCATGCTCCTCTTCGTCTACATTGAAGCGCGCATCGCAACCGAACCCCTCCTTCCTCTCAATCTCCTCCGCCAACGCACGCCTCTAGCAGGTCTAGGTGTCATCATGCTGCAAGCCGTCACCAACTGGACACTATTATACCATCTCCCCATCTACTTCCTCGCCGTTGAAGGGAGTACAGCTTCGTCCGCGGGTGCGCATTTGTTACCTACCAGTGCGGCGGCGGCCTTAGGAGGTGTTTCGAGTGGGTGGATCATTCACAAGACCGGAAGGTATTGGGAAGTAGGGGTGACAGCGACTATGATGGGATGTGAGTGAAGAATTCGCATAATAGTAGTCTCTCTCTTCTTCTTCTCCTCGACTGATCCATGTATCTTGCAAACCGCTTGACCCCCTCCAGCCCTCTCGATCCTCTCCATCGTTTTCCTCCACCCCGCCTCCCCTGCATGGGTAAAATGGCTCCAAATACTACCTTTCGGTTTCGCACTTTCCACCTCCATCACCACCTCCTTAGCAGCCATTATGGCTTCCGTCCCCCAATCCACTATCCCAACCGTCACAGGCGCGATATGGCTCTTCCGTTCGTCAGGTCAAGTCATCGGCGTCGGGGGCGCTTCAGCAGTCTTCCAAGCTCTACTCGTCCCTGCGTTGAAGAAACGCATCACAGGACCAGGTGCCGAAGAACTGATCAAGAGGATCAGAGAAGATTCGTCAATCTTGGATATGTTGGAACCGGGGTTGAGGGAGAGAGCGAGGGAGGCTTTTGGAGTGGCGGTTAGGGGCGCTTTTACGGTCGCTTTTGTTGGATCGGTGATGACGGTTTGTAGTTATGCTTGCGTGAGTGATTGAGGGTTGGCGTGTCGGACTCTCCAGGATCAGAGGCTGATGATGCGTTCCTGAGGGGACTTGTTCTCAGATCGAAGTGCTTTCCCTCGAAACGAAGAAGGAAGGGGCCGCCGTCGCGGCTACACCTCCGGGGCAAAGGGTTGTGAACGACGCGGAGAACGGTGAACGAGAGCCGTTGCTAGCGCACATAGAATGACAGTACCAATCTCTCCTTGAGCAATTAGTTAATCAGGTATAATTTTTTTGAAATGGCCATGCCTTCTATATCACTTGCTCCATCAGGTCCTTCAAGTTGGCACACCATCCCCACGTCACAAAGTCCTCCGGTGCCAATCGGGTCTCATTCTTAAGATCGGAGTTGATCTTTGTCTTTATGTTGATTAGAAAAAGTCCGTAGCGCATGAGATCAAGTCGAATATCTCTCTGGCGGTGGAGAGTATCGTACCTGGGGACTAAGATTTGCTGGACGGGAAACCCCTCCGACAGTCGGAGGGATCGATCTCGGCGAACTTGAAAGCCCGCAAAGAACTTTCGACGACTTGGCCTCTTGCACCGCGATGGCCGTGGAGGTCAAAGGTTGCTAAACCTGTTCAAGCGACATGAGATACATTTCGAAAGTACGAATGACTCATCAGATGCAAGTGAACATGATAGAGCCAGGTGCACTGCGTGGGAGTCGGAGATAAAATTAAATTCGGTCATCTCTCGGTGAGGGCTGTACACCCACAGTACAGCATCTTTCTTAGGCCCTATTCGGCTCTTCCCGACCAGTTTATGCACCTCCAACACACTCCAAAGGCCTAGTAGAGGGCAAGACTGTTCAAATAACGTGGACACTGCGGGGGCGCCGGCGGCGAGAGAAAAGCCAGAGACGTTTTGTTTTGGTGGGTCGTTCGCCGAGCGTAAACTTTTTTTTTGGTCTTACACTACTCATCAGCTTGGTCAGCACGGGTTCAATTTGATTTGTTCTGTCACCCGGTGATAGAATATGTACTTGATATGGCGGGGTATACGGCACTGCAGCTTTTTTTTTCGAAAATTGGGTGCGATCGATCGAGCGATCACACGAATGACGATCGTTCGTTGCCCTCGCCCCCCCCCCCCCCCCCACTCACCGGTACTCACCCTCGCACACGGGACTGGCTGCCCTCGGCAGTGTACACATCCACTCCATGCATCGACCCGCCCAGCTCCCCCTCTCAGCGACGGTCTCACCCTTTGCCCATCGCCTCCACCGTCGACTGGTCGTACACGCCCACGAGGACGGCTTGATCCTGCAACCGATCGCGCCGCCACCGACGACCAAGTCGATCGTCGTCGATCGCGCCGACACGAACTCCAGCGCGGGCGTACGCATCCCCTGGGCGAAACGAGCTGTACCTGTTGCTGCGAACGATCTTGATAGAGGTACGGAGGAGGACGGTATCGTCGTGGAAGGGGTGGCGGGTATCGTGCATGGGTTCCAAGGTACGTGTGCACGGCGTCGAGGGTCGTTGAGCCTTGTCTTGGGGCACGGCCCCACATGGCTGTGACCCCTCTCGGCCCTTACGCCTGCTCGGGGGTTTCTTGCCCTCCAGGTGCTGATACACACCGTGTCAATTTCCACAAATAGGCTCCCACATCATCTTGATCGTCAGCTCGGCCGTCTCGGCGACTGTATGGGATGAGAAACGCTCCAAGATCCACTCGGTCGACCAGCTCGTGTCGATCCCGCTCAGCGACTACCAAGCCGCCAACACCGCCCTGACGCGTCATGCCGTCAAGCAGTTCGCACAAAAAGCGAGAAGAGCTGCTGCTGCTTCTTCAACAGCAGCGACGACTTCAGCCTCGACGAGCGACCACGGAGCTGGCACTTCATCCGAGGACGAGGACGAGGACGAGGACGAGGACGAGGACGGCGATGATGACGCCGGCGAGACCGATGACGGGGGCGAAACCACGGACGTCGATGCCGATGCGAGACCGGACACACCCATCAAGCAGCCCAGGAAAAGCCCCTTTTGGGAGCGACTGACACCAAAAAGGATGCCCAAGATATCACTCTCTGCTATCAAACCCAAGGCTGCCACTCCCGCCCCGGCAAATTCGACGGCAGACTCGGGGAAACCGACGCCGCCAAGCAGCTCCGACACGGCCGAAAGCGCCTCCAGTTCACCGGACCCGAATAAACCGGACGAGCTGGCCCAAGACAAGGACGTTGTAGCACTTGCCGAGGCGTCGACCTCTGCCGTTCCCGATCGAGACAACGTCGAGACGGTTCGGTCGCAGACCGAGCTCGATGCCAAGATTGTCGCCGAGACGATGCGGACACTGCGAGGCATGGCTTTCTCGTACGACATCGACATCACGCGATCCCACCAGCGCAAATACGAAGCCTCGCTCGTAGCAGCTGGGCTAGCTTCGCCTACTCACGGCAAAAGTGGACCCAGCGGAACGATTGGACTTGTCGAACCGAGCTCGCATCTGCCACTGTGGAGGCGTGCCGATCGTCGCTTCTTTTGGAACGCTCACATCATGTCGACCTTCATCGACGCCGGGCTGCATGCTTTCATCGTGGTTCTTCAGCAAGGTTTCGTCGCCCACAGCTCGGCTTCGGTCCCACTGCAACCCTACACGACGCTCGCTTCGCCCAGTAACTCCGAAGGCCCTTCCCACGTGGAGCTCGATATGGTTCTCATCTCTCGGCGGTCGATCGAGCGACCTGGGCTTCGATACCAAAGGCGCGGCGTGAACCCACTCGGTCAAGTCGCCAATGCCGTCGAGACCGAGTTCTTGGTCGGTGCCGTGCGGGACTCGAAGCAACACGTCGCTTCTTTCGTTCAAACTCGTGGCTCGATTCCCGTCTACTGGTCACAATCACCTTGGGCTCTCAAGCCTGCACCTGTTCTCGACCGAACGGAGGAAGACAGGAACGCCGCCTTGGTTAAGCACTTTGAGAAGCAAAACAAGTTGTACGGCAGAGTCGTCGTCGTCAACTTGGCTGAAGCAACGGGCAAGGAAGGCGTCGTCGTCGAGGCGTTCCGGAAAGGGGTCGAATTGACCCAATCCGAGGACAAGGTCAAATACGTATACTTTGACTTTCACCACGAGACCAAAGGGATGAAGTACGAGAACATTGGCAAACTCATCACGCAGGTCCAAGCCGATCTCGAGGACATGCAATGCTTTTGGACGACCGATCAAGGTACTGATCAGGTGTTTTCAACGCAACAAGGGGTCGTTCGCACGAATTGCATCGATTGCCTCGATCGCACCAACGTCGTCCAGTCCGCTATCGCTCGATTCGTCCTCAATCGGCACTTGGTCCATCTTGGTATTGCACAGGAAGAGTTGGCGACCCATGATGGGCTCGACACGGCTTTCAACACCATGTTTGCCGACAATGGGGATGCCATCTCAAGAGAGGTGGGTCATTTTTTAGCAATCTTAGTTCAGCCAGTCGGACGATGCTGACCGGCCTAGAGAGGCCTACAGTATGCCGGTACTTCGGCGCTTAAAGGCGACTTTGTCCGAACAGGCCGACGCAATTGGCTCGGAGCCGTCAACGATGCGTCCAACTCGGTCGCTCGATTGCTGCAATCGACGGTCACTGATTTCTTCCGCCAAGCGACTCTCGACTTCGTCCTCGGCGTCAACCCCAATGCGTTCCAAGAATTCTCGGAACGCCTCGATACCTCTGACCCTGGACAACTCTTGCGTCTCGCCAAGATCCGCGAGGAGGCGATAGAAACGAGTACGAAATACTGCCTCAGTCCTGGTGAGGAACGATTAGGTGGATGGAGTATGCTCAGTCCCGTCGAGCCGAATACACTGAGAAGTTCGGCCGGCAAGTATGAAGAGAAGATCGTGCTTATCACCAACAAGTCAGGGACAAAGGGGGCGTTGTACATCGTCTCGTACGAGTTTACACTGCAGAAAGTGACGAGCTTTCTCCGCATCGCGCTTGAGGATATCTCGTCGATCCGCACAGGGGTGAGCACTTGGTACTTGATGCATCTGGCTTGGCCCTGTCTTGCTTTGCTGATGCACTTTGCAAACAGGCTTACATCCTCTCTGCCCTTGACGCGACGACGCGGGATCCGGAAGAAAACTACGGGCTCGTCGTGCATTACCCCGAAGCGTCGGTCATTGAACGCGTTCGGACTTACACGCTCAAATCGTTGCGATTGAAGGCGCGCAACTCTTCAAGCGCTTCCCTTTCATCGGTCAGGACCGACGAGGCAGGCCCTTCTTCCCCCTTGGCCGTTCCACCTTCACCACTATTACCCATCAGTCCTAATGAAACAGTACCATCGAGCAAGATCGCCTTTATCGCTTTGAAAGCTCTTCGCCGCGACGTCATCAAAACCGACGATGGGTACGCCTCCTCACGGATATTCGAATCATCTCGCACCGACGGAAGAGGAGCAACGACGGCCAAGTCGATCGTTGATGATATAGTTTCCATCCTACGTGATGAATCGGGTCACGGAGGGAAGGAAGGCTGGATCGAGGAGGTGGATATTGTTTCGTTGAGCGAGGCGAAGAGTCATACGACTATTGCGGAGAGGTTGAGTAGGGGGGTGCAAAGGTTGATTTGGTATTAACTTGCGTAGGCACATAAGGAGAAGTGTTTGCATGCCCCATTTCATGTCTTTGGAACGAAGGATTCTCGAGATGTTGTAGACAGTGGAGCTGTTCTGACCGCTTGGATGTGAAATTCGTTCAGACTGGTTTGTGCCGCCGGCGAGCCGGGTACCAGATCTAACCGGCCTCCACAGACCGTCCGAAGTCCAAGTCCGGCCGCGGAGGTTCCACGCTTGTCCTTAGTCTACAAGACCAAACATCAACCTCTCTTCGGCTCCGCTTCGAAATCTATGCAAGACATGTCACAAGTTACTATCAGGATACCAGATCAAGGCAAAGGGGACCTCGTAGGAATCTTACAACGTGCGAACCCGGCCGAGTCGATGAAGGGGCAGAAGCTCGCTTTGGTGAGTTGCTGCATTCCGAGGTGGGGTACGAGTCCATGGATGGCTAGGATTGTGATAGCTGATGCTGGTCATTACTTGATTGCTATCCTCGTTGGGCTAATCGTTACTTACCTGAAATGTACGACACGATGCTCGCTACATAAAAATTACGATTCGTTCGGCGACGTGTAGATCCTTCATGGCGTCATGGCTCATAAAGACCAGGTTCGTCAGGGACGCCTTCTGACCCTCCAGGTTCATCTTAATCTACTTGGTCCAACACCCTGATCTTGCCTATCGATTAGGTGTACCACAAACTCTTGGCTGATCGCTTAGCCTCCGAACGAGGGCTCGATTCCTTCCGCTATGATCTTCGGGGTAGGTCCAGCTCACGGCATACCCTTTGGTCTTTCGAATCGACTAGATACTGAAAAAAATCGTGCTTCTTTGAACAGCTCAAGGAGGCGAATCAGAAGGGCGGTGGGGCATGGCCAACTTTGGCGACGATGCCGATGATTTGGCCGTTGTGATCGCTTACTTGGAGACGGAATACGGGTACCGGATTCATTTGAGTGAGCTACAGATTGCTCGATTTGAGGATAAAGGGATACTGTACTGAGATGAGCCATTATCCTGTAGTCGCCGCGCATTCTCGAGGTACGCTCCCTCCGAAGACGCCCCTATGGAAAAATCTTCGCCGCCTAACCCTCTCCTCCTTCCCAACCCACCGCACAGGTTCCATGCTCTCCGCTTACTACCTCTCCACACGACCGCATCCTCCCATCCCTCTCTGGATCAACATCTCTGGACGCTACGATATGAGTCGAATCATGGTCGATAAGCGGTACGGGGAAGAGTTTTGGGAAAAGGGGGAACATTTGTGGAAGGTTCGGGTAAGAGGAAAGAATGTTGTGCAGAGGGTGACGAGGGAGGATGTGAGTGATAGTGTTACGAAGTTCGAGGTAGCAGGGGTCATGGTGGCTCTATTGAGGCTGACACTTTGGGGGCCTTTTCGAATAGGTGATTGCTTTCGCCTCGTGGGACAATTCGTACCTCCAAGCCTCGTTCCCACAAGACGTGCACGTACTCACCGTTCATGGGACCGCGGATCCTGTACGATTGTCAACTTCTCCCTCCGGTGGCGAGTCACAGATTCTCCCCAGAGTGCTGACGAAATAATTTATTCCGGGTGGATTAGGTCGTCCCGGTTCAAGACGCGTATTCGTACCATAAGATCTTGTCACAACGCTCTCCGGGGACACATACATTATCCATCGTTGAAGGTGTGCAACATATCCCATTTCTCAACTTCAGCTCGCTCGTTCTCACAAGACGATCCTGACGAACGCATAAATTTTGTCCAGGCGAGACTCATAACTATACCAAGCCTTTCCGAGAACCGGTGAATTCGATCATGAGTTGGTTGGAGAAGGTTGATGGGAAAGGGATACCATCGACTTCGGGTGAACCAGGGAAGGCTAGACTATAAGGTGGCAACGGCTTTCGGACTCCCTTACCTCTCAGCTCTGTAATTGCGTTCTTGACGTCGTCTCTCTGTATCAGGCAAACCGGAAGGTAGGATAAGAAAGTGTAAGAAAAGAGATATGCATTCTACCAAAACTCGTCTACCAAGGAATGCCCCATAAGAAGACTCTTTTGTTGTTTCCTCCTTCCTCAATTTCTTCGCTCTTCCTCCTCTATTCATCAGCGTTATAAGCCGACTCGTGAATCGCGACCGCACGACCGGAGGGATCAGCTGCGCAACCCCAATCGGCCCTAGGGATCCACCTCACCGCGGTCTTCGCCGCCGCATCGGTCGGGAAGTGGGACTCAAAGATCTGTCGAATAAAGTACGCTTCCTTGGTTTCGGGCGTATCCAGCGGATACCTCTCCTTCGCCTGGGCCAATTGTTCATCCGTCACCGATTGGGCTGAATGCGCCTTCAACCCATCGATCCACGAGTACCCGACCCCATCGGAGAATTGTTCCTTCTGACGCCAGAGGATCGAATCGGGGAGGTAAGGACGCCCTTCTTCCGGCGAGAGGTCGAACGCTTTACGCAGGATGTACTTCTCCATAATGGGTCGACCGTCCTTATCTTTTTGTTCGAGCGAGCCTTTGGAGAAGGTCTTGTCCTCCGCACGGGTGTTGAGCGACACTTCGAGGAATTCCTTATCGAGGAAAGGCACGCGTGCTTCGAGTCCCCATGCCATGGTCGATTTGTTGGCGCGCAGACAATCGGCGGTATGGAGGTTCTTGACGCGTTTGATGCATTCTTGGTGAAAGTCCAATGGCGAAGGAGCGGCGTGGAAGTAGAGGTAACCACCAAAGATCTCGTCCGACCCTTCACCGGAAAGGACCATCTTGACGCCCATGGCTTTGATCTTGCGCGAAAGGAGGTACATGGGGGTCGAGGCGCGAACGGTCGTGACGTCGTACGTCTCGAGGTGGTAAATGACGTCCTCGACGGCGTCCAAGCCTTCCTCGACCGTGAAGGTGTACTCGTGGTGGAACGTTCCGAGGTAATCGGCCGCGACGCGAGCGGCCATCAAGTCGGGCGACCCCTCCAACCCAATCGAGAACGAGTGCAAGCGAGGCCACGCGGTCAACGTCTCGACCTCGTCCTTGCTATCCTCGTCAATCCCGACGAGTCCCCCCTTGTTCTTTTGCCCTGCGGGTGCCGAACGGCCACGGGACAAATCCCTCGAGTGGTTCTGCGCCGCGGCGACCTTGTCCGTTTCCCTCGCCGCGATAGCCGCAATCAAGGACGAATCAAGACCACCGGAAAGCAAGACGCCATAAGGGACTTCGGACATGAGACGCTTCTTGACGGCTTTTTCAAGCGTCTCGCGAATGGCCTTGAGGTCGGCCTCTTTCTTCGGGGCCTTGTCGGCTTGGACGTCCGTATCCCACCACGAAGGCTGGTAGTACCGTTCGGTCTTTCCCGTCTTGGAGTCGTAGACGTGACCAGGGGGGAAGGAGATGATCTCGTCGCACTCGTCGTGCAAGGCCTTGAGCTCGGACGCGAAGTAGACGCAGCCGGGACGCTTCGAGTTCCAGCCTTGGTAGAGTGTGGTGATACCGATCGGGTCACGCGCGGCGATCATGCGCGAGGGGGTGACGGAGTTGTCGAGCAGGACGAAGGAGAACATGCCGTCGAGCATCGAGCACAGAGCGGTGTCGTGTTCCTTGTACTGGGAAGGGAGGAAGAATCGACGGGTTGGTCAGCCGAATGTCCTGCTCGATCCGGCTCGGCTTTTGGGCCGTACGAGATCACGAATCGCCCGGATCGAAACCGACACTCACCAAGTGCATGATGACCTCGCAATCCGAGTGAGTCTTGAACTTTGCGTTGGGGTTCTTGAGCTGTTTGCGCAAGGCTCGGTGGTTGTAGATCTCGCCGTTGACGGCCAGGATCAAGGTCTCGTCCTCGTTGGTGATGGGTTGGGCGCCCGTGTCTGGTCGGAGTAATACCAGAAGTCGTAAGTACGAGGCCCGCCCGCGTTGAGCCCTCCTCCTCCCGACTGACCAACTCCAACGATCGCCAACCGCTCGTGGACGAGGATGCTGTCGTCGGTCATCTTGCATCCACTCCAGTCCGGTCCACGGTGACGCAGTCGCTTCGAGAGGGCCTGCGGGTGGAAGCAGCGAAGATAAGTGAGGTGCTGCCCCCCAAAGGCACTCGTCGTAGGAGGCTATGGGCTGCCAAGAGACTCACGACGGCGCGAGAGCGGAATGCAGGCAGGTCCTGCTTGCCATAGGCATGCGCCGCAAAGATACCGCACATGGTGGTTGGGAGAGTAGGAGGCTGAGTAGTGGGTGTGCGACTGTCGAGAGCTGGGCGAGCAAGGGTAAAACACTGGGACAGAGAGGAAAGGGAGAGCCGGAGCGCGGCCGTCTGTCTGTCTCCCTTCCGTGTCGAGCCGTCGAGACTTTTCTGACCGAGTCAAAATGTCGCCTCTGAGCGCGCGTGATCTCTGAGCCGCTCGCTGAGCCAGCCACAGCCAAGCCCAATTTCGCCAGCTGGCAGGGCGGCGCGCGGGGATACGGGCCGGACCAGTAACTGCATCGTGCGATCACACCGACTTTCTTATAGGGTGTTGCGAGACATTATTCATTACCGCTTATTAAGACTTCGCAAAATATACATCGCCCCAAAAGCCAGGTCTACCTCAAGAGGTCCGAGCTTGTCTTTCTTTCTCACCGGCCGGGAGACTTGACCCTCGATCATCGACGGACCACAAAGCGCTGGCAATGGCTCCGAGCAAACGATGGCGACGCGTCGTGCACATCATCGTCACACCTCCCAAGCTCGTTCGTGGTGATGCTTTCGACCTCTTTCGACCTCGTCTAGCTAGGTCTAGCTCGACGGTGCACCCCTCGACCTCGTCACTCTTTGACTCTTTCGCCCCCCACCCCCACTCGATGCGAAACCGGCTCAGATTGCGGATCGGGTCGCCATCGCTAGCAGCCGTCCGGCTTGGACCGCCCGCTATGCATGTGCATAACGGTTCATGACTATGTGTATTTCTCTCTAGCTCGTTTTAACGCCTCTGCACGACATCGCACGAGGATGCACCGTCGTGCACGCTCGGATCGAATCGGCCTCCCGCGACCTTCTTCGTTGCGAAGGGGGGATAGAGTAAAAGTGATCGACTTTGATAAAGGCAACGCTTGGCCGACCCACTCGTGTTTAGATCTGTTTAGATCTGAAACAAGGGGTGATGAGCTTTGGCGCGTCGTTTGGAGATCTCAGATGCCGCAAGTGTAGGACGTAGGAAGACGTAGAACGTTCTGCTGGTGAAGCTCACAAGACGTAGAAGTATGGTGATCAGCTCGTGCGACACTCCCCTCTTGCCCTTAGTCCGTCGCACAGCCTCACAGGGGGGGGGGGGGGGGGAAGGTCCCGAGACTCGAGTCGACACAAACTCAGTGACCCCGCTCGATCATCCTCAATAAGCATCATCATCATCGCTTATCATCATGCGTCATCATGTTGACTATTGAAAATTTTGCTGCTGTTTATCAGGTCATATCTCGACCTTCTTTGAATACTGGGTGAATCATCATGTTCCACATCCCGTTGCCTCTCTCTCCGAGTCGCGCGCGCGCCCCGGAGCGCCTGCGCTCGCCTCGCAGAAACAAGGCGCGCTTGTCTCTTTTTCCTTTTGTCCGTAGTATTCTATCGATCGTAGCCTATTCCTGCCTTTTCCGGTTGGGCCCCAAGCAGCCCCGAGCAGCCCCGAGCAGCCCCCCGCACGATTTTGAAGTTACGCAGCTCTTGTCCAACACAATCTCTGGCGCGCCTCTCGCGACAAACATGGCCTCCACGAGCATCCACGCCCACGCCCAAGCCCACAACCCCGCCGCCCACCTCAACGCCACTTCGACCACAGCCATGAACAACCTGACGCACCGTCAGAGCCTGCTGCGTCAATTGGTCCTGTCATCGCTGCCTCACTCGGCGGTGTCGGCGCTCTTCTTTGCCGAACGGCTGCACGCGCTCGACCCAAGCACCGAACCGAGCGTGTATCTGTACGCGTTCGTGCTCGCGCACAACCAGCGCCACGACGAGGCGATATGGCTCCTGCGACAAGCCGTCACCTTCCACCCACTCGAACACACACCCCAAGTCGATCCGTTCAACAGCACGAGCATGCCCACCGCGATTGCCGGTTACCACGCCTCGAGGAGATGGCCGGCGCATATGCGATTGACCCGTCCTTCCATCGATTGCAGTCTACGTTGTGCGAGGTTGTACGCCTCGACCTGCTCCAAAGTGGAGCGACATCGCGAGGCACGCGACGTCTTGGCCAAGATCGTGTCGACGACCCAGCCGCTCGTTCAACCCGAGCCGGCCACTGAAGCCGCCTTACACGCCGCCGTGTCCGCACCGAGTATATCCGGCTCCTCATTCGATGCGACCTACGTCATCGATCTCGAGATGGCCAGACTGGCGAGGCAATCGGGGGAACACGAGAGGGCGATTCAGTCGTACCGCAAGGCACTCGACAAGCATCCGTGGTGCTGGGAAGCGCTCGAAGGGCTCTGCGCCGAAGGAGCACCACCAGACCCGGACGTCCTGTACCCACCTCGACCGACCCGAACCGTTCGATCAGCCCCAACTTCGATCCCCATCTCCCCCATGCTGAGCTCGAGTGGGAATAACAACGGCCCCGCCCAGCCGTCTCGGCCCCCTCTCTCGGCCCATCCAAGTCACCCGGCTCCGCTCGGTCCTAGTCAATCTTCGACCATCAACTCGGCTTTCACCTTCAACAACGCCGCGGCCAACAAAGCCACCTCATCGGGTGGATTCTTCACACCAGGGGATGCGGCTGTTTCTCAGGTTGGGGGTGGTGCAGGCGCCAAGGGCAAAGACGCTAAACCGGAACGAGGGGGCTTGTTTGGATTCGGACCCGGTGTGGCGGCAATGTCGAGTATTTGGAGGAAGGGGAGGGCTCAAATGGCTGCTGATATCTCGGAAACAAGTATGGAGGATAGGTGAATAATAGACGGCCCGTCGTGTCGTGGCTCTGCCGAACGGGGACTGACTCTTGTCACTTTGCCCTTTTTCAGCTCTTTCGACACGTCGTTCTACCCACAACCCTTCAACCTACAAAACAACGCCCACGCACATGCCTCGTCTTCCAACTCGCTCTTTACGCCACCCACGGTAGTCAGCATTGCCTCGAACACCGTCGCACCCGGCGTCAAGCGGACTCGCGGAGGCGCTCAGGCCCAAACACTGAATGCAGCGCCCACAGCTCTGACGACCCCCAACAATGGCGGAGACGAGGACATGCGCTCCGCCGCTCTGACGAATGCCGCTCCATCGAAACGCGTTGCAAGAGGAGCTCTCTCGAATCCAACTATCGCAGCCGAAACGGGCTCCAAACATCGACGCGACGGTTCGACCGGAGCCAGCGCAGCACCTGCAACGCGTCGCTCATCTCGCCTCTCTCGCGATCAAGGTTCTTCGAATGGTATCACAGGAGGTGGATCAGTCAGCATGGCCTTGACTCGATCTCAATTGAGTGCGAATGGTGGAGGGGCGGCGACGACACGCAGTGCAGCAGCGAGGGATAAGAAACGGAGTAAAGCTGGGGCGGGACCGTCGGTCCTTTCCGACGCGGGATCAGAAGCCCTCTCCCCTCCTTCGATAACGTCTTCTTCCCCGGCTCCCTCATCACCTGGTGCTACGATGCATCCGCCGCCGACTTCGACATCAGTGCAACCAGCCTCGATCCTCGATGCGGCAACGCAAGAAGCCGAGGATTACGTCGCCCATCTCGTGAGGTGTTTCGCCACTGCGGCGACGAACGCGGCCAAATTTGAAAGCGCCAAGACGATCGAGGCGTTGTTGTTGTTACCTGTGGAGCAGCAGAGGACATGGCGGTGTTTGGTCGGGATTGCCAAAGCGCATTTGGAGTTGTTGAATTATGAAAAGGTGCGTTTTATGGTCACACTCAGCAGGGGGTTTCCGGAATCTGACTTGGAGACCACGACAATGCGCACAGGCTGAAAAGGCATTCTCGCAAGCGCGTCAAGTTGCGCCTCATCTACTCGATTCAATGGAGCTCTACTCGACTCTCTTGTGGCATCTCCGCCTCTCGACCTCCCTTTCTTTCCTCGCGCAAGATCTGATGCTCATCGCCCCTCGATCCTCCGTCGCCTGGATCGCCTCGGGGAACGTTTTCTCCCATCTCGAAGACCACGGCTCGGCCTTACAATGCTTCAAACGCGCCGCCCAACTCGATTCCAACTGCGTCTACGCCTATACTCTATCAGGTCACGAATGCGTCATGCTCGAAGAATGGGAGACGGCGCTCGTCTTTTTCAGGGATGCCGTTCGTCGTGATCGACGACACTACAATGCCTGGTTCGGATTGGGGAACGTCTACTTGCAAACGGGCAAATACCGTTTAGCCGAATACCACTTCCGTCACGCGATGGCCATCAACCCTACGAACGCGACCTTGTTGGCCTGCGTCGGTTCCGTCTTGGAAAAGTTAGGCAGGAGGAAAGACGCCTTGGAGATTTACGAAAAAGCCTGTCTGCTGGCCCCCGAATCCGCGGCCGTTCGATTCAAACGCGTGCGAATCCTCCTCCATTTCAAACGCTACGAAGAAGCCGAAGCCGATCTCTTGACGCTCAAGAACCGTGCGCCGAACGAGTTCAACGTACATTTCTTGTTGGGAAAGTTGTACAAGGTGTTGGGGAGGAAGAGTGAGATGTTGAAGCATTTCGGGATGGCGCAGGATTTGGAACCGAGGACGGCCAGTTTGATTCGGGAACAGGTGGAGAAAACTTCGGCGACCGGGGGTCGGGAGAGGGGTATGGAGGTGGATGAGGCTTAGCATGTGAATATGCTTAGTTGTAACATCGTGTGTGTATGCGTTTGGGTACCTTCCTCGGTTGTTTTAGCGTTCTTCGCACTTGGGCAATCGCTAGCTTTGTTGTATACCCAGATGCGCCTCTCCGTTCGATCAATCGCCAAAGAGTGAGCCATGCTTTCCAATCTCAATTACAACAAGGTCAACACAACTCATTACAACAAAGTCGGCACCCCTAGACCGCCCCTCTAGAAAAACCTCGAAGGCACCCTCTGCACCCCTGCTCTCCAATTGCCCATCCCACTCTTCTTGAGCCCATTCCTCCCCCTCTGCCACGCCTCAACCCCACCATGTACATCCCCCCATTGTAAGGCCTGTCTCTCCTTCGTCGTGACTTCCCCTACGAGAGCTTGAACTATCTGTTCGGCTCCTAGACGATGAGTCCCTCCTGGAGTGGTGACCAGGGAGGATTTTGAAACGGGTTCTGGCGGGGCGGAGAATAGCCCTGTGGGGATACTGTATGGTCGAGGTGGGGACGAGGTCGAGGCCGATTTCGTCGGAGCATCTTTGGTGTCAGTCGATTCTTTGGCGTTGGGTGTGGATGTGGATCCCTCGATCTTGCGCTGTCTTTTACTAGGTGAAACAGGCGGTGGATCCATCTTCAATTCTTCCTCGTCCCCTTCCGTCCCATCCACCACCATGCCCTCCTCCTTCGCACCCTTCCCTTTGAGCCCCCTTTTATTTTCCCCCTCAACCTTCCCTTTCCCCTCCCCTTCCTCCTCCCTCCTCCCCCTCTCCTCCTCCTTCTCCCTCCTCAACAATCTCAACGCATTCTCCGCCTTAGCAAGCGTCACAATCTTCCTCAACTCCAAACCGGCCTCCGAGATCGTTCGAATAATTTCGAATGCTAGGAAACCGAGAACGTCTAAGACGTCGTCGGTCAAGGTCGATTCGATCACTATGCCGAGGTTGAGGAATTCACGGAATTTCTTGCCTGGTGCATCGAAGAAGGGAGGGGCAGGGGTCAGCGAGTGAAGAATGGGCTAGGAGGATGTGAGGTATTCGATTCACCTTTTTTGTAGACGAATGATGCGTGACGACACTCGGTGTAGAAGTTGTACTCGTCTTTGGTCATGTATTTGGTCAACTCGTCCGCATCCTGCTCGGAGGGAGGGGGGGGGGGGGGCAACAAGCCACTGCCGTTTAGCGATCCAGATCCTCCGACAAGCTCGATACCAGCTGCATCACAAAGCTCACCTCCAACTGTTTCTTCATCTCACGCGTGAGTTCGAAATGGGCGTCCTCGTCTTCGGAAGTTTCGGGCAAGCAATCGCCGTAGATGGTCGTGATCTCCCAGGGCAATTTGATGCTCTTGTTCGGCACTCGGTACGCTCGTTCAGAAGTCGATCGGTCTGTCCGCCAATCGTTAATGAGCGTATGTATCGGCAGAGTTTTCATCTCGCTGAGCCTACTCACCTGCCACAGCGACCGGTTCGTCCATGACTTCCGGTTCATCATCCTGATCGGACTCTTTGAACTTTTTACGCACGTCCTTCCAGCCCAAATACGTCTTGAGCCTGTTCAACTTGGTCGTATCATGACGAATGAGGAACATGAGATCGTCGACCTGGAGTTGACGCGTCGAACTGGATCCTAGACCTGTTCCGGAGGAAGTTGAGCCGACGCGACGGGCGGCGAGCGAACGGGCTTCGGTCACCTGATTCCAGGGGGGAAATACAAAGAGCTGATCAGCATTCGATGAATGCAGAACAAGGGCGATCGTAGTGTGCGTACCATGTCCACCAATTGGGACTGCACGATCTGTTCGAGGTAGGCCAACACCTCCTCATCCAAATCACGGTCCACATCCGCTCGTCGTCCCAGCACGAACAGCATCTGGGCGATCTCGACCGAGTATCGCGTACTGGGCGTGATGGGCACCGTCGAGGACGAGAGTGAGGTCGATCCGTTGGTGGGGGTCGAGGTCATCGTCGTTGAGCGCGTACCGGGGCGACGGGTTCGGGTAAGGCTGCGGTCCGTGCAGTTCAGGGGTGGGGTAGAGCGAGACGAGGGGAGGGAGGAAGTCTATCACTGCATGCTTCCGGCTCGCCGCTCATCGGCACGGTCTCGACTCTCGACCCCGCCGCCGGAGGACCCCGGAGCGCAGATGCCAAAAGTCAACACAAGTTGGGTAGACGGCGATGATATTTGTAAAATTGTCAAGACCACTGGAAAAAAACGTTCAGGAGTGACAGCTCAACGGTGGCTTACAGGACCTTTCCCACTTGACAGGACTGCGGTGACTGTGCGGCGCCGACGCGGCGCCGACCACAGATTCGGGTCTGTGAAGAGTCTAGTTGCCCTGCCACGCATTGCGCCCGACGCCGCCACGCGCCACGCCGCCCGACGCCGCCCGCCAAAAGAGTTGGCCAAAGCTCGAGCCTCTTTCTCGACGCGGCTTTTGCTCTGCGCCCTCGAGTTGGACACCCTGTGCCTACGCCACGAACTCGACCCCGTGTACGACCTCGGACAGCAGTCCCACCTACGTCCTCGTATCGACTTTGCTTGTTGCCGCGCCCGTACGACTTGATCTGCAAGCGTGCTCGTGAAGCGTTGCGCACCAGCCAGGCCAGTCCGCTCGTCGACCTCGTCTCTCTGTGACCGGCAGCACAATCAAGTCGGCTGGACACCACCCGGCCCCGCTCGTTCGCATCTCTACATCTCTACAGCCCAGCTCGATCTGTGCAACTTGTTCGACACACCTCGTTGGGATACCTCCTGACTTGTCGCATCCCACCAAGAGCTCGACTGGATTGATACATCATCTTTGTGCATTCATCCAGCTTCGTTCAGCTCGTGAACCGCGCTCGCTTTGACCTCTTTCTCGTCTCGCCCCGTCTCCCGTCTCCCGTCTCCTGCGCTCTGACCTGTCGACTGGCTCGAGGCGTCCATCGCCCGCCCGCCCGCCCGCCCGCACCCCCGCTCCTGCCCCGAGCCCTTGCCCGCGCGCAACCGACCACCCCCGCCCCCTTCTTGCGATCATGGACTCGTATCACTCGTCCTCGTCCTCGTCCCACCACAACCTCACCTCGCAACTCTTCAACGTCTCCGCCAATTTCGACGCCACCGTGCCCTCCCATTCGGAGCAGCAACCGGCCCCACAGCCACCACTGCCGTCCCAAGGCCTGGCCCCGGCTGCCGTTCCGACCTCGGCGGTGATCACCAAGCGCAAGAGTCCGAGTGGATATCTCGCCGCTGCGCCCGAAGAGTCCATGCTCGACCCGTCCCTCGTACAATCCTCCTCTTCGTCCGCAGCGAACAAGAAGCAAAAGCTATCGACGAATGGTGACCATTCGCTCGGGCAAATCGGGTACGGTCTCGACCTCCCCACAACCTCCGGCCTCAACGAAACGTCCTCCTCCTCGTCGTCGACAGATCTACCGGTACTTGTCCCCGGAACTGGTGCCTCGGGCGTCCCTCTGACGATGCAGGATGGAAGCATACAAGTCAACGACGACCCTCCCCACCAATCACAATTCGGCAAAACACCCAAGAATGCTCGCCAACGCGTCTCGACTGTCAAAGCCGCCGAGCCCACTAGAGGCGCCTTTGCGAACGGCTCTCACCACTCGACGACCCCCGCTACTACTGGTGCTGCTGCAGCACCGAGCGGGAAAGTAACCAAGGGCAAAGGTCGACTAGCGGCCAAGTACGAGCATGCTCGACCCGTGCCTCTTCCCGAGGACATTCTCGTCGCTTCGGCGATCCCCATCAACCCGCTGATGAACAAGGGCGATATCCCCGTCGCACCCGAGTTGACCTCCGTCTCGAATTCTTTGGCTGATCCGGTCGACATTTCCGTCGATGGTGCCGATGCCGCCAAGCCGTCAAAGCCTACGTCCAAGGCCACGAAATCGACCTCAGCTGCTGCGGAAGTGGCCGTCGAGCCCCCGACTGCTTCCACCTCTACGACCGCAACCAAACCTGCACCGGAGGCTTCGGAATCAACTTCCGCTGATGCCGAGGCTTCTACCTCAACTGAAGCGACTGCTTCGACTGCCAACGCCGTGGCCGGTTCAAGCAAAGCAGCGACCGAAGCCGCGACCGAATCGCTCATCACGCAAGAGGTTATCGACGCCTCCAAGGTCGCGCCTGATTCCGAGAAAGGTCGACTCGGCCAACAGCATGCTTGCCCTTACGAAGGGTGCGACAAGTCGTTCGTTCGAAAGAGCGATTTTTTGAGGCATTACCGCATTCATACGGGCGAACGGCCATTCACGTGCCCTGTGCCGGGGTGTGGAAAAACGTTTATTCAGGTGAGGCGCAGACGGTGGGCCAACGTGCCCCCGTTCCAAAGCTGACGAGATTTGGCTCTGTCCTTCTCTTGCTCTTAACAGCGCTCGGCTTTGACGGTCCACCTGCGCACGCACACCGGCGACAAGCCCCTCTCGTGCGACCTGTGCGGTCGAGCGTTCAGCGACTCATCCTCGCTCGCTCGTCATCGTCGCGTTCACTCCGGGGAGAAGCGCTTCCACTGCAAGCGGTGCAACCAACGTCAATTTTCGCGCAAGATCACCCTCATTCGGCATCTGGAGCTCTGTGATGGTTCGGGCGATATGTGAGTTGTCTTCTCACTTCATTGCTTGCGTATGACCTCGGAAACTAAGCTGCGCTTCCGCGATCTCACCAGTCGCAACCGAACAAGACCTGCCAAAAAATCGCCGGCCAAGGCGCGCCCTTCAGTCGCTGGCACGGGGAGTTCGGCAGGCGAAGAAGACGAATCGTACGATGAGGATCGTGATGCGGATGGAGAAGCCGATTACGAGAACGAGGAAGAGTTCAACGCCGCCCTCGTACTTGCGGGTGGGAACGCACCTAAACGAGCAACGCCGTCAAAGTCGCCCACGGAAGGGGAGGAACCGCAAAGTGGGAGTGGAGAAGGTTCGGCTTCCGCTGCTGTGACGCCTTTGACCAAGACGAGAGCTGGGCGAGCCGCTGCAGCCGCAGCGTTCAATGCTACCCCCGGAGCGAAACGTGATGCACCACCCGTCAAGAGCCGAAAGACGCGCTCGAGTCTACCTGCAGCTGGTGCGGCTGGTCCTTCGTCACCTGTTACGACCCCAGCTGCTGCCCCTTCGACGGTCCCAAGAGCTGGACGAGGGGTTTCTCGGCCGAGGAAGTCGGGACCGTCTGCCAGCACTTCGAATGGCAAGGGGAAAACCGTCGCCGCCGCTGCAGCACCAGAGCCGGAGCCTGAAGCTGATACCGAAGTTGAAGCTGAAGCCGGAGCCGCGGAGGAGGAGCCCAAGGAAGTCGAAATGAAGACGAGCCCGGCGCCGAAGGGGAACGAGGCCGCCCCGGTCGAGGAGGCCAAGGAGAAGGGTGAGGAAAAGGAGATAGAGGCAGGCCCTACATCAACCAAGGAGAAGCAGGAGACCGACACGACGACTGAAAAAGCAACAACGACCGCAACGACCGACGAATGATCCTCTCCCATCCATCGGACTGGCACAACAACATGAAATGATGACCCGTCCACTAGTACTATTGCCCCTTGTGCTTCTCCCACCTCTATCCTCTGTGCGCCGCGCTTCGTTTTCCTCCTGCTACAAGTAGGTGTCTCAACAACCAGAAAAACTCATTAGTCCTTCTCTGCTTCCCCCATACGTTCTGCTGTACGTGTGCTAGTAGCATGGAGTTGTCTCCTTTTTCTTTCGTGGGATCCCGATCCTCATTTTTGTCGTCGTTGTTTTGGGGTGTGCCTAGGTGTATTGTTCAATCTGCTTGTTCATCCTTCCGGCTTTCGGCTTTCGGCTCTTGGGTATTTCTATATCTGTGACCACCTTCGTTGTGGAGTTGAGTCCTTTCACGAGATGTCTGCAACCAATAGAAGTGCAACAGCTGAAACGGCACGCCTTATGGAGTGATGGGGTGATGGGGTCCCCGGGCGACTCTTCGATTGTCGGAGAGGCTGTGCTGTGCGCCTATGTATCACCGGTATCAACCGGCCGGTCGCCCGCCCGAGCTTCTTGGCCCTCGCTTCGGCATACTCTCCCCTCCTCTCCTCTCCTTGGCGCCTCCTTCATTTTCGCTCGTCCTCGACTTGAGCCTCTTGCGCTTGTTCCACTCACCACACCTCAATCTCCCAGTGCTTGGACATCATCTCTCCGCTCTTCACCCTGCTCAGGCCCCCTCGACTCCTCACACGCTCCTCAAGAAGCCCATCAGTACGTCATCGAACCCCGAGTTGGTGTGAACCTTCTCCTCTCCAACGGCAGTGCAAACCACAGCCGACGAACTAACCACCCACTACCTTGCCACGACTTCCTTCATCACAGTGACCAACACCTCCGTCTACCCTCCTCAGTCCTCCCTCCACACCGCCCTCCAAAACCAACAACAAGCCTCATCGACTGGCTCGACTAGTACAACCTCGACCTCGACCGATTCGCAGCACCAGGCTCAACAGGAAGCGCATGCGTGCGGTCATCATCATTCGTCCGAAGAGGTCGAGGCGATGCGGTTGAAAGATACCCTCTCGAGGGTCGGGGGGCGGGGGAAATAGGAGGTGGGGATCCTGAAACTGACGCGGATTCACTCTAACTCCCGTTCGTGGTGCGGTTCGTGCCCTACAGCCCGATTGCGAGTGTTGCATCATCCCTTGCACGGTCATGTGAACAGCTTCCTCACCACCTGACCGATACCCACTTCAACTCCTCACCCTCTCGACCGCTCTGTAACGAAACGAACGACCGGTCTGGGGTGCACCATGTCGTGCCTTGGATCGTGATCACCACGTCATCGGGGCACAGCTTTGATTACTGCGGAGACGGTCCCTCCACTATCTGTGCTACTCTGATTATTACTCATTTCTTGTACACTTCCTGAGCATTGGTCTTATTTACGTGCGTTGCAATCTGTTTTCACGACTCTCGCGTTTTACATACTCTATTGCAGTCGCGACAACCCGGCCCGAGCCTGCGTCGATCGGGTCGAATTTTTGACTTCGATCCCGGTGGGGAGGAAGAAGTCGCGCAGCGTGGAGGGTTCGTTGGAACGTCTGAAAGAGGTCGGCGTAGCGCAGGTTGAAGAACTCCCCTTTGGTTTGAGGACTGGGTACAAAAAAGGCGAAAGACACTGATCACTCGTCGCTTCCGCCGAATGGGGCCTTTTCCGGCTTTACTCTTGAAATGCTCGACATGTGCTTCAGTCCTTCGTGAAGGTGCTGAAGAGCTCGGGTGTAAGGAGTCAGCACATTCTCCGACATGGTGTACGCACTCGTACCAAGGGAGCACATGTCCGCGGTTTGTTCGATCGCGGTTGCTCGTACGCTCGAGAGACGCGATGTTCCATTGCGCCCCATGTCATTGGAGTCTGGAGATGTAAGATGTAGCTTTATGCTTGGGCATCGGTGGATGTAGTGGAATCGGTTTCGTTCGAGGGAAGCCCAACAGGTGCAGGGGAGCTCGGTGAAGGAAAACAGAGGATGCATGCGACTGCCTCCAGCTGCGCGTACGGCGAAACAACACGGTGCAGTGAGCGCACGTGTTACGTGACTCATAAGTCTGTGCGTAGCGGAACTCCGTTATGCCAAACACATTCGACCCCCAAACAAGCTGGCAACTATAGCTATCGATTACACGTGAGATGGGACCACGAAGCTCTCTCTAGGTATTTGAGACGAAAGGCTCTAGGAGGTGGATCCGGCAAGGGCAACTTCTGACGATCGAGCTCAGCAGATCCTCAAGGTCGCTTGTCGTGGAGCTTAAGCCATAGGCTGGATTAAACGGGAAGTGAAGCATGTGGGTTAGTCCGATGATGTCTCTCCACAGCTGAGGTGTGGAAGCGTACCTTGTCCTGGACGGGAACATCCTGCGAGGTGGGAAAAAAAAGTTTTGCTTAGTCTACAGCCCGTGTTCTGCGCTGAAATGTCCAGGTGGCTGTGCCGACCCACCTTGCCCTGTACGATGATGTTTGAATTCGAATGAGTCCCACATGGCACCAATGAATAAGATTCGGTCAGTGGACAGGTCAGATGGTCCGGGTCGAATGGACCAAAAAAATCAGCTTGACCATTCAATGGCGATCGAGTCTTACCGTCAACTTCTTGAAGCCAGTCCTGCAATGGGTAACAATGAGAAATAAGGTCAGTCCAACCACTCTAAAAGATCGGAGTTGACACATGTTATTTTGGTTTAAGCGGACATGGTCAAATTTCACTCACCTGACGCCATCGGAGATTTTCTCGGTCTGCAAGCGGTGCGGACGTGATATGATGTCATGATATGTCAGTAACCATGTCCTAAAAAAAGCTCCAACGTCCCACGATGCGTCCATGGTGTACACCGATGACGAGCTGACGATTCCGGTCCGTCTTGATGCCGATCGAATTCGTGCGACGAACGACGTCGGTAGTCTTCTGACGACGTCATCGCAGAGACGGGCCGGCGGCGAGCTCACTAGCCCGTGACACGGCTGGCTGCCACTGCATCACTCGAACCCATCGGCCAGATGGAATGCACCGCCGCAGAGGAGCACGATAGAGGGGGAGATGATGTTGATGACTGACCGTGGAGGCGGATTGTCCCTTGCCAGCCTTCTTGAGGACGGCATCGACGCCCTTGTCGAGAGCATCACCACCGGTGCCCTGCTGAGCTGGGGCGCCACCTTGCTGAGGAGCCTGCATGATATCGGATGGCGTTCTACGGGTGCAGTGACAGTGGCTATCAGCGTAGGAAACAATGCCATGGGGAGAGTTCTGTGTACGGACTGACTTTGTGTGGGGTGTGTGAGGCGTAGGAGGCGTAAGAGACAAGTGTGGGAGAGTAGTGAGGGTTAACGAGCAGAGCAGGAAAACCGAGGTTGAGCTCGAGGTCGGATGCAGAGCACCTCAGGCAGACTAAAAAGTAACCAGTCTTAGTAGCGCCGCCGCGCGGCCAGAAAACCCTATGCAAATAGGCGACCTGGGCCCGGTAGCAACTCGGCGCGGGAACAAGCTCGCAATGGTTTAAAGTCATTACAATTGATCCGGAAATGATTTTCCGGCTTGACCCTATGACGTAATTCATTGGCGGGAGAAGCTTGTAGAGCTTATAGAAAAGCTTGTTGAAGTCCAAGTATATCCATTAACGCCTCAGCACTGCTGAAGCCGTGGTATGTCTGGCCCAATGCAACACGTGATCTGACGCGGGTTGCGCGAGGTTGCGCGCGCAGGCGCGCGTCCGAACAGGTCCGAACCTGACGGAATCGACGCGTGTTGTGCGTTGTTGATACGTAGACAGCTCTTGTCCTTAGGCCCGCTTTCGCCCGTACATTCAACACAAGACCCATTGGTCTCGCCGCGAATATCCTCGTCCTCGATCGCTGAACCGCATACACGTCACACGTCACACGTCACGTCCCTCGTTGATGTCCATTGATCTTGTGATCCTTTCACATCGCCAACTCATACCAACTTTCCACGCTTCGGCGCTCGACAAGCCCCACGTGTATGTCCGGCGATCGTCGTCCGGGCTTTTACCAGAGAACGAGCTTCTGAGAGCCTGCTGACATCCACGTCTTGACTATAGATTCATCGCGTCGCCTCGGAACATTGCGGGCTCCTTCCCTCCTGGATAACCATTCACAAACAAGGCTCTGGGTGCGTGGTGGAAGTGCGGCTGCGCGGTCGTCGACGCGCTGTTTAATTGGTTTGATGCAGCACCGTGTCGTTCTGACCTTACCTTCCCGTGTTCGCCTTCCAGCCTCTGCCTGCACGATGTTCTCTTCCAATGCCATTTCGTCTAGCGAGCAATATGATGCGTACCATCCAAGTCCTGCGCCGCCCAGCCAACCGCTTGACGCTCCCGCGTTCGCAAACATCGATTATCCAACCTATTCGCTCGAGTCGGGTAGCCACGCGTCCGCCTTCCCAGACGACCTCCCTGTCCTAGGCAACACAGCTAGCACAGGGCACCCATCAAGTCGACCCTCCTGTCCCGCCGATTCCGCCGCCAATCGCCTAGTGCTGCCTGACCCCCTTCAATTGCCAATGGACGAAGCCAATACATCGTCGGGCGTCCTGCAACCCTCGCCGAGCTTCTCATCAGTAGATGGAAGCACTCCGACAATGCATCCATCACCACTTTCCGCCGCGGATCAACAGTTCGCCCGCGTCGAAGTCCCTGTCGCCACCGTACCGATCCGAGTTTCGCCTTTAACGCCAGCGAAGAGGCCGATGGGCCCTAGCCTCCACGAACAGAGCAAGGCTATCCCTAAGCGCAACTGTCGCAAATCCGAACGACTTATGCACGAGCAATGGGCCCAGAAAACACACGACGAAGAGCTCGAGTATTGTATCCGACACAATATTCGACTCGATTATTTGAGGAGCATTGTTGCGCCCGTGACTCGCCTTGGCTCTCCCACTTCCTGGAATGACTTTGTGCAGAGCAAGTAATTCGAATCGCTGGCAGTTCAAGATGGATTGGAAGGTAGGCACAGCTCTTGACTACCTGACTACCTCGTGCTAAATTCTAGCATAGCATTGCACTACGCTGTTGTTGAACTAACGGGCTGGGTTGGTCCGCTTTAGTGCCGACCAATTTGGTGGAGAGGGTTAAGCTCGCAAAGCCATATTGGAACGACATAAAGGATGACGCAGAGGCGATGACGAGGTTTGACGCGGCGCTTGCCTTGGAGCGTGAGGAAGCGACGCAAGCAACGCAAGCGACCGAAGGTTCATCCTCCATCAAGATCGCCAGAAACAAGCCGATGAGTCACGAAGCCATCAAGAAAGCGCGCCGATGCATGCAGGCCGCGTTGGAAACCATGGTGAGTCCAAGCTCAATTTGATACTGCTCACAGTAAAGTAACTGAAAGGATCATAACACCCTCAAAACCAACCCAGAGCACTTCATATGCGCAAAAATATGGACTCCAATTGTTTGCTGTGGTCTCTTCTGATCTTCCTGAACTCAATGAGGAGCGTTTCATGGTCGCGAGCCCCGGTGGTTTGGCCTTTGCCTATCGACAAGACTGGGGCGATAGTTTGGGTTCAAGACAGCTGCTCTCCGACTTCGCGGATTGCGTTACCGGTAGAGCGTTCTTGGAGGACAAAAAGGCCGAATTGGAAGCAGCTGGTCAGTAGGTGCACGCGCCGACAGACTATTGTCACTTGCTGATTGACGTCCGTTACGCTGTCACGCAGTTTGGGAGGCGCCACTGAAGGAAGCGAATCTTGAAACAAAAGCCTCGTGGTACAGCACGATTGTGAAAAAACTTTTCAGTGTGGACTATGTTCTAACCGAGATTTCAGTTGCTGCTCACTTGTTGACTGCTAACGATGAGTCTTCTTCTCGGTGCAGATGATGCCGTGATGCGACGTACCAAGAACCAAGGGCACGAAAACAAGAGCAAACCGCCCAGGTTGGTGTACGACCCAACCGCGCTCATGCAACAGGCCAGTATCGTAGTTGAATGCGGCCCGAGCCTCAACTTGGAGACGGATTTCGCCAGCCCCATGGGCAAGCAAAAAATGTCGGGGGCCGACTTGGATCGTATCATTCCCCTGCTGCGTGCAGGAGAGTTGAGATTCAGGCTAACGGAAGAGGTACTAGCGGATGAAGAAGATGAAGATGGTGCAGCTATCCCTGCCAACGGCCAAGATGGCAGCGCGGTGAGCCGCCCCGATTCCGACGAGCACTCTTAGAGGTTAGGGCAGCAGCTCTCGACGCCGAGATGAGCCGGCGCGCTGGGACGGACATGAAGTGTAGGGCTGAATTGGAAGATACAACGAGTGGATGCCGCTGGACGAAGCAAGATGACTACTGGACTTAGTACACCAAGGATCGTGTCTGTAGTGCACCAAAGCCGCGAGCGTATGCTGCATGATGTTCGCCGTAATGATACCTCTGCTGCTTCCGCAGAACAAGAATACTGAAATGCTCCGTTTTCTGAGAATTTCGGATTGTAACATGCTCTGCGTCCTCCGAAATAGACTGCTCTGGATCCGCAATTCTCTAAGTGCGCTCTGACATACGCAGTTCCGGATTTCCGCGACTGAGTATTCGAGGTGTTCGAGGTGTTTCGAGAACATTTTACACTGGCGCACGGCCCAAAAAGTCTTATCCGATCTCTCATTATGACGACTAGCGACCGAGTATGACGGTCCATGCTCAAGTGCTTGCCCCGAGTTGAACCCGCCAGCATGTCGTGCCTCGTCCGAAAGTGTGTTTCACGCGGTGTGGGCATCAGGTATTTGCCACGGGGGTCCCGACGTTTCGGTCCATCTGATCTGTCCAATCAACTCAGTCTGAAGGCGAGCCGGTCTTCTCAACTCCAAAGTACCAGGCGACTCTTCGTGCTAAAGTTGAAATCATCATTACTAGGGTTTGAAGTGTGAGGAACACTGTCAGGGAATCTCGCCGTTCCTAGCATCCGATCCAAGTGGCGCTGCTCCTGCTCGGTATGTAGCAAATCGCACGTCTCGTATTGGCCGCCTATTACAAATATTACACCCCACCTTGCCGGGAATCCAGTGAGTGGGCCCGGGACTCCGACGGGTAACTCACAGTCGCCGCTCCTTCGCCCTTGCAGGCTGACATGTGGATGCCTGTCCATGCCAAAAGAGAATTGGTTTGTCGCATTCACATTACTTTTTGAGCATTGTCAAGGAGTAGCTTGGCGGATCCCGGCTGGTGTGGGACTGCGGCGACGCCACTAAAATTGAAGCTCCTCAAAAGCGACTCAAACTCCGGTTGAAAGTCGATGAAAGGGTTCAGATTTTGTCACAAAGCGATTTCGGTGTGTTGAAAACAAAAATTAGACGTTCACAACGGATTGGAAACATCCGAAGTTGCCACCGGCGGCCGGCGCCACCAGATGTCAAGCGACGCCAGAATACTACTTTTTATTATTATTGAATAGATCTCATTAACAGCACAATTATTTTAGTACCAAGAAATCTTCGGACAAGTCGGAGGAAATGCTTTAAGCACACTGGCTAACGGCCACAGGTATTAGCTTGGCCGCCCTATTTTGCTTTGTAAGAGTAGATATTGCGCACATTTCGCTCCTTCAGCTCCTCTCAACGTCCTGTCCGCTACTGAGAGCGCGTAGTGAGGCTCGGAGTCACCGACGCAGTGCGGAGAGCGCGTACGTAGCGAGGCTCGGAGTCACCGACGCAGTGCGCCGGCCCAATAGCAGGCAGTGAATTTACTCACTGATGACGCGTGGGCTCTTCGGTACCCATGACCAGTCAGAACCCAATTCGAATCGCAAGGGTTTCCCCGGAGTGTATCACATCGGACTCAATCGGAGTGATCCCACAGTGGCCTCTCCAAGGCGGCAACTTGAGCTAAGCCTTGAAATTTCAGCTTCAACCTCCCGGATGATGTCAGCACAAGTCGAGACGCATAGAGCATGCGACAGTGCCCACAAGCAGCGATGCTTCTAGCAAAATCGTACTCAATTCCGAGGTAGGGGTGGCAACAGGCGCCTTCAGGTGCAGTGCTCACGGGAACATGGCTCGGGCAAGGGGAGCCTCCGACCCGTGTTCCCGTAGGAGGACGCTCGTGCGTACATCCAAGTATTGCGATTGAACCCCATCTGACAACAGGAGGTATGTTGGTCATACTGAAGGGACCTGCTCACCCATTTTGACAAGGTTCGTGCTTCAGTTACTCGAGTAACAACTGGCGTTTCGAG